TAGTAGAGGGTCGTAATAGTTTATATAGGTAGTATTAGATAGTTAGTAGATAGTTTAGCTAGTAGTGCTATCTAACGAACCCTAATAGATCCTAGATCTTTATATTCTCGCCTATAGGATTACTACGTTTTCTTCTTCGTCCTATAGCTCCGCGCGAATCCTATTTTTCTCTTTTACTAGAGCTAGACGTCTTTTAAGGGTCTCTAACTCTTAGAGTTCCGCCTCCTCGTCTACCTTAGTCGGGGTTATTAGATCCGGCGGGTTTCCTCCCTAAGGGTTATCGTTAACTCCTTATATCTCTACCTCTTCTAGTAGGGGTTATAGGGGTCCTAGGACGTCGTTCGTTTCCGCGATCGGGGCTAAGGTTCCCCTTAGGCGGTCGCTCGTATATCGAGTCGTCGACATTACGTATTCTAACGGTCTAGTTTAATTAAGATTTAGCGATTAGAATGTTAGGACCGGCGTACTAGCGGGTCCTAGTAGGTAATATAGAACTAGAGTAAAGGAATAGTAGGGTGCTAGTATATTTATAAACTAATCGCTAAAGAGCTAAGTTCCCCTAGCAGTCTCTGTATAGATGACCTTTGGCGGGTCACGGGACTAGGTCACCTGACCCGGCAGGACTCAGTCTCTCTGGTGCGGTCTCTGGCGGGGGGTCATGCTACCCCTGCTGGGTCACGGGTTCTGGGTCATAGGACCAGGCGGGATCCAGCCTGTGAGGCACTCTCCTAGCAGAGGGTCGTAATAGAAATGCACGTGACCCTAAGTCTCGTAGTTCCCAGGAGCATGGTTGTTTCTAGAAGAACGATTTAAAAACTAAGGGCCCTCAATTATTATAAGCTAGGGGCAAAGTGACAATACCTTAGAAGTCATTAATGCTAGATCGTGCGCTTAGTTTCTTCTAGCTGATTGACTACAGGATGGATAGATGGATGGATGGATAATTTCATTTACCCCCGACCCCTCGCAGAGCGATACGCAGGCTATAGCAACTATATATATCCGTATACAGTAGTATTCGAAATCAGCTATACCTCTGCACTCTTGTGACTTGATTCCCGGAAAATAAATCCGAGGGTCGTGAGTTCTGATTAGATAGGAAGCGAAAGCGCCGCCTTTCAGACCGCTTTTTAGACTGATAGTCGTATTTTACAGTACAGTATCAAGACATAGCTAGATGTATTTTACAGGAAAGTGCTATACGCTTGCTACCTTTGTATGCCCCTCAATCCATGCACAAGGCAGATTTCCCCACCCCCATGCACTGCCCTACCATATGCACTGCCCTACCCATATACAGCCTCAACCAAGATTGATCAGAATGTTTGCTTTTATTTCAACCAAACGCAAATCACTAGACCGAAACTTCTCGGTCCTCTTCAAAGATGTCTGGCCTCGATAGTGGTTCTTAATATTGATTGTTTATCTCAAGTTGCTAGTCACCTCTACGGATACGTGAGACCCTCATAGGTAAATTCCATTTTTATAGGAATTAGCGATAGCCCTAGGAGCTAAATTGTGGTTCCTAGGGGATAGACAGCTCCTAGAAATGCTTTAAGCTTCCCAGAGTAAGTTAAACATGTGTTGTAATTCAGAGGAATTCAATTGATTATTTATTTAGAGAGAAACATGAGGATATATATATAACGAGAAGATCAAGTTGATCTCCAATCAACTTGCTTCTCCGCATAGACACCTCGGGAATAATTCCGATCGTGCGGCTGAGTTTCTGATCTGCACTAACCTCATATCACAACAGTTGGGAAAGTGCAGAAATCTGAGGTGAGATGACGGACCCGCCGGGATCCACGTTATCGAAAAACCACCAACTTCCATCGTTTAAATTGAACGAACCACGTAAGTAACAAAAGCTCTTATCAAAAAGCTATAGTTTGGAGTATCTGGTTTACTAGTCCCCAACCCCTTAGGCCCATAAGATGTTATAGTGCCGGCGAGGAAAGTCTAGGACTTTTCTTAATCTACTTTGGAGTTTCGGTTACTTTGAGGCGAAATATCCAATATACCGATCAATAAACATCAATTCTGATTCAATATCATCTTGGCACATAGCTAGGGAATGACAACAGTTGGATAGATATGCTTCGACCTCCTTGTAAAAGCCACACGCATGAAGTAGCAAGCAATGATCCGCGTTCCCGGGCATGCTTCTCCAAAGCTCGTGCAAATGACTGGATACTACAAAGCAAATACTTAGTTAGCAACCTATAGAATAGAATTAGCTGCGTATTAATCTACCGGTGGAGTGGTAGGGTAGAAATTACATATTGCTTGGACTGGTCCTCCTGGGCGTGATTGGCTTTGATCCGAACACCTCCAGCAGTCTGGCCCTGAACTGAGCAGTGATTGTTGGGATCAGTCTGGCTTTGATGAAGGGTATTGCTAGCGATGGTTAGTCAAGATGGCGTAGAAAGATTGAATAAGTCACTCACGTAATTAGGAGTTCATCCATCTTCTGCATGTCTTCGAATTTGAATAGCGTGCCGTTTTCAAAGGGAGTTTTGACCGTGTGAAGAGCTGCGGTCTTCACAGCTTGATCGACGACTTCGGGTACGCGCAAAATGTTGTTCCAGATGGTGGGGAGATAGACTGGTATATTCTTGTTGAGAGCCTTGTTGAAGACGTAGCCGATGAGATGCTTAGACATATTGGGTTTGGGATTGAAGTAGGATTCGATATATGTAAACTAATAGATATAGAGGTGACTGGGTCGATGCGTTTGCAGAAACTCCAGAAAACTTACCCTCTTTATATATTCGACTGAGTATCATAGCTGCCCCCTATCTCAGTCCAACGAGATTGATCTCGTTGGGAACGGGTTCTTCGACGGAATGATCTCTATCAAAGCCGGTGGATTCCGGACCATTCGCGCCGATTCATCCTGATGTTCCTTTCAATGTGCTCCAATGCACGTCAGACACAAGTGGGCTTGCTTTTGATGAAGGAACATGCCGCAAAGCCGGCAGGGCCCATTCTTGTTTGTCGGCTATGAACAGCTGAGGCATAGCCCAGCATCAGTGGCTCAAACTCAAACAGACTAAGTGTGCTGGCATGCACGATCTATCATGAATTTCTATCGACTTGGAGCTGCCTACCCCATCCTTCTCGTTGGGAAGCGGGCGTCTCGTTGGGGAGTGGGCGTCTCGTTGGAAAACCCGGCAATCACCGTAAAGCTGGGCGATTGCCTCTTTTCATTGGAGGGTTGACCACGGCATTCCGTTTGAGTTCTCGAACTAAAGGAGAACGGGCCATTGTTGGGCACAAGCGGATCAAGGCACCTATGAAGGCATGGAAGGCATGGTTATGGGCTGGGACGACTATCTTCGGCAGGAGCAACAAGAACAAGGGGGGAAAGGGCGACGAAACGCCTACGCGTGAGACACCACAAATGGAGATTTAGGAGATTCAGTTTATTCACTATTCACCCCTATAGAAAAAAGACGCGATCCTCCAAGTTGATTAGACTATACGCTCACGGAATGTTCAAAATCTCGAAATTCCCTCGACGCAAGCACAGTTGAGGCGGAGGGTCTTTTTTCCGGATCAGGTACCAGAATAAAACGAAGAAGATCTCTCAACTTCTGTGGCATGTCCACCTTCTTTGTCTCCTCATCGAAAGGTAAGATTGCTTGCAGTTCTGGCACCTCTATACTTAAAGATTGGGCAGAATTTACTGCAACTTTAAGGGTGTCGCCCTTCACCATTTCAAGAGTGGGAATCTCCCAGTGGGGAAAGAGTCGCTGTATCTTTGCTATGGACCAAGCTTCGTTAATCAAGGGATGAGGGCTGTCCCAAGCGCCTAACACACCAGGTTTGATCCAGCAAAGTAGCATCGCGGCAACAGCCCAGACCTGCGATGACTCAGTACACGCTTCGCCTAGGAAAACTTCAGGGGCGCGCATAGCATATGGTTGGGCGTTAAGAAGTTCGCCGACCGGGACAACTATAAGCGTATAAGTAATGGCATATCTCGCATATCAATACTTGCTCACCGAGTCCTAAGTCCCCCACTTTAGCGATAACACGGTCAGTGTCGATGTTAGAAAGCAAGATATTGGCGGGTTTATAGTCTGGAGTAATTAGCAAATGCCAGCTCGTTAAGACCAGGTATCCTACCTGTATTTACATGTTTGTGGTCCTCCAGAACGACACAACTTGTGAATGCTGCCTTTAAAACAGACTTGATGATGGAGTAGATTCTCATGCCAGGATGGTATTCCACCTCTGCGAGCGTAGTGTCCAACCATTCTAAAGCGATGGTGCTGTCGTCGATTTTTTCATACATTTTCCGGAAGCACTCGGCCGAGGCGACACAAGGGAGGCCATAAATCTTAACCTCACGTTGCAGGTTCTCAGTTGCATATTCAATATTAGATGCCCGTTTGATCAAAGCCCTAGGTGGCAGAGTTAGCCTTAGAGTCTGGATATTATTAATGCAATACAACAAACCATTTGGGACCTTCGGGGACGACGCGGGCGTTCTCACGTGGAACAACCTGGGCCTTAAAAACGTCGGAATTGTGCGTGTGATCTCCTTTGACATGTTCCATAAGGGAATAGTTCCAACAGGCGCCTTGAAGAACATGCCCAGGAGTAAGAGACGACATTGCTCTTGCCAAAGATCTCCTTGCACGAGATAAATTCGGACTAATGACTGAGTACATTGGGGCAAATCGAAGAAATCGCAATGGTGAGGGGAAAGTGGGTTCATAAATGTGGGCGGATGATGGATACAAAAATGCATGAGCGTGGAAATCACGAGAGTTGGAGGATCCTGCCGCGCACGGACTCATACTCAGGTGTGGCTGTGGCTTTGTTGGCTGAGTCCTGAAACCAGCCCTTGGCTCGAATGCCCCAACCGAAATAGCCGCCTTTCCAACGAGAATGGGCTAAATTCCCAGTGAGAACTCATAAAGTTCCCGGTTCGCGCCCCGAACTGGTCGTTTGTTCTCGTAGCAACCAGCCATTTATGCACATTCGAAATGCCCCGTCACAATCGCCCGTCAGTAACCCAAGCACGCAACCAAACCAATCAAACAGGAAAGGGCTCTCGTTACGCACCGCTGGATCGAGAAACTTCCCTGAAAATGTCTGCCGCCTGGGTGGAGTGGATTAAGGGGGGCCAAAAGATAAAGGCCAGAGATGAGAAGCGCATACACGAGGCGTTCGGCCTAGTGGCTGACAAAAATCGCACGGATCCATATACCAACACTTTGCAGCAGGCTCATGCCATCGGTGGTGAGGAGCTCACCGCGATTATTGCCCTTGCCATCGGCAAGTCAGCCCATAGGGAAATGAAGAAGACATGGAGGAAGGAGCTTCCAGCGATCCTAGCGCAGCGAAAATGGCATCTGTCCACCCATATCAGAAAATACGTTCATAATCTTAAGGGTCGACTGACTCCAGCAGGTGAGGAGGCAGTGTCGGTCCAATTGTTCAAACTACTTACCAATCGACAGATGATGACCATTCCAGCCACTTCAGCGAAACTGCCTCAGCAGGTACAGCGACAAGCAAATCCCCTAACGAACCCGACACACTGTTAGCGACTGACCCGACACCTTCGCAACGGACGGCCGTCTCCTTGACGCCCCAGTCGCAATATCAGACGGGTAAGTTATATTACAAACGATGGAGTGGTGGACTGACAGATTTCCAGAGCTTACCGGGAGCGTATATGAGCTTACCCCGGACGATCTCCTGGAGCTCTCAACTGGGCTCATCACCAAAAAGCTCAGCTGCCCAGGACCTCTCTTGCTGACAGAACCATTTCACCCGCTAGCAAATCCATTCCTCACTATCCCCATCACCAATCAACTCTGCCTCTACTTCCGCAGTCAACGCAAACAGGTTATGTAGCGGTGGGGCGTTTCACTAGGTATCTTATTCTAATCGAACCGACTGCATAGAATTGCCACTCATGCTGCCATGGCCCTATTAGAATTTGCGCATCACCCTGGGTTGCCCTTTCTGCGACGGTGCCGTTCTCCCACGGCGCCTGTGCGTGTCTCCCGATAACGAACTTGCCGCCTGGTGAGCTGATGTCGGCGATGAAGGCCACGGTGTTGTCCGGCGCGGAGATATTTCTGGACATATCCCTTGTCTCGCTCGAAATAGTACAGCCGTTCTGTTGGAGCTGTGCCGACTTAGTAATTGAAAGGATACGAACGAACCAACCTACTTGCCTGGGTTTTGCCGAGTTCGACAAGCTCATCGTCTGTCGCAAAATTTTTGATTTCGATCTCCATCGAGATATTCACCAGCTGTGTGGTCCACGGAGCTGGAGGTGTGGTGTAAAATGGATGTGAACGACCTCAAGGAGCAAGAGACAGTGACATGATTACTTGTGGAGGGAGTGTTCGCGAAGCTAAAAACATTTCGAAAGCGGGGCAACCATGTGTGACTAGTTAAGTGCTGACTAATAGTTAGTTAAATTTCTCTTGGTAGCCTGAGGCCGATAAGTAATGCAAACCTTGCAACCTACAAACTCTGCAAATCTTTCGGGACTAGGGTCGATATAGATATTACGAAGACTGTACTGCCGGAATTATCAGGCGGTGACCCAAAGGGCTAGCGAGCTGTGGAATCATCTTCCGGTAATCAAATAGTAAGAGTATGGTGGTATAGCTGATTTCGAAAACTACTGTATGTACATGTATCGTGTCCCACTTCTTGAAAACGAACTCAGAGCCTCGTTAAGGCCTATCGTGGCCTAGTTGCCGCTCCTGTTGTTAGGCTGCCCTCATGGCGCGCGACTTTGGAACCGTTGTGACGCCTCTGCGAAGTCTAGCACAACCGTGACCGTCCTAGCCCGAGAGACGGTGTCTGGCTTACCTCTCTCACATCATTTGAGCCTCCCGGCAGACTCGACACATTCTCTGGTAGAGGATCTGGCTGTCGTTTTTGGGTGTGAGTACAACTCTACTTAAAATTAATAAGTTATCGCCATTGATATGAATATAGTCGCACCATCGTGTACGACATCGAAAGCCGTCAATATATTGCCGTGGGAACATCAAATGACTTGTGGCGATACCTACAATACCTGTACCGCCGGGACAGGGATCCTTTGCAAGTAAACTGGGTCTAGGGGACATTTATTACTCCTTAACAATGGTCTTTTATGTATATACTCAAGCCACCAGTCTGAATTGGAGGGAATAGTCGGAGCTCTTGGCTCATCCAGGGACCATTTTAAGACCGTCACAATGAAAACACATTGTGCCACTAAGATTGTAGATTTAGCTCGCTAAATCTTCATTCTATAAAATTCCGAGGTGCAAGGGGCTTCGAGAGGTAGTGTATCAATCGTATGATTATTTCCAATAGATGATACAGCATCCCATCATGTGACTTGGGCTTACAATACGTGTCGAAATTTGGAAATTGCTTAAGCCGAACACAGACTAGCGTGTTTCATAATTAAGTTTGGGAAAGATTCAAAGAGAGTAAAATGGTGAAACTGATTTCGAGCGCGTCTGTATCACGCACATAGGACGGCTCATGGTCAACACGGAGGTCAGAGTCTAGAATCGTCTTCCAAAGGGGAGCAACATAGACCAAATGTGACTGTTGACCGAGGTACTCTTGCGTGACCTGTAACTCTATGGCCATGCTGGTATGGAACATATTTGCAAATAATGGCGATGGTGGCTCACGGACTTGGAAATCAATAGGCCCGAACTTGATTTGGATCACGACGTTTTCATCAAATTGACCATCAAGGTCCTTGAAGAAGTCGACAGCAGCTTTCGCGCGATCATCCGTCCAGACATCCTCGTCGAGTTGATTGTAGACAAAGGCGCGATACATAACAATGCCACCATGAGGTTTGACCTCTTTGGCAAAAAGATTCGCTGCATCTGCGAGGGTTCGATTGTATGTCTGAGGACCTGGCTGTCCTTCCGAATCAGCCTTCACAAGGAAGCCAGCCATGTCAGGGATTCGCTCATAGATCTGAGCTGTGATCATCGACCACCAGTCGATAACAGAAGCATCGAGAGGGTCGAAGGTGCCGAGTCCTCCATAGGTCTGAGGGGAAGCAAAATTGAGCGACAGGCCAACTTGTATACCGTACGGACGGAATATGTCTGCGATTCGAGCCACTCCGTTGAGATTTTCGGGGCTCAGAAGGGCAGGATTAGCATTGACATTGTTAATGACTATGCCATTGATTCTGATCGAAGCCAAGAGGCGGGCGTATTCAGTAACACGGGCGAGGTCCTCAACAATTTTGCCATTCTTGAAGAAGATAGACGGGCCACCATACCCGCGCTCAATGCTTCCATCCATATTATCCCATTGGTTCACCCAGCGAATAGGTGCAGAGGGATTGGATGCATAGGCGACCTTGGACAAATTGCCCTGTGCAAGCATCGACAAGTATTCGAAGGTGCCATACAGTGCACCCCTTTCATTCTGTCCAAAGATTTGGACGTTTTCTCCTTCTGTGTTGAGCCAGAATCCATCTTCCTCCAGTTCAGGAACGCCCTTGACGGCTCCACAGATCTCTCGATGCTGATCAATCGTACCAACAACAATCCCGGAGGATATCTTGCAGTTGGTATGTGTGACTTGCACACTTTTCCCATAAATGCCCTTGAGACCATTCTGCAACTCCGTCCCCGCGACATACACCGGGCTCATCTCTGTCTCATTGAGGGTGATAATCATCGAAGGGAGGGCGGAATGACATTGACCTGAGCAGGGGACTGATGCATACCGTAGCCAACCATGGAGTCCATTCTCAGCAGCTGCAAAGCTTATGAATGCAAGAGAGAGAAGTGCACGCATCTTAGCCAGAATGTCGGAAGATACATTTGCCTGATGCATTCGCTGGCGACCAGCTCCCCTCTTTTATACTCGTCTTCCCGTGGGATCATACTATCGGGAGACTCGCCGATAGCACATACATGGATGATCAATGTCATTGCCGGAAAAACTTCAGGCTAAATGGGTTATTTGTCCAAGCCGAGCAGTATTTACAGCCTATACCTACAGTGTTTCCCCGCAAACATTGCGGAGCCTTTGGTGTGTGGGGATTGACTGGGCACGGCCGACAGGATTGGCCTTCTTCACATCTAACGCGGAGACGGCCACCAAGAAAGTGTATCACTCGAGACTAACCACGAAACCCTATACTGGATCAGGCATAGAATGCATCTATACAGCTTGGGAACGGGCATAACGCCGGGAGACAGGTCCCATGGTAATGAGATGCATTTTGGGTATTACATTTTAGGCTGTTTCTTACGAGATGGCGGAGTCCGAAGACAAGCGCATTTTAACAAAGCGGCGAAGTATCTTAGCACACCTGTCTAGAATATGCCTAGTTTGAGAATTCCGTGATTCATCATTATTTGTGGAAGGGTTTTGTGTTCAAGAATGGTTCAAGATTCTATTTTTTTTTTCTCAGGCTCGCAACATTGCGATACGCTTAAGCCTCACGGCTCAGGATGTCGGAGTCACCGGCATCGAGGATGGCCATGGCGGAGCAGCGGAAGAGCTTACCGCAAGCGGTACCGAGCTCAATCTATAGGGCGAGTTAGTCCAATTCGCTCTCCGGGACGCCTTGCGGTGATCCCTTCGCAGAGCAACTTCACTCTCCGAAATGGTAGTTTTGACCACTTCTTCTCAGAGTAGTGGAGCTGGCTCCGAGGTGCGACAGCCAATATTTCAGGTTGCCGACCGCAAGGAAAGGGGTGTAAAACGTACGTTGTTGCCGTTGAAGTGGTGAACGGGGGTCTTGGCGAGCATGGCGTAGTACTCAAGCTCGGACTTGCGCAGAGGAGGGCAGTTGCCGGAGATGAGGACCAGCTTGGCCTTGCCGGAGCGGAGAGTCTTCATGGTGGACTTGGTACCCATGGTAACTGGAAAACTTGTTAGCGAATTGGCCATTTGTGCGATCGAGACGAGTAGCTTACCCTTGCCAGACTTCATCACAAGCGCCAGGCGCGAGGAGAGGGTATCACCGGACTTCTTAGTCTTGACCATTTTGAATGATTTGAGGGAGTTGGCTCGTAAGAAGGTTGTTGAGTGGATGGGCGACGGAAGAAGAAAATTCGCACGGATGGAAATGGTCAAGTGTGGAGCGAAGCCCTAAGGCACGTGATGTACACCACGTGATGTGGAATACGTGATCGACCCACCGCTCTATTTTCTGCCAGTGGGGCCGGGACCGGAGCTGGGTCATTGGCTGCGGGGGTTGACTCACCCCGATTTATAACTAAGTTACTGCCAGTTCTCATTCCCCCTTCTTGTTTTCTTTTCTTCGCATCTTGTTTCGTTATTTGCATCGTTGATTTCATCATGGTTGAGACTAGCAGTACTTCTACAGCGAAATTCCGTCAGTTTTCCCGCCTATCTCCCCACTTCTGTCTAATGAACCGCTACTAAATCCCGTAGAGAGAGTCGATTCGCAGCCTGAGAACCCTTACGCCCAGTTGATTGAGGAGCAATCCATTGCGATCATCCCTTCCTTCAAATTGGAATCCGGTGTCACTCTCTACAATGTGCCAGTCGCATATACCACGCGGGGAACTCTCGCTCCTAACGGTGACAATGTGCTGGTGATCTGTCACGCCCTTAGTGGAAGCGCCGATGTCGCTGACTGGTGGGGCCCTCTCCTCGGTGGTCCAGGCCAAGCATTTGACGTTTCCCGGTTCTTCGTGGTTTGCCTGAACAGTTTGGGCAGCCCGTACGGAAGTGCCAGCGCAGTTACTTACAAGGATGGCAAGCCTGAAAATGGCTACTACGGACCTGAGTTTCCCTTGACAACCGTTCGTGATGACGTCAATATCCACAAGTTGGTTCTGGATGACCTCGGTGTCAAGCAGATTGCCGCAGTGGTTGGAGGATCTATGGGTGGAATGCTTACTTTGGAATACGCATTCTTCGGCAAAGACTATGTGCGAGCGATCGTGCCCATTGCCACTTCAGCGCGTCATTCTGCGTGGTGCATCAGCTGGGGCGAGGCCCAGCGACAGAGCATTTACAGCGATCCGAAGTACGATGATGGCTACTATGCATTCGCAGATCCTCCGTCCACCGGTCTCGGTGCAGCTCGCATGTCCGCGCTTCTTACATACCGCAGCCGCAACTCATTCGAGTCCCGATTTGGTCGCAATGTACCAGACCCAACCAAGCCGCGGAACATCAATGGCACCGAGAAACTGCCCACTCCCCCGAACGAGCATTGGGCCATTCACAATGACGGACACCGTGGCGGAGTGTCTTCGCGCTCAGAGAGCAGACAAGGCTCCCCGGCTCCTGTGGCTGAGAGTGAAGTCCAATTCATGGACCCGCAGTTCTCTGGCACCAAGACCTTTGCGCCAGAAATCGACACAAAGCCCAAGCTGACTACATCGGGTCGTCCCCGCCCACCCACTTATTTTTCGGCACAATCGTACCTTCGTTACCAGGGTGACAAGTTTGTCAAGCGATTTGATGCAAACTGTTATATCGCCATGACTCGCAAGCTCGATACCCACGACGTTTCCCGCCGCCGCGCCAATCTTAGTACCGATGCTGAGGATACTGTCCTTCAAGCACTTGGTCGGGTGGAACAGCCAGCTCTTGTCCTCGGCATCGAGTCAGATGGTCTTTTCACTTTCGCGGAGCAGGAAGAGATTGCCGCTGGTATTCCCGATTCCCGCCTCAAGCGCATCGACAGCCCCGAGGGCCACGATGCATTCTTGCTTCAATTCGAGCAAGTCAACCGCCACATTGTCGAGTTTTTCCACGAAGTCTTGCCTGATATCATGGCTCAGTCCGGCGCCGACGGAGCTGCCGCCGTGGCCAGTGTCACAAAGCTGACCAAGAGCAGCACCTTTGGTGAAGCCGAGGTGGAGGACATCACCGCTTGGTAAAGCGTTGATCTCCAAACAATTGTTTGTCAGGCGCAGTACTTTTGTTTTGCTGCAGCCAATCCCATGCTCTAGCCTGGGCCCCAACCCCCTTTTGGGGATTCGCGACCGGGCAGATGTCATGGTGCATCCGGGGAAGTAAGTTGCTGTTCTTTTTTCCGTTTCGCCAGTCAGGGAGATGCGCAATCAACTGCCTCTCCCGTCTCTCACTTGGAATTATCCTTGTCCGAGAAGACTGTCAAAGAAGCATCCAACTGCTCTCCATCCGACCCGCCCTCTGGGTCACTCTTCGCTGGGAGAAAACTCCCTCGGCCGGGTGTGATGGGTCCGTTTTCGGCATCGATAGTCATTATCGTTGCGACACGTCGCGTCACACATTTAGAATAGTATAGAAATAAAATATGGGGACATACATGTCTACAATGTCTGCTGTTTGTAACTGATTAACTTGGAATGTATACATATGATCACATGCCCCGAGCAGCACCGCCATGGCAATGGCAATTGGTCTCTCTAAAACATATGCGTGGTTCCATTTGGAATCCTCCGCATGGGGCACGGAATCAGCCCTGATATGTCTCAGCCAGACAGGTCCGAGCTGAAGTCTTGCGGCACATGGCAGCCGTATTTGGCGAGCCAAGACTTGGTCCATGCGAGTGCTTCTGTGTAGGCACATATGCGAATCCGGTCTGGTTGGGAATTGTTTGTCGGTTTCCAAGGTGATGAGTATACTATCCCAGCGGAGGTGACCATACTCCTATGTAGCCTAAATACTTGTTGCAGCAGGTTGGCTGCGTGTATATATCGACCGTTGTTGTATCCTGTCTGTATATATAACTATAAGATATAAGACACCCCTAGTTTCGCAGTGTGCACAGATAATTCATTGAAACTTGGTTAATATACTGGAATATCGATCAGCTACATATCGGCATCACCATGGCGAAACCTTCCACTATTAGATCCACCTCTAAAACACCCATATACACAGCCTTACTCATAGCTTTGGAACTGGAAGACGACTGCAGTACGGTGGACAGTGTCGGTTTGTTCGAGGCGGAAATCTACATCTCCAGAATGTACGGAGAAGACGGTGGAAGCAAGCCATCTTCGTCCAAACGACGTTCATTCTCAAACAAACTGTCGGAGTACGGAGTACATACTGAGCATCGCTAATATTCTGGTTGCGGCCAGTGGATCACCCCCGACGCCACTCTCCTATCTCCATTTCTTGCAAGGTGGTGGGGGCGGTCCACGATGTGGCAGCCAATGCCACTGCTTTTGGCTATTGAGACTAGGACTTTGCCTATTGGGCCGCGCCTGAATCTTTCCAAAACGCAATGGGACGAAAGCCTATCGGACTTGTCACATCGGAGATATGTGCTGGTAAGGACTATTGCAGCATCTGCGGTTGCGTATCCACCTCATGCACTGCACATCACCTCATGGCGCGTGTAGCGAACGTTGACGATGTGACCAAGCGAGAATCCGCCGTGTCTGACTGTCGTCACGTACCCATCTCCCAGCAATCAGGTGGACTGTCGCTATTTCAAGGCCACTTTGCTGGAGACTGGGCTTCAGTCAATGTGATCGCGGGTCGACATAGCCTTTGGCGTGGATTCGCGAAGCTGGCAAACTCCCCCACCATCTCTGTGCCCAGATCTAGATGGCATATCTCGAAGCCCAGTCCTTTCCAGGATAATCGGATGCTGGTGGGACGGCATTCAATCCTGAGTGGCTCTTCCGTAGTAGACGACGTGCTTCACGTGGAATGCGCTTTAGAGATGGTGTCTGTACTGAGGATATCAGAATCACGGTGAGTATTTCCGGAATCAAAAGTACTGCTGAAAGTTAGTTATATCTCCCACATTTTGACTTATCTAGGGCGCTGATTTCTGCTCAGGGATGGAGGTCCATCTGTGACTCAGAGACGATCGCACGGTTAGCGTATTATAGAGCTAGCTCCGTCTTCCAGGTCTGATCAAGCTCTGAGTCAGTCTGAGCGGCTGAAATTTCCTCGGCGCTCATTCAAGTGAGATCTGGAATAGGACACCATATACTCCGTAGTTACCTAGGCATCCGCGCCTAGACATGTGATGTGCAGGAGATTTCTCAACTTCAATTGGGGACTCCGTAGTTGGGTCTCGTGCGTGTCATTGGGCGTGCAGTGGGGAATTCAGTCGTTGATCGCGGCAATCAATAAATCCACTCAAAAAGGGGGAGATGGCGTTGAGGCCGTCTTTGTTTGATGGGGGCCTTACTAGTTATCTCCGCTGTGCCTCGCCGGGCATAGCCGGTTTTAGTGGCTCTTAGGGCGTTCAGTAGTTCATGATCGTGATGATCCTATCTCGAATGAAGGTAGCGATTCGGCATTTTCCTGTTTATGGCGAGGCCATTCGGTCTGATCCCCGTAGATCGCTTATGCACGAGTACCCATTTCTCTCCCATAGCCGCCGACGCTTGACAGTTATTTTAAGTCCACGGTCTTTTTTGCTTCCTCTTTTATTCCTTTGTTCTCTGTACTCTAGACTCCGTACTCCGGATGTGATCCCGGCCTCTGGTTTCTGCTACATTCCCCCCGCATACCAGACAGTTGAGCCGACAACCGGTCCTGATTTTGGCTCATTGCGACTGACATCAACATATTTCGGCAAATTGCTTGAAACGCCTGGTTGCCCGAGAGCCAGTCGTTTGCCCGGCAGTGGATACTCTCTGCGTCTTCCAGAACCTGGAGCATGACCACCGGTGGCAGGCCATTCCAGTTATTTGCCTGCATATCCAGACTCGTCCCCAGTCAAACGGTCAATATCTCTGACAGCTTCCAACGGTTCATGACCCTCTGATTCACATCCACACCCTCTCGACCCTTCGGAGAATAAAAGACCAACCCTAAGCACTGACATGGAGCGCAAACTATCAAAGAAGGCGAAGATGCGCGAGCGTCTGGCGTTTAGTCGAAGCAATTCCGCTCGAGGCCGCCCACCAACTCTGGTCTCACTTATCCCCGCCAGTCCAACTGCTCGTCTCCGCTCAGCGTCGAATCCCGAGTCTCCAATCCACGATGCACCGACGTGGGACAGCAGCAACCCCAATTCCAGCCGGGGTTACATTTTCACCGATGAGCCAGGCTACTTCCGCCCTGCATCGCCGTTTATTGAACGCCAAGATATCGAAGAAGACCTCGAGGCTCACATCCAGCATGCATGCGCTCTGCTATCGCACAGCATTGATCGCGGCATCCCCGCCGGATTGTCCTATCAAAGTGCCATGCCAGACTGGAGACACGCGAAAAGGCCCGTTGACCGGCTCAGTGTCGAAGCGTCCCCCGGGGATCAGGATCTCCTGCTTGTCCCCGGAACCAAACTAAACCAGTCCGAGATAGAAACCAACAAACACGATTCAGGCGTAGCGATGAGCTTCAGCACCCCCAATCAACCGACCAGATCACACGACAACAGCCTCTCACGGACAAACACAAGATTCTACAACAAACCTCCAGCCTCACCACCGCAAAGCTCACCCCGAGGATCCCGCTCCTGCAGCCAAAGCCTCGCATCAACAATTCAAGAAGAAGACTCCTGGATCCGCTCCTACTCCCCCAGCCCAGTAATCCCCTTCCCTCACAGCCCCCCCAACCCCCAAACCGACCAGCCACCCAACCCCCCAAAGACCCAACCAGCCCTCTAAACTCACCTGATAAAAGGCTCGAATCCGTCCCCCAACCAAAACTCAAGCTCAGCAGCCCCACAAACCCAATCCCCACTTCAGAATCCTCAACATCCACCCCGATCTCCCCACCCAGTCTCGGCGAACCAGGCAGGACCTGGCTCCGTGCAAGCAAAGACATCCAACATCTCATCGACGACAAAAAAACCAAAAAACCCCCAAAACACCAAAAACACCAAAAACCAAAAATGGCTTCCGAAACTCCCCGCTTCTACAGGACCTGCAACAGGACCACCGGCGCCTTCGACTCGCGCGAATGGCTGGCGCGTAATGTCTGGGAAGATCGCCCCTCGAGCGCCTGCGACGAAGCCTCGCTGGGTTCGTCAGTTGCTGGTTCCAGGCCTGGAACTGCGACGCCTAGATTAGGCAGTGTGTCGACGAACGAGGAGGAGTTGCCGGGTGGATACCCGCAGCAGGCGTGGACGGGGAATGGACCGGGTCGGGGAATGTCTTACTCGAGTTCGTTTTTGGGAGATGATTTTAAGCATCAGGAGAATGTTTATTCGGTGGTTGTGCCCAGTGAGACCCCTCGGAGGAAGAAGGCAGCGCGGTTGTTTAGGAAGTTGACGGGGTTGGGGTTGAGGTTGAAGGAGAATATGAGGTAGGACGGGGTTTGGAGTTGGAATTACGGTGCATCTTTGGGATTGGAGCCATTCTTGTGTTTTCTTGAAAATGATCTTCATGCTGGGTCGGTGTTTTTGCTTTTTCTTTTTGTTATGAAAGTGCATGTTGGTCCGGTTTTATGTAAATGCCCTTTGTTTTGGCGCTTGTGTTCGATCATCTATCACATTCAGCAGTGCTTTTGTTGATAGAGTTCTTGATTTTGTTTCGCTTTTGAAGCTTGTGAATTAGAAATCTGTTTTGTCGTTGGAAGTCCTACAGTATAGCCTAATCGGGTACCTGGGAAGATAGGTGTCATAACTAGCAGTAGATGTCTGCGTACTTCGTACTCCATACTCCGTATATAGAAGAGCACTACGGAGTATTCCTACACATTCCACATATGAAACAATAAAATAAAAGCAATTTATTTGCCAAATACCTATACTCATTTCCAGGCCAAGTACGAAGTAATCTCGTCTAGACCCGTTGCCAAGCCCACATTCCAGATAAAAATAACATCACTCATGAGACATCCTATATATAAAGGACCAAAGACATCAAAATGCCACCAAACCTACAAACCAAGCCAGAAGCGAGTTTTGCCCACCTCAAACTCACCATGCAGCTCCTCAGCCCCAGTACCCGTAACAAGAACCTTGTAGACCCCCTTCTCGGAGATCCACTGCTCCCGCTCCTCATCCCACCAACTCGTCGCGAGCTTCTTCTCAACAACCAGCTGCACAGTCTGAGTCTCACCGGGCTGCAAGAAGACCTTCTGGAAAGCCTTGAGCTCGCGCACGGGTCGACCGACATCGGTCTTCGGCGGCAGGACCCAGAGCTGCACGATCTCCGCACCGGCCACAGAGCCGGTGTTGGAGACAGTCACGGACGCAGTGATTGGTTCACCGGACTCGGCGTATTTGGCTTGTTCGGGGACGGTCTCGATGCTCAGATCGGCGCGCGAGAAGCTCGTGTATGACAATCCATGGCCGAAGGCGAAGGCTGGCGCGACGTCGCTCTTCTCGAAGTAGCGGTAGCCGACGTAGATGTCTTCGCCGTAGAGGACACGGCCACGCTCGGAGCGGAAGTTCAGGTAGGAGGGGTTATCTTGGAGACGACGGGGGAAGGTGAGGGGAAGCTTGCCGGAGGGGTTGACGTCGCCGTAGAGGACGTCTGCGATGCCGTTGCCGAGCTCGTTGCCGCCGAACCAGGCTTGCACGAGGGCTTTGGCGTTGTCAGCCCACGGCATTGTGACTGGTGTGCCGGACTGAATGACGACTACTGCGTTGGGGTTTGCTTCTAGCACTCGGCTGATCAGCTCGTCGCTACCGGGGGGTAGGTCCATGGTGTCGCGGTCGTGGCCTTCGGTCTCCCATTCAAGGGTAAGGCCGGCGAAAATGACGACTTGGTCGGCGGTTTTGGCTTGCTCGACTGCGTTGGCGATAAGCTCTTCTTGGCTTACTTGGCGGCTGGCGCCGAAGCGGAATCCGCCTGGGCCGAAGGCGACAATGCCGCGGGTGTCTAGGTCGGAGGTTGGGGCGCTGCCGAATTGGAAGAGAACCTGATAGGTTTGGCCGGCCGTGAGCTCTTTGGTGCCGAGTTCTTCGATGGTGGCGTTGCCGAAGAAGGAGGAGCCTTGCTTTTGGTTCTTGGTGTTGTCGACGACCACCTCGCCGTCGATGAGGAGTCGGCCTGTGCCGACAACTGTCACGCCGAAGTCGTAGACTCCGCTTTCCTCGGGGGTGAACGAACCTTCCATATCGACATAGTAGGTGTTGGTTTTGATCTTGGGGTTGACGTAGTCCATCAAGAAGCCCAAGGAGTCAACGAGATGCAACTCGTCTATGACTTCTCGCTCCTCTCCGGACTCAGGGTGTTCATTGTAGACCTTGAATGTGAAGCCAGGCTTGCCGTCTGCAGTCTTCATCAGCGGGCCAAGGAGCGGAAGTTCCTTGTGCGAATAGGCACCCTGACTGAACTTGACCTCCCCTTCGCTCTTAGCAGAGACGCCATCAAATGGAGTGACAGTGTAGTACGGAGCCAATGATGCCGAGCCACCACCGCTGTACGCGGCAATCTTAGCGTTGGGGCCAATGACCAGGAGAGACCCATCCTTCTTGAAGGGCAGGATGCCATCCTCATTCTTCATAAGCACGATGGATTCGGCAGCAGCGCGACGCATCAAAGCCTGATCTTCTGGCCGATTGAGAGATATCTCAGATGCTCCCTCGGGAATACCCAGAGGCTCTACCCAGTTGACTAGGTTGAGGATATTGCGCACTCGCTCATCAAGCACGTATTGGGCCACCTTGTTTGAATTGACGGCGTGTGCAAGAGCCTCGCCACGCCAGCGGGTCTTACCAGGCATCTCGATATCAAGACCAGCAATGACGGCATCGGAGACACTGTAAGTACCAAACCTATAAGGAATCAAAAGTCAGCCTTCGAACAAAAAAATGGTTAGTAGGAGATCATTGCCACTCACCAGTCACTCATAACAACACCTTCCCAACCCCATTCCTTGCGCAGGATATCATCAATAATAGCCTTATTCTCACTAACATGAGTACCATTGATCTTATTATAAGCCGTCATAACACACTGCGTCCGACAAATGCGCATAGCCAAGTGGAACGGCATCAAGTAGATCTCACGCAGTGCCCGGTTTGTGAGGATACTGTTGACAGCCAGACGCTCATGTTCCTGGTCATTGCAGACAAAGTGCTTGAGCGTAGCGGCAACGCCCTTCTCCTGCATTGCCTTGGAGAGGTAGCCAGCCAGCGTACCAGAGAGAACGCCATCCTCAGAGAAGGATTCGAAGCCGCGCCCGCCTAATGGCGACCGCTGAGTGTTGATCGTCGGTCCTAGCACGACGTGCGTGCCTTTTGCAATCGCTTCATCGCCCATCAGCGAGCCAACCTGGGATAGAAGCTCAGTGTCCCAGGTTGCGCCGAGCGCGGTTGCGCAGGGGAAGCATGCTGCTGGGATGCCATTGAAGAAGCGTGTTCCGCGGATGCCATTGGGGCCATCGGACATACGGAGAGCGGGAATGTTGAGGCGTGGGATTGAGACCGTGTGCCAGAAGTCTTGGCCTGAGCATGGGGGTTAGTTTTCATATTAATCAATGGCTTTGGGATTGCCTCTTTGGTATTGGAAGTATTTACCTGCTGTGAGGGCCACCTTCTCGCCGAGGGTGAGCTCCTCAATGGCTTTTTCGACGTCGATTCGAGCCATGATGTAGTTTCTGGACTGTTTATCTGTTTTGGCTGGGTCTCTTGTACTCAATGGGGTTTGCACAAGACAAGAATTGCAGGAAACTGTTGATGTTGATACCAGAATCGAAACAGCGGTATGAAGAGCTGCCTCTACCTCACGGGTGGCTAGAAGCAATTCGAGACAACGACCTGGAAGCACTCTTATACCCTTGCATTACCAAGATCGGAGCGTCAGGTGAATTGATTGAACCACTTTCCGCGTCAGCTCGCGAAAGCAACCCGTGCAGGCGGGGAAGCTGTGGAGCGCTGTATGTCCAATGACGATTGCGATGTGAGATGAGACGGCGGATAGACAAATGATCAGCAAATGATTCTCCACAGATCTCTCAAAGAGCCACGGAGGTACCTGCGAGACCGAAGTTTAGCCGCCAGGGTCTACGGGGGCGGGGGCACTTCAGCCGGATGTCGGACCGTCGGGCCTGCGATTGCCCAGAACAGATACATAGATCACATATTAAAATAGACATGGAGAAGAGGACAACTATCATCATCGAATATTGCATTCCTGTTACGTTCATTCAGAAAAAAAAAAGTACATGTGAAGAAGTGAAATGGTTGGTCCCCAAACACCAGGCAGAATGCTAGAACAAGATAGGAGAAAGTAGAGAACCAGTGTAGTGAGAGCTCAGGGCAAAAAAAAAAAAGCAGAATAAAAACAAAAGCAAGATTCCATCATTCCTCTCAGGGTATCATGGCGAAACAGATTAAGCTCCTCGACGAGGACGCTTGTTATCATTTCCCATCCTCATGCCACGTCCACCATCACCACCAGTGTTGTCATCAGGACCCTGTCGGCCGCGCTTACGGTGACCGGAGCCTCCAGAACTGCTACCACCTTCGCGATGGTGATCACGATCGCGTCGATCACCACGGCGCTCGCGTTCGCGATCCCGGTTGTCAGATCGATTGCCGCGGTCGGCACCAGAGTGGAAACGGCGCTCATTTCCTTCCGGCATAGGGGGAGGTGGAGGAGGCGGTGGGGGCGGTGGCGCTCCCATGGAGGATGGGGGTCGCAGACGACCTTCAGCTTCATGGGCGTCATTGTTGCCGGGTGTTGGTCCAGTCATCTCCGGAGGTCCCTCAGGACGGTCACGTCGGTCGCGACGTCGCATCTCTTCGCGCGAGCTTTGCACCCGACGCAGAGTTTCACGGGGCTCGCCAGTGGCCTTCTCATCACGGGTTGCAGTTCCTACATCACTTCGACGGCTACGCTCGCGGTCATTGCGGCGGCCATCGCGTCGGTTGCGACCACTGCTGCTACCCTCGCGGCGCTCGGGCTCTTTCTCACGAGTAGGGTCCATTTCACGGGCACGATCACCAGAGCGCCCAGAGCGACCGGCGTCGGGAACGAGATCATCAATTAAGTCACCACCTCGGCCCCCGTTTGGTCGGTTGCGAGATTGGTCTTCTTGCGGTCCCGCAGGACCCATGGGTGGGCGGTTGGGAGGCTGAGGCGATGGTGCTTCCATAGCATTAGACTGACGATTGGCACCTCTTCCACGAACAGGTGGAGGGTTTCCACCCCGTTCACCACCTCCTCCGCCAGATTGCTGGAGCATGTTATTAAGGCCGGCGAAACGTTTATCGCCGCGGCCACGCTCCCCACCAAAACCTTGTCCAGGGGGTCCAGATTGCCCAGACTGACCGGACTGGCCAGAAGGTCCTCGGGGTGGTTGTTGCGGGCCTGACGCGCGAGGGCCGGAGGGAGCAGCAGCGGGGGCCGCAGGCTCATTGACAAGATTTCTGAGACGGTCTGGGTGAATTCCCGGAGTAGGAGTCGAGCCCGAAGGCTGTGTAGGAGGAGCAGGTTGTTCGGATGGAACCCGCCCACCCTGTCGGCCAGGGCCAGTAGGCGCCAGACGGTCCGGAACGGGCATTGTAGCATTGCTTGAGCTAAGCATTGGGGGTGCCTGTCCAGGGGCATTGCGTCCACCGCGTCTTCCTCGAGGACCAGCAGGGATGTCAGATGGCGGTTCCGGTTGTCGGAGACGACCATGAGTCATATCAGGACCTTGGACATTGTCTCTCGGATCGCCTTGTCGATCAACGCGAGGGCCTCGGGGAAGATCATCAATGCGTGAAGACTGAGGGAATCCGGCAGGCCGGCGATCATCGGGGGGAGGGAATCGTTCAGGGCGGTTTGGCAAGTCAGCAGGCCTGGGTGGTGATAGAGGGCGCGACGGGTAAGGTCTTCTATCCTCTTTATCTGGCCTGGATGGATCTCCACGCCGAGGAATATCGAGAGGCCGGTCCATGTGGTCAGGCATCAATTCTCCTCGTATAGGGGCATCACGTCCATGGAATGAATCATTGGGTCCAGGTCCACGCATGCGACTGGGCCGATCCATAGGCCAACCGTTTTCGCGATTAGCACGGGCATCGCGAGGTGGTCCACGCATGAGATCATCGGGCGGAGGTCGCAGGGGGAACTCGCGTTCGCGTTCACGTTCGTTAAGATGTTCATTGAGACGTCCCCGAACATCCCCGAGAGAACCATCAAACGAGCGGTTATGATCAGGGCCACCATGACGACCACGGGGGCCGAAATCGGGATGTCTATCTCGGCGATCATCTAATCCCTCGGGGCGCGGAGGGAGTCTTCCATCGCTGTGTCGCGGCGGGGGGCGAACAGGAGGATGAATTTGTTGACGAATATCGGGCCGCTTGGGAATATCAGGCTGACGAGACGAACCGGGGGCACGGGAATGTGGCCGAGATCGTACAGGAGGCTGTTCACCGAATGCAGCGTCTTGACCGATGTCTCCAGTAACCACGGAAGGTGTCGTAGATCCAGCCTGAGAAGGCGTGCTAGTTGGCTTACCCTCGCCTCTATCAGTCATCTTCGCATCCTCGATCTCACCATCCTCAACTTCAGTCTTGCCGAACTGGTCTTGCTTGGCAGTGCCCTCGGGCCTGATGATTGGTTCCATTGTTAGTGATCATTTTGAGATGTGCTAGGCGGTCACTTACTTTGCGGGGTTGAACTCGGCGGCCGAGGCGTTCAAGGGCGTCGAGCCAGACTGCGGAGTTCCGGGCTTTCCAGTTGCGTCGGCAGGTGGTTGAGATCCAGGCTGAGCTGCGACGAAATAGAAAGCCTGTGGCAACATCCATTTCTTCTCTCGTCGGTTCAGATCACCAATCAAGGAAGCGGCAGGGATCTTCACATCATCTCGCTCATCATTCTTGCTTAGGGAGTCAACACAGTGCAGGATGTCGCGGCCAATCCAGTTCACAGCAGGGAAGTGCTGCACAACAGCCTTAAGAACACTGATTGCATTCCGAATATGCATGTATTCACCGCTATTGAGGCAGCTCTTGAGTGCATTGGAGAACAGGCGGTGCCATTTGTACAACAGGCGGCGGAAATCTTCGAACTCCAAGAACATCACTGGCACTCCCTCGGGGTCAACATTCTTCGCGAATCCAGGAAGGTCTCTCTTGGCGCCGAATGCTTCTTTCTCATAGACAGCCTTGTCGGCATGCCATCTGGTAAGATCGCGTAAGAGCTCATTCAAGAAACGACCAAGATTATCTGCTTCTTTGGACGTGCACAGGAAGATGAGAGCGGTAAGTCTCTGCTCCCGGAACAGCTGGTCGAGCAGACCGACGGTCCGGAAGTTGGGGGTTCCAGAGCTGTGTAGGAACTTCAGCATTTTGAAGGAGAAGAATGCATCAAGAGGGGACAAAAGGAGTCGGGGGATGAAGCATTGCTCCAACAAGGCGATGTTGAGAGAGTCGTGCTTAAGACGCATGCCAGCGAACCACTTGTCTTTCTCCTTCTGCAATCGAGAGCGTGTCTGTCCATACGCCTTGAGGTGATTCTTGTTCTCATCTAGGATGCGCTCCTGTAGTTGAGTAACTTGCCTCTTCATGTGCTCTTTTCGCGTCGTGCCCGCCATGCTCATATCAGATCGATCGCTGTTGATAGAGACGACTCGTCGTTTGAGTCGGTCGATCTCATCCTCGTAAGACTTTTGAGGGATATGGACATCATAGAGGGAAAGCTGCCAAAATGTGGCATAGAAGTGTGCACCAATGGTATCCCATGTCTCGGCAGGGAGAGCGGATTTGACATCGTCAATCAGTTCTTGCATAACGGGATTTGATGCCAATGGCTCGGCATTGACCACAGGAACGTGGACACCGTCGGCCCCGTCGTTCGCAACTGTAACTCCTGACTCGTCTTTATCGATATCCATAGCATTGCCTGCCAAGATTTCTTCGCTCTTCGCAGGCGGTTCTCCATCCTCCGCAGTATCCATCTTGTTATCGCCATCTGACTTGGATGAAAAGTCCGTGCCAACAGCTGTGGAACCTTCCTTCTCCTGCTTTGATTCTTCAATATCGAGTATTTTCCGAGCGATGCTGGGCCGCCGAATCCAGAAAGCGATTTCAGGCTGAATCCCAAACTCAGCGACAAGAGATGAAAAGGCCGGAACAAAAGAATCAAATTCATCCACTGACAAATTGCTACGAAGCAAATCGAGATACTGTGTGAGGATTCGGTGGATCTCGTCAAAGATGTTGCCGAGCAATTTGAGCTCCGAGGAAGTTTCTTTGTAAACACAAGTCAATCGTTCCTGAGCAATGGCAACCAACAGCTGACCAGCGAGTCTGGTGTGTGTCAATGACTTAAGCAACCGTTTGGATGTGACTTTGGACTCATGACGTTTATCCAGAAGTTGCAGGATTGTCTGTGATTGCAGGACATCACCACCTGCCATGGCCTGGATTTGTGCGTCATTGAAGTCGTTGTCCGAAATGATACCAGCCATTGAGCTGATCAATTGCTCTAGTACAATGAGATCGGTTGAGTTATTGCGTCGCAATTGCTCCACAACATATTGGAGAACTGGAGTCGGATCCATAACCGAGTATCGCTTATAGGTTCGACCTGCGAATGTAGACAGGGCGTTCAACCACCGACTAGTCAAAAGACCACCTTCTTGGACACGACTGCGTCCTTTCTGACCAAGCGAATTGATGAGAGCCCAAGAGAGAATGTCGTAGCCAAGGTAAGTGAAATAGCGTGCGCATTCAACCACAACTTCAATGAGATTCTCGTACGACTCAATCTGGCTGATGGCGACATTGATGACGATCCCGGGATTGGCATAGGCAATCTTAGCCAATGCGCGCGCCATAGGTCGGATGTTGGTCTTGCTAAGTCGCTTGAGGGTGTCTTTGGTCTCCGCTCTCGCCTGGTCGAAGGCCTCCTTGATGTCTGGCAGCCGGGATGTCTGTCCCGAGTACCACTCTGCGTACATGTTGTACCGCACATCTCGAGGGAAGAAACTGATCAAATCGAACACTTCATTGACAACTCCAGGATTTGCCTTTGTGAGACTAACAGCAGGCAAAAGGAGCCGCTTGCAAAGGTCGCGCCAACGTGTTCGGTTCTCTTCAGATTTGTCCTGGATCAAACTTCCCTTGCCAATGCGCGCAAGCTTCGCCAAGAGGCTGGCGTCTTGTCCAATCTTGTGACCAGAGAGGTTAAGGAAGGACGAGCAAAGTGCAAATACATCGTCGACAGACTGGCAGATGGGGATATTATCGGCCCAGTCATCCCAGTAGAATCGATAATCAGTACCATCGTTAGTATCTTCTTTATCCAGCTGAGCCCAACGTAGAACTCGTCTCGCAGGACGGGGCGTGAGTCCAATCCGGCCCTTGGGTTGGCCATTTTGTTCGGAAGTCACCAGAGGCTGAGACCCGGGGAAGTCACCGGCACAGAATACTGGCCGGAACTGAACGTAAACCTTGTTCAATGAGTGATGAAGGATGCGATGAATGAATTCAGGTAGCTCAGGATAGGCTTCCATCAGCCAAGGGAACTTGCTAATGACAAAAAGAGATTCGGGAATAGCGCCAATGGAGAGAAGACTCTTGAGAAGCAGGACTTTTTGGTCGGATGGATCTGGCAATTCATCTTCCGAGTTGGATGTGTCCTTCTCGGGTTCTTGATCTTTGGCTGGGGTAGCGACTCGCGGTTCGTCGCGCAAGCGTGGTGGGGGAACCGTGTCGTCCGATAAAGCGCCTGCCATCATCAAAGCGTTAATTCCGCCACCAGGCCGACCAGCCTTGATTCTTTCGGCCTTCTCTGCCATCTTTTCGCCCTTCAAAGTCTCCATGTCGTCGTCTGATCGCCAAAGGTGAGCATAGAGGTCACGTAGGGATATGAACCCAACTTTGATGAGCAGGGCGGCAAGATAAATGAGATTATCAGGGAGAACATCGGCCTTGTTTCGAGCCGAGGAAGAGTAGAATCTTAACTTGAAACCAAGGAGCTGTGCTGCAACCCGGTTGCCTTTCGGAGGAAGGGTACCTGTCTCTTCGAGCCATGCGCGTGTGGCATCTTCCTCAAAGGACGACCCATTATTCTCTGAAAGGCTCCGTTGCTTCTCCTCATCTGTAATGGGTTTGCGACCAATCTCGAAAAAGGCGCGAAGTCCGATCTCCCTCACTCGGTCCCAGAACTCGCTATCGCGCTCTTCATTGGCATGCATGATAGCCAAACGATCCTCCTCGGATGTGGACCAACCACTTGACCCAGGAAGTGCCCAATTCGGAATACCGGAGTGACGGCGGCTTTTTTCTAGGTTGTGGTGGGTTTCTTCTTTCGGCCACCAGGAGCTGGCTCGCAGGAGCTTCACGAAAAAGCGGTATTGCTTGACAAGCACAGCAGCAAACACATCCAGCGTAACGTCTAGTACACGTCCAACATCCATATCAAATGCGCCGATCATGGCCTTGACTCTTTCGAAGGTATCTTGTACCACTTCACTAGAGGGTGGCTCGTTGTTGCTTGTGGTGAATAGCTCGGTGAGAAGCTTGGAATATCCCTCGGATTCTTCCCGGAGAAGATTGTAGTTGGATTGTCGGTAAAGCAAATTGGTCTGCTTGCGAATCCCCATGCGCGCAAAGGTTTCTCGGACCAATCCTAGAGCCTGCAGCAACGGAGTGTCAAGCTGCAGGCGCATCAAAGAGGCATCGATGCCTGTCGCAAACACGAGGGGTTTGAGAGCCACGTTTGAGGTATCGGCATCAGTCATAATGGAAAGGGTATCAAGGAACAGGGAGCGCGGGTCGAGTCCTTGGGTTGGAGGGTTCCCACTGTCGGCATCTGTGTTCATATTCTGGGATGCAGAGTCTTCGCCAATGATCTCCCTCACAGCATTACCTGCATCAGACGGCGACAATCGGCCGTGAATTGCGGATCGAATAAGCTCCTGGTATACAGATGCTAGATGGGCCAGATCCTGTTGCAGGCGAGCCGCAGTTCCTTCCTCCACTACCATTTGTTTGCCGGTCGAAGTCCATTCCTCAACAGCATTATCAGTCACGAATTCGTAGTCATAAGGAGATGGGAGGGAGGCGGATTGGGCGATAGTCTCCGAGCCAGCTCGAGACGGCGGGTTAACGGGCGGTTGTGAAGCAGGAGTATTCGACGCGGGAGAAAGGGTAGGTCGCGATGCGGCCGAGTCACCATTGTATGGAATTGGGTCGGCAGCTTCCCTAGGCTGGGTTATCGGTGGTGGAGACATAGCATTCGGTTCTCGGGATTGCGAACTCGAAAAATTCTGACCATCATAGGATCCGCGTCGGGAGCCAGCCCGGTTGCGATGCGATTGTCGGCGAGATCTGTCACGCGTGTCGTTTTGCTCTCTGGGAGGGGAGGATTGCTGTCCGGGGTGGGTTGGGTGATGTGCCATGTTGAGGGTCCCAGGGCGATGGGGTGAGGGTCGCAGGCTGTCATTGTTACCTGAATCGCCGGGCAGGGACGTGCGCTCAGGGCGCTTTCGCTTGCCACCGTGCCCGAACCCAGGCGCCATGGTTGGTAGCCGAACTAGACGCGAGGGATTAGGAAAGTGGAACGGGACGCTGAAGGTTGCAATTCATGCAGTCGTGTCTGTAGGAAGTCGAAGCAGTAGATGTTAGCATTTTTGCAGGAAACGAGAGATATTAAGAAAACATCGAAAATAATGCACACATCAAACATACCAGCGAGGAAAGTTCGTTGGAAATAAGGTGGTGGAGAAGCAAAGGCGTGTAAGGTGAAGATGGAAGATGCTGATGGTCAAAGCTTGGTAGCACCCAATATGCCAGTTATGCCTGAGGTGTCAACAATCTATTGACCTTTTCACCTTTTCACTGATCTAATTCACCAACTCAGACATGATGTTGTATTTGTTTCCTGCTACTCATTAGCAAAAGGCCTATTGGACTCCAATAAAGTATAAAATGGACAATCAATTGAGTCTAAAAGTCACACAATCACATAGTTTGTCTACATAATGCATGCATTCGAGAACATGCACTCCATCTAGAACCCAAAACAATGCTACATAGACAACGAAGTGCGCTACTTTTTATCAGTCTGAGATCCGTAAACATTACTTATTATCAAGTTGACCAAGTTGATCATTATCAGAATTCCAGTATAAAAAACCGACACTCAGAGCAACCCAAGAGCCTTAGCCTCTCCCTCAACAATCTCAGGAACAAGATCAATCAGCTTAGGCTTCTGGGGTGCCCAACCAAAGAGCTTGCGTGCACGGATTGAGTTGCCACGGGAGTTAGAGCCCCAGGCATATATTCCGCCAAAAAGGACCTCATTCGTCTGAGCCTCATCAAGAGATACGACATCAGGAGAAGCAATAAGCTTCTTATCAAAGGCAGACTGTGCAATTGCGCGCTGGATATCACCCCAAACAAAGGACCCATTTTCAGCGAGGTAATAACCCTTGTCATTCCAAGTAGCCTTGCCCCCTCCCATCGAGGCAGCCTCACCCAGCGCCAGGTACACATTGCTCAAATCATGGACGTGGACCTGGTGCCAGACGTTCTCACCTTTCCCGATCAAGAGGCCCTGTTTGCGCTTCAGCACCGCAGCACTGAGCAAGTAGGCTTGGATACTCTTGGTGTTACCAGGGCCGCGTCCAGGGCCATAGATGGTGGGAGGGCAGACGACTGCGACCTTTACGCTGGTCGGGTTCTGCAAACCAGCACCAAGGACGATCTCATCCACGTTACGATGGAAAGCATCTGATGGAAGATTGACTAGCTCGCTGACACCCTCCCAGTCGTCATATTGCTTAGGACGTTCAATGCCGTATGTGCCAGCACGCGAATCCTCTACTGCCAGGATAGCAGAGCCCGAAGTGTGGATCCACCACAATGGGCGCTCCGGCGTGTGATGTTGAGCACCCTTGGCCATGGCCTGGGCTCCAGCAACATGATCGGCATCGGCGAAGTCTGTCAATGGCTGTGAGCGACCTATTCGCACTAGACATGAAGGTAGATGCGCATACGGAAAAAAATGTCTGCGTTCTTGACTTCCTCCTCGATCAGCTCGGACGAGTCTAGATCTCCAATCACAGTCCGAATCTGTGGGTATTTGATTGTCACCTGAGTAGCCTTTTCCTGGCTACGGACTAGGGCCGAGAATTGCCAGTCAGGATGGGCGCTGGCAACGGCAAACAACCCATCGCCGCCAATATAGCCAGTTGCACCGGTGCTGCGAGGATGTATCAGACCAAACGTCTACGTGTAGTTTGGGATGTTGGATTGACTTACAGGAATACCTTAGGAGCCATGTTGGAATTAGCAATGAGCAATGAGCTAGAGAGGAAGAATAAGGTCAAAATAGAAAAGAGTTGCAACGCGAGAAACAAGGTTGGACCTCGGGAAGTTGAATTGCTTTGAAATCAACGCATCTAAGCAATTTAGCCCGAGAAGGAACTCAAAGTGGAGGAGTGATGGAAGCGCCATTGAGAATCCAAGAATCCGACTGTGTACGGAATACGGAGTACGGAGTTCAGTACGGAGTACACAGTCCCAGTCACACGAGCTGTAACCGGAGGTACACCCGTCGGATCAGCCTGCCCACGGATCCAAAGTACTCAGATTATGTACCTTATGTTATGTAGGTACGAACACTGGTTCATCTCCTCGTATACGAGATACACGAGCTTCCAAGGTTCGTGCCCCGCATGATGTCAGAGCCTCGACTGTTCACCCCTCAAGTGATAGTTGATATCCCACAAGTCTCACTGATTCGTCTCATACCCAGAAAACCCGAGATTTTGCAATGGCCTCCGGCAGCTGCGCCTGTCAGTACATCCGTTACACAGCTTCCAACCCACCAACTTGTCTAGTCAACTGCCACTGCACAACCTGTCGCAAACAAGCCGGCGCACCCTACCAGAGCTGGGCATTTTTTGCCACTGACGATATCAAATGGCATGTCAACCCCAAAGAGCGGCGGGCAACCCATACTGCTACGCGTAGCTTCTGTCCACGCTGTGGCTCGACCCTGAGTATGATCCTAGATCGGGATCCAAAGAACATCGGGATCGCTGCGGGGACACTCGATGAAGGACAGGCGCAGATTCCGTTGCCGAGTGATCATATTTTCCTTAGTGAGAAGGCATCCTGGTTTGAGTTGGCGGATTCGGATGCAGCGAAGAGATGGGATAAATGGGGTGTATATGCCAAGTCATAGTATTGGCGTTGCTTGATAACTTTCAGAGACTTGGCGTGATGGAAATTAGTTGGTGTTGAAACAGTGATAAACAATGCAACTACATTTTCAATCAATAAGGATTGGTTGAAACGTTTGAATTGATCAGAGTAGAGACAAAAATGGAACACTGATTGGGGCATAGGCTGAGATAAAATAACAGGAAGACACGAAAGGTTATAAAGGGAACAGAGGGGAATCACTAATTCGTGCCCGGGCTACATGTACAGACTCGTTGCATTTTGGAATCCGATCAGAATGTGCTGGTGGCCAGCCGATTGGCTGCATTGCGCGCATCAAGACGGTCATCATCCTCCTCAGCGATTGACTCAACCTGACTGGAAGCTCGGTTGCGTCCTTTGCCAGGCACCTGAGCACTAGCCTCATCGTCATCATCAGGGAGGGAGGGGGCGGTGAAGCTGCCACTCATGCTGCGTCCAATATTATCACTGCGGCGAGGAACTCCGCTCCATGAATCACCCTTTGGACCCTGGCTCGAAGTCATGTTGGGCCGGCGCGTGGCTGGGTGAGATTCGCGACCCAGCCGGCTCAGACCACCGGAAGCGTCAATGGCACGGATATCGGGTCGCACACTCTCTAGGGTGGCTAGAGTGCGACGCTCCGCCTCGATCTGGCGGAGAGTGTACTCACGCAGGCTGAACAGAACATCCTGGGTGGTGCGATCAAACCAGCAGCGCTTCTCTTGGAGAAGGTTCGATGTGACGCGCTGGGTCCGCTTGGTCAAGTAGTCTTCGTGGTTCTGAGCTTCCTCAAGAGCGTTGATTGCCTCATCTACCTTATCTCGACGAACAGATGAGCTAACCTTCAAGCGCTCAGCTGCACTGTGTTTACTTCGGGTATTTTGTTGGGCCTGGATTAGTTCACGAAGCAGAATGTGTCGGTTCGTCAGGGTCTCCTTCACAATGAAGGCATCAGAGGAATGGTAGCTCAAAGGTTCGCTGAGTGTGGTGGCCTCCGCAGTAGCCTGAACAGCATGGTAGTCGCCGACATTTTGAATAACTTTGCCAAGTTTACGATAAGCGGCACTTAGGCCCGGATGAGTCTCCTGCACATGCATTTGACCAAGCTTCACGCCGAAATCGGCTTCAGCCAACCCAAGACCTAAAAAGTCAGTTTCAATCGAAACAAGATATAGAATGAAAGCAGCCTGGGGTTTTGAATTAACATACCACGACGGGCCTTCACAACTCGGTCGACCTTGTGACTCGTATCCATTGATCCCAAGTAGAACAACTTCGCAACGGGACGAGCTGCTTGCAGCTCGGGTGTATCATCTGGCGGGGGCGCGAACTGCTTCAGCATCTTTCGTCGCACACCCGTTGCCGGCTGCTTCATCCGTAGCACGGGGCTATAGCCGAAGTCGCTTTCCACGAAGAGAACAATTTCGTCATCATGAATGAGAACATCATTACCGAGCACAACATTGAGCCATCTTTGCATTGCCGACTTAATCCGGAACTCATCCTCTTCGGTTCCTGCTCCGGCTGGTGTGACTGGCGACGGCACAGCAGGGACCAGAGCTTCCGGGTTGGCGGAAACGAGGTGATCTGCGAGCTTGATAAATTCGGAATGAGTGCGGCGCACATCACGGTACTGGGTTGTGCGGAACTTGGGGATATTGGTCTGTATTCGAAACAATAATTAGCCATGATGCAGAGGCAAGACACTCAACAAGGTAAACTTACGTGGACCTCGAAACGCAGAATTGGGTCCTTTTTGCCAGTCCTCTCCAGCCCTGTGATTTTACCTTGAATTTTATAGGCGGGGGCGGGGGGTCGCGAGTTCTGTCGGACTCCGGTCTGATATTGCGCGGGGGCGGAAGACTGCTGTTGTTGAGCGTTTGGAGACTGGTGCGCACCGTACGGGGGATGTTCGCCGGGATAGTCCGAGTCTCCTAATTGTGCGCCCTGCAGCTGTGCAGAGATATCTGGAGTATGAGGACCCCCATTGCGGGCCTTGGAAATATCCTCCGTCGATTGCGCCTGGCCTGGTAAAGGGGAGGACGGGATGTCATTGTTGGAAGTGGGGAAGGTCTCTCCGTCAGGACGAGGTGAGCCCCAGGGTGAGGTACCAGTGGGATGATCCGGATCGGTTGAGATTGCAGAGTAGTCCATCTTGGTGAGATCTCGAGAGTATCTTCGTGGACAAGAGGAGGTGGCTGGTGATGGTAGGCGTCAGTATTGACGGGTGAAGATCGGATCCCCCACAGCAATGACCAGCTAGCTTCAAGACGCCCCAAGACTTACCTCGTGCAGCCTAAGGATGGCAGAAAAAGAAACAAGAAACCCCGGAATTGGTCAAATTGGCACAACACAAAAAGCAAGAAAACAGGAAGGGTATGAGCAAAAGGATTCGAGTAGTTGGAGACAAGATGGGCGCCGGAGTCAGTTACGTATGGAGGAATGCGTGCGCCAAGCCTCGCGATCTCCAGTCCGCTTTGTCGTCCGATTTTCTTCTGTACCTCGACCTTCCACTGTACCATTGACAAGAGAACATGCACCTGCTAATTTCAACATAAATTTTATTGATTTTTCCTAATCCATACTAATTGGAATGGTTGTGGCTCCGTTGTTGCGCTTCCCTCCTGGGATGCGCTGTATGAGCTCTAATTTGTATAAGACAACACTCAATCTTGCAAGCAAGAATACATGCTCTGCTCTGAAAGGGCACCGGTCCAATTACAGACAGCTCCAACGCTTTTCTACAACAGCTGCATACCAGGATGAAGCTCTGGACCGGACACGGAACATTGGCATCATCGCCCACATCGATGCAGGCAAAACTACCACTACGGAGCGCATGCTATTCTATAGTGGCTTCACACGGCGCATTGGTGACGTGGACGAAGGATCGACAGTAACTGATTTTCTTCCCGCTGAGCGTGCGCGAGGCATTACTATCCAGTCTGCTGCCATCACCTTCCACTGGCCTCCTGGAGAGGTAGATGGAGCGTCAGGCCCGCAAGCTGGAACGCAGAATGAGCAAATACCGCGGTCAACCTACCCGCATACTATAAATTTGATTGATACCCCGGGCCACGCAGACTTTACATTCGAAGTCATGCGATCTCTGCGTATCCTCGACGGCGCCGTCTGTATATTGGATGGCGTGGCTGGTGTTGAAGCGCAAACAGAGAAGGTCTGGAACCAAGCAAGCACATATCGCATTCCTCGAGTCATTTACGTGAATAAGCTAGACCGTGACGGAGCCGCGTTTGGCCGGACGGTGCGAGAAGTTAGCACCCGCTTGGGTGTCTATCCAGCAGTCTGCCAGATCCCATGGTTCCGAGGAGGAAATGGCCCTTTTATTGGGGTAGCAGATGCGATCCATCTCCAAGGATTACGATGGAAAGAAGGCGAGGATGGCCGTACGGTCAAGATGCTTGACCTTCAGCAATTAGAGGCAGAGGAGCCTGCCTTGGCAGCAGAGCTCCGACGGGCCCGAATTGCTCTAGTTGAGCTGCTTAGTGAACACGACGAAGACATTGTGGAGAGATTCTTTGAATGTGAAGAAGACCATCTCGCAGTCTCCTCGGCTGATATCATTGAGAGCTTGCGCCGGTGCGTATTGGACCAGACTAGTCGGATTGTTCCTCTATTCGCGGGTGCTAGCTTCCGGAATATGGGAGTCCAGCCACTGCTGGATTCCATCGTGAATCTTCTCCCTAGTCCACCAGAGGCGCCCGACCCAGAGGTGAGCATCGGGGGTGTCAAAGGAGGTCTTCGAGACCTGTTATCAGGCGATTTGATTGTCGAACAGGCTGTGAAGGAGTCCGCACCAATCAAAGGAAAACAGCCAAAGAAAAAGAACATTGCTTTACAAACCAGTTCAAAGGATGCGATCAGCAAACTCCAAAGCTGTGCATTGGCATTCAAAGTTGTCAACGACGCCAAGCGCGGTGTCCTGGTCTATGTACGGGTATACTCCGGCTCTTTAGATCGCAACAGTCTCCTGTTCAACACAAACCTTCAGCTCTCCGAGCGTGCTCCACGTCTACTGAAGATGTACGCCAATGATGCTGTGGAAGTGGACTCGATTCCTGCCGGTCACATTGGAGTGGTAGTCGGCCTCAAACAAACCCGGACTGGCGATACACTGGTTTCCTACGCAGGAAACAAAGCCACTCCCCCCGAGCCACTCACCAGTCTCCAACTCCGACCAATTGCCGTCCCACCACCAGTCTTCTTCACCAGCGTGGAGCCACACAGCCTAAGCGAAGAAAAGCGCATGCAAGAATCGCTCGCACTACTCCTCCGTGAAGACCCCAGTCTCCACGTCACTGTAGACGAAGAATCAGGCCAGACCCTCCTAAGCGGAATGGGCGAACTACATCTAGAAATTGCCCGCGATCGCCTAATCAACGACCTCAAAGCCAAAGCATCAATGGGCCGCATCGAGATCGGCTACCGAGAATGCGCACTCGGCACTTCCAGCCCCGTAACCAAGATCTTCGACAAGGAGATCGCCGGCCGAAAAGGCAAAGCAGGCTGCACAGCAGTCGTGGAACCACTGGATGAAGACGCCGAGCCCGAAGAGCGAGACGAAGACACACTGCTCGTCGAAATCTACGACGGCAATCAGATCATCATCCGCGCTCCCGGTCTCCAGGTCGAGCGCCCCTCTCGTGGCGAGGAAGAAACCAGCCCATTCCTCCCACCAGGCATGGACATCGTTACGTTCCGCACAGCGCTGCAAAACGGAGCCGTGGCGGCGCTCGCCCGAGGACCCCAATTCACATTCCCAATGCACAACACCCGCGTCACGCTAACCATCGATCCGGCTGCGGATCTTTTCGGCAACGAGACGACCACTTCGGCCCTCTCGTCTGCTGCGCGCCAGGCCACTGCCGCCGCGCTGCAAGATGTGCAGTTCGGCGCCGGTACAACGATGATGGAGCCGGTGATGAACGTAATTATCAGCGTGGACGAAGCTAGTCTCGGCTCTGTCGTGCACGATATCTCCTCCTCGCGGGGTGGACATATTATCTCACTCGACGAAGAGGTGCCACTGTCTGGCACGGACGCATCGACTTCTCAACCTATACTTGAAGAAGACGTCTTACCGCCCATCGATCCCAAACGCGTGTATGCGCCGCAGGATCCGTTTGAGATGCCTTCTGTTGGGGTGGAGATTCCTGTTTCCGCGACTCGTGCCCGCACAATTGTCGCCAAGGTGCCTCTCAAGGAGATGGTTGGATATCTCAAGCACTTGCGGAGTCTGACAGCTGGTCGTGGCACTTTCGTTATGAGCGTTGATCGATTTGAGAACATGTCCGGTCAAAGACAGAAGGCCGTGCTTGCAGAGTTAAGGGGCGGCTTCTAGATCGTTGATTCTCAACTGTCATATTCCACCAGGAGTTTTACTTGTACATTATCATATCTCTTAAAATTGCAGCACTGTAACACTACTGCTTTGCAGCCAAATTCACTCCGGTTGCCCTAGACGACACCAGACCAAGCTCATATGAAGCTTATCAAACATGCATGGTCTCCCTTCCGTTAAATAGAGAGGTTCTAACGAGGTATATGTGTAGAGCGGGCAAGGTAGAGTAGACACAAAAAGGACAACACCGGACATCAAGTCATGTCATCAGAAAAGTGGCCCACAAACAAACAAAGAACAGCGATGCAAAATGCGTCTATATACTACCAGTTTTCATCCCATTCATCCTTACTTTTGCCCGTCGCCGAGGTCGTGGTGTTTTTACTCTCTCCAGCATCAGTAGAGTTAGCCAGCGAGGAGGCCGTGGGACCCTTCCGCATAGCAGCGGTTCCAACAACATCGGATCGTTGAGACCGTTGTGATCCACTGCGACGGTGGTTTGCTGTTTCTTGGTCACCCAGTGAGGAGAAGTCATCCCAGAAGTCTCGGCGCTCAGGCTCTACACGGTTACGGCGTCCATCAGGGCGATCATCGCCTTCGACAAACTTATTGAACTGGTCGGCAGCGCCGCGGACTCCAGTTTGCAGGTTCTGGCCAAAGACCGAAGCGTGGACTCGGGCCTGGGCTGCGAAGTCGGACTCGGCCAACTGGGAGTCCATGTCAGTAATTGCGCTGAAAGGGCAAGGTGCTCTATACACATACCTGTTTGGCTGTTGGCTGTAGGTAAGAATCATTAACCTGCTTTGCGCTCTTGCCAACCGCCGACGTGAACCACCCAAATCCTTTACTGATAGTGCCCATTGGGTCTTTCTGGAGATCTTCAAACGGTTGTCCACCACCGCCACCACCCCAACCTCCGAATCCTCCAAATGGCGAAGAGCGTCGATCCCCCGCCGCGGGCGCAGGCATACCACCGCCGAAGCCAGTGAATTTCCCGCCTTGTGACGGAGGCAGGTTATCAGAGCGAGTGGCATTACTGTTGCCCAGCTTCGCAAAGTAAGCCTCATTCTGCTCCTTCTTGCTGGGTACATCACCGGACCGAATAGACGACGGCGCAGGTGATCCAGCCCGCGCACCAGACACAGCACCCAAATTGGAACCGGCAGGACCGGCGACGCTCAAGGACGTGCTTGACTGCGAGGGGTTATTTTTCTTCTCCTGGCCCTGGACATATTCGCGGCCGTCGACTTTGCACGATAGCCTCTCCTTCCATTCCTCGCCCGGTTCGCTTTCGTATCGTTCCTTGATGGTGGAGTCTTCGAACGTAAGACCCTGTGAAACAGTCACCGGGTGTTCGTCGTAGAAGCTCTTCCAGGGATCGTTGCCTCCCAGCTCCATGCGTTGGATTTCGGCGTGTTTGAAGGCGTCCATGGTGATCGAGCGGACAAAGGAGATGTGGACACCTAACCCGCGGTGTGTGCCGGCGCAGTTAAGACAAATGAATGTTCCGAACTTTGGGGAAGCCTGGTTAACATGCCCATGGTGGGCGAAGCATTAGCATGGTATCTGTGGTGTGCGGGGTGTTGGTGTGTTGCAACAGCATTATTTCTGGGGGACAAGATTCGGGCAATGGACCGGGAAGAGAAAGGAAACACATACCCATTGAGGGGACGGAGCACCACAATCGCAGCATCTGTCGTTTCCATTTGTCTTGGAGATTTGGAGGAGCTGTGGCACATGTCTGCGTTAGTGACCGTGCCGCGTTGCGTTGCGGGATTTGACCTGGGAACACACCTTCGTCCTCGTTTCTGGATCGACCTCCCACATTCGAGACATTGTGAGGGAGTGTGCAATAGCGAGCTGACAGAAATGGGGGGAAAATGCAATCCGAGTGACAGAGTGCGCTCGGCTGCTGCGAGGTTGACCGATTCCGCACCGACGCTGGAGGGTATTTCGTTTACCCCTTTTTGTCTCGGGTTGATAAGGTCGCGCAGAGGCTCAAAGATACTGCTGAAACTCACAGACAACGCAATTGACACGATGATAGGACAAAAATTAACCGAAAGGAAGTGAGACGATGCGAGTTCTATGCTTTGCCTCTGATCGGCAAGGGTCGCCCCGACTTAGCGTCATCCCCAACTCGAGCACATCACTGCCCTCCAGGACTGTAGGTCCAAGACTACATGCGCAGAGACTACTTCGTACTCTAAAATCCAATGTGCCAGGTGGCATATCGTCATCATTTAGTAAATGTGTGCTAAGGTACAATACAGAAGGCGAAAAAAAAAGAAAGTCGTTAAGGACGGAGAGTACATCAGCTAAGATGGCTCTCCAGCATGGTCAATCCATGTTGTCCGATAAAAAAAAGTCATGATCCCTCCCCCTCGCCCCCATATTCCCCAGTAATCGTGTAGTAGCTAAAGATAGTCACGGTGATGAAACACACATCACCGTGATCATATCTATACGATTCTTTCCTGACTTCCCCTGTTTCCCAACCCCAGAGCCAATCAGCAAAAATTGATATTCGTCCAGTGGAATTCATCTAGGCATCTAAGCCTGAGTGGTGGCGGCAGGAGTGGCATTCTCCTGAGCGGGAGCCGGAGCCGGAGCGGGAGCAGGGGCAGGGGCAGCGGGCTCCTCGGTCTCAGCGACGGCGTTGATATCGTCATCCTCCTTGCCAGGGCTGTCGATGGCAACCTTAACAGCGATGACACGACCATCAATGTCCTTGCCGTTCATCTCGCTAACAGCCTTGGTCTGGAGCTCCTCCGAAGCAAGGTTAACGAAGCCGAAGCCACGGGTCTTGCGGCGCTCGTTGCGAGCCTGCAGCTTCTTGATCATGAAGCGGGGGATGGGGCGCAGGGCAACCTTGGCAGAGACGGGCTCGTAGGCGGCGAAGATCTCCTTGAGCTAAGAGGAGAAATGCAATGTCAGTCAATGTAACTCCAGACGAAGAAAAGAACGTAAGAAAGAGATATAACCCACCTTGTCCTCGGTCAAGTCATATGGCAGGTTGGCAACCATAACCTTAGTCTTGGAGGGAATACCATCCTCGGGAGGACCACGCTGCTTCTGGGGGCGCGCGGCGCGGGCCTCACCAGCCTTGGGGCTAGCGTCCTTCTCGTTGGTAGTCTCGGCAAGAGGAGCCTCACCAGTAGCGGGTTCGGTGGTTTCCTGGCCCTCCTGGGCCTTTGAAAGAGTCAGCATCCATTGTAAGGTCTCGATATGCGCTGTTCGAAGTAAAGAAAGAGTTTGAGCACATACAGCACGGCTTCGGCCGGTGCGGCCACCACGACCGCGAGCACGACCACGGCCACGGCCGCGTCCACCAGTACGCTTACGACCCTCGGCGCCGCTGGCACCCTCACCGCCGCTAGCAGCAGCTTCCTTGGCCTCGGCAGGCTCGGGCTTGCGGGCAAGCTGCACAGACACCTTGCGCTGAAGGATCTCCTTGCCAGAGAGGGCCTCAATAGCGGCAGAGGCTTCAGCAGCAGTGGCAATGTCGACAAAGGCGTAGCCAACAGGGCGGTTGGTGCGGGGGTTCACCGGGATCGAGGTGGTCTCGCTTGAAGGTCACATGAGTCAGAGATGGCCTGATGAATGACACGTTCACGGGTCGAAATGTTTGCTAAAGGTGGGGTATTTTTGAGTTGATCCACTAGGACCGGCATTACTCACATAGTGTAGCTCTTGAAGAACTCCTTGAGCTCCTCCTCGGTGGTCGCATATGCGAGGTTTCCGATGTAGAGACGGCGACCCTCATCGGCACTGGCGGCCGCGGCATCGGCAGCCTGGGTGGCAGGGGTAGCACCGTTGGTCTCGGGCTTGTCGTTCAGGGTGGTCGCAGCCACGGAGTCAGCAAGTGCGTCGACGGCAGACATCTTGGAGGTTGAGATGTTGATGGATGAAAAGTGTCGGGGGTGTTTGTCTAAGCTGAAAGAATCTTGACGGGAGGTGGAGCGAGGGAAGGAGCAGGGTAGCTTCGTGCCCTAGATACCAATTGAAAAGAGAAGATGGGATTGAAGTTTTTGATTCACTGGATCTTGAAGAAGAGAGGGAGGAGGATGGAAGAAGGAGATGGAAAGGGAAAGGAGAGGCGGTGTAGCACTAGCCCAGTGAGGTAGCTCGAAATGACGGGACCTTCAGGTGCGATCGAGGTGCCCAGGTTCTTTCCGCCCGAGCCCCTCTCGGGGGGCTCTAGACCCCAACTAAACTCGGTCGGCCCTAAACTTGGGCTTCCCCTTAACCCCGAATTCCTTCTTTGGGGGCCCTCAACACCTTTCCCCAGCCCCGCCTTTCCCTGCACCTCGAAAGCCTGACTCCGAACAGCTGGCCTGATGTCATTCTGGAGACCCTCTTGACCAATTGTGATCTTCTACCACTTCTTCCTGTCTGGCTTCACATTGGTACGCTATAATTCCTCCAAGGTGAAGAGCGGTTTTCTATTAAGACTACTATCGATTACTACCTAGCGGCACACTGCATGCCTGCACATGTGCATGACAGTACGAGTACTCCGTACCTGTGCGACATGTCCTATAAATACTTGTGCGAAGATCTTCTGAATCCCCACTCTATGGGCTCATGCTCCACGCCTTCAGGTTCAGACCATAAATCCATGATCCAGCATTGGTATATCATGGTTCAGGTCTAGCACCACAACACACAACACATACCGGAGTACGGTGTGCATGGTCAATCAAAGCCGATTGCCTGAGCCTCTTGGCACAAGCCACACAGGTGACACACCCCGAGAAACATAATGCACACCACCTTGCACACGTCCATGTACTCCGTAGTCCTACAGGCAATATCTGCTTGATGTAAACTCGGATTTGAAATTCTCACCTTTCCAATCCCTTCGTTTAGTCACTTCGTTTCCAGCAAACACAATCACTCGGTGAGTGAACGAGCATGGTCAACTCAGCTGGGGTATATGGATGTGCTACTTGAGGAAGAAGCTCGAGGTTAATGTCCTCTACCGAGCTCTAGCAGAACTACAACATAGTTTGATAGTACAGAGGTCGGAGGTTGTATATGTGGCGAGTCTCGGTCACAGCGGAATTTTAGAGAAGAGCTTACTTTGGCCTTTTACTTTCAAAGGACCCAATCAAAAGAACATGTCCGTGGTCGTATATCAGTTCCTTATACGTGAGTCTGCACAATGTTATGTATGCATATATCGAAGATAAAGTATATACATACGGAGTACTCCGTACTCCGTACTGAGACATAGTTAGCCGGTGCACGTACATAGGAGTGCTAACTTAATTTTATTGAATAACCTCGGACCACAATCCAAGGCAGTTCCATAGCTGTAGGGATAGCACCTGCTGATCAGATGAGCAGAGATTGAATACTACAATATTCAAGGTAGAAACGTACAAGGTAGATCTACAATATGATGGTGTATACGCTCCGTGCTCCGTACATGTAGTTACTTTGTCCATGTCCCCGGGTGGCTCGGATGACGTGACATTTCGACACCTTGGCTCTAAGGCTGCAGTCAAAGCTTGGTAGAGTCCCGATTTTTAGGTCGAGTCTAGTGGCCCAGACCTTTTGCCACTCTACATTCTCTAAGTTTTCTGTGTGTCTGTGCATGTATCTGGATCATGACTTCCCGAAGAGGTCCCCTTCAATAAAACGGACAACAGACAGAGGGTTACGGAGTATCTGCAAGCGGCTCAGGATAAAGATCGACGGTTTAGCGCGGGATTGACGGATTGGGCACTCCACTCACTCGTCATTAGTACTGCGTCGAAAACAAGAATTCGGGGGCTGAGTCATCCTGTTCTGTCCCGGCCAGGACTCTTTCCAGCGACCCAGAACGTGCAGGGACTGTTTTCCATGTGGAGCAAAGGGGGACTCTGAGGGCCTGAATTATATCTTTCCTTTGGTCTCGGGAACTACCTAGGTAGTCGTCCTGGCTGCGCGACTCGCTCCCCAACATCCCGGAATCAGTCGCCCCAGCAATATGGATCGCATAGAGTCCGTCGAGGACCACAACGCTCCTAACGGGAATCCTGAGAGGACCCAACCCACAAGGCAGCCCACAGACCCTGGTCCAAGTAGGCCGACTCCTCCTTTACGCAGTCGACGGCCGAGTATTCGCCTATCTCGCTTCCCGTCTATCCCCTCGTTAGACAACGTCAATCAGCCGGTGGTGCGGCATGAGGGTCCACCACTACCTTCCTTTGAGCGGCAACCTATTCGATCGCCTCCTCCCAACGAAGAGGATGAAGCATGGTTGGCAGGTCGACGGCGCAGCAGCTCGGACCCGGGTCGATTGTCATCTCCCCCTCCGGACGTCCTCTCACGCGTGGCAACTCCAATGCGAATGGGGGCTTTGACCGAAGAGCCTTCACATGAGAGTCCGGCATCAGTTTCTTCGGCAGCAATACTACCTCCACAAGAGACTGAACCAAATTATGAACAATCTGGACCACAACAAAATGAGGTCTCTCCCGCACTAGCGCGACCGCCGGGTCGTCTTCGGCGAACCAGTCAAGCTGCGTTGAATCGATTTAGCCGCAATCGCGCATCAACTGTGACAGGAGCTGCGCCAACTTTAAGCCCACAAGATGACCAACGCCAGGATGAGTATGGAACTCACGTAGTCGACGTGCTGGACGTGATCGGTAAGTCCTGATGCTAAGTGTGATACAAAAACCATGATTCTAACATAACCCAAATTCAGACCCCGAGGTATCTGCGCTTTCCACTCTTACCAATGTCCAAAACTCTCTCTTCGTGCCGAATCTGGGTGGCTTCATCAACCGCATGCCCACATATACAATCACGCGACCACAATATTCTTCTTCGGATGAAGAACAGGACACTACAACAGACGATGGGGAACCGCCTGAAAAGGACCAGGTCAAGGACCGGCCGACCTTGGAACAAGTCCGCAGGTTCACGAGCATGTCCGATGTGTTGCGCGGTCCCAAGTATGCCGTTCTCCCAGAAGGGCATGCACTCGAGGGATGGTCGAAAGAAGACTTTGCCGAACTTAATGATCATGTTCGACACATGCTTCACTCTCGGCGGTCCAAGTTCAAACGGGCTATGAAAGGATTCAGGCAATACGTCCGGAAGCGTGAGTAATACTGTTCTTCGAGGCTTCGAGGCTTAATACTGACATCGCTCAGCTCTCGGATTTCTTGTCACTCTATATGCTACTTTGATCACATTGTTCGGTCTGGCCTGGGTGCTTTTCTTGATTGGTAGGCTCCTTTGAGCTCGTTTCTTTCGCATTGCTATACTGACACTCAATTTAGGTTGGATCAATGTAGGCGGAAAACAAAGTTATGTTGTCAACATCATCGATAACATTTTGGTCGCCCTGTTTGCCATCATGGGTGATGGATTAGCCCCTTTTCGTGCCGTCGATACATATCACATGAGTTTCATTGCACATTATACGTTTCTCTCGTGGAAACTTCGTCGCAAGCGCGACCTTCCAGGCCTCAAGGATAAAAACGACCTTCCATCGATGCCAGAGAAGGATGTTGACCTTGAAATTGGCACTGAGGCCGAAAAGGCCGAACACGAATTTTCTGTGCTCGATGCCCGTCAACAATTGAGATTGATGCACCATCAAACGAAGTTTGCAAAGTCGCATACTTTCTACAAGCCGCACGAAACCATGACCCACCATGCCTTCCCTCTCCGTTTGCTTATCGTAATCGTCGTCCTCCTCGACTGTCATTCCCTGCTCCAGATGGCTCTTGGTGCCTGTACCTGGAGTATGGAGGATCCCGACAGGCGACCGTTCGCCTTAACCACAGTCATCCTTTGCTGCTCTCTGACCTGCAATATCACGGGTGGTGTGCTGATCATGGTTGGTGATCGGCGGACGCGAAAGAAGGATGTTGTTGAGCGGATTTTCCGCCAAGAGCTGACGCAAGAAGCTATGAAGAAGATGGAAAAGAAGAAGATCAAAGAAGAGCGCCGCAGTATTCAGATCGAACGTCGCAGTGCGCAAATTGAGCGGTCAAGTGCCCAAATCGAGCGCCCCAGCTCTCAAATCGATCGATCAGAGCTGCAAAATAGCACCTGATCATGATACGATCTATGTTTTCATTTACGACCGTCATGACATGCGCATCAGAAACTGTGGGTCAGCCTACATGGATATCTTCTTTGCTTCAACCATACAGTATTCCAGTTGATAATCATACTGTTCTGGTTATTTGTTTATATATATGCGAGTTACGGAGTTTCGTCAAATCCCATCGAGGGATGGCATTGTTTGTTTGGTGGATTTTGCTTTCTATGAATTTACTTCCTCACCTACGGTCTGACCTGCAGTGACATTTTGGTTTTAGCTGATACAACGCAATGGCTTGTCGTTTCGAATAAATCGCTTTTCGTTACAGTTATATCGTCAGCGCTCCAAACAAACAAACCCCCGATGTATCCCGGTATCTTTAATAATCGAGTCTACCAAGTTAATAAAAGAAAAAAGAAATTATACTCTCAAGTAATCATAGTAACCTCAAAATCCACTCCCTGGCTAAAGCCCTTGAAACTTTATACCCAACAGCATGATTCCCCTCCGTCTCAACCTCTCCTTCGATTATCTCGAGTTGCCGGGAGATGATATCTTGTGTCATACCAAGTTGTGAGCTTTGAGGGAGTGTGGGCTAGGGCTCTGGTATCCGATGATGTAGGTAAGACAGGCGTTGGCGCAGCTACCTGTTGCTCCGAAGAAGGCGACTGTTGTCATTTTGGTAGATTGGTGATATGATAATTGATTATATAGATTGTAAACTAGATCTGGGAGGCTTGGACTGCGGGTTGATTGTGCTGGTAGAGGGATTGAACTCTGAGGATTGATGCTTTATCCCTATCATTCGGCGCGGTGCTGTGAGCCGTATTCTGTTGGTCATTTCGTATCTATCCATCTTCGGTTCAGCCCAACAAGCGTGTGAGGCTATAGTGAAGCAGAACGTGGCCGTGCGGAGACCCCGGCTTAACTGGCGGTACACTAGGCTAAAAGGGGGTTAGTGGCGGATAAACAACCCGCCGGCGCGCGAAACAACCGAAAAGGGAAAATGGAACACACGAGAGATAACGGGGGAACGCGAGGGTATGGTTTGAATGCACCGATGGGCAATAGACGAGGAACGTGAGCTTTAATTAGTAATACTAGCGGATGGTAAAGATAGAAATCAAGGGTGCCCTAGAGGTGACTCCAATCAATAGTCAGTACCTCACAAGGCCAAACTACTACTTCATCGAAGCTCAATACATACAGTCAATCATCAGGGAATACCATGGATCAGTAGTAAATACCGATATGTTAATATATTCAAGCTCTTTATCTTCATCGCGACATTAAACTATGCTATCAAGAGGGTTGAAAACAAATGAATATATATTCAGTATACTTCTGGCAATTGCATAATATATATGTTATACCTAAAGAACAACAACACACAACTTATAAGGATTCTAATCACCTGAACCATATATCCCCCAGCTAACGTCTCTAATTATTGATTGTTTCATCAAGCTACATATTTGGATATGTATGAATAGACTGAACGTCTTCTTCCATATTGACTAGGACAGAATATGGAGCGCAAGAACTACTACGCTCCATCAACTATACGAACAAATCTAAATCTTCCATTCAATACTCCGTACATCGGGCTCAATATTTCTGACTCTAGGAGATGACCGAAAGGGAAATTGATGATACGATCTATTTGGCTTAGTCTACATACACGGTTGTACGGAGTACACTTTGAACAATTCTTAGACATGGACATGTAGGAATACCCCCGATATCCAGGCCGCTTATGGCCATAGTTCAATTGGGTGGTAACAAAGAAACGTTCAGCTCAAGTCACATAACTTCTACGATTCCCATTTTAGCCTGGGATCGGTCTACACCGATTCCCGAGCCGTTCTGATCCAGCAAGGACCCAAAAATCCTATGGTTGACTTACTTAATTTAAGAAATCGATCTAGACCTCACCCGACCAAGGCAATTCTGCTGGAGGCCCATCTAATGTGATCTGGACGGACACCGACATTCACTCCCTGTGAGGCTTTAACATTCGCATCAAGGAAGGAGCGTGTAGATCAGCCCGGTTGCCCATCGAAACACGAGATACTATGTTCGGAGGCAGGGTGGCAATTTGAAGTAGCTAGGTGATCGTAGACCGGGGAGGGTCTGGCGATCGCAAATTCTCGGGGATTGACCAGCAGGTGGGGCGATGTGGAAGCGCTAGGGGCATGGACGACCTTATACACCGTTAGGAGACAGAGCAGCGGTCTGTTATGGACATCTCGAGCGTCAGCTGCATGGGATTGAATCGCTAATGCCATCCATACGCCATCCAAGCCACCCAAAAGCTCACGAGGTAAGGTGATCAGCGCCACAGACATCAGATGGTCGGAAATTACCCGTAGGAGCAATGTGCGCCAGGTTTGGGAAATTCGGGCATTCCTCGGAAGGGCGACGGCAAGGCTTGGACAAGTCCGTAATTCTAGAAGGTCTCTGCATTCGAATATCTGTCTCACATGTTTGAGCTTAGATTAATTATTGCATTTGACTTACGCGAGGCTCGCAGGGTTGGAAAATGTGGTTGAGAGACCTGCATATGTGGGTTTGAGTCAGCCACCGGGACAGGGCGTAGGATAGGTAGGTAGCTTCGATGGATACCACTGACAGGGCGGAATGTAGGGCACATGCACCTCGAGGAGTCAAGGGGCACGTTTAATTGACTCGAAAATTCCGGAAACAAGGAGCCAATGAGGTGACTAGGAGGTAGAGACCGTCGGAGTAAACATGGGACCAAACCCTTGCGTAGGGCATTCCAAGGGCAAAAATGGGAGTTTTGGTTTTGGCCCTCACTAGAACACCAGCAGGTCACCTCGTGTGTACACTGTAGACACTGGGATTTGAAGATAAAAGGCGAGCTCGGGACGGTCATCTATTCCTTTTTTATCCATCAGCTTTCTACTTCTCTATCTCTCTCTACTTCTACCTTCCCAACCTTCCAATCCTCTCCTTACATTACAAGATTTTCAATCTTTCAAACCCAACCATCAAAATGCAGTTCACTCTCTCCGCTGTTGTCCTCGCCTTCGCCGGCTTCGCTGCTGCCATGCCCGCTGAGAACGTCGGCAACGGTGTCCAGGCCCAGCACGGTGCTCCTCGCTTCAAGGTCCCCGACAACATGACCATCCAGCAGGCTCAGGCCAAGTGTGGTGACCAGGCTCAGCTCTCTTGCTGCAACAAGGCCATCTACGCCGGTGACACCACCGATATCAACTCCGGCCTCCTCGCTGGTACTCTCTCCAACCTCATCGGTGCTGGCTCCGGTGCCGAAGGTCTCGGTCTATTCGACCAGTGCTCCAAGCTCGACCTCCAGGGTAAGTTTCCTCATTCAAGGCATCCAGAGATTTTTACTCACCATTTCCAGTCCCCATCATCGGTATTCCCATCCAGGATGTCCTCAACCAGAAGTGCAAGCAGAACATTGCCTGCTGCCAGAACTCTCCTTCCTCCGCCAGCAATGACCTCGTCGGTGCCGGTCTTCCTTGCGTTGCCCTCGGCTCCATTCTGTAAACGCCTTGCATATCAATTACTCGCATCTGCATGGAGCAAGCTTTACACCAGCCTTCTGATATTCTTTTCTATTCCTTCTATTTATTCTGTCCGCTCGTTTGTGTGAGATCATTTGTCCTTTGCATATCATAGAAGTTCCTATCTCACCTAATATATAACTTCTACATACCCAACACACACAATACCTCGTAGGATCGACTTCCATAACACACATGCTCATTTGCTTCAATTAATCTGAAACAGCGAGCATAAAACCTAGCAGGCTCCCGTTGATAATGATGACATGTACGACACCTGGGATCCCGATCCTTCTTGCCTGGGCCATGCATCAGGGCGAATTTTGTTTCCAAGATCTTGTATATAGTAGGATCTGATATCCATTCCCACTGCCTACTCTAGGAACAAACGGCACCTGATCCTGCATTTTCATTCAATTCTCTTATGGTGGTTCCTCATTTAGTACAGTATCATCGAGGCTGCTAGGTGTGGAGGCGTACTATCAAACAGCTACATGCATACAACATACAACATACAACAACCATATACATACAACACACACACAACACACATACCTGTATAGACAAGCACAACTTACAAAAGTTTCATAGTTCCGCCACCGCGCTGCGCACTAAGCCGCATCGGGCCTGGGCTAGGCGGCACTCGCAGGCAGCCGCGACTTTGGGGTAAAAAGCAACACTCATTGATCTATCGTTTAGCATAAAAGGCCATCTCTGCCACCCAAAGAATTAGACATAAACTATTCAATCTATTCCACATACCATTTCCACTACGGCACAATGCCTATCCAATGGGTAGATACTCGGGATAATTCCATCATGACACTCCCAAGACTGATAAAATCCTATATCGACAAAGAAGACCCATCATGCGCCATACATCACATGTTGTATCTAGCCGAACGCCTCCTCCTGTCCAATCACCTCACTGAGGGCCATTTGATTGCCTCAGCAGTATTCAGACTGATAGAGGACTTCGAAACTACCGCCAAGGGCGAGCGGCTAGACCATCATATCTACGTCCCAAACACTTTCGAAACCTTCTGGTATTTGCACAAATCAACCTTTCCCCGCCCGCAGAGGGTACCACCTTGGTGTCCAATTCCTTCCGAAGGATGGCTAGCTAAAGAGCAATGGGAAAAATACCGAGAATGCACCCGTACAGGCTGGATGCTGGAACACCTGGGACTCGCCGAGCCCAAGAATCCACTTTCCATCTGGCGTGAGACCGACGACCCAGCGATGCTGGCGATGTGTGCGCGACTGCTTGCGAAAACAACCACGCCGGGTACTTATCCACCAGAGAATTTAGCACGTGAGGCGCTTGGGGCTGCCCAGAAACTCTATTCAATCCCGGAAGTGCTAAATGGTGAGAGTGGCAAGAAGCCAGACGATAAAAGAAAACATTCGTTATTGGTGTACCCACGATTGGCTATCGAGCTTGCGATCCGCGTAGGTGAACTGCAGACCGCCGCGGATATACTTGGTCAAGAACTGAGACGAGACGAGTCCAAGGCCGGGAACTCTGTGACGGGCTTTTTGATGGTGCCTGGGATCTATGATGTCTTGCCTTTGTTAGCTCGTGGTGGGAAGGAGAACAATCCGTTCTTCATTCCCAAAGAGGATGCCGTGGTGATGACGAGGGAGATTACCGCCGTACTGGAGCTACGAGCTGAGCATGGAAGACAGTGGGAGTTGGATCCATCAAAGGTTGGATGGAGGGAGTTGTTGGACCGACTTTCCGAGGGAGCGTGGAAAGCGCATAACAAAGAGTGCCGGGCGATGGGGTGGAAGGGTCCGAAAGATTTGTTGTTTGAGCCTGCCACTGAGAAGGAGATTGCGGAGACAGAAGAACGTTTTGGTGAACTGCCTGCTGATCTCAAAGAGATGGTTCGCTTGTCGAATGGGTAAGTACTACCAAACTTATTGATCTGCCCGAGGGATATCTTCAATACCACGAGAGCGATGACTGATCTGTTCACCTAGATTCAAGGGCGGTTGGCACTTCTTTGAAGGTGGCATGACGGGCATTCGCGGCATGACCACGGATGGACCCGGCTATACAGACATTGCATATGATCATTACGATGATGTGTTGGGAGATTACACTACCCTCGGTAAGCTGATCGAAATACCGACTGCCACGACGAATGATGGATTTGATCATTTCATCATTCTTCCTGGAGCTTGGAAAAAGGCCATGGAGCTGTCGGGACAAGATGTTAAAGAAGGTGAATACCAATACTGGCAATGGACGGGTTGGTGGGCATGCGACATCTGTCCTTGGGATTCTGTGCGAGACTATGTTGCCGACTGCGTAGAACGTGTGGAGGAGAGGATTGAGAAGGGACAAGAGGAATATTGGAAACCAGGCCCGAATGCGCACTATCCGGGAGAAGTTGAGACCACCGAGAAAGAGAATCTTTCCCAAGATTGAATAAAGTGAGGCACACGACACTCATGAAACAATGCCATTTATCTATCTCTTGTTTTATAGTCTTTCCCCCTTTAGCACTTATCGTCTACAATTCCGCGCGGGATAACAATCAAGCAGTTGAATGCAAATTGCGCCAGTATGGCAATACCAAAAATATTGCATGCAAGTCCCTCGTGCTGCCCGGGAACTTCCATAAGCCATAAATGACTGGAAGTGTTGTTCAGGCATTGGGGAGGAGTCCGTATCTGAGACTCCCCAGTTTGCCCATCTGGCACAGAATGGGAAAGCCCATCCAATCGTTCCCCCAATGACCTGTAGTTGCAAAAGGCTGCAGCTTACACGTCAGATTGAAGCGCATTGAATTGCACAGTCCAATCCCGATCCTCCCACTGGTATACTCACATGCGATAGTTTATCTCAAATTGTTCCAGGACGCAGTGGAAATGAGCTTGATTCGTTCCAAGATTGAGGCCCGAACCGCCACCACGAGGGGCCCACCCAAGCACTGTGGTATAATGAGTCGTGGAAAAGAGATGCAAGTTGCTTGCCAGTCTGAGTTGAATCATTGGCAAGCGATTTCCATTTCCAAGATGTTATCTGACTCCAAACGAATCCGAAGTATTGCTTCGTTTGACCCACTCACTCGCATCTCCATATATGGTGTCTACATCCCAAGAAATCGGTCTTATCCCGAGTTGAATACCACGATCTTATTAGTGATTTGCCCAAAATTGGGCATTGGGCGACTTATTTCTGGAGAGAAACATTGCATTTGCTTCGTCAAGACGCACAGAGCTATATGGCCCATGCCTATCTCCCATAGAGCCTGCAGTTGATGAGGTTGGGCACCGAGCTAGTGCCCTTTTCATCTATACCACTATTACACGGGATCTGAGAGATCACAACCGTCAAGGAAGACCAGCGAATCAATAGAGAAGGCGAAAGAGCCAAAATAACGGGCCAAGATAGCCAGATATCCTGCTACTAAATGAGAGCTTCTAGGTTGAGTTTCGTACGGTGCCAGTGGCCAAGGAAAAGAGAAGCCGAATCTGCATGCACCGGAAAATGCCGGGGCTGCCCTACTTCTCGGCCACAGTCATATTGGCATACAGAGTACGGAGGTAACGGAGTACATTCTTGGAAGCACTTGTGACAGATAATATTGACTTCGCGTGAGTGACTAGCTCGAACTAATTCAAAGACCCAACTGAATTAGGTCACTTAGTCCCACAAACCGGGCTTTGGCTTGATATTCGAGAAACAAAATTGTGCGACTGTCCAACCTGAACTTCTGGCGGATTTTCTCCGAATCCATTGAACAGAGGGGAAAAGGTATGCACTTCATCCTATCTCGCGAGTAGATTGGCGCTCATGCAAGCATGAGAATTTCCGTCGATCACTACGATCGGCGATTTGCTTCACCGAATATATGAGATTGATCACAGGAAGCCATATTCCCTATCGAAGTCAGAACCACAGTCTGGACATCATAAAGCAACGTCATTTCCTCATCTTGATCAGATTTCCATTGACATCAGTTGTGCTTTGAGGATCTCCCTTACAGCGTCTAGCACAAAACCTGGTTGCAAATGCAGCTATAATCGGACACATAGCCCCTCTGAACGAGAAAATTTACCGAATCACGACTATCAATGCAGATTAAGTTTTGGACTGCATAAAGAGAAGAAAAATCTTCAAGATACCAAGTCCACTTATTCGACTTAGGGACGAGGGGCGTCCGCTTCAACTTCATTCCACCCACGGTGACCCTATCCACCGTCAAGAATATCCTCAAGTCAGAAAGACGGTTAAGCCTGGTCATAAGCGCCATGACTTGGTCGAAGCCATTTTTGAAGCTTCGCGACCGGCGACCGTGGCTGTTGCCGCTCAGATCGTCGCAGTCATTCATTGTGACCACGATTTCACTGTCCATGTTCACGGTATCCTCAATTCTTCCCTGAGCTCCAAATAACCAAGACACCAGCTGATCCAATCTTATACAGGATCTCTTTCTCTATGCCATGGTACAAATGTTCTGAACACACCCTCGATTCTTACCTGACAGCTGTAGATCGTCCCCGTCATGCCACAGGCACTAGTTTCAAGAACTGGAATAGCCTACGAAGATAGTATGCAGAAAAGAGAATGCCAAGTTAGCTAGTCATTTGCTGATTACTGTCTCTGTTAATAGGAGAGTATTGGAACAGCGTCCTCCTCATATCAGAAGCCGTCTCGGCACTTGCATGCAGCCCAATATTCGGATACATGCTAGACGTCTCTGGAACACGCCAGGGCCCATATCTATCCGGGCTGGTGTTATTATTTGCCTCTATGGTTATCTTGACTGCTTCGCATTCCGTGGCATGGTATGTGGCGGCGAGGGTTCTCCAGGGTGCCGCCACGGCTATGGTCTCGGTAGCAGGTCTCTCCATCGTGACGGACGCAGTTGATAGAGGAAGCCTGGGACAAATGATTGGGTATATTGGCACGGCCATGACACTAGGCTTTATGTCTGGTCCACTGCTGGGCGGACTGATCTACGAGCTTGGAGGATTCTATGCCGTTTTTGGCACGGCGTTCGGCATTGTCGCTATTGATTTCTTCCTGCGATTGGCAGTTGTTGAGAAAAGAACGGCGGAACGCTGGCTGTGTCTTACCGATGGTGAACAGCCAAGTGAGGAGAATGGTCATGTTTCGGAGCAGCCACCTTATGGGACCATTGGGACTACAGCCACCGGCGCTCATACTGCTACGGGAATGTCTAAAGGCACTTTTGCGCTGGGCAAGCTTTTGAGACAGCCACGGATTATCATTAGCCTGTGGGCGGTTATTGTTGGAGCCCTCGTGGTGTCAGCATTCGATGCAGTGTGTATAGGCCTTTCTATGTGTACGAATCGCACTTACACTCCTCTATAGACGCTTCCGATTTTCGTGGAGAATACCTTCCAATGGGGTGTCCTAGGCGCGGGTCTGATATTCTTACCAGGAGCTTCGGCGGCGATTCTTCAGCCATTCTTTGGTACGCTGGAACATATCATCCTACGCTTGTATACAAGGCCTTAATTGTTTTCTAGGATTCCTATCCGACCGTGTCGGGTCAAGGATTATAACATTCACGAGCTTCGCCATTCTAGCCCCGAGCCTGATCTTTCTTCGTTTCGTCGAGCACAATTCACCATCCCACATAGCTCTTCTTTGTGTGATTCTTGTGATTGTCGGTATGTGCATTGACCTAAGCGAGCCAGCATTGCTAGTGGAGATGCAGCGTGTCCTGAACGACATGGAAGCCGAAGACCCCGAAGTCTTTGGCCGCAGAGGCGCCGTGGCACAAGCCTTCAGCCTAGAAAATATGGCACATTTTGGCGGGTTGGCATTGGGGCCTATGGTAGGTGGATTTGTGGAGTTTAAGTATGGTTGGAAGGTTATGACTCTTGGGCTGGGGGTTCTTTCTGCGGTTACTGCATTGCCTACGTTATGGCTCAGTGGTCCTATAGCTCCGGACACATGGTCTGAGTCTGCCGATGACGAGATGGAACGGGAGCCTCTGTTGCCGGAGTAAGCATGCATTGATCAGACTGTATATAGTAGCACAAATGGAATTTGTGTGTCTTATTCAAGCTGAGAGCATGTCGAGTCAGCCCATGTAAGTAGGCTCGTTATAATCTCTTACCCCTACTCCGTGCAGGTGGATCATTGTGGCATTTGATATTGGCTTGTTATCATTCGACGATGTATATTTCCTTTGTGGCTCTGCTATCTGGTTCCTGTCTGCATGAATCCGACTATACTCCATGGGTGCTGTCTTTTGGTGATAGACCTGCTTGTTCCGGTCGAATACACAACATTTCACAGCGTGAGTAACCTAGAAGCAGCCACAGTCACACCAATAGGTGATGTGCGGGAATAGTGAAGGCCAAGGCAACCGGATTGCATGCTTAAAAAGGAGAGAAACTCCAACTCGACACGAAAACAGGGAGTGCTATCACAATGAAGCTTTTCGAGCAATTCCGCAAAACACTATCGGACCTGTATACCAATACACGTGCCCGACTCCCATTCTCTGCCCCGAGCATCAACGATGAGCGCAAACTCCAACAAGGAAGCTACTTCTTTCCAGCAGAGTCAGACCGCCATGAAGCGACAATCATGGGGTTCCCATCTCGCTGTTCCCTACCTCCCGATCAGTACGATGATGTTTGCAAAGAACTAGTTCAATTAGCAGCGGCTATCACCGAGTTTGAACCTGTTCGCTTGTACGTGCGGCCCGAAGAAATCCAATTGGCCAAGAGCCTAGTCAAACCCTGTGTCAAGGACGCATCCAGGATATCTATCATCCCTTGCCCAATCAATCACTGTTGGGTGCGCGACACAGGTCCCGTCTATGTACGCGACACAACAGGGTTCTTCCCGAATCGGCGCTTCGCACTCAATTTCCGGTTTAACGAATGGGGCGGCAAGAAGCCTGAAGATGATGGGGTCTGTTGGGGTCAGCGATGGCCCCTGATGAGCAAGAGTACACTGCAGGAGAACGCAGATTTTGCACGCTGGGTGATTGAGCACGACAATGATCCCGGTGCTGTCACGCGAATCGAGTCTCCGATTCGTGCTGAGGGCGGCGGTCTTGTAACGGACGGCGAGGGAACCCTGCTTATCACCGAGAGTAGCATTGTGTGTGATGTACGCAATCCTGGGATGTCCAAGGCTGAGATTGAGATGGAGCTGAAGCGGTTACTTGGGGTTGAAAAAGTGATATGGTTCCCTGGGCGGCGCAATGTTGATATTACCGATGTGCACATGGATGCCGAGGCGAGGTTTGTGCGTCCTGGTGTGATCGCTTACTCAAAACCCCACGCTGTTTCAATTGAACTGTGGCAGGAGCTGTCTGCAGAGATCCTGGGGATTCTGGAACGCGAGACCGATGCCAAGGGGCGGCAGTTGCAGATCCACGCCATCGAGGAGCCCGACCCACGAGGCTTGGTCCAGTCAGATCAGGATGAGTTGTCAGCAAGCTATGTGAATTTCTATTTTGTCAATGGTGGCTTGATTATTCCAAAATTTGGCGACGAAGAAAGGGACCAAAAGGCGCTGGAGATGTTGCAGGGACTGCTCCCTGAGCGGGTGGTTCGGCAGGTGTATGCTAGTGCCATTCCCCTTACTGGAGGAGTGCTTCACTGCGTCACTCAACAGGTTCCTGCAATGAAGAACCAATGAGTCGATGGGGTACTGGAATATCGAGGGCTTTTTTCGCTTTCTTTTTTGGGGACTCTTTGTCAACGTGCATACACCATGAGGTTTGGGAATAGTTGTTCAGATGCAAACAAGTTCTTACGTAGACATCGCACAACATATGTTAATTTTATATTGAATCTGTACTTGGGCTGACGGCTATGTTCTTTCCCGGCCATTCTGACTCTAACTAGCCCGTGAAACCAATCTTTGGGGTGTCTGAGGAAGTCCAAACGCGTTAGCGATGCCATGTCATTTCACTGGAACTATTATACTTGGCCTATACCTATCCACCACCGAGTCACCAGATAACACAATGCGAAACATCCCAATGTTTTCAAGAGACCAATTCTACCTCGAATCGACCAAGCCCTCTGCGACATGTATTGCATTGTATTGTGTCCGACCACAGTGTAACAGAATAAATGCCCGACGAAGCCGATATACTTCGGTGTACGGAGTATATCGCATACAGCTAAGCACAAGGATCGAGGCGCTAGACCGATCTAAAGTGGAGAAAGCTGAAATAGCGCAAGTGATAGCTCAGAGTCTCCAGCAAACATTGCCTTTCCCTGGATTTCTTTTCTTTTTGCTGAGCTTCAGCTCCACATGCGTAGATCGGGACATCCCTTTAGGCAAAAGCAATGATGGTTCCTGCATGCTGGAACTCGAAATTGAGTTTCTATTATATGAGAAATATTCAATGGCCCATATGTGCTGTTAGTACTCCGTAATCCGTATGTGGGCTTTTTATTTGGCACAGACACTCGTCCAGCATTCCCGGGAGCCACCAGCCCCGACATCTCAGCTGTCTCATATGAAGAAACATGGCATTGACTTGAGCTACGCTGTAGTCACACTGCCCAATAATGTAGTCAGTATAGATCGTATTGGTTCACTTGTGTGACGACGTTCTCCCTTGAAGTTTCGCCATACTACATCCGCCTCGTGCATCCAGCTCGACACCCTCACTCATCAAGACTTCACACGCAAATAGACACATCAATTGCGATAGTAATATGCTCATATTCACCATAGCTAACTTTAAATCCTGCAGAATTGCCGCAATCGGCCGATCTATTGCCTAATTGACGAGGTCTTCATCCCCACGCATATCCTATGCAAAGCCCTAAAAAGACACGCATCCTGTGTCAATACAACCATCATTGGCTCTCTCACAGACGAACTGGGGACTCGAAGTCTTTTTTTATCCCGTACGACTTATTGCTTATTCCTTTCCGTGAGATCCAACGTAATGCAGCATTCTAGCTGCGCACACACTCGCTTTTGGGTGCTTTGTTTTCCCCTTCGTCTTCGAGTCTCGCATTGATCAATTCTCTGAGCTTCTTTAACCAGTTTATTCACTCAGGGCTCTCTCAATAGCCCTACAAGATATCTTGCTAAAAGCGCACATTCAATCTCTGTATCACAGTCCGACCGGTTGTCCCATTGGAATGTTGTTGCAGTTCCAAAACTCCCCATTCTCTCCAGTCCTCCTCGACCGAGTCCTCCCCGCAATTATGGCGCTCCTCCCGGCTCCTCGTGAAGCTGTGCCCACTGGCAAAGTCATACATTCCACCGGATATCGAAATCCCTCACCCGAGGAGCTGATCGATCTCGCGATCGAGAGTCACATCGGCCGTATCCTCAAACGATCTCTCGTTGGTGGCGATGAATCATTCTTCATTGCCGATCTGGGACAGCTATTACGACAGCATCGGCGGTGGACTCAACATATGCCCGGCATACGGCCGTATTATGGTACAAGCAACCCCATTCATTATTCATTATGTTGTCCCTTTGGCAGCAGACGGATTTGAAACCCCCAGTTCGTGTGCCAAAGGAAAAAAGAGAGAGAAATTGACATCTTTCTGCAGCTGTCAAATGCAACAGTGACCCAACATTCCTGAAAGTCCTCGCAGAGCTGGGAACAGGGTTTGATTGCGCTTCTATCGAAGAAATCCGCACAGTTCTCAACCTCGGCGTGGACCCAGCCCGGATCTTGTTCGCAAATCCATGCAAAGCACCCGCCGCGGTAGCCTTTGCACGCGAGGCTGGTGTGCTACGAACGACATTCGACAACATCGATGAACTGGATACCATCAAGACACACATGCCCGAAGCGCAGCTGTTACTCCGGATCTATGCGAATGACAATGGCGCATTCATCTGCCTAGGAGAAAAGTTCGGTGCGAAATTGGACACGACCGAGCAGCTTCTGTCAAGGGCGTGGGAACTCGACCTGAATGTAATTGGTGTTAGCTTCCATGTTGGTAAGTGGGTGTTTGTATTTACAATCGCTCACATGTGATTGACGTTGAGACTGTTAGGAACTGGTGCTGCAGATCCCGGATCGTTTTGCAAGGCTATCAAAGATGCACGTCTGGCTTTTTCACAGGCTGAGCGTCTAGGGTTTCACCCGAAGATTCTGGATATTGGCGGCGGGTTCCAGGATAAATCCTTTGAAACTATGGCTCCTATTCTTCGAGACGCACTGCGGTCGGAGTTTCCAGCTGGTATCACCACGATCGCAGAACCGGGTCGGTTCTTTGCTCGTAGTGTGTATACCCTGGTATGTCGAGTGATTTCACGTCGGCGACAACTTGGGAGTGCGGCGCTGGCTGGGGTGCCGGACATGCTGTATCAGAATGATGGCGTATACGGGAACTTCATGAATGTGATGGTGGAGAAAGAGATCATGACTCCTTATTTGGTCAAGAGCAAGAAGGCCAGGAGTGTCTTATTGCACAAGACTAAGACCACAGGGGAAAGCGGAAGAATGAATGATGCAGTGCAACAAACAGGCCATCGATACTCGATCTGGGGACCTACATGTGACAGCACCGATTGTGTCGTGCGCGAGGTGACCCTTGAATCTGAAGTCAAAGTTGGAGACTGGCTCAAATATAAGAATATGGGAGGTGAGAATTACCATGCGGATTTGCAGGTTGGAATATAGGACTGACGGTTCTGCAGCATATACAAGTACCACTGCTACTCAGTTCAATGGCTTCAGCAGTACCTTTGATACATTTTATGTTAACAGTGAAACGCTGCTTGACTATTAGTCGGCACTATGGCCGTTTCTCCTTCCCCAATTGGTTCAAGGGTTTATAATTAGCCAATAACTCCAAATAAGACGTCCATGAGTAGCACTTCCCAAAGCTCTGTGCTAATGGAAATCTTGTATTGAACTTGTCAAGCGCACCCTCGATGTTGTCTGATATCAGAAGAGTATGCATGCAAAAGCAAGAGTAATAGAGCGGCATAGGACACGCGAGTTGTTCACTGAGAATGAACGAGTTTAGCAGCTCTTTATGTTGTTACTGTTAGGGCGAATGCCTTGGCCATGCTCGAATTAATCACCCAAATCGAGACTTCCTTTTGGAGGTGCAATTCCGGGAGCTCATGATAAATGTGACAAAAATGATGAGACATGGGTAATCAATGGTGAATGGGATGTCGAATGTATAGCCAGCTTTAGAAAATCAACTTGTCGAAGTCAATGAACGTTCACCATGAGGGAAGAACATAGTGAGCATCCTATAAAATGCTTATACTTGAAAATTGAAAGTGCAAAACGATGAATAGCCTGCATTCATTCAGCTTGAGCCCGCAGCCTCTTGCGTATATCTATCCCAAAGAAAAAGACTATAAAATCCATGATTAGAATGGCAGGATGATCAAGCCCATCCACGGCAAAAGATGATAAAATAAAAAAATAGCACGCTCAAACAAACACCATAATTTCCAGGGTTTTCCAATCACTCCAGGTGGAGTGATAATAGCAGAAAGGATATCAATCATGAGAAAAAAAGGGAAAAAAAAAGAATGATGAGAGGGAAGACATAGGGATATTGCCGAGATAGGAGACAGAAATGAAAATAAAAAAGTTATAAAAGAGAGACAAGAGCAAGCTCTTGGACGACATTATACCTTCTCCATCCCGGACATCGAGACATCGTCTTGAATCGCGTTCTCGGGGAGAGGCTGTTTGATATCCATGTCGTATGAGTGAGCGCCAGGGGTAGGCTCGCTCTGCTTCTCCATGTCGGATGAAGCCCGGTTCTCGGGGCGTTTCCGGCCCAGCCGATCGCACCAGTGCTCAGCACTGACCAGTGTATCATTGACGACGCCACTGACTTGAGCCATCATGTCTAGGCCCTCTTGTGCAAGAACCAAGATGCGATGGGCACTGACTGTAGCATCCGACGATGCAGCCGGGGAATCTGGCGGTGGCTGCGATGTGGATGCAACCTGGAAGCGGTGCGGCAGGGACGTCAAGTGTCGACGCACCAAATAGCGGGCATTTTCTGGCAGAGCACCTCCTGCATACTTGGAGACCACATCCACGACCTGTTTCAAGGTCGAAAGCACATCGGCCTTGACAGCTTGAATGCGCTGAATAAGCAACGAGGCGTTTTCTTGGCCACTGCCTCCTGCCTCGATATCCGATTGTGATCGTGATTTCTCGGCCTCCCATTCCTGAACAGCCCCATGTAGTGCGACAATCGACTTGCCCAATCGACCATTCGCCCATCGAAGCCAGGTCAGACAGTACTGCAGACTACGCAGCGATTCTTCGCTCATGGCGACTCCGAGACCAGAAGTCGAAATCACCAGTCGACTTTGCCATGTCGCCGATGTGCGTCTTCCAGGCTTCTCTTCGTAGTGAGGAGATCTCATCTCATCGTACGGAGGAAGCGACTCGGCCATGGACAAATCGGACGAGCTCCGTGTTCGCGGCTGTTGCTGGGCTGGACCGTCTGGACCGTTTTCCACGTCCATCGTCTTCGGTGATACATTCTCATCCATCTTTCGTCGCTTTTTGGCGTGTTTCGAGTTATCGTTTGAAGAATCCCGTCGCTGCAGCGCCCAGCGAAGACCACTTTCAACACCAGTCTTGCGGCCTACTGTACCAACGGTGTTCGCGACGGGGGATCCGATATTGCGCTCGATAAACTCTGCACCGGACTTAAATCGCGGTGAGTACGATTTCGACGTGGCATACGCAGATACTGAGCCGTTGATAGCAGAGGAGATAAGGGGATGGGACGAAGTTAGTAGAGACAAGAGTGGCTCTGGCCGTGGTGGGTCCGGCGAAGCGATGGGAAGGGATTGTCGCGCCGTTCGAGGAGAGTGTCCGAAATCTGTATTTTATCAATTAGTTGAGTCTTCGTCGCACGGCTATCCAAATCCAGCTAGAACCGCAGTTGCGATACTCATGGTGGGCTGACTTGGGCATATCAGAGCGACATACCGGAACGAAGACCCTCGAGGGCCTGCGCGGCTTCAAGGTCATCCATGGATAATACACTGGCAGCTCGATGGGACCGGTCTTCTGATTTATCGGCATCCATCACTGATGGATGAGCATTATGGAATGGCGGAGCTGGAAGTGATGGGTTGAGATTACTTGTAAGCGCGGAGGGGACCGAATTGGCCGGCGAGGTCAGAGCTGTGGCGTTTGTCTTTCGGGCAGGTAGTCTTGGCCCAGCGATTTTCGGGGGTTCCATGGCGGGCCACAGATCGTCCATAGAGAGAGAGAATCATGAACCCCAAGGTCGTCGGAGTTTCGCATCGTCTTTCACGTGAAAAAGTGTCACATAGACACTAGGCCCAATTGGGAAGGAAGATCGGGGTCCGATGAGGTAATCACATTTTAGTGTAGGGAGGTACCTCCTCAGCCGTACATCCCGCTATGGAGCCCCATGTACCTTTTTTAATCACATGTCAAATATAGAAACCCCAACAAACCTCCATTCGTCCCTCGACCTTGATCTTACCGAATGCCGGCTTTGGAAATGGAACGTGGTCATTTATGGAGCACCTTTGATTCGACATGGCCGAGAAAGCCCATCACAATTGTGTTCTGTACAAAGTAGCCCTCTCGCTACATGGATACAACGACCTGCCTACTCCGTATCCAGACCACAACTGGTGTGTCCAATCGATGATCCTCACTCCGCCTGATATTGAATGCTGGACGCAGCGCATACCACATACGGAGTGCTCCGTACTCCGTACGATAAAGACGCCTAACAACTCCGTAGCCCGCATGAAATAGCCCATCTCCAGCGGAAAAGTCTCCATCCCAAATAAAACCAGGCCCCCCCTCATCATGATTACACCATGTTTTCCTTACTCCGTACTCCGTGGATGTAACTCAACTAGTACCGTACCCCTGCGTGCATCTGCGCTAGGATGTGCTCGACAGGTCGAATACGAGAGCGATTGTGATTCCCCATCGGCCGTGTCAACCATTATCCACGAACCAGATCATGCAGATCTAATAATGTACCGTGTTTGGCTCACTCCGCCGGTTGCACTTCTCTCTCCTTCTCTGCTCGGTGTTCCATACCTTGTACGAACCCGAATGTACATTGAGATTGACACCGGAAGACCTTGCTCCGTCCTATCACATGTATACCAGGCTGGTTTCTTCTTTGGCGTGTTCCATTTGCCGCTTTGTTTCCCGGTACGAGATGTACCTACGACGCTCGTTGCCAAGAGTTTTGATTTTTCATCTTTGGGCAGTCACACTGGGGAGTCCCTCGAAGGCGACTTTGTAGTTTCTCGCTTTGTTTTTAATCTATACAACATGGGCCTAAGCTCATAATTGGCCCCATGCCGCTTGTTCCGTTGATGTCGGCATGTGATGTGGGGGGCGTTCAAGTGGACAGTCAGGGATTAGAATGGACTTTCTCGACTTCGGAAGTACACTTGCGACCTCCGATGGACAATTTAAGCATTCAGGCAAAGGTTCTTTGGGAGGGTCGCTTCGAAGTACACAAGTTTATGTTGAGTTGCAACATGTGAACAGGCCAGAGGGATCTATCAACGCAGACATATGCCAAAAGCAAAAAAAAAGAGCAAGGTATCTCATGCTATGCTAACAATAACAGGCAACACAAATATCGCTCAGAATAAAAGGAATGCAAATCAAATACATGCTCGCTATGGGCGTCACTCGTAAATTGTTCAAGTATTCTCGTTGCCACCGATCTTCGTAATGTGCGACCGGTGCCTTCTAAAAAGAAAGCATGGCTTCAATGGCATCTTCGTCTTCATACTCATCCACGTCGTACGTCTCATCACCAGGCAATTCGTTGGCTGTGAGATGGGACACCATTTTCTGATTCACTCGGTAGCATGCGATCACCTCATTTGTGACGAGACGGGATGGCGAGACAGAAGCCTTGATCTCGCACAATGTCTCACCAAAGGCGTGCAGGATGAACCGCGAACGTGAACATCGATGGTAGGCATGAGAAGCTAGCAATCGGCGCCACTCATTGCGGCTATTTTGCCAAGTGTGAATGAGCGGATGTCTGCCCGTTTTGGGGGAGTAAGTGCGGCCGCACTTTCGGCAGCTTGGCGTGAAATGATAGAGAATTCTCCGCCCGTAGAAGAAGAGTGTCCTTGGTTCCATTGCTTGTATAATTTGTCTATCGATGTTTCAACTTCACGAAGGACAGCTTTCAGCTCCTCGCTGTGCTCAGAATGAGCCTTTGATGCTTCAAGAGCTTCGTTCCACGGACGGATGAGATCATCATCCAGTTGGTTCTGGATTTCATATTCTGGGAACGCCTCGTTGAGACCTTTCAGAATCCTAAAAAGCTCGGATTTGGCAACCTCAAATTTGAGGAAGTCGACAATATTCGTCTTCTTGTGCTTGCGGTCTGAGTTCCGATAGGCAGGAAGCGCTCGTTGCTTAGGGCTGATGGTTTTGCGGTATTCCTTCCAGGCTTGGTTTGAAAGATGGACTCCACCTTTCCGCCCATCCACAAGATGGCTTAAGAGACAAGCCAGCTCTTTTGCCTTTGGAGAGTCAATTGACTCGTCATATGCCAATTTCTCGTGCTCAACGGTGCATCGACCGAGGCTTGAAGTGTTAAGGTTAAAAGCGAACGCGCTTTCCAGGAAGTCTTCCGTCGACCCCAATGATGCCATCGGAACAGAATGTTTGGTCAGTCCGTAATGCTCTGGCGGGTATTCATGCGCGGGCATGGGAGAATTCCGGAAATTTTGAACAATCATTGGATCCCAACAGATCCACGGCGTATCGCCATCGTAATCTCCACCAGAGAGCATACCGGCTAGTGGGAAATCTCCCTTGGTAGGAAACACAATCACATCTTTAAAATGACGTAGTTCGGTTTTCCAGACTGCTTTGCGTCGTTGAATATCAGAAGGCACATGCGCTGGGAGTCGACCAACGAGAACGTCTACTCCATCAAGCAAGTTGTCTTCGAACTGGCCCTGTGGATCCCGCCAATTATTCGAAAAGCCGAAGTGAACTTCATCCGGCTCAAGAACTCCATAGGGATCTGCAATGCAATAAGCGTAAGTCGAAAGAGGAACTTGGATTTTAAGCTCATCAACATGGCGCTCAAGAAGCCATGTCAAATACTGGCGGATCTTCATCCGAAGTGGATAAAAGTCTCGTGGAGCAAATCCAGCTTCTGAGAATCGGATGATAGACTCGCCATCATTGGTCGCCCATTGCTCTAGACGTCGAGCTTTGCCAGTCCCATCCTCGCCAGAAGGTTTGAGTTTCTGGAGCAGTGCTCTGCAAACAACGGGGCTGTTCGCACGTAGGACCTGAAGAAAGTCATCGTAAAGGCTCTGTACACCATCACGAGTAAGCTTAGCAATGTATTCTTTTACATTGGCCCCATACTCCAAGATCGCAAGTAGCTGGATGTTGAGGTCCACTGGGTGTAATGGTTTGGCCCAGTTGACAACTTCAAACGTCAGCTTTTCATCATCGACTGGGTCAGACCATTCCTGTGGATGTGGATGGATCTTCAGTTGTGAATCTGAGATTTGAATCCAGATGGCATCATCGTTCATAGTATGAATACTTGAGTTATGGCAGTCAACCATCCAGAGACCTTTAGCGCCTGCGATTCTGCCCTGGAAGCAACTGGGTGTGGCGGTGGTGATTCCCAGTTGATCGCAAACTTGATTTGCAAGAGCTCTCGATATCAAAGCACATCCATCATTCATGACAGTTCGAGATGGATCATCCTTCAGACGTAATACTTGGTCTGGCTTTAAGACAACCGTGGCGAAAGTTTTTGATAGCCCGAGAGATATGCGCTGGAAGAGCTTACAATTGCTTTGATTACCGTTTGCAGATCTGGGCATATGCCATTCAAGCAAAGCTTCTACACTCATCCGAGTATGGCTGTCATTTTGCTGCCCAGGCGGAGCTATAGATGGCGGCAGCGGATATCTCCGATCGAAGTCTTCACCATCGACAGCAAAGAACTCAACACGGAAACGAGGCTCAGCTTTAACTTTCCGCTTGGACTTTAGTTCTTCGACGAAGAATGCTCTCCATGTCCGCCCAAGACATCGGTGAGAATTCTGCGCCAGCCAGGAGGCAATACTCTCACGCAGGGCAGACGGGTAAGAGGGCTGTTTTTGATGACTAGGCGGCCGATCTGGGGCTGGAATGGTGAGAGTAAGGAATCTATCCGACCCAAATCTTCGATGGAATCGGCATGTCCGTTCTGGCTTCAGCGGGTTGAGTTTCATTTTGAATATACCCGACTCGGACTCTTCACACCAGTCCAAGTCCCCAGACAATATGATCGTCTCTGAATGTCTACCTGCTTTAAAGTCACCAACAGCAGCATCCCAAGCTCGGCGCGGCGATTTCTCGGGCATCGGGCGGTCATATCGTTGAGCGAGCGTACTAACCCATGACCAGAAACCATCTTGAGTATTGAAGGGAAGACGGTCGCCAACAAGAATCTCTTTAAAAGGCATACCCCAAGAGCGTGCAATGCGCTCCAGCTCGTATCGAAACCGGAGTGGTATTTTCGCTGAGAAGGACTCTTCCGCCGAAAACGGACCGTAGGACAGAAGCTCGCCCACAAACTCCTGTTTGAGAGAAAACTCCGTCTCAGCGGCGTCGGCATTGACCAGCATGGAGATAGCAGCAGCGTCCACGGTTCGTTTCATCTCGTCGCTGATCATGTACCCAACAACTGAGTCCGCGTAAGTCGATTGGGTGTCGACTTCATCAGAAATCTCCGTCATGACTGTGTCGAATGATTGTGCCATGTCACTGTCACGAGACATGAAAATCGATGAAGCAGCCGTCGTTGAAAAGCTCGTACTGGCTGACTGAGACATAGTATTACGTTTTGATTCATCGGATGCCGCACTGAGCTTTTCAAACAAGGTAGGCTTCTTAAACTCGACATCCTCCTCAGCAGAAGGAGTTTCTTTGGTAGAACGACTGCCAAATCCAAACGATCGAAGATCCATTTGTTTCATAGGTGATTTGGAGGGTGACTTGACAGAAGTCCTGGAGGGCGATTGACCAGATCCTATGGCCCTCGCTGGCGACCGAGCAACCCCTTGAGCCTTCGCTGGCAAGGATGTACCCGTCGACCTTTTCGCCGGAGGAGCATTGCCTTGGAGTTTGGACGATGACCGAGTGGGCAACTGCTGGAATCCTTGACGCTGCACTGCCTGTTCTTTTGCGGGGGTGGAAAAGTCGACGAATACTTCGCTGGCGAATTGAACTTTTCTTGGCTCTTGCCAAATGACTGAGTGGTTCCACCATTCCTTCCAGGCAACGGATGAATTTGGCCTTCCCGTGACGAATTGCCCGCTGACCCTTGCGCGGGAATTTGGGTTGTTCGATGATGGTTCACTGGTAAGTTCATTACACCCGAAGTCCTCCGATACCCTTGAAAGGCAGCCTGCATCTTCTCGGGAAGCTGTACGTTTCCATCGCCATTCTTCCCTAGTGGTGACTGAGCCAGGAGATAGCTCTTCTCGGGTGAATTGGGCGCGGTATGGAATTGTTCGTCCTCATCATCGTCGTTTTTGTCCAACCTTCGTTTCTTTGGTGATAAGCCCTTGGCCTCCCCAAAAGAAATGACAGCTAACCTTTTCTTCGTGTTTATCACACGACCATTTGCAAGAAAATATTCTTCATCTTTCATGAGCGATAGCAACTGTTTCATGCACTCATCCCTCTGAGGTCCAGTGAGCTTAAGTTGCAGCGGGGGTTCCTCGCTCGAGTGTCGTTGGCTCGCCCGACGAGCTGCCGCTGTCTGACTAGCTGAGTGTTGGGCGTGGATATGGTTACTGGCCGGTTGCAGATTACCGCGAGCCCATTCCTCGAGGTTGTCCAGCAGGGACCTCTTGTCGATCTTTTTATTGTAGAACAGGGGCCGGATGTGCTTGTAGATCTGACTCGGAAGGCTGGTATCCTTTTCCCGGGCCGAGGGGGACTCAATTCCAGGGAGGGGGATCTCAAGATCGAATTTGCCATTGACCCTGGCGATGAAGGTGCGGAAATCCTCCTTTTGATTGTGTGGAGTCGTCGGGTTCTCCATCTTCATGGCGGAATGTAGAGCACACTAGGTGCCATTCAAACCTTCAGGAACCAGAGTTGAGACCGAGCTAACTGTGCAGATTGTGAGAGAATTGAAATGACCTGGCTGTGTTTGTCGACGATCATCAGTCTCTTGAGAAGAAGTGGTAGTGGGGGTAAACAAACCACAGATTTATCCAGTCACTTTGTGCGCGATTCTGCGAGAATGAAGGTCGAAGGGTCCAGCACCACAGTTCAGAAGCAACTCATGTCCCTATGTAGTTTGGTCACCTCCTCAGCCTCTTGACTCGTCAACTTTTGAGGGATGGTTGCTGCGCAGCAGAACTGTTTACCCGCACCAATTTCGGGTAGCTGCTAGTAGCGCCCCCACCTGCGGGCGAGTCACTGTCACGGCTCTCCAGTTGAACGGGGAGAACGAATCTCGATTGCCCTCGAAGCGAACCTGCATGGTGGCTGATGTCTGCGCCCGTGAGGTAAACGCTTCAGGGTCGAGGAAATCGATACCCCAAATTTGGCCCCCAGGCCAAGCCTCAAATTCGAGGGGTCGCTCGCCGGTACGGATAAGAACATGCATCTTCAGGCACCTGAGAAGTAAACGATGAAGGTCTTGTCCTCTATATATCGGTTGATACAGGCTGGATGGGTCCACGTCTATGGAGATATTTCATCGCTTCGGTACTTAACCCGATCAGGGCTGTTTGTACAGGGAGCTAGGGTAGATGCAGATAAAATTAGGTACCTTCTGGGTGAAACATCGGCTGTTATAATATACTCCTTGTGGTCGAGGTACGGAGTAGAATGTTCCATAAATAACATTCGCTACAGTAGAACCAAAGAGAACATTCAGGATAAACGAGGATCTATCACTGGCTATACGCCGAAGGAGCTCGGATGACTGCCTGCGTTCCCCTAGGCAACGAACTGGATCCGAGACACCGATCCTCACAAGGTAGAAAGCCGCGCTGAGGATGTTGCTGACGACAGCGATAAGAGGAATAAAATGGTTGAGAGGCGATTCATCAGAGTTGTCTAAGAAGTTGTTCGCTATAACCAAATCCCCCGGATCTTCTCATATTCAGGGGATGCCCACTTAACCATCCACTCACATCTGAGAATCTGCTTTGCCGTCGAGCGGTTTTCAGGCCTGAATTCAAGTATCGACTTCAGCATCTGAAATATCGCATCACTCTCAGCCGGTCCAATGCGCGACATCCCTTCCCTCCCTCTCGGCTGCTGAATATCTTGTTCAAACCTGTCCTCCCACGAGCGATAAGGGTTCCGATTTATCGGCTTCCCGTCTTCCGTAAATCTACCATGTCTCCCCTCCCATTTACACCACCATTCTGGGGGTAGCATCCCAAGGACATCAATCTGCTCACAAGTAATGCTATCTTCGGTCGCGAACAGGCCGTCGAAAAGCGAGCTCTGGCCAAGGATATTCCATAAAGAGCATCCGAGTGACCAGATATCTGACGCGAAGGATAGAGACCTGTGCGGTTCGAACCGAGCCTCCGGTGGTCGACCTGTAAGTGGAGTGTGGGACTGATATCGCTGTTGCTGGCTGGGGGAGAAAACCTCACCGAAATCGCTGAGTAGGATTTTGGCTTCTGAGAGTTTCAGTTTGTCACTTGCTTCGCCAAGCCAGAGTGGTAAAACAGCGCGAGATGGCATATTCGATGGGAGCGGTTGTCCATCGAAACGTCTTATGGCTTCGAACTCCGGTTCTCCGTAGGTTTGGTACAATTCCTCCACGGAAAGTTGGTTCACGTCAAACGGTAACTGGAGAAGAACATTTGCATTATGAAGATCTCCGTGCACAAGTCCCTGGGAATGGACGTAGTCAACTGCAAGGACCAGCTGTACAGCTAAAGCCCGAGTAACGTCCAACTGGAAAAGGCGGTTATATGAGCCATCTTTTGCATCGGCGAGACTCATTCTTGCCGGGTTTGTCACGTAACAAGGGTGTGTACCATTTGTTCCCTGTATTTCGAATTTATCTAGTACCGAGGGTATCATTTTCTTCCCTGGGCTAGTGCTTGAGCCTTGTTGCGAGTTGGAAAGTTCCGAAAGAACGCTGATTTCCCGCGGGTTTGAATCCGCGGTACACACTTTGATGGCGACGTATTTGCCATGTTTTTGATCTTGGGCCAGCCAGATCGTGGAGTACGTGCCGTGACCGAGTTTATGAACCACTTGGTAGCGATCGTGAATATGATCACCGATTGTTATGCAGTGATAGCCTCCTATGCGATAGCCCTCTAGTTTTTCTACTCCCTCGATGGGCTCATAGAGTTGACCTGGGAGATCATCACTATAAGAGTGATATTTGAGCGTAGTAGTGCAGGAAAAGCCGCGAGATTGAGCCTGGTAATGCTGAGTTTGTCGGGCTTCGCTAGGGGCGGAATGAAGATGAGAAATGAACAAACGCGTCTGGAAAGACCGAAACGGGCGTGGAATCAAATTCCTCATCTTGCCGCTAGCTCTGAAGTTGAAGCCCACTCATTTGAAAACAATCAGTATAGACTGGGACATAAGCCGTAGTAGGTTCATGTTTATTCCTAGGGGTCGACCGGAACATCCCCTTCCGGGAGATAAATGCCCAAAGAGGAGCTTTGGAAGCGGGATATTTACACAGTTCCTACCTCTGTTCTTCAAAATCAATCACAATAGCCGTCGAGTTACGAACAAGAAAGTTGACCCGATTTATACCACCATGCATGATACCCAAAGCATGTAAACGAGTGAGTATTTGCCGACAGACACAAGATCCTTCAGTTCAGCATATCGCACATCAGTGACATGCTCCAAGATGAACCCAATAGCACGACCATTTTCAGTGAGATGTCCCAAGAGCCGGGGGCCATTGCCAGGATCTTTAATCAACCGTTGGGCACAAGTCTCGCCCTCCATGTACCCAATCTCCCAGGGAAAGCGGGCGAACTTAACAACCACAAATTCCTCAAAACCCGGACATTTTACTTCGTAGATGCCTGATCGAAGTTTCTCATCCACTTCCAGATCCAGCTAATCAACGAAAATGGTATACCATGTACATAATTTCAATCCCAGGAAATGAGGTTCAAGTGGCGCGCGCAAAGTATGGCTTGCCAGTTTCTGGATGTATGCTTACTAGTCCGTCGTTTCAATCGCCTGTGCGGAGATCGGGGAGAAGAGAGGCTAGAGATGGACCGAAGCACATATCTTGCGTGCTCCAGATGTCCTGAGCGATGGCGACATACTTGACTGAGCCATTGATCAGAATGCGAAAATAGCTTTCGTCATCATCGTCCACTTCTGCTCGGAGTAATGTGTTGGCACACTGCATGGAGGGGGAGTTGCATTGCGGCTGATGATTGCAGCTGGAGGATCGGATAGAACCTTGTTGGGTCCAATGAGACAGTGTTCCTTACGTTATGCAGGCTCTATGCAGGGTTTCATGTCGATTTCACACGATGTCTCTGAATTGACTCAGGCACTACGGTGAGTCTACAGAGTTGACGAGGAATTCAACGCTTTATAATTTCACACACCTCTCTACTCCATGTTCGGTGATGTGTTGTTAGGGCTTGATGAAGAACCCGGGATCAAAGATTTATATTTGTATTTATATCTGAAAAGAACCATGCACCTCAACTGCCGATGCCGGCATTGTAAAACGGACTAGCCCAGCCCTCTCCATGAGAAAAAATGAAACTCCAAGACGCTGAACTCCGTATGACCATCGCTCAAGGACTCATACACAGTACATAGGGATTTTGTACCCTCTTAGTGATGACCCTTTGTGTAATATCGAACAGATTTCGTAACTCGTATCGGGCATCGCCCGCTGCCACATCCCATCGAAGGAAATAAAGAAAATGTGTTGAACAGTAAGTGGAGCGGGAATATATAAGTTTGACAATTCCAAAGTTGGGTCACATAGATCGTCAGTAGAGTCCCATGCGATTACCCCAGCCGTCAGCGCGAGGATTGACGACAACTCGGTAGGGGAACGGGTTGGACTCGCTGGTAGTGATGGGCGGAATATGGTCTTTGTCACGGTTGACAACACTCAGAATTTTCAAAGCAGCTTTCTGGAGCATATTTCCCATTGCCTTGCGGACTTTAGCACGTTCTGGAACTACGTTAGCAGGGTGGCGCCGAACAGAACGAACGAACAGACTGTACATACCAGATTCAGTGCGCGGTGTCGCGATAGTTACGTCGAGTGTCCAGATCTCCCAGCACACCTCCTCCTCGCCTTTCCCTGTCAGGCCACCAAACCAGTGCCCTGAGCGACGTCGCTTCTTCTCATAGAACTCGACTGCGATCCGTCCTCGCACACCCCCACCCCCGCTGGCAATCTGGCCATCATGTCCGCCGGCCGCGGAGGAGAGGTGCTGCCGGACTAGAGACGATACACGCGAATCGATCAGTGTCTCTAGATCTGCATCATTGATAGCGGGAAGTGTGAAATCGAGCACGTCGAAGGTGACCGGGCGGATGGAAGGGAAGTAACGGTGAAAGAAGATGAGGTTCAGGACACCTGGTATGAAACGTTATTTAGTACTGCAAGCGCATATCTGTCATCTTCATATTACTGACCCTTCAGCACATCTCGCACATGAGTAGTGTCGGCGAAGATCTCCAGGAAGTACTCCGGAGGGGTTTTGCGGGGTTCCATCCCCGCCATGACGCAGCTCGCAACCAGACCGGTTGGAGAGTAGTCTCAGACGGTGTTGGTGAGAGGGAGAGTGTGTACTATGCGTACAAGACAGAGGAGCAGTGAGCACGGTGACTATGTCACATGGGGAGGTTGACGTAAGGTGGAATGATGCTGATAATGGGAAGGGGGGCGGCCTGTATCGGCTCTCGGGCGCAGCCGACTGAAGCTTATCGCTTATCATCAAACCGGGGAAAGGCCGCTGACAAGAACAAAGGTCTTGTTTGCAGATTTATCGCAGGAATCAGAAGAAGATATAGGAAAAGAGGCATACAGGGATCAGCGGGTTGTTAGCGGATGGCGCCGAATCCGGGGGAAGCTCTAGTGAAACATAGCGCTCAGTCGCTTTGGGACGATTAGAGCGATTTAGGCAATTATAGGAGTTGGGAAAATTCCGAGACAGCTAGAGTGTTTTATAAGTGCGAAGAGAGCTCAACATAGCTCTGAGGTTGTGGTGCTTCATATGTGACCACTCACCCGTTGCATGGGGACGGTGAGCTCTAGCCGAGGCCTGAAACTCGCGATCAGCCGCCCGCAGACTGTCCTTCCATCTACGGTGTACTTCGTACGGAATCCATCATCATTTTCATGCCATGATTAGACTTGTCGCTTTATTTTGATTATTTCAATAGAGCACCAAACACAATCGATATGATCGGTGCGACGAGGCGCTGGTTTAAGCGCAATCGCAGAGGTCTTGCAATCGGGGCCGGGGTGATAGGAGCTGGCTATTTGGCCGGGCAATATGTGTTATCCAAGATCTCCGAGGCGCGGGAGCGTATGAGCAGCGATAGGATTGCTCGCGAAAAGTTAGTTCCCCTTCTTATTGATGGCTGTTCTGTCATTCCGCTGGCAAGCATGCGAGCTTGTAACGGGTGCAACCCCGACCAGAATCCCCCGGACCGAATTCACTGACCGTGGCAATAGTCTCCGCCGACGATTTGAACAAAACCAGACCGATTGCACATACACCGTTCTAGCCTTATTGCCAACCGCCACGGAAAATATTATCGAGGCTCTCCCAGTTGAGGAGTTGACCAAGGAGCTACAACAGAAGCGTGCGGAGAGGTTGGCTAGGCTCAATGCTGGGGAGGCCACTGGGTCGGATCTGAGCTCGGCACCTCCTAGTATTCCAGATGACGATCGGAGAAGCCTCTCCAGTTTCCAAAGTGAGGCCTATGTGCATGCGAGCCAAATCGGGGACTCTTCCCTGGGCTCGGATGGACAGCCTCGGCCCAAGCGGAATAAGACACAGCTGTGGAATGAGGTTAAGATTACCTGTGAGTCTCCTCCTCTCAACGGTTTTCGCCATGAGACTCCATGTGTCGGAATCTAATGCTTTCCAGCTATCACTCGGTCTTTTACTATGATCTACACCCTCTCCTTGCTCACCGTCTTCACTCATATCCAACTGAACCTCCTCGGTCGCCGGAACTATCTCTCAAGTGTGATCTCTCTTGCTACCCCGCCAGTCAACGCGTCAACCATTAGTCTTGAAGACCACGATGACGAGCTCACACAAACATTGGGGGATGACTTCGAGACCAATCGACGTTATCTCGCCTTTAGTTGGTGGCTGCTGCACCGTGGATGGAAAGATTTGATGGGTAGAGTACAGGCTGCTGTAGAAGAAGCATTTGGACCTTTGAATCCGCGTGAGGATATCAGCTTGGCCAAACTATCGGAGTTGACCCTGCAGATTCGAAGGAAGGTAGAAGGCAGCACAGAAGACGAGCGACGATCCCAGAAGTGGCTCTCTTGCCTGCTCCCCCCGGCAGAGGAGGAAGAACATGTCTTGCGCGAATCAGGTGTGGAGGGCGTAGCGGATCCAACCTCCTCCGAGACAGCATCGAAGCTGCGTCACCTTCTGGATGAGACAGCGGATCTGATCGACTCTCCCTCTTTCTCCTTGGTTCTCACTCTTCTCAACAACGAGGGATTCTCAACTCTCATCGATCAAAGATGTGCTGCTGATGCGTTCAAGGCGCCTACTTCTGCCCCGGAGACTGCCCTGCAGTCCTTTGATTCGATTGCCACTGTTGTGCCACTAGCTGTCAACTCCGAACGCAAGACAAAGCTTGCAAATCTCCTAGCGGTTATGACTCGTCAGACACATGTGATTGGCAATGGTTCCCATCCACCAAATGAGTACCTGGTCGCCATGGACCAGAACGTGCGTGAGCTTGAAGCCTTTTCTGCCGTTGTCTACAGTTCGAACTTTGACCTCGAGCTTCTTGGTGCCAAGAACAAGGTATCATCGACCAGGGAATTGGATTTGGCTGATAATGAAACTGTTTCGTCCTCTTTCTCCCACGTGATAGTTGAGAAGGAAGTTGAAGCTGATCTGGAAGATACTGAGACCATTGAATCACAAACACCTGGTGTCGAGCTCGAGGCTACGGCCTCTGTTGACCCCTTCACTGACTCGGCCTTCGAACAGGCCTGGGGCAAAGCCACAGATGATGGAACCGCCACCCCTTCAGAAGAGCCCCAGGCAACGCAATGAGACACTGAAGGAGTCTCTGCACATCGCAATGGATATACTCTTGGTTTTCTTATCTCCACCGCATACACTTCACATTTGCGATAGATTTGGACTATGTTAATGATATATATGTCAATTCAATACTCTATTTCCGAAGCGAGTTATTCGGAGCACAATGAATATTTCGCCATGGCCATACAAATCAAGTGTTCTTCATGGGTTTCAAGTCTCACACCAATAGATACAAACACATGTTATCATGAGCATGCTATAATATGAGGTGGGATCGTATGTTAGAAACTCTGCAAGTGAACAAAAAAAAAGCTCCGAGACAGATACAAACCCTGTGTATGGGAGATCGATAAAGGTTGCACAAGAAAGGTTTAGATCCGGCACTAGATATTGCAAGTGATGCTGGAAATGTCCCCCATCTAAATCTTCTAGTCCCTCTAGCCGGAAGCCTAGCCGACCTGATAAACGTAATCCTACAATCGTACAAGTGCAGCTCTTGATGCTGCATATTACTTGGAGGAGTTATGGATTTATAAGGTGTACAAGGCAGCACAGACCAATGTATCTTTCAACTTTCAACTCTTATATCTCCACTGCTATTCCAAATAGCCATTTTGGATGCTCTGCTCGCTCTCGATTGTCCCAAATTCTGCTATGTATATGAGCGGGCACATGAAAAATGAAAAATACGCATCAGAGATGGTCAAAGTTCGGCGTTGAATGGCTCCTTGCAACTGGTCAAAGCACCAGGATATACCTAATCCTAACATTCTGGCGTGATCTTTTTCTTTTCTTTTTTGTTATTTTCATTGGCACTTTTTCTCGCAGACGAAGGATTGCATTAGTCTCTAATTAAGATATGGGAGCCAATTACTCTTCAAATACTATATCGGATGGTTTTCGATTGGACATCATTTGCCGTGGTTGCTATAAGACCTTTGGCTCTGTTCTCCAAGATACTACCCAATTTCCGTTCTTGTCCTTCTCGTTCGTCGCTTTGGCCTGATCCCACCATATTGTGTGCACTCTATACAAAAACAGACTAGTCTAAGTGGAGTAGCGGGGCATGATAGCTACGCGGAGACACTCGAGGAGTGAGACAACGATTTGGCCCTTGTTACGGGGCCCAATTACACGGCAAAAACAAGGCCAAGAAATCGGGTTGCCTCTCCACTTCTCCTGCTAGTCTTTGATCTGAGCGAATTATGACTTGCAGGAGTACTCCGTAGATACTTTCAATTTAGTACGGAGTATATACGTTGGACATACATTGAGTGTAAGCTAAACAGCTGTATGTGCGTGTTTGTTTTTCTCCACCGTCATATCACACCATTGGGTTCCGTCTTCAGTATGTGCCTGATTCTGAATGTCAATGTGTCAATCAGGAACAGGCACTGTTTCTTTGTCTCCTTGCGCAAACCTGGATGCGCTGAAACACATTGACGTCACGACTATAAAATTTCCCATTGCAGCACGATCCACTTGGCTGATGAGCTAATCAGCCCACTTATGTGGCGCAGTTACTGCTCCATTCTTTATGCCGCAATTGAAATCTTGTTGTATTGAACTATAGCCCTAGCGTTTCGTTAGAATATGTATTGACGTAGCGCTTCTAAGAGCGGAAGTCTTGCCGTCTTTAAGCGAAGGGATAGAGTGTCACCTACCCCCTCCTTTCTTTATGTCAAGGGTGGTTTCATCGAGGAATCCAGCCCTAGGGGAACCTGACACAATGAGTGGCTGGAGATAGTCCTTGGTATGGGGTTATTGTGCCCGGTTATTCCGCGAACACATTCCTCTCGATGTATACCCCGCATCGTGCGCAGATCAAAGGTCAGCCCGCGACCATCGGTATTATACTTTGTATGCCAACACTTGAACCCGAGTGACTTGTCAAAATGCATATAGAAGCCAGGATATTTCATAATATATGACGCTGATCTTGATCATGATACTATATACCATGAGATTGAGTGTCCAGACAGGCATTTGAGCCAATGCGGCAGTCCCCACTCAGATGATCATCCTGCCTATCGAAAAGGGCATGACAGTCGACAATTCAGCAACCAGAGAGGGCCAGCTGTGATCGCAGGTACTGGAGGTTCTGGAATAATGGCCGGGATTCCGTCGTCTGTACTGGGGACGACACGCGGAGGAGCCAAGCCAGGTGCATCTTCATATTGGTTAGTGATCAACATTGCGGTGGTAGGAGCAAGGAAATCATCCTCGACGGGCCATCCAGTTCGAACAAACCTATATCAGCATTATACGTCTCTTGCCTCGCATGAGTGGCAGCAAATTATCAACGGGTTGAAACCATTGGGGGTCTTCGACGGTAGCTTGCTGACGGTCCGCCATGCTATGATCTCCGAAGTTTCACCCAATCCGAGAAGCTTGGGCAATGAAGCACCCGTGACGGGTACGGCTATCTACCTGACTGCTGATCCCACGGCTTGGTAAAAGACGTGGGCACTGTGGAGCGGGATTGTCGCCAGCGTACCTGGATGCATTGGGGTTACGGGCGGCTGGATGGTGGAGCCGGTTGAAGGCTCCAACCCTTGCTGTGTAGTCTATGTCGGCTGGGAGATTCTGGAGGTCCACGACTCGTACCATCACACCAAACATTTCCGCCGACAAGCTGTGATCCTCAGTGAGGATAACTAAGGATTCCGCGAATACGGCGATGTTGCTTTTGAACACTCACGTGCTCGTCAGGAGGCGAACTTGTCAGACTGACATGTCGATGTAACATCCATGGAAATGGATGAACCCTATGATGACATTTAGACATGCAAGCTGGAGAGAGACAAGAATTGAAACATACTGAACTCTGCAACGGGAAATGTAACCGTACATTTTGTAAGTTTCACCCAGCCTCAAGTGTGGCTGAGCCAAGTACTCCACCCGCTAAATTGTGTGGGAAAGTACCTCCCCTCCGCCGTGTTCCGTATCGTCCAATCACAGTGCTCAACCAAGGAACCGCCGGTCAAAGTCCTCAAGGTTTCCCCCGATCTGCTCTCCCCTTAAGACCTGCTCATCCCACTTCTTCCTATCGACATTCATTGGTTGTTCGATTCTTCGTATTCTCCAGCTTTCACTACATTCCCCGAAGTCGCATATCGATTGGGTTGCAGGACCTCGTGTGTGCGCGGTGTTATCTCGTCATCTTCGCCTCAAACGTACCCTGAGGACCTAAAGGATCAGCCCATTGCACGTTTACAACACCTGGGTGTCATCACATATTTAAGGCGTTCATTCTTAGCCTGCCACTAAAGACCTCCAAAAGTGGATTGTGTGGCTGTATCCTGCAGTGGGCGCTGAAACCGCATTATCTCCCTACCCGTCAGCCGCGCGCATCAGAAACGCATCTTTCCAAGTCATCACGAACCGGCATATCATTCTCCTGGATTATTCACCAGTGCGCTAGTGAGTGGACTGAACCCCTTGGAAAACCGTGTCGCGCGTTAGGATTTCCAAGGCCGGTGTCCGATTCTGCCCAACATGACTGAATTTCGAATGCCCCTCCACCAAGGGCCTCCTGTCCGGAAGCCCCTCACCAGTGGCCAGCACGGGTATGGATACCAGCCGTATGATCCATCAAGGGTCCAAATTGCATCTCATCTAGCCAGTCCCCAAACGACCCACAGCCGGACTCGAACCACATCCTCCAGCGTGCTACCCTATTCAAGCGGCTCCCAGCACTACCAAAATGCCCCTCCACCACCGTCCATGCCGCAAACAATGGCTATTCCTCAATATCCCCCTTCTCGGCGCATGTCTAGCACTACAACTTCAACCTCCTCTACCGGCAATTACCCGGCGGCTCACATGGGGCACGGCGTTTCTGACATCCGGCGAACGGCCTCGTCTCGCTCTGCCAATTCTCAGCTCGGATATGTGGCTCTCATGCGGCGGCAGAAGGCTACAGTGTGGTGTGACCGGGCGCAGCCAGAAGACCCCAGATCGCGGGAACAAGCCCTGCGGGACAAGAAGAGAGCGTACCTGGAAGTTCATGGCTCAAATTCCGGCCGAACAGGAACTCTGGCTAGTGGCAAGAATCGACACGGCGTGAAGGGTGGGGCTGATTTCTCGCCCTCGAACCTTGTAGGAGCCAAGGTGCCAGTGCGATTGAGTGCGAATGAGGTTGGCGATGGAGACGACGACACCCACAGCAGTGATGGCGCAATCCATAGACGGACTGGCAGCGGTCGGAGCTCTTTGGGAAGCGCTCACCGTTATCCAAGCGGATACTCTAGGCCACAAGGAACCATGGGTAGTAACAGCACGCCTCCGAATGAAAAGACGGACCTTCCAGAGGTATCTGAAAATACACCGGCGGAGATACACGAAGAAGAAAAGAGCCGATTGTCATCTCTCGTCAAAGATGATGGCGCAACAACACATAGCAGCGAGCATGAACGAGATGACTTTGTCGGTGACATGCGGGCTCCGAGTGCTGCCACCTCAGCAGCCGAGAAAGCCCAGAAGGCAGCCGAGTTGCGACGACGAGGTAGTGTAGACGAGCGCACTACCTCTATGACTAATGTGCGGCTTTTCGTCGCAAACCCTGATTCCGACAGCGATTGAGTGAGGCTCTGATACTCCCGCGCACTCTGCCCCCTCTTTTATTCTTTTTCCTACTACTCTTCTACCACATATCCCGCTTTCGTTTTATCTTTTATGATATCTACATGATCTCACCTACCGCCTCACAATTGCACATAATATCGATATCGTTGCAACTCCACATCTGGTCTCATTCGGCAAATCTTGATGGTTTAGGCCAATGCATCCTCCTGTGATGTCTATAACATAGCTCGTTGTGTGTCCGACTTGCTCTTTTCAAGCGCCAGCATTTTTTTCTTCTGTTATTTTCTCCAGATCTCCTACTTTTTCGCTGTACATCCTCGATGGTACCGCTGGTCTTCATAGATTGGCTCTCTGGGTTGCTCCGGGGCTTTGGCGGCTGCCTACAGAGCCGTCCTGGCGTTGTTTATTTGGCATAACTTCTATCTACATAGATAGGGATAATAATCTCAAAATCAAAGATATCTCATTCTATTTCGCATTCCTGATATAATTAAATGGAGTTTCAAGAAGTCATTCACTCGTTTATCTAACATTGGCTGGATGAACTCAACGCAGAAGCTCTAAGGGCATTCCTGGCCAATCTCGATCCTTTTTGTTTACCTTGAGCATTTGAGCTAACTGCTTTCCAGGCCTTAAGTCCCTGTAAAAGCACTGAGCGTTCCTTCTGATCGAGCGTTGCTTCGTTACACTTGTATAAGATTGCTCAAGGAAAATGACCCATCGGCATCCTGCAATTGCAACAGAACCCTTTTGCCCTTCTAGATATAGTAATGATACAAACATCTGCACTCATTCGATCTTACATGTAATATTGAGATTCCAAAGTGGTGCCATACGTACGGAGTAGTGAAAACCCCACACAACGGCGAATGGGGCCGCTTGAGCGGGTGTGGCATTTGTTACATAATCACACACGTGCTTATCGATCGCGAGCGCGAAATGATTAACGCGTCCCCCTGTTGGGCCCAACTCCTTTGGACTGGATTGTCACTGCTCTACTTCCATTTTACAGGCGATTCGATCGTCTTTGATCCAAGACCAATTGTGTGCTCCAAGTGACATCTTTGTCTTGATCTCTCTAAGTTATGATTCCTCTTGGTTGACACGACCCAAACCATCTGTATATTGGAGTCGCGCTCTATCACACGACAAGCTGTCTCCATCGCCCCTTCCTCCACCCACCCGGATTCCTAAGAGTTCAAATTCTTTCAAAAAAAATTGGAGTCGATGGATGCCAACACAACTTTATCACCGATAACATCGGCCCCGTCCTTTCCTGCGCCATCTTCACCAGATCCCCGAAAACGCTCGATTCATGAGGTTGACGACGCCGCCATGACCTCGCCAAATGCAAAGCGACCATTAACCGATCATGTCGCTGAGAACCAAGAAAACCGCGACCCTTCTCTTCCATCACAGTCTGACGAAAATGCCTCCCCGCCAGTCGAGTTAAAGCGCACGCTTCCACCTCGCCCAACGGTTGAAATTGTCGTGCGAAGGACGCCGAATAGACAAGACTTAGGCGGCGATGGCGCCTCGGAAACAAAACCCCCGACCACCAATGCTGCTCCGGATCCCGAGGCTGATACACCGGCCGCTAAGAAACGCAAGCTAGCATCGGCTGCCAAAGATTCCAAGCAACAAGAGAAAGAAGCCAAAGAGCGACAGAAGGCCGAGGAGAAAGCGAAAAAGGAGGAAGAGAAGGTGAAGAAAGAGGAGGAAAAAGCCAAGAAGGAAGAGGAAAAGCGTGTCAAGGCAGAAGAGAAAAAGAAGCGTGACGCCGAGCGCGAAGAGGAGAAACGTCTCAGAGAGGAAGAAAAGCGCAAGAAAGACGCCCAACGTGAAGAGGAGCGCAAACAACGTGACGAAAAGAAGAAGGCAAAGGAAGATGAAAAGGCCGCCAAAGAAGAAGAGAAGCGCAAGAAGGATGAGGAGAAGGAGAAAAAGACCCGGGTAAGTGGCATCTACAGCTAGCAGGAAGTTATACTGACCCAATCCAGTCGCAAATGAAATTGAACTCTTTCTTTGCGAAACCACCGGCACCCTCTGCCTCACCGGGACATGCAGCTACCGCTCCTGCCCCCAGAAAGCTATCCACTACAGCCGATCCAGCTGATGACACTCGAGGCTCGCGGTCCGACTATGAGCGAGAGTTTCCTGCCTTCTTCCTACAGTCCCATACAACCGTGGCACCTTCCCATCGGTTTGAGCGTGACTCCGATGCCCTTAGGCACGTACGCGAAACGATCGATGCATCTCTAAGCAAAGAAATCCCTACTGCAGTACATCCATTCCGCCCATCAGAAGTCTTCCAGATAATTCCCTTCCATCGCAGGGGCCAGTCAACACCCTCTGTTAAGAACATAGTCTTACAGCTACAGAAATCCGAGGATCCCAACCAGCCAACTCAGAGCCCGGAAACCACCTCGTCTATAGACCCCCGGGATCTTTTGCGCAAAATCACGATGAAATCTCTTAAGTTTGGCGAGGACATCCGCCCTCCCTACCAGGGAACTTATACCCGTCAAGTTCCAGAGTCATCCGTGAGACGACTCGCGCGAAATCCCTATTTCCGTGGGTTACCAGACACTAATTATGATTATGACTCCGAGGCTGAATGGGAGGAACCCGAAGAGGGCGAAGAGCTGGACTCTGAAGAAGAAGACGAAGGTAGTGATGAGGGCGAAGATGATCTCGATGGGTTCCTAGATGACGAGGATGATGCGCTTGCTGAAGGCAAGCGCCGTCTGATTGTTGGCGATTTAGAGCCGGTCTCCACTGGAATCAAGTGGGCTGCCAATGGCGTCGATCCTGAAATGCAGGTCTATCAAATTGAGACTATATCCGATGCGGTCAAGTTTCCCATTGACCCATTTTCGACTGCATACTGGGAGAAACCCAAGTCCGTGGACCAGGCGCCTGCCAAAGTGCGATTCGCCGCAGCGATAGATGGATTCCTTGTCCCTGCAGTCCCTGGCGCCCCGGCAGCCGCCGCTGTACCTCCCACATCTAAAGCCAAACGACCGTTCCCACCAGATCAACTCGCGGAATTCAAAGAGGCGGTTGAAGGCAGTGATCTTAGTAAGATCGGGTTGGTCGAGATCTTGAAGAAACGGTCCGTTCCCCCCCCCCCGCGCTTTGATCGGAACACGCGCTAATTCAGACAGATTCCCCAAGGTGTCCAAAGAAACCCTTAAAGCCACCCTCGATCAGGTCGCCGTTCGTGTCGGACAAAAAGAAGTCGACAAGAAATGGGTCTGCCGGTGATGCCATGATTTCTTTTTTACATGAGTGTCTATGAACGGAGTTTTGGGTGTATCTAAGCATTTCTAATGGCTTTATGAACAACCTTATTCAAATCGCTCGTTTAATATTGCTTTTTGGCCCCCCCTTCTCAGACATCGGGGTGTCCCGGATTAGCTGCATGCGATAAATGCCGATAGGTCCGGTTGCGCGCGTGTCGTGGTGACATGGATGTGTAGGCGGGATTACCTGCATGTGAGAATATTGCCACTCCATCGATGACATTGGATCGTTTTTCTCCAGATCTTGATCGAGTGGCGATTTGCCTCCGAGTTTAGTGTGAGATCCATATACGGACGGAGCATAGAGTACTCCGTACGGAGGTATGGAATACGATGTTGCACATATGTGCATTGAGGTGTTTTGCATACACACATGGAGTATCCAAGGTACAGCGTAGATTGAAGGACTAGACCGTGAAACCTCTTATTAGCCAGCACTCAAGTGGAGAGCGATAGTTGGATACACGTCTGCTAAAACAACTCAAGCTGACTCCGTGGAGGGGCGCATGAGGGGCGCATGGACACCTCACTCCTGCACTGCCAACGCATCGTCTCCGTTGTACTCGGTACCTGGCCTTCTGCCATTTTTAGTGGCCCAGCAAGTCGCCGGTACTTGGCTCGTTGCTTGGAGACAACCTGCAACTGGCCGCTTCGAGTCTTTTGGTTTCTTTATATTTGGCGGTTTATATGTTATCTTCCGTGGTTGTACTCCATCTCCCCTTTTTGATTTCCCTTCTTTTCTTTCCCACTCTCTTACCCCCCCCAACATTCATCCTGGAAGTCGACTGTTATTCCGATCGAGTGTATCGTCACTCGCATGAGAACCAGCTGGTTTTCTTCCCAGAACCATGCAATAAAGATCCGTTGGCTAGGGGGGTTTGCGACTGTCTGTCGCAACTAATGGCAAAATGGTGGATAACCGGCGAGAGGATCATTCTTCATCCTCGTTGACTTCTGCAACCAGTACGTCATTGTTTTCTTTATTGTATTTGCTTTGTTTGGGTCTCTATTTGGGTTATTTTCTCGCTTTCAACAGCGGTGTTGCTATTGCCTATGCCCCCCCTCAGTGATTGCAGCCCAATCTAACCTGAGCCAGCCGAGAAATTACCTGCTTTCCCCCAGACTAATTCACCATGTGACTTGTCGCATCGGGCGCAAGATCCTGCATCTGTGCCTTTGCCTCCTTCCCCTCCAGCATCGCCAGCCATGTCGCCCAGCGAATCTCCGTTGACCGGGCTAGGTGAGTTGGGTGGCTCGGGCCGTGCCAGTCCCAAGGTAGAGCCCACTCTCGATTTCCATGGACACCATCCCGGGCCCGCGATAGCTTCGACCATGCCCGCGCCAGTGGAGGATATCACCCAGGTTTCATTTGAGGATTTTGCCACGCGCTACCACCAGAACCAGCGCAAGCAGGCCCAAAGGAAGAGGCTGGAGAAGCGTCTCCGGGCTACCAAAGTGTCCATTGGCGTCTCTGCGCGTATGATTCGCGTTGGGCTGACAGCACAGCGAGGTCTCATTGAAGCTCTCCGCCATGATGATAAGGCCAATTTTGTCACACTCTACCATACCCTCCATGACCTTCAGGAATCGTGCGGTTCGCCCAATCTCAACGATGGCCAGCCAGACTCCATGGACGGGGAGCCATCCTTGGCAACTGACATTGACCGTTTCCCGGATTTCCTACATCAACTGAGCCCTCAGTCCCGGACGGACTTCTTGGAGATTTTGCGGCTGGTCCGCTCTGATTCCCATTTTTTGGTCGACCGCTTACGGAGCCTGTCTTCGTCCCAATTGGCCACTTTTACCTCTCCTGCCTCTGCTTTGGATTCCAATGATCCCGCGTTTCCTTCCAACTCCCGTGCTCGGGGTCAATCTTTCTTGAGCCGGACCCAGGCTCAGTCTGCTGCCTTTAAGGACCACGCACATGCCTTTGAGAGGACTGACCCACTTTCTATACTTCTGTTTAACGTTTTTGCCGCACCTTTGGACCCAGAGACACCTGAATCTCGCTTGCGAATGGACGTGTGGTCATCCGTCTGCGCCCAGCTAATTTCAAATGGAAGTAGTAGATACTACCCTCTCATCGGCCAGATTCTTTCTTCGTGGGCTACCGGTAGCACTTGGAAAGCCCGTCCTAAGTTTGAACTCTACCTAATGGATATTTTGCAAACTGGTGCTTTTCTTTTGGAGCCCATAGCCACTCCACCTGGACTGGATTTTTCCATGGATTCCTTGGACCCCCTGCGAACGGATGTTGCAGAGGAATTCTTTGCTTCTGCCGTGGACGACCTATTTTCTGTACTTGATGATCCGGATGGTGGCTTTCCTCACGCTGTCTTACAGTTTGCAAAGGCCGTTTTGCGCAAGCTAGATAACCCGGAAATCCGCAATCGCTTTTTGGAATTCTTATTCGTCCAGTGGTTCTTCTCAAAGTTCCTCTATGGCGCGTTGACGTACCCTGAGGTATATCAACCTCTAGCCCTTAGTGAACATGCGAAGCTGACTCCATCTCGCTATCGCGGTGATAGACTCACGGTCTTCTCCTCGACTTCCATGTCAGAAAAGATGCTCGTGAGAAGTTGCTGAATCAGGTCGGGCACCGCGCCTACTCTCAAGTTTATGCTGTTTTGCGTTCAATGTATGTTTCAAACCTCGATCTTGTGGAGCCTGCGGCATTATTCCTAATCTCTTCCCAGGCAACATTTCTCAATCCCTCGTCCGATAGTTAGAGAGCGTGTGGTGAACATGCTCTCTCGGTTCCAGAATACGATGCCGCCGGAAGTATCGGTCGACCCTTCAATACCCTCTTTACAAACATCCCTTCCTCATCGACGAAACTCTCCTTCAACTTTCCTGATGATGTCTTCTTTGGATGTTCTCACACTCCTAGACGCCCTTTTCCAACAGACACCCTCTCCTATGCATTCCTCGCCGGCCTCGGCAGGAATTCCTAATTGGCCATCCAGTCCACCTGCATCTCTTAACCTTCGCCCAGACTCGTTTACGGAATCTGGATTCGCTCGTTTCAAGCATGAAACAAGTTCAAGACCTACATCTCATAACGGCTCCATATTTTCCGTGGAGACACCTTCCATTTTGGCACCGGAAATTAGCCTGTCAGAAAAGGCCGCTCGCATTCGATTCGAGCTAACTGATTTAGATCATCCCAATGAGCGCTTGAGTTTAGAGCACCCCTCAAACGAGCATTGGGCCATTCTCTCGGTTGCAGCAGATGGTCATGGCTTGACTTGGAGTCTCCTCCCTGATAGCAGTTATGGAATGTCTAAGAATGCGATCATTGAAAGCGACGATGACTCACACTCCACAACTCTAGGACTGGAGGAAAATCATGAAGCGTTGCAGACAGCAATCGTTCGACTTGTCAACGAGAATCGCATCCAGGACTCGGATGGGTATGGATCCCTCTCACAGAATAGTCTGCAGCCAGGTGTTTTGTCTTTGAAGCAGCGATTCAACGAAGCTATGTTCTGCTGCCACCATGACTCCGATTTTGTCGGTGCGCATTACTGGTGGAACGCTTCACAGCAGCTCGGGCAGACCCTTTCAAGGACCACAGATGATTCATGGATTTTAGGCCCCATGCATGATTCTTATAGCCGCTCATTGATCCAATCACGAGCTGTCATTGATCGTTGCGAAAGCGACTTTGTATCTTTGGATCACAGTCTCCGCCGACTCCAAACTCAAGTTAAAGACCTTTCGTCCACGTTTTGCAAGATCCGAGATAAGATGTGGTACATGACGGACGTCAAGAATTCCATGAAATACGAGGAAGCTAAACATGTCGCTATGGCTTTGAAAACGATGATCTACTCAGCCCGACTGTTCAGCCAATTCCCCGAAGAACAACGCTCTCGTTACGGCGCGAGGTCCCTAGGTGGCTCTCTATTCCAGAAACCTGAAGTACAAGTCATGAACATGATGAAGGCACCCAGCAGCCAAGGTGGTCCAAACAAACTTTCCGACGAGCAAGTCGAGCTGACTCGAAAATGGTTGTCACACAATGGCATTGAGAATTTCTGCAAGGGCGAAGAAAGAATCCATCGATTCTGTTACGAAGTTCGAATGAGTATCAATAAACTGGTGGGTGAAACAATGACCGAGACGCCGGTCTTATGGGCAAGTGAACTTTTCCAAAAAGAACGCTCAAGGTTTGAGGGCTACGGTTCACGCTCATTCCCATCCATGTCTATGCCTAGCACTCCTCGGCCCTCCACGACCACAAGCGAGGACACTAGCTCGACCTCCCACTTTTATGGTGCCAACATGATCATGCCTGATCCTATGACCCGCCTTTCTCAAGATACACCGTCATTGGGTCACAAGCCCTCCATCCAGAGCATTATATCTGACAAATGGCGGCCTCAGCGTGACTACCCTTCAATTGATATGTCATCGCTTGGAGGTTCGCCTGGCCGTGCTGCGTCAACAGCTACTAGCGACACCTGCAGTACATTCTGGTCCGCACCACAGAGACACCAAATGTATGCCGCCAGTGTGTCGAGCGTTTACTCACGACCACCATCGATGTTCAGTGAAACAGTGACACGCCAGCCTCGTCGTGTCGAACGTAAGACACACGGAAAGGCAGCCTTCATGGATGGCTTGAGACAGACTTTGACTAGCCTGCTCCTGAGCGATCTGGGCTCTCCAGTATGGAGTTGTGGCAGTGAAACTGATGCTTGGTTTACGAATGCACTGAACCAGAAACGCATTCAGGTAGAAATGCGCCGACGAGCTGCTGTCCAGAAATTCTTTGCCGATTACGAAGAGCGCTCTAATCATCTTGGCCAGCAACGTGGTCCATTCAAGGGTCGCCGGAGCAGGTCTCTGGATAACCTGCGTGCGTCTAACCACAAAGCTCCAAGTGTAGAAGCTTCGTCACAGCTACCGCAACCATCTCTGGAAAGAGATGGGCAATCCAGCTTTTCGTACAAGGCAGTCTTCCGCCGACTGATCGAGGTGTTTTCGCGTCATGGCAACCCCTTCGTCAAACTCAACGCGCTGCGAGACTTGCGGTCGTTAGTGATTGCATCGCTCCTTTCACCTCAGGATGCCACTTTCCCTGAAACACATGGCTCTCCCGGAGAACCCGACAGGATGCGGACTAGTCCGCAACTCCACCGAGCTGCTCGCCACAGTTTCTCGGAGGTACGCGCCCACGATCTCCCTCAGACAGACCCAGTGCTGCCATCCTCACCACCCGAGTCAGTCACATGTGGCTCGCGACAATCTGACTATTCCACTCCATCCGAAGCACAAATTGTAGCCACATTGCGCGATCTGATCCTTGAAATAAAGCCCAAGACCCTTTTCAGGGACCTACAGTTCATATCAGCGTTTGTCCCAGGGGAGCAGCTAAACAAGACAGACCGCGGAACAGCATTCCTTCAATTTGGCTTAGCTGCACTAAGCCTCAAAGAAGAAATCTGCCACAGCATGGTTGAGATCGCCGACCGAATCGTCTCCCAGGAGCTCTCCCGTCGTCATCCCCCCTTCGCCTCGGACTTCCAATCCCGGCCCAGTCATCCCATCCAAGATGCGGCGGGAATGTGGATCATCACCGCCAAAGAAGGCAACCCAGTCGCGCAGCGAGAACTCGCGATCCTCTACCTCACCCACCCAGAGCTTCTTCCACGCGTTACTCTACCGCTGACTCTCCCACGGGACACCTTCAAGGCGGAAATGATGTACAGACGAGACAAAGATTCCAAGTCAGACCCGCAGAGTATGTGTCTGGCGCTGCACTGGATGCAGTTGTCGGCTAATGGGGGCGATACTCTTGCTCGGAACCGACTTCGCGAGCGCGAGGAGTTTGATTCCATTGCTTGAGACATCTTGGTTTGTCTACTTTGGTGGTCCTGACGTTCCTTTTTTTCATATTCTTTTCATCTTTCCTTCTTTCCTTCCTTCCTTCGCTGGCTCGATACATTTTATTTCTTCTTTTTTTCCACTTTCTCTTTTTGTCTTCTTTTTCCTTTTTATATTTTGTCTCTGATGCATTGTGACTTTTACATTTTTGCATATATATCCATATACCCCCGTTCGGGCAATCAAGTTGGTGTTTTAAAGGCATTCGTGAATCTCGGGGCTCTAGGCTCCGGGATTCTGTCTGGGCGTCGCCCTGAACATGACTGGCGTTATTCGATAATATATTGAAAGACGAGGCAGTTGCTATGTCTCCCTTTCCCTTGAAAGTTATCTTTCCTTGCTTTACTTGGGTACACATGTACCTTGGATCTTAGGATACGCTCTGGGGATTGAAATCCCAAGAGTACATGTAAAAGGTATAATAGCTGTTGTATACGCAAATCCCATTTTATACCTTCTATTACCTACATTGCATCTGATAAATGACTACAATACTGAGATTACAGGGAAAAGGGTAGGAAAATGATCTCTATAGACAGGTATGGAATTGTCGAAAGATCTCAATGATATCTGTACATCTACTGCTATTTATGCCTCCGCTAGCACGATATTCCCTAGAAGTCCCCTATTTCCATGGATGCACTTCTAGCGGTTTCTATAGTGCGTGGGGTAGGGTTTATTATCATGATACAGCATGATTTTTTATCAAATTAGGCGTAGCATTGACCAGCCCCAAAGGGAGAGAATTAGGCATCATTCTCAACACCAAACGCACCAAACGCACTAAAATCCAACTCATGATTAATATCATCACTCCAACTAAGGAAAAAGGCTGGATCTCCCTCCATCTCTACCTGAGAAGGTTCTGAACATATATCAGTCCATTCATGGATGTACGTTCCACCCTCTGGACCTTCGAATTGGGTACCATCAAGAACCCCGAACGGGATTCCAGACATAGAGAGGGTAAGACCCTGCTGGTCTCTGCCACCTAACTGCCTCTCGAAATGAGTTTCCACGTCATGCTTCATGGGCAAGCTTTCCTCGGAGAATTCCGACAAGAGAACAATTACATCCTTGTTCTTCTCCGTCGCAAACTTCTTCTCCCTCACGAAGCGGAGGTCTGATCTGGATGGACAGACACATTTTGCCAGAAGAAGTTTCACGATTTCAGGGTACTCAAAATGCAGAGCGAATCCTATAGTGCTATACCAAAACGAGTTGTGGGGGACACCCACAACTAACTCCCAGCTCAGGTGTGGGTTTGCACCCTTCTCAATAAGCAATTCAACCATCTCGCAATGGCCGTGCATGATTGCGATGAATACTGCCTGGGCGCCAAAGGCTTCGATCTCGAGAGCATCATATTTGACCAGAAGTTGAAACAGATCCTTATCGTTTTGGCGTGCTATATAGCGTAGACCTCCATCAGATTTGGCTCGTTCGCCATGTTTGAGAAGAATCTCCACTATAAGTCGCTGGTTGGTGTAGATAGCATTTGTAACTGGACATGGATACTCCTTAGGACCCGACTGCGCCCCGGCTTCTAGAAGACGGGGGATAATAGAATTATTAAGCGAGGCAACGGCGAAGCCTAGTGCGGAGAATGCGTCGTAATGATCTCCCGCAGGGTCCAAGGGGGCTTTATGTGTGATCATCAGGTCCACAATTTCATCATCGCGGGAGCAGATAGCCCAGTGAAGAACAGTGCGTAGCTGAGCTGGTGAGCAGGCTCGGTCTGATCGTGTTTCCGAAAGCAAAGATTTGAGGGTGAGCAGATGGCCACCTTGGGCGGCGAACAGTAACGGATTTTCGACTTCCTTCAAGAGATAACTTGTTGCCTTGTAATATGCTTTCTCTTGTCGGCTCACGAATGCAGCGATGCTCGCCCCCGCATCGAGTAGTCTTACCGCCAGATCGACGTATCCGTTCTTGGCGGCCCAGAGCAAGGCTGAGCCTTGATGGTGCTGTATGTTATGTTTGTATAAAAATAGATGCAAATGATGGTATAGAGTTCGGGTGGTCTGCACAAGAGCGTTGATGTCTTTCTCGCTGGACAACTCTCCTGCGATCATCTGAAGCAGCTCGAGCGGCAGTTGATCTAACCCGGCCATAGCTTAGTGTTCTTGGCTTCTAATGGACTGGAGACAAAGATGGTCAACAAGATGACTTGGCACTTGTGATAGATCCAGAAGTCATTGAGCATGACCTGAGGTCACCGGCGTAGACGCTAAGCACCCCCGTATTTGAGCCTTACTAAGCATCATGAGGGCCTGGGGGTGGCAGGGGTGTCCTTAAGCTGTGGAAATTAGAGATGCTCGTTTATCAGGACCCTGATAAAGCCACGGCATGCCGGAAAGATCGTGTTTGCGTGAGATCCGATCTGTACGTACATACACTGTCGGGCGACGTACATACACTAACAGGCAATGATCGTCGTATAGCTCCATAGGGTTTCCTGACAGACCCGTACTCCAGGGCCAAAGCGTCCTGCACTAGGAATGTGTTATGCGCCATCGCATGAAAAAGGGTCATCTAGGTAGAGAAGATGGTATATGACGTCCATCGCGGACCTTCCAAGGTTGGATCGGAATCTGATAACCGTTACCTAAGCTGGATTGCTGCGTCGGGTAGATGATCGGGCCGACGTCATCGAGGGGATTTGCAACCCCCCACTGTTCACTTGACCTTAAATTCTTCTTTTCTCTTTCCTGTTTTCACTCGTGACTATTGTGAGCTGACTCGTCCCATCTGAGTCAGATCCTCTGATTTATTCGCTGCTTTGATCAGTGCTCAGCCTCTCCGTATCGCAGCCGGATCTTCGAGGCCCGTGATTAAAAATAAAAAACAGGCCACTTCCTTTGGACTTCGCTGATTCCCCATCCTTGAAAATCAGACTTCTCACTACATCGTCCACTTGTAAATCGGGCGACATCTGGTCTTTTCTGTCTCCTATTCCACCATGACTACCGCACCACAAATGCCTGCCAAGGCGTACAGCTCCGAGGATGTGCACCATCGGCCAAGAGGTGAGTCTCCAAACTACGTCAACACCGTAAGGTGACCCAAAGCGACGATTAAATCTGACCAGTGTATCATGCACCAACGGAACAGGCATCCTCAAGAACTCCAACTCATTTCAAGGCACATCCGTCCCGATGACAGCAATCTCCCCACCTTCCGTTCCAACAATCCCCGAACCCGACGAGACCAAGGAGCTCACTCTGCAAAACACTCTGCAAAACGCAGGCCGGCGACGATCTTCATCCACCACCCGTTTAGCCTCGAACTCGCGCCGTCAGTCAACAGTCAGCGTCTACGACGAAAACGAGCCTCGTCTTAAGTGGGACGAAGCAAATCTGTACCTGACCGAGCAGGAGAAAACAGCAAAAATGAAAATTGACGAGCCCAAGACTCCATATGCCCCTCATTATGACCCTACTGAGGATGATGAGCAGATGCGACTCGACGAGGCAGAGGACAGCCTGATCAATGCGCAGGGTCTAGTCGTTGACGAGCTAGACAAATCTACCAAACCCACCCACCATCGGAAGGCCTTTTCAGACGATGAAATTCCTGATCTTGAGCTCGGTGAGCCTGAAGAGAACATGCAGAACTTTACTTCAGACGATCCTCGTGTCTTCCGTGACCGCAGTATGAGCACAGATTCGCACAAGAGCGAGAAGCATGTTCACGTTGGTGTTGAGGATATGAATGGTTCCGATGCGCCTACTGATGATCCGCTCTTGACGACCGAGGAGGCCCGCGCAAAGCACGCTCATTTTGAGAAGCAGCGCAAGAGGCACTATGAAATGAGGAATATCAAGGAGTTGCTTGCGTAAGTTGATTCTAGATTTGGACCTCGTTTATGTGTTTTTTCTTAAAATCTAATCCTTCTATTTCTAGGCATCCCGAAGATTTGGACGAAGAAATGGAAGACGCCAATGGATCAGAGCCCGGTCCCCCGCCACCCATGCCCCACATGCCTCAACAGTTCCGCAATAGTGGACAATAGAGATAGACTCGTTGCTCTGGTCTTTTGCCGCGCTTTGGTATCTTTCAAGTCTATTTTCCTCCCTTCTGGTGGTTCTAGTTGATTTCAGATTGTCATCGCTCCCGTCTCTCCCTTCCACCTTCTCCTCCCTCTTCTTTGTATATTCCCCCAGCGTTATCTCTCTTTACGAAGCTTCTTATTCTTACTGGGCTCCCATTGAGGACTACCATTTGACAAATGATTTCTTCTATCCAGAATGAAGTCCGTGATTTCTGTGGCCCTCTGCTCTCTCGGAAATGGATAAATGATCTATCTTACTTGACTATCAAAGTTCACATATAGCATTGTAAGTTCGTACTGTCGAAGCCTTTGGTCTGAATAAGCTCGTAGGATCTCAAAATCGTCCCTCGGCTCGTCCTACATGAATATAGAGGAGCAATTAAGTCTGTTTATTGTGCAACTAGACAAACTTTACGGAGTACCCCATGTGGAAATGATAATACTCTCAAATAACCTGCACTCAGCTACGGAGTAGACATCTGTAATTTTATAATGGCCTGGATCATCGCCAATTATTGGATGGCGTTCAGCTGTCACTCGAGAGCCACTGGGCATCAATGCACGTTCCAGACAGGCTTGACATTGGTCAGAATTAAAAAAAAAGCAATCCACAGAACTAGATCTGCAGCCAGGGTACTCATGTCTCATTTTTTGTTTGCCTTGTTGCTGGGCAAATGCAGGGAATTGCCCTCTTCTTAATACATCTACTGGGGTATTCCGTCCATGTACCTTGTCTTTCATATTTCCCTCGATTCCGGCCATTTTATCCTATTCAAACTCCTTCTGTCGATGGGATTGAATACAAACTATCCACCCATTCTCCAATTCAGACGTTTGAAATGTTTCCTTTGCCACCGGATGTCAAGAAACATGCTTCATGGCGAGGATGGGGATCTCGCTGGCGTGCATCCGACACGTTTATTCTGACTAGCATGTCCATGGCATTATTTACAGGTTCGTCTTATAGATCACTCATTGCGAAGATATTGGATGCTGTCTGACAAGAATCCTCCCTCTACAGATGAAATGCTATTCGCCTTCATGGTCCCACTACTCCCTCACATCTTCGAGGACCGCTTAGGGCTAGACAAATCTCTCACTCAGCGCTTCACCTCTATATTTCTGGTCGAAGGCGCGTTAATATCTATCGTCTCAAGCCCATTTGTCGGGAATATAGCCGACCGGGCCAGCTCCAAGAAGGTGTTACTGCTGGTATTGCTGGTGTTGACCCTGATCAGTGTGTTATGTCTATCCATCACTACATCCCGTATGCATTCATTACCCCAGCTCAACTATTTCTTATTGTACTGACCTATATCTAGTGGCATGGCTCTTCATCGGTCGCTTCTTCCAATGCATCGTCAGCAACGCATTATTTATCGTCGGCATGGCCACAATGGCCGAGAATATAGGTTCAGAACACATGGGCAAGATAGCAGGTCTGAGCTCGACCCTAACATCAGCCGGTACATGCTCCGGTCCCGTTATCGCCGGCTTCCTTTTCGGCATTGGAGGATATTGGACGGCATGGGCTGGCGCGGCTCTGTTCCTCATCGTGGACATCATTATGCGTCTGCTCATGATCGAAAAACCGCAGAAACGCCGCGACGCCGAATCTACATGTGCGGAAGATCATAGCTATTCCTCCGAAAGAGAACCGCTTTTGAATGGAGGTCGGACATCGAATATTGAAGAGATCGGTGGTTGGCGCTTTTACCTATTTCTTTTCCGACAGTCTCGCTTCACGGCGGGCATTGTCTGCTACTTCGTGTTTGCGCTGTTTATTGCCAGTTTCGAATCTACGGTTGCGATGCATGTCAGGGACACTTTTGGCTGGGGCGTTTTTCCGGTCGGGCTTTTGTTTGCCTCTATCCAGGGGCCCGGGATGGTTTTGGCTCCTCTTGTGGGGTATCTGAAAGACCGTGTGGGATCAAGGGTTCCCACTATGATTGGGTTTATCTCTGTTGCGCCTTTCTTCGGGCTTCTTGGAATTGCTGGCGATGAACGTTTTCCATGGGCGACTGGTGGCACTAGAGGGAAGATCGTGTATGGCGTTTGCACGACTATGATCGGGTGTTTTATGTGCTTGCTCAGCGGGGTTGGGACTATGGAAGCAACTGGTATGTATGAAATACCATGATTGGAAGTTGAATTACTCACACGCTCTTTGCAGAAACTGTTGATGAGTTGGAGGACTTATATCCCGGTATATTTGGCCCTTATGGTGGGTACTCGCGTGCTATGGCAATCACAAATATGAGCTGGATGTCTGGTCTTCTGGTGGGACCCGTCCTGGCTGGATTCATGGTCGAACGGTTTGGATATTTCGAGCTGCAGTGTGTACTTGGTAAGTTTTGCATCTTGATGGCTTGCATGTCTCACTCTGACAACCTTTAGTTGCCACTTCCTTGTTGGCTAGTCTCAATGCTGCGCTCAATCTCAGTACAGCGAGTTCTGAAAAGAGCGAGTCTGATAGTGACTCGGGAGCCGAGGAGGCGTAGTTACTATCTGTCTGACAGGCTACAAAAGTCAACCAAAAGAAGCATATCAATTCAGGTTGGTCAGCAAGCACGCTCAAGGCGAAAAACAATGGACTCATTCATGACTGTCAGCCACAGGCTGAAAAACATAACTCGTAATAATTGGACGCCACCATGCTGGTAGCTGCACCTCGTCCTCACCTTCCCCTCATTCACCAATTTGCTTCTGCATATGCAAGTCGGAGGTTCCATCACATCTGCACGAGTTTTTTTACGAACAGGTGGCTTGGCTGAAGCTGATCCCAGCAACATTTGTCCCGGCTTGTACTTATGAAGGATCTTACTATTGATAGTTTGTATAAAAGTATAAAGTACTGACTAAGTACTTATATTTCAGCAGTTTGCAACGTACATGCCTTTAACAGAGTCCTACGATATGCTACCGACAATTCCACAAAGGAGACTTGTGATTCTCACTCTTTACGAGCGTATACTACGGAATGCTCCTGGAAACTGACATACTACTCCCAGAGACTATACTCGTATAATACAAGGACGGTGAGATATTGGATGAATCTACTTCGTATTGAAGTACTCGCAAGTCGATACCGAACATGTTCCCCAAAGGCCCCCAAGGTTCAGATGTTGTATAAGAATTAAAAGTTAAATATAGGCGATTTTGGCAAGCACCTACGATACCTACCTAAAATATAGAGTACAAAGTACCCTACATTGAATGTATCATACTGTCGATTATTGGATCCTTATCGCTTGAGAATCGCCCCAGCCTTAGTTCATGAACGCAGAGGCTCAATTTTGTATCAGGAAGGTTAGGATTTTCTGCAATAGTGCTAATTTTCCACTCTATCGGAGCTATTCAACATGGATATACTCAGTTCCATGATATCTGCTCCGTATATATCTAGCTACCTAAAATATTGTGTATCAGAGGAGAATGATAGCTGATCTCCTGTGAAATATATATCAACTCCTTATGAAATGAGGTGTGACTCGAGCAACTGAATGCTATGTCTGTTGAAATTTTGTCACCACCGTCGCTACTGATAGATAGCGTCCTTTCCATAAGGAGATTCGGAGCATTGGGGGCTAAATCCCGACTCGATGTACTGAGTCCTATATGATACTCCGCCTATCTCGGAGTTTGTTGAACTCGTCTTTATGCGATGATGAGAATATTCGAGATTGAGTCTATCAAGTTTCATGACGCCCAAGTAGTTGCTGGAAATATTAGGGACTATTTTCATTACTTAAAAAGTAATTTAAAGCTATGAATGGCCCCTAAACGCTTGGCTTTGACGCTAACTCTTGGTAATGACCAGGGGTATCCCGAGCTCGGTTTCCCGAGTTGGTCATCGAAAGGATCATAAAAGAGGATCTATCCCCTCGAGGACAATAGAAACCGTTCTAGTGGCTGATGTGACACCTCTGTTTCATCTTGTTTTGAGTGTGAGTACGGAGTACTCCGTACGGGGTACTTCATCGGCAATTATTGGAGCTATCGAGACGTGAACTGCGTACGGAGTAAGGAAGGCGCCCAAAGGATCCTCAAACACGAATCAACGTTGCAGTCAACACCCTGTGAAACAAGCCTCGAATGACCAGGTCTAGAGCACAAACAAAAATAGCGTGAATGTGATGTGTCGATCATGAAACAACCTTGGAATCAAATGGCCCTGACAGGTGGGGGGGCAATTGATAAGTGGCCCGTTGACCATTGACGAGGCAACTGCCCCCCCTAAGAATTCAAAACCCCCTATTTCTTCCTTCATCCTTAACACACACCTACGACTCCTCCAATTCTATCAATAATGTCGGACCAAACGCCAGTTGATCAGATTCCATCTGCAGTCGTGCCTGAGAAGCGCGAGGAATCCGTGGAAGTAGCTGATAAGCCTGTGGAAACTCCCGCGACTACTACGGAAAACACCGAATCGACTGCAGCCAAAGAAGAGCCTGCCAGCACCCCAGTCAAGACTGAGGAATCTGTAAAGGATGATACTACCACTACTGCGGCTACTACGGAGCCCGAAGTCGCAGCGCCCGAAGAACCCAAGGTCGAGAAGCCAGCTTATCTGAGCCAGAACCCGGCGCTGGGCGAGTTGTTCGACCGCCTGCCGACCATCATCGGTGACACTGGACACAATGAGATGTGGGGCATCACACTCAAGGACAGCGATGACATCCCCACCGTCAACGTGTTGATCAAGTTCCTGCGCGCAAACGAAGGCAACGCCAAGGCTGCCGAGAGTCAGCTCACCAAGGCCCTCCAGTGGCGCAAGGATGTGAATCCATTGGGATTGGTTGAATCCGCGAAATACAGCGCCGCTAAGTATGGAGGTCTGGGATACTTGACAACCTATGAGGAGAATGGACGACCATTGGTGTTTACCTGGAACATCTACGGAGCCGTGAAGGATATTACTGCGACCTTTTCCAATACAGACGAGTAAGAAACCATAAGACAAACACATTTACTTATAATCGATACTGACTATGGGTTGCAGATTCGTCCAATGGCGCGCCGTTCTCATGGAACTCGCCGTGCAAGACTTGAAGATGAAGGACGCTACCGAGGTCATTCCGTATGACGGCGAGGACCCCTATCAGATGATCCAAGTGCACGATTACATGAACGTCAAGTTCTTCCGTATGGACCCTGCTGTCCGTGCCGCAACGAAGAAGGTGATCGAGGTGTTCGCCACAGCATACCCAGAGCTCCTGAGAGAGAAGTTCTTTGTCAACGTCCCTGCCATCATGGGCTGGATGTTCACCGCTATGAAGTTTATCTTGAGCCGCAACACCACGCGCAAGTTCCACCCGATTACCAACGGTGTCAATCTGGCGCGGGAGTTCTCCCCCTCAATTGCCGAGGAGATCCCCAACGTCTATGGTGGTAAGGGTCCGGAGCTGAAGGAGAACGCTAGGTTTGTCCCCTTGGTCGAGGACCAGGCATTGGACACTCAGGAAAAGGGCAAGGCTCCCGAGGAGCCTATTGCTGCTGAGCCGCCTAAGGAGGAGGCTGCCAAGGAGGAGGCTGCCAAGGAGGTTGCCAACCCAGATGTTCCCAAGGCTGAGTCTCTGAAGGAAGAGCCCGTGAAGGATGGAGCGCAGTAGACTTTTACTTGACTGGCGCTGAATGTTATGATACCCGGAGGAGCAGTGAACAACACTGCCCGCTCTTGTTTACCTGGTTTCTGGCCATTGGTGTGCGCTCTGATCGCACTGTATTGTTAGTATATTATTGTTAGTCATACTTAATTCTAGTCTCTTCTCTTTATATCACATTTAGGGGTTCATTTGAGATTTTAATTGTGCATCCTTAGTGCAAACTGGAGTGTATTGACCTACTATACATCCACGTAGGCCTGGAGAGCAGCTTGTACGGCTGGCTGCAGAACCAATCGCGCAACTCTTATCGAGCTTCAATCTTCAGGCATCGCTCAGTTGATTCTTTCGATCCATTCAATTTGCCGTGTCGCAACAATCTCTACTATTGACTCTATAAAGGGCTCTGCCAGTCTGACCAATTCTTTGGATCCGCTGGCGGTTGCCTCAGAATGCGACCCGTCTTTTGAACCTCATCTCAACCCCGTCACCTGCACTCCACCTCGCTTTTCAAGATAGGACCAATTATCTAGACACGCATCTGTCTCTCTGTCTTTCTCTCTCTCCCAGACACAAATATACACATACTCTTCTACAGACCCCGCCATCCCACCATGTCTGTCTGGAACCCCGATAATATCCGCGACGTCGCTGAGTCCGTCGGTATTCTCAATCTGAATCACGATGTGACCGAGAATCTGGCCCGAGATGTTGAATATCGCATCGCGCAGGTTCTCGAGGAAGCGCTGAAGTCTATGCGCCATGGGAAGCGCACGATTCTTACTACTCAGGACGTCGCACTGGCCTTGCGCAACCTCGACGTGGAGCCCTTGTACGGCTACGACTCGACCCGCCCGCTGAAGTTCGGCGAAGCCTCCCTGGGGCCCGGCCAACCGTTATTCTACGTTGAAGATGAGGAGGTGGACTTTGAGAAGTTGATCAATGCACCTCTGCCAAAGGTTCCTCGCGAGGTCTCCTTCACTGGTAAGTCGACTCCCTTTTCTACCAAGGAGTGCTGGGCAGCCACTAATGTATCCTACAGCCCACTGGTTAGCCGTTGAAGGCGTACAGCCGTCAATTCCCCAGAACCCTACCGCTGCCGATTCTCGCAACCTCGAACTGGTCTCCAAGGGACCTAACGCCAACTCCACACTGGCGGCAATTAGTGGCACCGGAGATGTGGCTGTTAAACCACTGGTCAAGCATGTGCTTTCACGGGAACTCCAGCTCTATTTTGAGAAAGTTTGCAGTGCTTTCCTGCACGAAACCAGTGAGGATTACCGCACCTCTGGGTACTCCAGCCTTCGCGAGGATCCAGGTCTGCACCAACTGGTGCCGTACTTCGTCCAGTTCATTGCCGAGAAGGTCACACATAGTCTCAAGAATGTATTCATTCTTACTCAGGTCATGCATATGGCTGAGGCATTGGTTCAGAACCAGTCTCTTTACGTGGATCCTTATGTGAGTAGATACTGACGTCTCAGAAGAAGAAATTCGGATGCTAACCTCATCAGATCGCATCCCTCGTTCCGTCCATCCTCACCTGCCTGATCGGCCGACAACTCGGTGGCACTGCTGATCTCGTGGAGTCATTCGCTCTACGGGACATGTCCGCCTCTCTCCTCAGTCTCATCGCCAGGAAGTACTCTCATTCGTCTCACATGCTCAAGCCTCGACTCGTGCGCTCCTGTCTCAAGACCTTCCTCGACCCATCCAAGCCATTCGGTGCTCACTATGGTGCCGTGATAGGCCTGCAATCTGTCGGTGGCTCTGAGGTAGTTCGAGTACTGATCATTCCCAACCTACCTGAATACACCAAACTTCTCAGTGATGGCTTGGACGATGCTGCCCGTCGCCCCGCTGCGGAACGAGTACTGAATGCAATTGTGGCTGTGTTGGCCTCGTTGCGCAGCAGCCAACAGTTCTTAACTAATGGTCATACTGTGACGGGTGACCTCCGCGCCAAATTGGTTGACAAGGTCGGTGAGCTTATTGCGGCAAAGATTGTGGAGGCCGATGAGGTGCAGCTGGCACATGTCATTCTGGAAGCTTAAAATGTCTTCCTGCGTTTTCTGCATGGTCTCGCTCGGGTGGTTATGCAAATGAGACCGCGACGGTTTGTTCATGCGGCATGGCGTTTATCTCAGGCGTTGGTTCAGGGGTTATCGTTATTTAGGTAGGCATATCCAAGCTCTGGGTGGGCTTTGAAATTACATGAATACACCCATTATCAGTATTTTATGGGAAATGGCTACACTTCTAGGCAAATTTCTTGTTTTACTTTTGGGGGTTGAGTTCTCGGCCGTCTCTAGCATCTGGCCCCCGAAGGAGAGCAAGAACCAGAAAAGGAAGATACTCCCACTCGGCACTAGAGAAAGAAGATATGAAAGACTACATGCATGTTGTAGGAGAGTATTGGTAGATACATGTGTATGTTGGAGGTACCTAGGCTGTTTACGGTGGGGTGGACTTTCGTATATAGGTCTTCCTATCTTCCCAGGTTGTATCCAAGTGATCCTTTTTAGTTCACAGCCCAGCAGTCACTAGCCTTAGATTCCTATTCGGCCATATAGGAGATAACCAGGAACAGCTCGTAGTTGGTATATATTGGCAGATATAAAAGCAACAGGACCGAATCGAGTCCAATTCTCCCCGCTGGGACCCCGCGATATAATTTGTCAGGCGGACCTTACGTAATAGCGCCAGGAACCCCAAGTTTATTCTGCCGGGCACCACCGCCTCACATCCGGCCCCGGAGTCTCGCCCGCTTTGGCTCTTTTTTTTCCCAAGTTCCCTCCAGCAGGTCGACATCGTCCGTGACCGGTCTGCATCTTACTGCAGCTCTTGACTTGCCAAACTTGTGTGTAATGTTGCAGGCTCGCATCAAAGCATTCCCTGCAATTGAAATATCGACTAACTATTAGTTCCCTGATGTCAGACAGATTTTGATCTATTTGTGCCCCACCTATCGCGGGCCCACAGAGAAAATCACTCATCACCAACAAAACTGTCTACAGCAAACATTTTGCTTTTCTTCCTCCCACTCAAGGCCACAAAGGCGAGAATAAATTTGCATCAATTGCCAATTTTAGCGAGTGATTCCTCGTCCCTCCCCTGATTTGCCCAGAGTAATCAATCTCTGACCTCGGGCACTCATTGGGCTTTTGGGTGAGACTGTCCTACCGACACTCATAAAACCCCGCCGATGTTCACGACTGTGGCTCTTTGCTACCTCGTGCTGATCTAAGCCGAATCTTGTTTTCGCCTTCCATGAGCCCAACTGACCTTCTGCGATTCTTGTCCAAGCCCGCGAAGTAAGTATGATTTCCCTTTTGCCCCGCTATGGGCGTTTAAGCGCCGACCCCTCCATATAAAAGCGTCCAAAAGTGGCATTGGAGCAGGGCGGCATGGTCAATGCCGTGGTTGCCCGCAAATCTGATCGTTTTTCATGCATTCATATTCTCTTACGCTGCCTTTGCTAACCTTACTCCTCTAGGCCTCGATAGCACGACTCCCGTCGTCACCAATTCCCACGCTTTCCAATACACCTCTTTTTTTTGAAGCAGAATTCTCGTCTGCTAGACCCGATACTTTGATCGGTATCGGTATCTTCCAGTACGAGGGTATCGACTGCTAGTCACAATTTCTCTTAGCATCTACTTTCTATCTTTCGCCTTCCGCCCTCCTTAGCAGCCCTTTGGTCTGTTAGGAGACTTCTCTACCTGGTCTGACCAGTTCATTTTTGTTTCAAGGGCCTTCTCTTCTCAGACGGGCATCGCCCCCTTGTTCGTCTGGGTAAGTAGACAGTGCTTCTACAGCCTTTCTCTATCGAAGTACATAGGGCGGTCCGACGTCACTGTTTCTACTTCGTTCAACCCACACAAGTACAACAGCTTTATCTACATCAGTCATCATGGTTTACGTCGGTATTCCAACGAATTACACCGGCTCGCCCTCCTCCTTCGTGGCGGGGACGCCGTCTCTCACGATCAATTACGAGGCTACCCAGGATCTCGACTCGAGCACTGCGTTCGAGGGTCCTGAGAAGCTTCTCGAGGTATGGTTTGCGCCATCTGCCACCGAGCTTGGTGTTGCTGGCCCCGAGGGCCTCAAGAAAGTGCCTAGCGAAATTTGGAAGGATATGCTAGACCTGGTCAATTGCCAGGTGCTTTCCGTCATCACATCTGACGAGATGGATGCCTACCTTCTGTCGGAATCCAGCATGTTTGTCTGGCCGCACAAGTTGATTCTCAAGACCTGCGGAACTACTACCTTGCTTTCGGGTCTCCCTCGCATCTTGGAGATCGCCGCCTTGTTCGCAGGATTCCCACGCGCCACTGCCCCTGCATCCGGAGGTATCGCAGTCGCGGCGGCTCCATACCGAGTTTTCTACAGCCGGAAGAACTTCCTGTTCCCTGACCGTCAACGTGGTCCTCACCGCAGTTGGCGTGATGAGGTGCGGTCCATGGACAGGTTGTTTGTCAACGGCAGCGCTTACATGATCGGCAAGATGAACGGTGAACATTGGTACCTGTACCTCACCGAGCCTGGCACCATGCTCACCCCACCGGCGACCCCCAAGGAGCAGGTTGAGTTCCAAGAGACCGAAACTAAGATCCTCAATTTCCCTGAGGCTAAACGGCGCACTGATTGTGATCAGCACGATGAGACCCTCGAGGTCTTGATGACTGACCTTGACGAGGAGAATGCGAAGCAGTTCTACCTTGAAAACGCTACTGCTGTGGCCGAGAAGCGTCACCGCGAGAAGGATGATGGCAATGACCACCTTGATGTCTTCGGTAATACTTCCGATATGGATGAGGAGACTGGCGGCATTCTGCCTCCCGAGCTGACCACCGAGGGTCACGCTCTGGGAACTGTCGTCTCTGAGTCATGCGGTTTGTCCGACGTGTACTCGAAGAGCAAGTTCCCCGACGCTCGAATCGACGCGTACCTCTTCACTCCATGTGGCTTCTCTGCCAATGGCGTCATACCGGCTCCTGATGGCAAGGCTCCGACCCACTACTTCACTGTGCACGTCACCCCGGAGCCTCAGTGTTCGTATGCGTCCTTCGAGACTAACGTTCCGCACTCTCAAAGTGGCAAAGCCACCGCCGACATCATTCAGCAGGTTGTCGAGATCTTCAAGCCTGGTCGTTTCAGCATCACTTTGTTCGAGACTAAGCCCATCATGGATGAGGTCGACGAGGCCAATGGAGAGTTTGATGTGGCCCACGCTCAGCGCCAGGCTCTTCGCCGCAGCAACAAGATGGAGCACGTTGAAGGCTACCGCCGTGTCGACCGCATCGTTCACGATCTGAACGGTTATGATCTTGTGTTCCGTTACTACGAACGCAATGATTGGAAAGGGGGGGCACCGCGAATTGGAGAGAAGGGCTTCTAAGGTGACTGGCTCTTCCGCCATCCGCCAGTAGAGCCTTTATCATCTCGCGGTTGCGACCTTTCTATCCGTTCGGATTTTTGGGTTTATGCCGTTTTCTTCTGCTTTGTGCTTTTCATTTTGCTTCATTTCTCTTGTCAGTTATCGTTCCATAGTGCACAGCATCGCATGATTGCGCTAAGCGACTCATTCATTCTTGATATGTTTCCCTGGTTCAGTCTTGGGATGTCTAACCATAGATATCTCGAACTTCGATTCTTGTTCTGTCACTCTTTTGAGAATAACTACGGGCACAATAATGAGTAAACTACTATAGGAACATCTCGGCTAGCCGTAATTTCTTCCGAGCTTGTCGTTTCTAATATGGTACTCCCTTAGTATCTCTGGCCCGGGATCTTATCTGGGGCATACAGCTGAGATGTACTCCGTACTCAAACTTGTATCATATCATCACTGATTCTTCCTTGGGAGGTTGGGCTTCTAGAACCCAGAGCTAGCCCTAAAATGTGTACGGAGTACTCCGTATCACGAGTCACGACATCTACCTACACATCAGATACAGTAGACTAAGGCCAGCGACGATTCTGCGCTAATTGCAAGGGAAATCAAAGGCACAGTTGACCCGAGATTAGGAGGAAGGATGCAGAATGAGGGATCCGATTGTGTTGAATCAGTCCTAGCTATTTTCTGAATGTTAACCATATTGCGAGTGGTCTTTGACGTTGAATGGTGTCCAGGTCATGATTGCTCCATTCCGAATCAGCGAGTTCTGGTTGATGAATACAAATTACATGAACCTGTTTGAATTCTTAAGAACAGTCTACCTAGCTTCCTAGGGATAGTGTTATTTCGTAAATGCCATCGAGGCTGCTCCGTACAAATCGCGAGAGAACATGCGCTGTCCAAAATAGGAAGCGGTGAGATGCGTCGTTATCTCGTGTCTCCGTTCAAATTGCTTTCCATCTGATGCAACCAGTCCTTCCCTCTAAACGTCCGCTGCGAATTCATATTGTCGCCGATAATCTTCTGAAAGCTAACGATTTGTTGTTAATTGAGGAACAAATTCATTGAACTTCAAGTTTTGCCTACATTTCCTCGCCTGGCGCAACGGCGCAACGCGAAGCCCACGGACAAAGACCGCGAAAGAGCTTCACATCGAATTCATTGAGAACTCTCGCAGGCGACTGTTCTCAGTTTGAACTCATCTCACCGTTGTTAGCGCAGTACCTCTGATCCATATTTGCCCGCTACAACTAAAAATGTCGTCACCACCACCGTACCAATCATCATCCAATCCCCTCAAACGCCCCTCAATCTCCACCTCTGCCTCGCAACCACTCGGCAAGAAGCAGCGCATGCACCCACTCCGCCAGACTTCCTTCCCAACCGGCCTCGATGCCGGAGAGCGCAGTTTCGGAGGCACTAGTGATGCCGGGAGCGTGACAGGCAGTTTCACAGGAAGTCTGGGCGGCACAAGTGCGGACGGAGTATTCTCTGCTGCACGGGGGAAGAAGCGAGGGCGCAAAAGCAAAGCTGAGAAAGAGCGAGAGCGAGAGCGAGAGGATGCTCTCAGCGCCAGGGCGGGAGATTCTACACGATTTGGGTCCGTTGATAACGAGGGGTCAATCCGAGGCGGTCCTTCTGGCAGTGGAGGTGGTGCGGGTGCAGATGATGGAGATGATTACGACGACGACGACGAGGCAGAGTTATTTGGGCAGCAAGAAGGAGCTACGGATACCGAGGCCGAGAAAAAGAACCTAGCGTACGTTTCGGCTCTTGTGGTTCTGGTGATATTGGATGGTGCTTACGGTGTTCGTTGACAGGATCCTGGTTGATGCTTTCAACCCTATGCAATCGGAGAGATATGATCTCTTCAAGCGGGCGAAGCTGCGCAAAGAAACCCTCCGTCGTATCGTCAATCATGCCCTTTCACAATCCGTTCCGGCCAGTGTGGTAACGACCGTCAACGGCTTCACCAAGGTCTTCGCTGGTGAAGTGATCGAAATGGCGCGCACAGTTCAAGCTCAGTGGGCTGATGCCCACGATCTCGCTGCACGCGAGGCGTTTGAGGCTGAAGAAGCAGCGGCTGAAGCTGCTGCTCAGGCGAAAGCCGCAGCGTTGAACGCAAATTCCAAACCTTCTACACCAACTCCCGTGGGCACTCCGGTTCCCGGATCGGCGTCAGCCTCTTTTAGCAACGGAATCAAGAAAGAGCCGCATGATACCAGCCGTACACCTACACCCTCTATCCCTCTTCACCAAAACTCGACATCCTCTCCTCGCCTAACTCCTGTTCCTCTCCGCCCAAAACGCGAATTCCGTCCCCCGCCCAACCCCCATCGCGGCCAGCTCCTACCCTCGCATCTCCGTGAAGCGGTACGGCGCACCAAGCGTAATGGCGAAGGTGGTGGAGTGGGTTATTCAGGATTGAGTCTGGAGAATATGGGGGTTCGAGGTTCATTCACGTGGAATTCAGGAAGTGCTGGTGGAAGAAGGCTCTTCCGATAACACAACGATAATAATCCATTGCATATCGGCGTGCAGTTAGGTTTATTACTTTTTGCATTTTTAATCCACGGAAACTGGCGACCTCAAGTTTACGGAGCGTCTGTTTTGACTTTGATACCATGTTGATTATCTTCCCAAACATCAATTAAGCGAAGATCCTATTGATGAACTTGCCATTCTCTGTGCCCCGTCGGTCGAGATGCTGATTTTAAATTTAGAACTCCACGTATCCAATCTCACATTCCACCCAGTCTGATCTATCTACGGAGTAGGAGGCCCGACCTTGGCAGTGGCGGGATCCGTTTTCCAAAGAATGTTACTTTGCGTCATTCACAGGTCTACGGAGTACTGTACGGAGTATGGAGTACGGAGTAGAGTCTTATATTGTTACTTGAAGCTCCAGCTAGATTACATTGTAGGGGCCACGATGTACATGTATAAATTCTCGACTCTACCGATGGCTTGTATCGTCCCGTAGGATGTGCATGCTGCTTCACGCCAGCCAATTCCGGAATAACAGACGTGACTCGTGCATACTCTCCTAGAATGACGCTATCTCGGAAGACTCCGTATAAATGTTCTCCTCAACTTCTATACTGCTGCCTAGACGGTCTGGTTGGGTACAAACACTGCATTCTCGGCATTAGGGCTATTCACCGTCATACGCCTTGGAACGCAGTACAACGTACAACATCAACATCATGGACGAGATAGGAATCCTGACGTGCCAGCTTTAGCGTGACCCCGTTTTCGGTAGAACGCTCCCGACCCTTCAAGTTACCAGCCAGGACCGGGAATGGAGGCAGATCATCCAACCCTGCCGAAAGCCACAGCGCACGGCTGCAAGGGTTGCTACCCGGGTGGCGTTTCCATTATTGGAATGACAGTGCTCATCCCCCCGATGCAATGTGGAGCCAAGGCGACTAGAGAAGTCTCCCAGTCAAGGACGTGATGGGGATGTGATTCTGCGATTGGGTCTCGACAGGAGAGGGCTGGCCGCATCGACACTTGACCCCCTTCTTTCTTGGCAGGCTTTTTCCCGATGCGATCGAGGGGCGACTATTCCGGTTTCTTTCCTGGATTACTGGCTTCCCTTTGTTGCGTCCTTTGCTGTTCATAGTTCATTTATACCCTCGGGCTTGGGAGTCGGCTGGTTGACGCCTGATTTCGTGCTCATAGCTTGGTTCTTTTTCGAATATTAGCATCTTTATTTCGGGCTATTTATGATGCATGCCTTACAGCCCTCACATCTATACACTCGTTTGATAGACACAATACCCACAGCCTTGCCTTGGTCCTCTGGGAATTCATCGGTGAAAGGAGATCCGAGAAAGAGCGTCAAATGGATTGATGTATGTCCGAAAAATCAGTATACTCGATATCATCTGACATCTGTATAACATCTAGGGCCTCCGAGGAATCGCCTCATTCTTAGTAGTACTAACCCATCTCGCCCGAGCATGGGACTACGATCTGTTCTCACCTCGCGACAACGAGAACGCCTCCCCACGAATCCTCCAATGGCCCATCCTTCGCATCCCCTGGCAAGGCCGTCTAGGAGTGACCATCTTCGCCTTCCTCACAGGCTATGTCTGCGCGCTCAAACCGCTCAAACTCTCCCGCGCAGGTGATACCATGGGAGCATTCACCACAATAGCCAAAAGCGCTTTTCGTCGACCACCACGACTCATCTTCCCGGCCACTATTGCTCTGATTATCTCCTGGACTGTTGCGCAATTTGGCGGGTTCATCGTTGCCAACAGGTCCGATTGCTGGTGGTGTCGGTATGCGGCGCCAGATCTGGAGGATTCGTTTTGGAAAGAACTCATTCGTCTGCCGATGAATTTCCTGTCGACTTGGACGACGGGATACATGGCGTATGATGATCATCAATGGGCACTATTGCCGTTGCTTTTATCGTCCATGCTCGTTTATATTCTTCTTTCGGCGACTATGTTCGTCAAGTTCCGCTTTAGGGTTGCGATCTATATAGGCATGTTGCTGTATTTCCATCAGGATGGGGCCAAGAATACAGGTGAGTGTTGCTGGTGATATCAATCGGGTATCAACTGCTACAAGCCTGATGATAGTGCTTGCAGGAGAAACCCATGTTCCTTCGCTAACATCAATCCATCCAGAAACCTTCCAAACACAAGCCGTCTACGGCATGCTCCTCTGCGATTTCTCATACCACACGCCCCTCAAAGACTGGATAGAAAACCACCCGCGAGGCAGGAAGATGCTCACTATCCCGCTCACTATCATCGGCTTGTTTCTTGCCTCATACCCGGGCGAACACCCCGAATGGGCCGGCTGGTCCAACACGATGTTCAAAGCCAGCCACTACATCTTCCCGCCAGGAGTCAACATCGGCAAACGATACACGGCACTCGCAATTGACATGATCATCCTAGCGATCTTCTTCTCGCCTTCAACGAAGAATTTCCTCTCCAGCAGACTCCTCCTCTGGCTCGGGAAGCAGAGCTTCGCTGTCTATCTCATCCACGGCACGATGCTGCGCGTTGTGCTTTGCTGGATGCTATATGGTATCAGTGGCCAGCCGTGGGAAGGGCCAGAGGCGAAAACGGATGACCAGCGGGACGATTGGTTGCCTATTCGGCCGCCTTGGGTGGTTGCGATTAGTATTCCGGTTTGGATTGGGATGGTTTATGTCCTTGCAGCGTTGTGGACGGCGTATGTGGACAAGTTCTGTGCTTCGTTGACACAGAAGTTGGAGAGGGCGGTTTTTGTGGAGGATGAGAAGACGCCGTTGTCTTTGCCAACTGTTTCGGTTCCTATGCAGACGAATTGATCCAGATGAGGTGCTTTCCTCTTTCGTTCTATGTGCCTTGTGTTATACATTGTTTTGGTGTTGTGGGGAGGTAACGGACTTGGTTTTTTTTCATTGGCATGGCTGGTCCATAGCCAATGGTGTAAATATGTAGGACTTATCCTGGCTTTTGTCTGTTCTTTTGTGGTTCTTGGGGGAATTTGTCTACTATTGTGAAGGATTATCGATGCAAAACCAGATTGGACAAGTATACATAGCCAAATGGAGATTGAGAAATATTCTATCTTCAAATCACAAAACAAATGCAAATGCCACTGCGCCATATTTTACAATTGTTATAAACACATACCGATCAACCGCGGCCAGATTAACGGGGCCCGTTGGATCTGCGAGCATTCTTCAGAGACTGGCTGGCCTTGATTCTTTGGTTCTCCATGGTTCTCATGTGCTCCCGTCGGCGGGCGTCGTTGCGCTCTCTGCGTGTGAGCTCATCCTCGTCTTTGCGCTGTGCTTCGTATTCATTTGCGCGCTTCTTTTGATCTTCAGCGAGACGCTGTTCGGCGGTTGGGGTGTTGAAAGTGGAGGAGATGGAGTCGGACAAGCTAGAGCCGGCCTTTCCGAACTTCTTGTAGAAGCGGTCGATAAGGCTGATTTTCGCAGGGACCATGGATGCATCTTCTTGTTGGGGCTGCACACGGGAGGCGCTACGGGCTTTCTCCTGTGCGGCTTTCTCTTGCTCGATGCGTTCCAGCAAAAGGCGAAGGCCCTTGCTCTGAGTGTTTTTGGTGAGTTCCGAAAATTGCTTCTTCTCGGCGGGGGCTTTGCGGGCGATCGACATATGCATCCACTTGCGGAACCCATCCGAGTTGATCAAATAAGTTTGACCCAAACCGAGGAGACCAGTGGCAACGAAGTAAAGCTGAAGGGCACTGGGCATGAATGCCATGAAGACAAAAGACATGACAGGGAAACCATAGACAATGTACTTTCCGGCTTCGGTTTGCATCATGGGCATGGCGCCAGTTTCACCTCCTCTCTGTTGCCTCAGTCAGTACCAGTCAAAGGAGACCACAAAAGACACACTTACCCTTAAAGATAGACACAGTGTGCCCGCAGCAATCATTGGCAGAATAAATGTCGTATCAGCAACTGTCAGATCCTTAATCCATCCCACGGATTCCGTGGCCAGGGCCGGCACTGGCAACGAAGTCATTGCTCGCACGACTCGGAAACATCCGAAACCGAGAGGGATTTGCAACATGGGCAGGAATGACTTCCAAGTCTTAATGCCATATTGCTTGTGGATTTCTTGAAGCTCAGCCCTTGCAACCTGTGCATCATGCTGGTTTCCTTCACGTCCGGCCGAGATCATTCTTTCGCGGAGCGGGTCAATCTTAGGCTTGGCGTTGGCCATTCTTGCTGCATTCTCAGACGCACCAATGACTGGCTTCAGCATCGCAATACGAGTAAGGATACCGACAGTCACGATACTAGCCCACCATGGCATGCCGGTCCAGATGTGGATGTGTTCGATAAAGTACTGCATTGTCGATGTGAAACCCCAGCCGAAGTCCAAACCAAGCTCCTTCAGGTATCCAATGCGCTCTGGGATTGTGGTAATATCGTGAATGTCAACCAAATCCTTCGCTGCGCCTTCTAAATCAACTTCGGGAAATGGGTTGGAGGAGGTGGAATTGAATCGGACGGCGGCCGGTCCGGCAGCGGCGGGTGCCATGCGCCAGGCAGCACTTCCGGAAAGTGCTGACTTCAATTGGCCACGCTGGCTAGGGAAGCGCAGGCTTTGTGACCGGAAGGTAGATATCTGCAAGACCAAGTCAATCCCGAAGTTCTACATCCGAATCAGCGGGGGAACAAACAGATCGAGAGGACCGGGACATGGCGGTCATCCGCTGACGTGCGAGCGCAGCGGCTGCGCCAGGCCCTTTCAAGCCAATGGGTCCCATCATTGTGGTTGAAGTAATTCGTGATGGGGAGATCGTACGGAAGAGTTGTTCTCCTGCCTTTCGGCGCGACTTTTTCTGCCGGCGAGCGGTAAACGCTCCGGGCCACGGCTATGGGACAGGCACGGAGACTCAAATATGGACTGATGGAATAGGCATGCTTCGACTTGGATACTCTAATATTGTGACGAATAAAATTTGAGTAAATGCTAGTCCTAATTCGCCGAACGCCCTCCAAGTCAACAGGTTTATGTACAACCACTTAATTCAGGTGTGCACAGAAAGCCAGGTATCGATCCCAAATCACAAATGCTTCGGTTGTGTCCCGCGTAAATGCAGTCATTTTTGAATTAACCTAGTAACAGAAGAAATTTCAATCGCTTATTAAAGGGAAGCAGTGTCCTTCAGGCCAGAGCGTCTCCGCTCCGAAGGAAGCTCCCGCATCTCGATACCAGGGCCCACTGCGTGTGTCCGGCGGTGGTTGGGGAAGATCTGTAATGAAGAGCTTATGGTTAGTTATAGGAATATCCAGTGTGCCATAAATGTCCACATACCTTGGTGTTAGACCATCCGAGTCGGAAAGCAGCCTCATGCGCGAACAGCTCGCCAAAGCCTAGCATGAGTCCGTTGACGAAGGGAAGGAAGAGGTTGATGGCCGCTCCGCGCAAAAGACCCCACACACTGGGGGGCGTATACAGGATTATGGGCGAGCTTGTGGTTGATGGGACCGAGGAGGACATCTCATGGTTTGCGGAGTAGATCTCTGAGTCGGAGGGGACGGTCATGGTAGACTCATAGAGCTCGGCCGGCGAGGTGGAGGTGGCGTCGGATGCCATAACTAGGGCTAGGGGAAACCGTGTAGTCTTATCGGTACTTGAAATAGCAGAGTCAGAGCTGGTGTTGGCTTTGGAGCTTGAGGAAACACAGAGTGGATAAGGCTCAGGTTGATGCGATGCTCCCGATGAGCCCGCGGCACCAGGTATCTTAGTCAGCATATCTGTGACCCGCCCTGGACCCCCCCCGGTTGGCGAGTCCACGGCGGGTCTGTTACAAGACCTCTGATGGCCTCCTGTCTATCGTGGGAAGTGGAACAATTTGTGGAATCGCTAATGGTTCCACTTCCAGATGTATGTATCAGAAAACAAAGCCCCCACTCACTTTGTTTCTTGTTCATCTAACCCTCACCCCGCGGACCTAGAACGGATTGACCAAAACACCTCGGAATGGCTAATACGAGGAAGCTCTCTTGAACAAATGAAATCTGAAGATTGGAAAAGTTGTTCTGTTGATTAGCCAGGTATTATTTCCCTCAGAATCATTTTATACTTCAAAGGATGAAGGTCATCTCCTTGATGATACCCGATGAGTGTATAGATGTAGAGAGGACCAAGTACGAGCTGTAACGGATTTGACCCTTCCCAAAAACAAGCATAATAAGAAGTTTTTCCTAAGTAGTGCTCTCCATGTATGCATGAGCGAAGCCTCGATCGTAGAAGAATTGGAAGTATATCCAAATGGGTTATTTGGGTGTATCCCTATCGATTTATTATACGGACTGTGAAGTTCTCATAGTGTCATATGCATTAACAAATTTAGATTAACAGTTATCAATATGTAAGGTGCTATCGATCATTATATACGCATTGGATATCATAAGGCGTCGTACCAATGCCATGGTCTTTTCCACATCAGTCATACCAGCAGAATCGTTTCATAATGCCGCATAAGCTGAAAAAAATTACCTCCTCTTTTGAAAAATATTCACAATCCCCCTTTTTTGTTTTGAAGATCTCTCTTTTGTTGAGTTTTGGAAGAATTGTTGTCCTGAGATCAAGTTTGGCAACAATTTAAGCCTTGATGGGGTTCTCCTCATCATCGGAGAAGGCGTACCGCGAGAAACGGCGAATGGACTCTCCCTTGAAGTAGAAAGCATAAGGAATGATACAACAGGCCAATGCGATGAAGGCAAGAAGCGAGCTGGCCCATTGCAAGCCCAGACGTTCATACATCTGCTCGGTGAATAGGACAGTGGAGGCGCCCCACATAGAACGAATAAAGGTCTTGGCTGCGAGAGCAGATGCTGCCTGGTGCTGGTAGGTATCGACAAGATAGTTGTTTGCAGAGTTGTACAGGAAGATGAAGCCGAAACCAACGGGCCAGCCGCCCATAGCGGGTCCCATCCAGTGAATGCGGGGGTAGGAGGTCCAGGCGAAGATGAACAGTCCAATGGGAATGAGCCAGCAAGACCACATCATGGGAATCAGACGCTTCTCGGCAGGGGGCTTGCCACCGTATTGGGCGGAGATTTTGAGGTAATGGTTGTTGACGATAGGAGCACAGGCTGCGCTCATGACGACACCAATGGCCAGGGGAATGAACATAAGACCAGTAGAAGATGCAGACCATCCTTTGCCACCCTGGAAAACGACGGGATAACTGAGTATAATAGTTAGTTTCTGGAGAGTGAACCAAAAGAGAGAAAAAAGGCTGATGACTTACGCAACGAAGAACATGTAGAGCAAGCCGTACAAGACAGACATGTAGAGAGAGATGAACAAGACGATGGGCTCGAGGAAGAGGAGCTGGAAGGGGCGGAAGAGGAAAATGCGCAGCTTCTCCAACATGGGACGAGGATCGAGCTCGGCTTCGGTGGTGTACTTGGGGTCGTCCTCGGACTTGCGAAGCTTGGCAGCACGCTTCTTCAGCAGGACCGGTGCGAACGTCTCGGGAACAGTGAATGTGATCAGGACCCAGGCGACGAAGGACAGAATGAGCTGCAGCCAGTAAAGCCAGCGCCAACCGCAGTTGTCACCGAGGAAGCCACCAGCAAGTGGGCCGATAGCGGGACCAATGAAGGGAGCAGCACTGAAAGCTGCCATGGGCACACCTCGCTCCTCGCTCTTCCACAGATCTGCCAGGGTACCACCGACAAGAGTCATGGGGGCACTGAAGGCGATACCGTCGATCAAACGGCAAACAATAAGAGTTCCGATGTTCTTGGCGACAGCACATGGGATGATGAAGATGACGGCGATTCCAAGAGTGAGAGTATATACGGGCTTGCGTCCGAACATTTCAGACATGGGAGCAAAGACCATGGGTCCTGAACTTGAGTTAGAAACGATATTAGACACATGAGAGCTCTGCATGACTTACCAACACCAAATCCAATAACAAAAACCGTGATAACAAGCAGACTGACTTCACGTCCAACATTGAAGTCCTCCATGGGACCTTCGACGTCAGCAGTGATGACACTACTGCAAAAAGCGACAACAAAGCAGGTGAAAGCAACCACCATGGTGCAGTACCACTTGTAGGCCTTAGACCAGTTCTTGGGATTCTCAGGATCGTCCATGGTGAAGGTCACCATCTTCCAATCCTCCATTTGACCCGTCACATTGGACTTGATCGGCTTGATGATTTCACCTGCCGCGGTCTCTTCTGTGTATTCTCGAAAGTCGGCAGCTTCGCTGACCACGCGGACCGGCAGATCGAGGTAATCGGGTTGTTCATGGTGGTCACGTTCAGTATCGGACGAGCTGATAGAAGCTGCCGGGCTAGATGCACGCGTGTGGGTCTGTTCTGGCCGAGGGGTCTCCATATTGAATTATATCAGGCTGGTGATGGGGGGCTATACCCAGACGGAAGCCGTGGAGAGTTTGTGGATATCAAGTGTGAGTGTGGCAACCCGGAGTCTTTGGGGAGTTTAATCCACCTTCGGGGGGTGGCATTCTTTTATAATTCATCTCCAATAAAATTCGGCGCCGAGTTTTTCACGAGTGGGCCAGTTGAAGAGAGTAGAAGCCACATGAACCAGCGGATGAAACTGCACTCATCATAGACTTTTCCTGCATGCGGCAGCTCCCATATACTCAAAGTGGATGGTTGCCAAATGGGGACTGGGGCCGCTAACCACATCGAGTAATATGCTACGATGACGCTGCAGCTTATTTGGAGTTTCATATATCGTCGAGTGTTACATTGCTCATCTTTTCTCTCTATGATAAGGTTTTTTTTCCCCAGGCTCTTCATCTAGCATATACTTCCCCGTGGAAAACTGGTAGGGTTCTCAACGAGACATTCTTATCATATGTTTGTTTTTGAGTAAGGGGCATCCACCGAGACTAGAGAATGCGCTATTGTGTAACAACATGCGGTGTACGGAACACGGAGTAGGGAGGACCCCATCGCCTGATAACCAAAAAGAGTCCTTCAGCTGAGTACAGGGCTTCCAAGAAACAAACGTAGTTCTTTTTCACCGCCTATCAATTAAATTATACACCGCCCCCTGTTATTACTATACATTACAGGAGAACCTCTGGAACTGGCTGAAAGAATATGTATCGGATCGATGCCCCTCTGATTCTCGAAATCATAATCTAATATGTAATATACAATAAGGATGGGACATGTTACCATTTAGTATTCTAGAAAGGGTATTATGTTCAATGCCGCGGCGGGTACAAGAAGTGATTGAGAAATATGGACGGGCTGTACGGTATAAAATCTTATAATTCAATACAGCGATAAATGACAAATTGCTGGCAGAATAATAGTGGAGAACTACGTTTGTTTCTTGGAAGCCCTGTAGTCTAGGCTGTTTGTTTCGTATTGTCCTTCATAGGCGATGGACCTTGTTCTATAGAGTATACCTTCCCGAGTTCCAGCTTGGCATCACGCGAAAGCGGGTCTGGCTGAAGCCACCAGGTGCGAAAAGCATCATTCCAGGAATGGGCAATATAAAGTGAAAACTTTGTTATCCCCGAATTTCGGAGCGATTATGTTTAGAGATAGAAGAAGATTATAAGCTTTATTGAACAGATCAAAGCCAAGCCTCCATGCACCTATATAGATGAATACCTACGGCCAAGGATATAAACGACCGTTTTGAATACATACAACATACATGGTTCAGCCCAGGCGATATTGCTGTGTCCCATATAAAACCCTGTTTCGAGTCACACGGTCCCCAAGCCACAGGGCCACAGTGGGTCAGGGAAATAAAAGAAAACATTGTTTTTTATCTCAGCTTCACGAGAATTATATAGTCCGGGGCGTATTACCGGATTTGGATGTCTAAATCATTGCCTCATTGGGAACCACCCTCATGTGAGGCGGATCTCGATTCGCCGCTACCGCATATTTTGTCATGTTCTAGATTTTTGGGACAATCCCGGGCTTTTCAATCCACCAGTGGACACTCCCTGGCGATAGCGGGTGGGTCAACGTCTAACAGCAATTATTTGTGGGACAGATACGGAGTAGCTATGTTGTATGCCCAACGTGGGTAGTTGACGTAGGGCGCATTTTGTAGTACATACAACATACAACATATGTCGTACATGCGGTAGAGCTAAACGATACGTCGGCGGATGTTCTACATTTTGATCAACAATACATTTATTGTCTAAGAAGGAGAATGCAAGAGTATATTCATCCCTTTGCCATGTTCCATTTCCTAATAGAATACCTCATCATGCTGTTTGATGACGTACGTGTGTACCTTCTGGGTCCCACCCCTTTCTGGCTCGTGGAAATCTTCGCCCTCCCGTATACTTATATGCACCTTGCCACTTCAAAGGCAAGACCGCCTTCGAGGTACCAGTGCTATATATCTACTCCGTGCTTGATATCTACTCTATTGCGGTTTCGTTCAGATCGGAACAATGACAGACAGCTGGATGGGTTCCAGCGTTGATATATCTGTTATAATGGCATTGGACATACCACCGAGTCATCGACATGTTGGGCCGCGTGAACATCCCAGACGTGACCCACATCCCCTGGGGGCGTGGGGGGAGTGGATTGAGAAGCACGGGTGTACGGTGTACTGTAAGGCGAAAAATCTACTCCGTACTGTTGTAGTACATAGAAACTCACAGAACCCTCGGCGAGGTATTGAGATATCTCAATAATGGTTCAACAAAAACTTAGTTCAAGCCACTTAGATGCAATTTTGCATCTTCTAACCTTAATGTTACGGGAGGCAATTCCAGTATTCAAGTACATATCTGTGCATTTTGGAAGAAGGGAGAAAAACAAACCCGCCCTCTATGTTGTACAGAGACCACTCGGCATACTTGATGCGCTCAGCAGCTCCTCGAGCTATCTACTCCGTAGTTCGTAGGTACCTGCGAAAGTCGGAATGCATCAACCCTTCTTTCAGCTCAAAGGGAGAGGAAATAAATAAAGTAAAAAAAAAGCGATAATTTAAAAAAGGGCAGATCGGAATTTCCCATCCGAACGGCGGGCGAAATAGGCGAGAGTGTACGGAGTATGTCATGTTTAATCAAAGTAAGGGCCAACCTTGGAAGAGGGGCGCTGTTGCCGCGGAGACGTGCTCCAGTTAGCGATGCTTCCAAGGACCCTACAACATAGGAATTGTCGGGACAAAAATCATGCACGAATATTGCTTGTTTTTCCTTAAAACAGAAAACTGCAATGTTCCGAGCACCAGGGGCTCTGGTTGTCATAGGTCTTGAGGTCCGCTTCTCACACATATAGAGGTGTATCACGCCACATAGGTAGCTATGATATAATGTGGTGGGGACCTGAGGCACGTTCGGTAGCCACTTTCCGGATCTCTTCCTGAGAGCACACGCCATAGTGGCTACACCATAGCGGAGGCCCATGATCACATAGGTCCGAATTCCCTAGAAGCTAGGCAATCCACCTGGATCGGGTTCGGTTCTACTACGGGTGTCGTGGCAATTGCTTCTATCGTACGGAGTACATGTAGATGGCTCAAGCGGCGCTTTCCGCTGATCAGCCCTGACACTTGCGGCCCGGTATTTTCAGTCGATCAACAGTGATCGTTTGGTGGCTTGTGTAATTTTGCGCTGCTATTACTCCCCAGCAATGGCCAACTGATTAACCATGCTTCTCTGGCCAAATCCACTGGAGGCCTTTTTTTGTCCTTTTTTCTTTCTCGCATTTTCTCGCATTTTCACCGTGCTCCACTTTTCAGCTACCTCACCGGCCTGCTATACCATTACAACATCGGTCCCTCTATGATCGAGGCCTTGAATCCTTGATCTTTCGATTGGAGAAGTTTAGAGGAATTATCATGCTTTGAGATCCGCATAATAGAAAATTTCCTTTACATTCACGAATGTGAGCAATAACCAACTTGAAAATAGATTACTATACCATAGACGTCTCATGTGTTCTTCCATCCTGCGCCGATGAAGAACTCTATAGCTACCTGGAAGTCGTTTCGTATCAATACCAGAGACGACTTCTGGCACGATCTGGAAGGACCGCTAGGGCCAGTATAAGCACTGCTGTTCAACTGAAGCCTTAAAAAAGGCAGATACAAATGTATGAAGAACTTATGAAGAACTACCCACTCTTCCTGGCGCAGTGTGTGTGGAACCTGGAGAAGCCGCTTTTCGAATGAGTCTATGCAGCAAAAGGCGAAGCGCCATTTCCCCGGGATCTATAGGACTTAGGGATGTCACCTGGGCATGATTTGCGAGACCAACTCCCCGCTCTCGCTTCATGCGGTACAAGCTTTCAGATCTTCCGAGGCTTTGATACCTCCCGCCATTGCTGAAATCATATTATGCAGTGATCATCATTAGGAAACCTTTGAATTCATCATAGCGAGCATAAGCCATCAAGATCATCCCCTACTAGATAATTTGTGTGGCCATTCGGTCATTGTTTTCTTCTTTGCGTCTATACATAAATTGGACTAGGAGAACGCATCTACACCTAATCCCTACGATGGAGACGATTTGCAACCTCTGTTGCCATTTCGCCCCTAAGGACCTGCTCCATGTTGAATCTTGATCGGGCTAAGCCTATCTCTCGCGGTGCACTGCCGGGTTTGCCCTGCTATAGGGAGCTTCAGAAGCGTACGTGCTTGGAGTCAAGACTGAGGTGGAAGGTGATTCACAAACCTTTTGTGGATGGGGATACTGTGGAGATCAGAGGAAAGCAACCAGGGAATTAAATTATGAGCTACATGGGGATTCAAATGTACTCATATCAGCTAACTAATTCTCTATGGATATAAAATCTTCTACATTTTAGTCATTGCCCATTCGAATTGATCTTTCCCAGTTCTTGCTGGATTTCTCCAAGGCTCCTCTTGTTGTGCAGTATAGCAATCGAGTATATCTATATCATGGGTATGTTTCAAAGTGCCTAGGTTTACAAGGACATATGACATGTTGGGTTCGATTATGGAGAAGAGCTTTTCTTAGTATATATTTCCGGGTTTTCACATCGGACAGTTTTTTTTGTTGGTTTCTAGTTTATTGTTTAATTTCTTATATGCCTATATACAGAGACTTAGCCAGGTACATTGTGTCAGATTACCGGCTCAAAAATATCAATTCTCCCAATTCTGGTGTACAACATCAAGTACTCCGTACTGAACCACGTTAACAATGACCGGGTGCCAAGAACTCCCCCCGGGGAAAAAGGCCCCCACATTCCGGAGAAGAGCCGTCCACCCCCGGGTTTGGATTATTTCTTGCCTTTCGACTGGGCTGTGAAAGCAAGAAAGCTCATCTTGTAGTGATTGTTAGTCGATTATAGAGAAAAATCCACTGCGAAGATCAACATGATATAGGTCTAGAAGACTCCAATGGGGGAAAATGAAGAATTTGATGGTCTCAAACTTTAAATTGCCTATCGGCACGTGACCCACCGAGATAAGCCGGATTGGGCTTAGGGCGGGGGACTCCCATTTCTCTTACAAAAAAAAAGCGGCGATAGAGTCATCGCCGGTCTCTTCTAGCCATCTTCTCAAGTCTACTTGAGAGAGGCACTCGAGCCACTCAATTTCCTTCTACATCAGAAGGATAAATTCCTATCTCCCTGTGTCATAGTTGACTCACTGGGAGAACACCCATTTTCCTTCACAATGACTTCTACCGATACTTACTTGGCCATCCCGGGCTCCGTTGCCTTTTCCCGCTCACGGGGACAGGCTGTTGCTGCTAGCATCGGTGTCCAGGATGTCCGGGCCCAGTGGATTCACTATGTGCACACTACTCAACCACTGGATGAGCCCCAGCGTGCTGTGCTTGAGCAATTGCTCCAGTACGGTGATATCACGGATATCCCTCCCACCTTCGATTCCGCCGACGGTCAATCCGATACCTTCTATATTTTCCCCCGAACCGGTACCGTTTCGCCATGGAGCTCCCAGGCAACTGGTATCTCGCACGTCTGTGGTTTACAGAAGTACGTCAAGCGGATCGAACGGGGTATGAAGATCTCGTGCCTTCGCACCAGTGTAGAGGACTACAAGTCTAATTACATGGATACTCTTCATGATCGGATGACTCAAATCATCGGCAAGGATGAGCCCGATTTGAACCTCATGTTCTCCGAGCACGCTCCTCAGCCCCTCAAGACCATCTCCCTCCAAGGCGGCACCAAGTCCCCCAAGGAGGTTCTTCAGGAGGCGAACAAGGAGCTAGGTTTGGCTCTAGATGAATCAGAGATCGATTACTTGGCTGAAGCCTATGGCCCGAATGGTGCGATTGCCCGTGACCCGACTGATGTCGAGCTCTTCATGTTTGCTCAGGTCAACTCGGAGCATTGCCGACACAAGCAATTCAATGCCTCCTGGGTGATTGATGGCAAGCCCATGCCGAACAGTCTGTTTGCCATGATTCGCAACACACACAAAAAGCACCCCGAACACACCATCAGTGCCTACAGTGATAACGCCGCCGTTCTGGAGGGTCCCGAGGCCGCGTTCTGGGCTCCCGATCCAACCACCGGGCAATGGATGCACACCAAGGAAGTCGTGCATTTCCTGGCCAAGGTCGAGACTCACAACCACCCCACTGCAGTCTCACCCTACCCAGGCGCGGCTACAGGATCCGGCGGTGAGATCCGTGATGAGGGTGCTGTTGGTCGTGGCTCGCGCCCTAAGGCCGGTCTTTCGGGTTACTGTGTGTCAGACCTTCTGATTCCCGACCTGAAGCAGCCCTGGGAGCTTGATGTCGGAAAGCCGAACCACATTGCTAGCAGTTTAGATATCATGTTGGAGGCGCCAATTGGTAGCGCTGCTTTCAACAATGAGTTCGGCCGCCCTTGCATTGGTGGATACTTCCGCACTCTGCTTACCGAGATTGATGTGGGCAATGGCGAAACGGAAGTGCGAGGATACCACAAGCCCATCATGATCGCCGGTGGTGTTGGAACCGTTCGCCCGCAGCACGCCATCAAGCACCCAGACGTTGTCAAGCCGGGTGCTTTCCTCGTCGTTCTGGGTGGCCCAGCAATGCTTATTGGCCTTGGAGGAGGTGCTGCCTCAAGTATCGCCTCTGGTGAGGGATCTGCTGAGCTCGATTTTGCTAGTGTACAGAGAGGCAACGCTGAAGTTCAACGGAGAGCCCAGGAAGTCATCAACGCCTGTACAGCCATGGGAGACAACAACCCCATCAAGTTCATTCACGACGTTGGTGCCGGTGGCTTGTCTAATGCCCTTCCCGAGCTGATCCACGACTCTGGATTGGGAGCTAAATTTGAGCTCCGTGAAATTGACAACACCGACCGCAGCATGAGCCCCATGCAGATTTGGTGCTGTGAAGCTCAAGAGCGCTATGTCATGGCTGTTGGCGAGGAGAGCATGAACAAGTTCACTGCCATCGCCCAGCGTGAGCGTTGCGGCTTCTCCGTTGTCGGACGTGGTGGCGGTTCATCCGAGGAGGAAAAGAGACTTATTCTCCTTGACCGAGAGTCCAAGGAGTACCCGACTCCGATTGATCTTCCTCTATCTGTGCTTTTCGGCAAGACTCCTCGCATGACCCGAACTGTCGATTCGCGAAAGCTGGTGCTGCCTGCCGTGGACTCTAGCCTCAGCAAGTATCTTCCCTCTCTTACCTCGAAGATGGAGATTGTTGATGAAGCCATCAAGAGAGTTTTGTCTTTGCCCGCAGTCGGTTCCAAGTCTTTCTTGATCACCATTGGCGATCGCACTGTTGGTGGCCTTACGGCTCGTGATCAGATGGTTGGCAAGTGGCAGACACCCGTTTCAGATGTTTCAGTCACAGCCACTTCCTTGGCCCAAGGAATTAAGACCGGTGAGGCCTTTGCCATGGGTGAAAAGCCTACCCTGGCTCTGATCTCTGCAGCTTCGTCTGCCCGCATGGCCGTTGCTGAGTCGCTCATGAACTTGGCTGCTTCTGATCTTGTTGACCGTCTCAGCCAAGTGAAGCTGTCAGCCAACTGGATGTCCGCTGGTAGCCACCCTGGCGAGGGCGCTGCTATCTACGAAGCCGTCGAGGCTGTCGGTTTGGACCTGTGTCCCAAGCTTGGCATCAGTATTCCCGTCGGCAAGGACTCCATGTCCATGAAGATGAAATGGAAGGACGAGTCCTCGAATGAGGCCAAGGAAGTCACTGCTCCCATGTCTTGTGTTATCTCTGCCTTTGCGCCAGTTGGCGATTTCACCAAGACCTGGACCCCGGCTCTTCGTAGCTTCGAACAAGTTGGAGAGACTGTTCTCATGTTTGTTGACCTCTCGTTTGGCCGTAAGACTCTTGGCGGATCAGCCCTTGCCCAGGTGTTCAATGAAGTCGGCTCTGAGTGCCCTGATGTTCGCGATGTTGATCTCTTCCGGGACTTCTTCGATGCTACACAGCAGCTTCAGGAAGCTGGAATCGTCTTGGCTTACCACGACCGCTCCGATGGTGGTCTTCTGACTACTCTTGCTGAGATGATGTTCGCCGGTCGCTGTGGTGTTGAGATCATGCTTGACAACATCTGTGCTTCTTTCAACACCAAGGATGTCATCGAGTCCCTCTTCACCGAAGAGCTCGGTGCCGTCTTCCAGGTTCGCAAGGAGCACGAGATCCAGTTCCGCTCATGCTTCGCCACTTGCGGTCCTCCTCCAGGTCTAATCCACAAGATTGGACGTGTCTCTCAGCAGCCTAAGCAGAACCTCACCATCTACCACAAGGCCTCTTTGATCTACCGCAACACTCGTTCCAACCTCCAGCAGACCTGGGCCAAGACCTCCTACCACATGCAGAAGATCCGTGACAATGCCGACTGTGCGGAGCAGGAATATGCCAACATTCTTGACGACGCCAACCCCGGTCTCTCATGGAACCCTACTTTCGACCCCAAAGATAAGGGCTTGCCCATGATGACCAGCCTTTCCCAGTACTCCCCCTTCTCTAACAAGCCCCGCGTTGCCATTCTTCGTGAGCAGGGTGTCAACAGTCAAGCTGAGATGGCATTTGCCTTCAACACTGCCGGTTTCGCTGCCGTTGATGTCCACATGACCGATATTCTTTCCGGTCGCGTCTCTCTCTCCAGCTTCGCCGGTCTCGCCGCCTGCGGTGGATTCTCATACGGCGACGTCTTGGGTGCCGGCCAGGGCTGGGCCAAGTCCGTTCTGCTGCACGAGAACACCCGCAAGGAGTTCCAGGACTTCTTCGAGCGCCCCGACACTTTCGCCCTGGGTGTTTGCAACGGTTGCCAGTTCCTGTCTCGTGTTAAGGAGCTAATTCCCGATGCTGGCTACTGGCCCAGCTTCGAGCGCAACACCAGCGAGCAATACGAAGGCCGTGTCTGCATGGTCCGCATCTCCGACCCCGACCCATCCCGTCCCAGCGTCTTCTTCCACGGCATGGACGGCACTTCGCTCCCTATTGCTGTTGCTCACGGCGAGGGTCGTGCCTCCTTCGTCAACTCTCAGGGCATCTCGGCTTCCGACTTCGTTCGCGAGGGTCTTGCTCCCGTCCGATTCGTCGACAATGCTTCCCTGAAGCCTACCATGAAGTACCCCTTCAACCCCAACGGCAGTCCCGAGGGTATCGCTGCTGTGCGCAGTCCCAACGGCCGTGTCCTTGCCATCATGCCTCACCCCGAGCGTACTGTCATGAACGGCATTGCCAGCTGGCTGCCTCCGAAGGCCGAGTCCTGGGGCGAAATTGGTCCTTGGGGACGTGTCTTCTACAGCGCCAGACGCTGGGTTGGTTAGAATGTTTAGCTTTTATCTATGATGCCTTTCTTTTATTCACATCTTTTTTTTCCGAGTTCTTGTCCATATTCTCTTGGTCCGTTGGAGTTGAAGAAAATCATGCCAAAATGAGCCAGCAAATCAGTATATATCAAAATCAATAATATTCACAAATACCCATCCTCATGTAGTCTAAACGGAAGAATTTGGTTTTTGCTCTAGAGAATTGAAGACGAAATCTCAAATTTATCTAGATAGGAGGGGTCATCCTTGCATTTCCGACGCCTCAAAGTCTAGAAACGGCCGAACTGGACAATCTATGAGCTAATGTAACGCTAACTCCCGCTGAAAATAAAAAAAGGGTATCAAGGTTGTATGATTATTGCCTGCGCCAATTCTGCCTCCACTCCAGCCTGTCAGCAAGAATATCCCAACTTGGAAGCCCATCTGCGCGAGCTAAACTTTTCAGCCCATCCGTGATGAAAGTGGTCAGGTGGTCAAAGTGACTTCTGACCGTTCCCATCTGCTGACTGTAGGTCGAGTGGCGGAATGAGACCGTGAGCGTGGGTTCTGGGTTCATATCATCATCCTCATCAGAGTCGGAGTCGTAGTCAGGGTCTCTCTTTGTGCGCGATGTCTTCGGAGTTTCCAGATCTTGATCTTCGCCGAGCATGTGCGCGACTTGTAGATCGGCGAAACGAACACATAAATCCAGCAATTTGATGATTGCATCATGTATATGTGATAGGTCTTTGGAAAGCAGGCATTGTGCTTCTAAAGAGGTCATGTAGCATTGATGGGCCACGATCATGGCATCGACATCTTGCGCCTCGGATAAAGCTTTGTATAGGGACTGGGTGGCGGTAGATATGACGAGGTAGGTCAGATGACCGTAGATGAAATCGAGGACCCAAAGCATGTTATGGTGGAGCGCATGCACTAGTGTGTCGTTGTCGTCGGGAGCAGTGATACGCTGTTTCACAATGGCGTATTTAGCGCGCCTGATTTGCATCAAGAAGGTTGAGATTCGTTGATAGGAGTATATTGCTTCCTCGGTGATGATATTTGCAATAGGCCATGGGAGACCATAGTCGATTGAAATCGCTTCGAGAATCCCGACAGTTCGGTGGTCGCTTAGGTCTCGCGATGGAGTACTAGCTGGCCGCACAAGAAGCCTTGATGTGTCAATGACGGATATGGAGCTGAAAGCCGTTCTTGATATTTCAGTGAGCAGGAATCTGTCATCCCAAGAGCGGCCTCGATCAATCAGCTCGAAGGTCTTGGCGTCAATCACGCTTACGGCGCTCATGTCTTTGCCAAGGTAGACATGTTGAAGGGCGTCAAGGGAGGTCCATAATCCGCATTGCTGGTCGAGTTCCGTATGTAAAAGGCTAGCACTGAGTGAATGATCGACATCCACCAGCTTTTCGAAAGCGGATTCCACCAATACCGGGAAAGGAAGAGATAGGGAGGAATCTTGGATGTCCTCAAATCTCATGGCCTCGGTGGAGTCGACTGTATCTGGTAGTGCATTCAGATGGCGCAAGAACACCATGCTCTTACCAGCCGTAAACACCTTCTGAACACTGGTCTCAAGGAATTGGGGGATCCTCTGTCGGTTGTGGCCCATATCAAGCATAAACCAGTCATGCCAAAGGGTTCGCAAATCCCCGTTCTCGCGATTTTGAGTCCTCACGAAGAACGTGCTGTCTGAAGTATCAACCTGGCCAGTTTCCATCCAAAGACGAATTGAGCTTGAATATGTTTTGAAGCACAGAAAGAATAAGTCCGCGAGAGATCGGGATGAACCTTCGTCGCCTAGAGCTTCCAGCATGCATATCAGATCGTATAAAAGATCAAGACAACGCATTGGTTGATCAGTCGAGATTTTGCCTAGGTTAACGATCATTTCTGCGAGCAATGCTAGCTCGTTGGAGTGTTGACGGACATCAACAAGAAGCTGGATGAGGCTGACATTTGACCCGGCGGAAAGGTATTTGCACTGGACTTGAGATAAAATTCTGTCAAATTCGAGGAGACGGTCTTCAATTCCCCGACAAAATGTTTGCATATAAGGGATGGTCTGTGATAACTTCGTGAAACGCCGTGCAATGTTGAGCTTAGCGCCTATCTCGCTGAAACACTGCAAGAGCGATCCCAGTGCTTCGTTCGATGAATGTGCAAGAGTGTATCTCCGATCCACTCTAATACCATCGTCTGAGCGTAAGAAAATAGACGTAGGAAGACCCTGAAGCATAAAAATGGTCTCTCTGGCAAATTGAGACTCCGTGATCACGCGTGTGGCTCCCTCTCTTTGGGGCAATGAATGGTGATTTTCTGGTCTCCAAAACTGAGCCTTTGCTAAAGAGCCAACGAGATCCTCATCTTCTCTTGGCACAAAAATTTCATCTGGAACGACATAGTCTTCTTCCACTGTGGTGGCAGTTGGGGGTCTGTGTCGTGGGAGAGACACATCGCTAACAACAGATGAAAAGTCGTCATCTGATGAGTCGCCAGCAAAATCTACCTGCTCCCAGATTTCTTCATCACCGAATGCCGTGCCTTCTGCATCCAGATCCGACCAAGAAAGAGACTCCTTTGCTTTGGCTTCTGCTTCTGGTGCCTTGGCTCTTTCCTCCAGACGGGTAACCGTAGACAACAGGGCGGGACGATCTGAGAGCTGCAGCAACAAACTCAAGATCTCTGGGAGCCAAGATTGCGATTTGCATTCCAGCTCCTCGAGGCGGTTATGAAGAGCCTCTGCAAGTTCATCTCTATTCAAAATTTGGAACTTCTCTTGTAGTCCCTCGAGTTGCTTGGCGACTGCAAACTGGTCGGTGCGGTTATGAGACCCAGTTCGGAGAACTCCTTGTACCCGACGTTTCAGACCTTGAGCACGCGCAGACCCCTACACAGATATCAGTGCGTGAGCTCAAGATGAGAGGATGGCATCAACACAATATAGTATTACCTTCTGATCCGGTGATATCTTAGCAACTGAAGCGATCAAGGCATCAGTAAGCGCACTTAGATCAGCCGCGAGAGCCATCTTCAAACCTAGACTTAAGTCAAGGATAGAGAAATCAGAAATCACATCGATGCAGATATAGAGACGTCATAAAGTGAAGAAGCATAAAATGAGGATGTTTTGCCTGGGCGACGCTAGTCCCGACAAGGAAAGATGGCCACTCTTATGCGCGCCTCTCTCTCCCTCCGACCATCTCGCCCCCCTTTCAGCAAACACCATCATCATGGCTATCGCGCGACCGATTCGCATGCTGGGCGCAGCATGCATACTGCTCTGTCTATTCCTTGTCTTCCAATTACATCAGGATTCCTCTGAAGGCGGGTCTAAGCTGGTCCATGGCATGAAAAAGGATCCTCTTGTAGATCGTGAGTGACCCCGATTTCTTGCCACATCCCTTTTTGCAATCGTCACCCATAAAATGCCATGCTGACTATATTTTCCAGCGACTGGAGAACCTTCAGGGAATTTGTGGAGAGCCGACGAACACGATTACTCCCCCGATAGCGAACAATCGGCCCGCACCAATGCCGCGCTCATCACTCTCGTTCGCAATGAGGAACTGGGCCAGCTCCTCTCGACTATGAACGATCTAGAGCGAACATGGAACGGCAAATTCAACTATCCCTATATTTTCTTCAACGATGTGCCCTTCAGCGAGGAGTTCAAGCAGAAGACTCGGGCAGCGACCAAGGCTAAGGTCCAATATGGTACAGACTCCCCTCCTGTTGGAATGAGACAAAACATAGCTAACTCTAAATCCAGAGCTTGTGCCCAAGGAGCACTGGGATGTCCCAAGCTGGATTAATATGGATCTCTTCCACGAATCCGCCAAGCTTCTAGCGGAGCAAGACATCCAGTACAGCTCCCAGGTCTCCTACCACCAGATGTGTCGCTGGAACAGCGGCATGTTCTACAAGCACCCCGCCCTCGCTGGCTACCGCTACTACTGGCGCATCGAGCCCAACGTCAAGTTCTTCTGCGATGTCGACTATGATGTGTTCCGATACATGGAGGATGGCAACAAGACCTACGGCTTCACCATCAACCTTTACGATGCACCTCAGAGTATCCCGTCCCTCTGGCCCGAGACTCAGCGATTCCTTGCCGCCAACCCCTCGTACCTCAGCGACAACAACATGTGGGAGTGGATTACCGACGATGTGGCTCGTCCCGAGCACACCAAGGGTGGCAATGGATATTCCACTTGTCACTTCTGGTCCAACTTCGAAATCGGCGATCTTGATTTCTTCCGTGGCGAGAAATACGAGGCGTACTTCCAGCACCTGGATCGCGCCGGCGGTTTCTTCTATGAGCGCTGGGGTGATGCACCTGTCCACTCCCTTGGTATTGGTCTTTTCGCCGATGCCGCCAACGTTCACTGGTAAGTCATGCTATTTTTCTCCCATCCAAGAAGTCTCACTAACATATATTTTCACCAGGTTCCGCGATATTGGATACAACCACATCCCTTATCTCAACTGCCCCAACTCTCCCAAGTGCTCCGGCTGTAAGGCTGGTCAGTTCTATGAAGGCGCAGACTGGCTCTCCAAGGAGGATTGCCGACCTACCTACTTCAAGTATGTTGGAACGCACTAAGTATCAGGTCTTCCGATTGATCTGTCCTCCCGTCTCTTGTTATTCTGGAGAGTGCCTCACGACTCAATTCCTTGCATCACATTGCATACCCCTATGACTATATTACTGAAAATCAGTGGCTTGGTACCCGGCGTTTGAGCGGACACATAGCTGTGTGTATTGATGATTTTGTGCCCCTTTTGTTTCTCCCTTTTTTGGTTTAATTCCTTGTCACAAAATACGTTCTTGGCCATGTTCCTATCCCCCAAAGGGCTACAGGGGCCTTGTTTTCATTGTACTTATATTGATTGCGCATGGATCACTTTGGAGGAGGTCTCTTTGTTCTAGACTGGTGCCTGTTGGCCTGCCTGCCGCAGCTGTTATTTTGTTTGATATATTGGCTACTTAGGAACAAGAACTGAGTTGCAGACTAGCCTAGCCATTCTACCATTTTGAGGATGCAATATCCATCCCATGAGAGTATAGGAAAAAAATTTGAAGATCGAGGACCGAAGACTGAGTTGAGCGGTTGATAACACAACAATGCAGGATGACTGAACAAGATGGAATCAAGATAGATTAAGCACCAACCAAGTAAGGTACAGAAGACCTTTTTCCAGACAACGGCCGCACTAACAACACAAGAGATCTCTAAAGTATGTATACAGTTTTCTCTTCGACCCAACCTAATCCTCAGCCAGTCAAGCAGTGCCGGATAAACAACGTGCGAGGGGGTACTGATTGTTTAAGAGAAAATTGACGTGAACGTAGAATTGATGATGCGAATTTACGCCTCCTGGGGGTAAAGCTCCTCACGGAGGGCAACACCCAACTCCACACGCAGGCTCTCGAGAGACTCGAGGTATTGCTTGTACTGCTCGGGGTTCTCGACCTTAGCCTTGACACCTAGTGGTGAAATAATGTTAGTATCGGTTCAAGAACGATAGAGCCTAGGGCTCGAGGATGGAATATTGTTAAAGCGTACCCTCGAAGACGCGGACAGCGGTGGGGTAGTCGTTAACACGGCGGGCGGCCTTGAGGGCGGCAGTGAGGACCTCAACGGAGGGAACGAGATCGTAAGCGAAGCAGTTGTTCAGGTTGCGCTGTTTGCAAAGACATGCATTAGCCAGGTGATGAATTAAAGCGGATATAGAAGCCGCATGTTGAGTGTGACGGGTGTGGCTGCCATGTATCGCATGCCGATCCATATGCCTCGGGTGTTGTCGAGATAATTCATACCTGGAGCTCGAAAACGTCCTGAACACCATCGAATTCCTTCTCGAATCTGCAATTGAGATACACAGTTAGAGACATGTCCCCAATTATGAGTCAAGCTTTGCCGACGCTCGTTCCGGAAAGCGCCTAACATCAAAACGCACGGCGCTTCCTTCCCACTGTTCCGGCGTCAATGGCTTGCGGTTTGGGGGCGTACCTAGCAGAGAACTCTTCGTAGGTCTCATCCTCGTGGCCGGAGCGGCGCATAGCGGTAGTACCGAAGTTGGAGGCGCGGGCGGCGGCCAGAGTGACCGGGGACTGGATCCGGGACTGGGCCAATTGGGGAGCTCTGAAGAAGCCAGTAGGGCGAACGGCGCGGGTCGCCACGCGGAAGATAGAGAGGGAGGGCATTATGAGAAGAGGACCGCGTTGGACCGGACTGGAACAATGGTGAGGGGAGAGGTGTGGATGGAGACGGGAAGGGGAGGTGAGAAGTGCCTCTAGGATTTTGCGGGTGGTGTGGTGTTGGCGCCTGAGGCAGCATCACGGGTGCTGAGTCATCATCCGATTGGCCCCGTCCCAAATGGTCTTGATCTCAAAGGGCGGTCGCTGATTGGCTGCATGACTTGTGACTTTCGAGATGCGTGTCATTGGCCGAGTGTTAAGTCATGATATCAGATTGTTTCGGTGCTTGCTGATGTTTTTGTTGGCTTTCCAATGTGATGGGGCAGTATTTAGGGGAAACCCTCGATCTGGACATTTAGAGCACAAATCGTAGTAGGAAATGGCTGTTCAACTCCCTAGGTATATATTTAGCCTAACTGTGGCCCAACGAAGCCGACACAGATGGTTCTTTCAACAACTAGTTCCAATGTAGTTAACAGATAGCAAGATTACTGCCTTTTCACCTTGAATCGTCAAGAAAGCACCGGAGAAGTTGATCGCATAGGGACATACAAGGATGCTTTGAGACTTGGAGCTTGGAGACAAACAGGAACCGAGGCTATTAGCCTATTAGATAGTAGGCAAAACGTCGGCCAAAGATACGAAGATTCTTGTGGCTACATATCAGATAGAAAGGTTGCTCATTTTATCCACGGGAAAAACCTGACAGGAGCTGAACAAAGTTCACATTGAGCTCCATGCTTTGATGTCTGGGATATGCCTTGTTCCGGATGGTCGATATAAGGTACCCCAACAAGATGTACTCTGTACCTCGTACAACACCTCAAATCTCTACACTCAGCGATAGTCCCTGCCAAAGTGACTTTCAATGGTAATCTTCCCATGGCACCGGTGATAAGCAGTAACTCAACCGCAGCACCGACTCGGAGATTTCCAAACTGACGCTTTGGGTATGGATCTGGTTTCGTAAGGCGGGGACAGCCCAGGTGGAATCCACCCAGTTGGATTGGGGATCCAGAAAAGTGTTGAAAATACCTAGGTATGTTAGCCGTGACGGAGTAGACCGTCGATATACAGCATTGCTGTAGATAAACCCTCGGCAATTGTATATAAACTACTCCTTGTGTAAGCTGTAATGCGCTACGGAGTATTGGCATGGGACTAGCCACTAGCATGTGATAGTTCACGCTGAGGACAGCCTGGCGACTCAGCACCACGATACACTCCATATTGGGCGGTTTGGGAGCAAATACCCACGATCGTCAATCATAACCAAGACGAGATCCATTCCGTTCCTGTGCGCAATCTCCTTATGTACACAATGACGCCTAGTACCTGGAAGTAGATGCGATCGGAACTCGATGTTCCCCTTTTTATGGCACGCTAAACCCTTTCGGGTCCTCAACGGACGCGCCGGACGCAAAAAGTAAGTGTTCTCCTGTATTTCTCCAGCTTTTCCTCTCTCTTCCCTCGCCCCCTTTCCCACTTTCATTTCTTTAGCTTTTTTTTCTTTTTCTTTCCTTTCCTTTACTCTGTGTGGCCTTTCTTGTGACGGTTTCAACGCAGTTCAATCGCTGCTCCGTCAAGAACAGCTGCCTTACACGGCTGTCGCCATCTCTAATCGCACTTCGATTTGGTAGAGAGAGCAACCTAATCCGTCACAATGGCGTCTGAAATCCTCAAGCATGTTTCGGTCCCAACCATCGATCGGCCCTTCGGTGTGCACTTGTGGCCCCTCTTCGACCAGGCCTATGAGAAGCTTATGGGATATCCCGCCAGCGAGTTCACTTTTACCGACGGTGTGACCCCTCTGTCCACCTTGAAGGAGACTTCAATGATGCTTGTCACCTACTATGTTATCATTTTCGGTGGCCGTGAAGTCATGAAGAAGCTGCCTGCGTTCAAGCTTAACACTTTGTTCATGATTCACAACTTCTTCTTGACCACTGTCAGCGCTATCTTGCTGGCATTGTTCGTGGAGCAGCTTGTGCCCACTCTCTGGAGACACGGAGTGTTCTACACTATCTGCGATCAGCGCGGCGGCTGGACTCAGCCTCTCATTATCTTGTACTACGTAAGTCGCAAAGTGCATGAACCATTGAAAGCGGAGAAATTAACCTCGATTAGCTCAACTACCTCAACAAATACGTCGAGTTCATTGACACCATCTTCCTGGTTCTCAAGAAGAAGCCATTGACCTTCCTCCACACTTACCACCACGGTGCTACCGCCCTCCTCTGCTACACCCAGCTTATCGGTGTGACCGCTGTCCAGTGGGTGCCTATCACCATCAACCTGCTGGTCCACGTTGTGATGTACTGGTACTACTTCCAGAGCGCCCGTGGTGTTCGCATTTGGTGGAAGAAGTACATCACCATGCTGCAGATCCTCCAGTTCGTCATTGACGTCGGTAAGTGATGCCGGTCCCGCAACCCGCAAGGAAAAGAATACTAACAGATCCAAGGCTTCATCTACTTCGCCTCCTACACCTACTTCACCTCTGCCTACTTCCCTTGGCTCCCTAACATGGGCAAGTGTGCTGGTGAGGAATTCGCTGCCATGGCTGGTATCGGTATCATCAGCTCTTACTTGGTCCTGTTCATCTCCTTCTACATTGCCACCTACAACAAGACTGCCAAGTCTGGCCGTCCCCGCCGCAACACCGGCCAGAAGTCATTGATTGACATGCGGAACTTCGAAATCCCCTCGCCCGCCGGTAACCAGAACGGTAGCGCTAAGTCCACCGGCCGCTCTAACGGCCCTGTGACCCGCTCCCGCAAGGCCTAAATGGCGAATAGAAGCACAATTGCCTTCAAGCACACTTGAAATGTGTGACTTGGAAGAATTAGAATGTCCGGGAGTTTGATCGTTGGATCATCCCGTGATAGGCCCTTGAATTAAAAGTTCATATAATACTTGTGGCCAAACAAGGCAGAAGAGCAGGGTGGCTGCTCTTGGGTGATGCGTCTCTATATTTGTTTAATGAATGACCACCTCATGATGCCAGATCCATTACCTGGGCATGGGGTATGAGCCTTGGAATTGTCGGATTGCATGCGCCGAAACGTTTATCGGAAAAACCTGCAGGGCGAGACATCTCATTTCAATGCGGGAATACTGTTGGATTTTCCCGGCAGTCTCGTCATGCTTGTATTTTATAATGTTGTTTTCTTCTTCTGTTCATGTTTGTCGTTATCACCCGTCTGTTGATGGCAGGCCATTTGATTGTATTCCTCGCCCTTATTGTTACTAAATTATTTTTTGATAGACTTTAGCTCCTTATATCAAGACAAATGTAATGATTTCTGTTTCAAACAATCTAGGTTGCTTGGTAAACCAAAGAGAAGAGATTGTGGGCAGCCCGAGATGATGCCATATGGGATATCCGTGGATGTTTGCTTTGGTTGACTGCCTCCATGCGAAGTATGTCATTAGCACCTTCCAGACAGCCAAGTTTCATTTGTATTTCCCCCATGCACAGACAGTCCATATCCCAAGACCATCCACGCTAGACCGCCCTTTGAAGCCTTCTATCGCTCAAGCCCAGCCATCCCATATGAACAAAGCCGATCAACGCAAAACAAATACCCCAGCCTGTTTATATGGCAACATCAAACAGTGTACTCCGTATCCTCTGACCGTAACTCAATGTGCAGCATCACACAATTGAAGACTGCGCGGCAAAGATGCAGGGACCATCTGGTGGAGCTTAAACCCGCACCATGGCCTGTGCGACGAGACACAAACAACGCCACATGAAAGTGATATATCTCATCTGCCCCAGACACTAGTGGCCAGTTAGCAAAACGATTATTGGCAAACTGTCAACACACCAAACAGGCATAGCCTTGCCAGTGGAACAGAATAGAAAAACCAAAAGAAAACCTTGAAATGTCAATACTGTTGAATGGCAAGGCTGGTCATACCCAGCCTTCTAGATGCAAAACCGCGATCTCCTAGCACCTGAAAACCACGACCAGCTATCAGCAGGTGTCATGGGGCTGGGGGGAAAACAATGCAATGGGCGTAAGCCGTACGGAGTACTCCGTCCTCCGTCCTCCGTAGAGGTAAGAAAACGGAGTGCTTGGTCATCGGCCAGACCTCACCTCAAGCAGCCTCAGAGGCACCTTGCTTGGATGCCATGCGCAAAGATAATCTGGAGACTGAATGGACATGCAGGTTCGGAGGTTGCTGCTAGTATGTGCATAGACGCTAGCCTAGGAAAGGAATAAGAAGATACCAAAAAAAAAAGAAGGATTGGCACGACTGCAGTAGTTGCCGTGTTGACGTTGATAACCTGACGATCTATGCAATTCCTGTAGCTTTGGGTGGATTTCAAAAAAGGCGTTAGATACCCACAGGGACTGGGTGAATGGCCAGTAATTGGAGGCATTAGGGTTCCTTAAAAAACGTCGCGGAGAAGGCGTCATATGGGTACTCCGTACTCCGTACCTGCAGACAAGAAGTCGGAATATTGAGATCGGAGTCCTTGCTGAACTATGGGAATGGTCTATCAATGGTACGATATACTCCGTAATAAGATATGAGATTGATGGTATGTGAGATGTCAGATAAGATGCTAGAAATCAGTTTGCACCAAGAGGTGACAGGCCTAGTCTGGTTTCCACAAGTAAGGAGGTGGGAGGTTGGAAGGTGAAGGTTGGCAGCGGACGGTGGGCGGCGGACGATGGACGGTGAAGTCGGAAACTTCGTTTTGCCGGAGTTTTGCAGAAGCTCGAGGTTTTGTCCTGTGCTGCAGCGTCATGATCACTGCATCATTCCTGGAATATCTCCCAGGAGGCAAGAAATCCCCTCTCTACCTCCTCTTAACCCTCCAGCATGACTAACCCCTTTGAGGGCCTGGGAGGTTAGATTGCCCCTGACGTCTCCTACCCCAGGGACTAAGGACTACGGTCCCAGCACTGGGGTGTTCCTACATTTTGACCCTCCATACTCCGTACCTCGTACCTGGATGCCGCATAACCAGCAAAATAAACCATGGTTTGACGCTAAAGTGATTTGAAAGGGGAGTTCGTAGCGTGTTTGAGCTATACACAGGACCCCCGCTAGCCCCCGGATGGCGAACTTGGCATCTCAGCAGGCGATGTGATTCGACGAAGACTCTGCTTATGGGCCGTTCTCCATTTGCAAGTCCATCGTGGTTCGGTTCTCGTCCCACTGTGGTGTCGTTTCAAAGGTTCTAATCTAAACCGGACTACAGTACGGAGTATGGAGTAGTCGTTCCACTGAAGGAATGCTCTCCAGGAGAGCAGTCTCCCTTATTGGGCCCTCGACATCCCGCTCTTTCTATTCTCCCGCTCTGGATACGATGTACAGAGTACATCGTTCAAGGACTTGCTATCCTTGGATCTTTGGCTGATACTTGTCCAATCATTGAACCGCAACAGATCGCGGAGCATTAGGTGCATGCGGGCTGACCAACGACAGCTCAGGTTGATCTATCAGATTCGCGCTGAATGTTCTTTTTTTAAATTATTGTTTTTATTTTAATCTATTATTGCTTCTCCAACCAGGGTTCCAAACCAGCCCTCTTGCCACGATATCCGCGTTTTGCCTGAAACTGGCCATCCCGGACCTCCCCAACCCACCCTATTTGACCACTATGCAAGGGTGATACCCCAATCACATTCATCCTCCTGCTCAAGGTTCACTCCTCTTACGCGCTGATGCACGCAACATAGCCTTTTCCATTCTCTGCCTTTCTGCCACACGTGCGCAGGGATCAACATGGTTAGGCAAGTCCCTGGGTGGAGGCCTTCTGTTCCTTCTACTCCGTGCAATATCCTTATATTGGATTGAGCTATGCATCCCCTGCCCATAGCTCCTGAGTCCCACACCGTTCCACTTCCTTAAAGAGCCTTTTATCGCCCCGCTGTACTGTGGACTCTTGGATCTGCTCTGCAGCTTTGCACCCGTGGGATATTTGACGGGAGTTATTACGTCGCCTTGTGTCTCCTTTTTACCCTGTCGCTGGTATACCTAGTGGAGGGCTGGTCTTCTCTCTTCTCTTTTTTTGGTCCTTGTTCTTTACTTCTACCTGAGGCCCGTCTACTCTTTGGAATAGTTCTTATCTCTCTTCTGTTCTATCACCAGACTTACTGAACTACTTGACAAGAAAACATGTACGACCCGGCTACCTCGCTGAGTCTACACCGCTTGAGCCGGCACAGTCTCCAAGATCGATATGAGTCAGATGAGGAGGCTGTGTCCGAATCCGATGCCGGCGCCCAAGATTTACTCTCCTCACCGGTACACTCAAAAGAAGCCGAGATCTTTGATACAGATCTTAGTGCCGGCGATACTCTCCGTATGGGTCATGATTCTGATCGGAATGAAAATACCATTCTGGCACCAACAATCAAACGTTCTCGGCCTGTCTCCTCGGCCACCAAGAGGAATAGCAGGGCTAGCTTCGATGAAGATTCTTATGTTTTTGATCCAGAGGAACAGGTCGTTCTCGAACTGCCGTCGCCAGAACCCTCTCCGCAAATGGCATCCCCCACCTTTTTACAGCCATCGATGTACGTCTGGCCCAAGCCACCCCGGCCTACGAACTCCAGGTCTCGCTCCGCTTCGCCTGCCTCACTCTTTTCGGTAGAAGATGCAGATATCCAAATCGCAAAGAGTGTCACCATGATGGAACCTCCAACCCGTCCCACCGTGGTCTTGATAAATGCTCTGGGATCACGGACTAAGGGCTCGAAATCTCGACCGTCCAATTCTCACTCTCGGGAAAGCAGTCGAAACCGCCCCGCGTTGGCCAAGGCTGCTAACCGATTTGCAATGCTACGCTCACCAGAGAAAGCGATTAGGCCATCCCGAATAGTTGAGAAACCGAACACTTCAAAGCAATCACCTAACACAACACCGACCCTAGCGTCAGGGCAAGGTCCACTACTAGGACCCAGTGCGGTTATCAACCACGTCTCCGAAATTCCCCCAGTCCCCTCCTTGCCAGCACCCCCACGAACAGCCCCGACCCAAGAATATCGGGGCCACCTTCATACTCCAGCCTCAGACGCAGCAATGCCACCGCCGCTCAAACTGCGAACCCGCCGACCTCCCTCTTTGCACAGCACAAGCAGTGGCAGCGTCCGCTCCCAACCTTCGCGCCCAACAACCCCCTTCTCTTCTGAGGAAATGACCAGCCCCCTCGGCACAACAAAATACGACATACCCGCCCAGTTGACCAGAACCGACAGTCCTGTCTCAATCTCATCTACTTCCTCACCACCCCCATACACACCTTCGAAGCGCAGCGCTCCCCCAAGCTACAGCGTCTCAAACATGCTCACCGGTCGCTCACCCATCATGATGCGGGGTACGACAAGGAAACACTCCTCCTCCAGCATCCATTCGTTGAACAGCCTGCGTTCTGAGGTCGGCGCCAATGAGCCCACTTCCTCACAGATCTCTGTCGCGACCCAGCCCGTCCCAGCTCCCAGTCCCGAACCTCAGCGCTTGCAAAAATCAAACCAGAGTCGCCATATACGGAATAATAGCACTGCACCTAGCGGGCGTGGCTTCATGGGCTTGAAGTTTGGAAGGCGAGCTCCTACTAAGCCATGATTCTGGGAGGCCATGTCTTGTACCATTTTTGGTGCTGCTTCTTCTTCTTTCTTCCCAGCTTATTATTTCCCACTTTGCATTTTTTTCACTTCTGATACTTGACACATATTCACTTACTAATATCGTTATGGGTGGGGACATTTCTCTCACCAGGCTTGCGGGTTTCAGATCTTTTGATTTCCCGTTTGGTGGTCCTTTCATGCTTGATATTGATGTCTACTCAGTGTTCATTCAGGCAGGCATCTGTTTATCTCTTTTTGTTTCTCTTCTTGATCATCCCTGTTCTTGATTTCAAACTCCCCATGGGAGTAATGTGTAACGCGCCCAGGACTTGAGCAGGGCCGGCATCAACTTGCATTCCGGGATGGCTAATGTTTACATGTATTTTGAAACTTTGGCGTACTGTTCTTGATTTTAGGAAGGACTTTGGGAGGCTCCATTCTGCTTATGGTGATCCGATTATCCGCGAACTACTTGAGCTATTCAGATATTACATTGACACGATTATGGCATTCTCCAAATATCCCGTCGACCCGTTGATCGTTTCCATCTACCGTCTCCATCATCACTCTGCATTTCATCTATCACATCGCCTGGATTCAGACAAAACCCCTGGTTGTCCTCTATGCAGGCAACACACAAGCAATATTATACGATTGCCCCAGCTTCGTCAAAACCTATAGTACCATCTCAGCTCAAAGATACTCTAACCTTTCACATGACAATATCTTACCGGATCACAGCACGCCCCCTTCAATCCAGCCTCACAAGTGCTATAAGTCGTCGTCCCATCAACCGTTTCCTCCAGCTTCATCGCGCGCGTACCTTGAAATTCATCAGCCCAAACTCCTAACCATTTACCAAGGAGAGCATATTACATGTTTTGCCAGCGTATAAAAATCCTAACAAGGGATAGCTAACCAGTTCTTGGCAGCATAGACCCGGAGGACCGGCAGGGATGGGATTAACAGGCTTGACACAGGAGAAATCGCTCTTCACTGCCACGAGAAGCGCGAAGAGAACCATGAATTTCATCTTGGAACGAGGCTGTGCTCTGGCAATATCCTGGAATGCGAGATTTTTGTCTTGTTTCTTCGACCCACCCCGATCGACCAGGTCGATCTTCTCCACGTGTGGAGTGGGAACCACCGCAATCTCTTGAGATAGATTACTGCTGATGAAGCGTTTTCTTTTTTTTTTCTGTTGATCCACAGAAGAAAGAACCGCATTCCAGAATACCTGTGTTTCGGATATTCGGAAACAATCTCAACAACAGACGTTCCCCAATCAATGCTTAATCCCAGCTCTTTACCACAAAATTTGAGATACAGAAACAAAAGTTAACAGTATCTCAAGGAAGACACCTCGTATTAGCCCACGAGGTCGGACTAGTATGATCTTCCAGAAATGGCGTCGGCTCATAGCCATTGGTATTATGGAGATGCGCCAACTGCGTACACAGATACTCATCTTCTCGAGGCCACCTGACCAAAAACCATTCTCGTCGTTTGCCGTGCTGGCGAAGGACGTGGACGGGGACAATTTCCTTATCTCTGTGGGCTTTGTGGTAGTTGTAGTCGTGGTGATTGACGTCTATAACGATGAAGGTACGTTCGGTGGATACGTCGATGACGAGATAGAGGATTCGGGGATCGTCTTCCCAGCCTGGGAAGACTTGGTTGACGACTTTGTCTGCTGAAGCGCGATAGTCTTGAGGGTTTAGGGCTTTGGTGTTCATTCTGATCACGATTCGTTTTGGGGTGTTGGATTCGAGGATTTGGGTTCGGATTTCTGAGATGTCGGGCATGGTTGCTATTTATTTGTAGTTCGAGGCGGGCTGAATATGGAGAGAGATGAAGTAGTTTCTAGGGAGTGGTGTATAAAAGAGTGGCAGGAGGATCTTCTTTGTCTGATATCACACTAGTACGAACAAAGGTGTGCCATCTTACTACATCTAGGCACGGAGTCCTCCGTACAATACAGGGATAAAAGCTACAAGCATTTCGCTATTCTCTGGAAATATAGACTTAATACTTTACCATAATGGAGAGAGTCAGTCCAACTCCCCCTAACACCAGCAACTATACCGGACCCTTAGCGCCCTCCAGTCCGAGCTAATAGCCATCATCAGAGCAGGGCGGGGTAGCATATGAATGCCGTGGGCACTTACCTGGGATCCAGATCTCTGTAACAGTCTGCTGGGGGATCTTTGCCCAAGGTTGGCAATTAGTGGGTTGTTCGCAGCTGGCGACTTTCTCCACAACTTTGTCGCAGCCGCAGTCTTGGTAGTACTGATCTTCCCAGTGACACATCTATTCAGTTAGCATAAGGTACTCTATTCAGTAGGGGATAGGAAGTTGACCTCACCTTTGCGATAGTTTGAATATGGTTGAATGATTGGAGTAGACTAACGGGGGGAGAGATGGAATGTATGTAGAGTGTATATAGAGGATTGCAGATGCCGGCTGAATCGATGTTGATGGTGAATATTCTGAGAAAAGGAAGACGGGTTCCAGCTGGGGGTTTATATGCTGATTCATAAAGTGTGCTCCAGTCAATGATCTCTATACCCTACTGTACTTGGATGAATGGGAGGCAAGTCCGACAAAGCCATCACAATGGAACAAAGCGTGGCTCTTCTGAAGGTATCGCTGAGTGTAGCATCACAACAAAGACCAGTGTCAACTAGAAGAAACCTTGTGCTCATAAAGATAATTTCTTTCACGCAGATAATCGCGTACAGCTCTAAAGGTCTAGAGCAAAGGATTGAGTGGGTTGATGTAATAATGGCGAGACCACTTGTCGAGATACAAAGGAAAATTCACAAAGCAACAGCCTTAGAATTAAGACAATAAATGCATTGAGATAACTCGATCTGCCAAGAAGCAAACCGATGATAGGACAGCAATTAACCCTCTGAGCCTGAAATATAGCATTCAAACAGCCCACTAGGGGCACTGGATTCTGCAGTAACTAAAGGCATAGACAATTCGAACCTATCATGCATTTCATAAAAAGGATTATCGATTCAAAACGAAGCCTACTTGCGTGCCTCCAGGGCAGCTTTGATAGCTATTGAAAATGCATTAGCACCTTTTCATCTTATCAAAGAGACAAAGTAAACTTACCATCGCAAGAAGTCTTAGCATCACCGAATAGCATTCGCGTACCGGGCATGAAGAACATGGGGTTTGGAACATCCGCTGTGAATAAAATATTAGAAGGCGTTTTTAGGAATAACGACGAGAGAAACTTACCATATCCGCTGGACATTCCACGCTTCATCACAATAACCTCCTTACTCTTCCATGCGTGGAGGACAGGCATGCCGGAGATAGCAGAGTCTGGCTCCATGGCGATGGGGTTCACAGTATCATTGGCACCGATGACGAGAGTGACATCGGTGTCAGAGAAGTCTTCATTGATCTCCTCCATCTCCAAGACGACTGTATCAACTGTTAGCAAATAGGCCGATAAACAAGAACGGTAAATGACTTACTATCGTATGGAACAGATGCCTCAGCAAGCAAAACATTGCATTGGCCAGGCATTCGGCCCGCAACAGGGTGAATGGCAAAGCGAACGTTGACGCCCCGGGAACGCAACAGGCGAACAATCTCCGAAAGAGCATACTGAGCCTTGGCAACAGCCATACCATAACCAACGACAATGATGACATTCTCAGCACCTGACAGAGCTTCCACTGTGTCATCGATGCTAGTTTGTGTGACTTCGCCCTCAATCTTCTTCTGATTCTGCGCCGCAGGACTCGAGATACCACCAAAGAGAACATTTGCCAACGACCGATTCATGTTGACGCACATAATGTAGGAGAGAATAGAACCGCTGACACCAATCAAAGAGCCGACACTGGTGAGAAGTGGATTGTCGAGCATCAGACCCTCGGCCACGAGGGCGAATCCGGAATAAGCGTTCAACACCGTGATGACGACAGGCATATCAGCACCACCAATAGCTGCTGTCGTGGTGAATCCCTTTAGGAAACTGAGGATGGTGCTTGCACCCAGACAGGTAGCTGCAATTGCAGGGCTTCCTGGTGCCATTGTAATGAACGCTCCCATGGTGGCAATGTTACTGCCCAGTAGTGTGGAATTGATAACGTGTCGGCCAGGCAGGATCGTCGGCCGGGAGGACATGCGTCCAGCCAGCTTCAGGAAAGCGACAATAGATCCAGTAAATGTGACACCACCAATCAGAACACCCAGGTAGGCGGTCGTCAGGTGTAGAGTTGTAATATCGCCGATATCGGCCATGACACTTCCAGCACTAGTCAGAACAGCAGCCAATCCCACCACCGAGTGGAGAGCAGCAACCGTTTGGGGAAGACCTGTTGGCGTGATGCGACGGCCGATCAAGCCTCCGATCACAGCTCCTGTTCCAGCAACCGCCGTAAACTGTGTAAGCGTTTCAGGAGAGAAGCCAACCGCAGCCAATGAAGCCAGAATACCGGAGACTACTCCCAGGATACCAAAGATATTGCCTCGTCGCGCGGTTTGCTGCGATGCTAGCCCAGAAATTGAGCCCATACACAAAAGTGTGCTAACCAGATATCCAGCTTGAACCAGACCAGACATGCCTGTGGTAGCAGCTGCGATGAAGCCACCGCCAAACACCACAGCAGGCACGGCGTACAGCCACGGGTACTCGGGAGGATCAGTTGGACGCTTGAACATATCCAGCATACGCTTCGTGACCACAAAGCCGCCGGAAACATTCACAAATGCCAGAAGTACAGAGGCAGCGCCGAGATATTCAGGGATTGTAGTCGGCACATAGCCTCCTCCCATAATGAACAGTCCGCCAATACCGACCATACCCGAAATAGCGTTGGTGACACTCATCAGCGGCGAGTGGAGTGCAGGGGCTACACCCCACACGGCGCGATAGCCGACCAAGCCAGCAAGTCCAAAGGTCATCATGTTGCCCATAAAGATTGGACCAGTTGCCTTTCCGAGAGCCAAAGTCGTGCCCATTGCGCCTGTGACCGCAGCCACATCGCGGGTTGCCTTTTGCCATGGCGTCAAGGCCACTTCCTCCTTCGCCGCGACAGCTTGTGCCTCGGGCTTTGGGGTTGGAGGTGGAGCAGCCGGTGCAGCAGGGGGAATGATCTCACCGTTCAGGGTTACAATAGAACCACGCACGACTTCATCTTTAAAGTCAATACCAAACGACTTCTCCTGGGGAGCCATAGAGAGGAGGTACTTGATGATGTTATTCGAGTATAGCGTGGAAGATTGAGTCGGGAGTCGCGAGGGAAGATCCGTGTAGCCGATGATAGTAACGTCCTTGTAGCTGCTCAGCTCCCCGGGAACGGTAGCTTCGCAGTTTCCACCTGCCTCTGCCGCAAGATCAACGATGACAGAGCCAGGCTTCATTGCAGCGACCATTTCCTTGGTGATGAGCTTCGGTGCGGGCTTGCCGGGGATCAGGGCCGTGGTGATGATGATATCAACCTCTTTAGCTTGCTCCATGAACAGTTTCATTTCAGCTTCGATGAATTCCTTGGACATTTCTTTAGCGTATCCACCCTGGCCTGAGCCATCCTCTTGGAAATCAACCTCGATGAACTCGGCGCCTAAAGACTGGACTTGCTCGCGAACAGCAGGACGGGTATCAAAGCCACGAACGATAGCACCCATGCGACGGGCCGACGCGATTGCGCTCAAACCAGCTACGCCAGCACCAATAACGAGAACCTTACTTGGGGGAATCTTTCCAGCTGCAGTAACCTGACCAGTCAAGAAGCGACCGAAGTGGTTAGAAGCCTCCAGCACTGCCTTGTAACCTGCGATGTTGGCCATTGAGCTAAGAGCATCAAACGTTTGCGCACGAGAAATCCGAGGAATGCGGTCCATTGCGAAGGAAGTAACCCCACGAGCTGCGAGCGCATCAACGAGGGGCTTATTCTGGAGAGGGTACATGAAAGAGATAACCGTCGAGTCTTTGCGTAAAGCCTGAATTTCATTGAAGGGGCCATCTGATTGTGGGCTGCGGACCTTCAAAACAATATCACTCTGAGACCAGACTGCATCCCGGTCGACCATTGTCGCACCGGCCTTTTCGTAGGCATGATCTAGGAGCTGAGCCCCCTCGCCGGCACCGCGTTGGATGAGCACACGAGAGACTCCCTTTTTCAGAAGAAGGGCGACATTTTGCGGGGTTATTGCCACACGGCGTTCCCCAGGAAAAATTTCCAGAGGGACTCCCACAGTCAATGCGGAGTATGGGGTGGTGGGCACGGACTCGGAGGGAGGTGACTCAGGCGAGGTTGTAGCAGTTCGCTTGGAAATAGAGGACCATCGCGGCTGGTAAGCGGACGGACGTTTGTTTTGCGACGCGAAGAAAGTAGCTTGTCGAATTTGTGAATCTAATTTGAAAATTTTTGGTCAGAAAACAGTTCGGTGTGCTCAAACATGTCGATTTGGAGAAGCTTACTCGACGTCACAGCAACAAATGATTTCCCCGCGCGAGCAAGGGACGCTCCAGCACATGGCCGTAAGGCCGACCGCAGGGATGCTGCACACATTGCGAGTGATCCTGCAAGTTACACGTTATGCGTCTTTGGCTCATCTATAATATGGCTATCGGGCCGAGGGACGAGAACGGCCGGGTACCGCGTCCAGTCCGGACTGAAAGGCGTCACGCGAGAACAAAAAAGACGCTAGAGAGCTTCGGACGAAAGACACGAACTCAAGGGCAACGGTAAAAACGCAGCGGAGGAAAGAAAGAAAAAAGAGTGAGGAGAGGGACATGAATAAAAGCCCCGATTCTCGGCACAACGTCCAAGCAAAGAGGGGAAGCGGCCACGCTCAGATTCCCACCTTGCGATGAAACCCCTCGCTTGAAATGCAGTGCATTTAGGCAATTTATGTGGCACTGTCTCTTGTTGAATCACAGTTCTTTCCTGTCATGAACACCCCATGAACGCCTCATCAACGCGGGGATGTCGGGGAAGATCGACGCGCCGAGCTTCACATAACGTACACCCGGTGTCCGGAGTATACTTGAGAGAGGATGACGGTTTTGGATTCCATAATTAGAGGGCTCTTTTACTCACTAGAGACGATTTCAAGGCTTTAATCGAGTTACTATTCCATTCATCAGCGTGTTCATGGGTCTTTGATACATAGACTTGCCACAGAGGCAGAGCAGAGTACAACTGAAAAGGAATGTCAATCTTGAAGACAGCCTTTTTCGCTCAAATTTGAAGCTGCCCTAAACTTACTCGATGAAGATGCTAAGAATATACTTGTCAACCACACAATTGGGAAATATCTTGTCTTGAAAATTCGCCATGGGCTGGTCCTAAGCAACCAACATCATCAAACCCGGTTGGCCATGGCCTCGGAGATTTTGGCTAAATCCCTGTTGCCATCGCAGTCCACATGATAATTCCTTTCCGTACGGTGTTCTCAGATTCTAGGGGCAATTCCTCGATATATTACGGAGCAGCAGCATTCGAGATATATACACCCGGAATTGAGATATCGATTGATTTATTGGGAGTCAGAACTGGAAAATGAATTCATTAAACACCAAGTCTCTCTATGGCGTGCAGACGGGATCGGGAACTGTAGTGACACCGGCGCCGTATGTGTACGGTCTTTGACAGCATCGAACATGTCAATGATGAACGAAACTTTGGAAGCTATGGGGTTAGAATTATATCATTTGATAGTATGACAGGCTCTTGGCTGGGTTGGAGATATATGAAGAAAATGGAAGGGTCGAGACTAAATTTGTAAGTAAATCACAATTGGGTAGGAAAATGGCTATCTTCACTGATTTCTTATGGAATTGCATATCCCTTCTCAGCCTCGGTACTCCATTTCCGCAGAATGGAGCTCAGAAATCCTCTCCGGATGGAAGGCACAATATTCAAGCCTCAATATGAAAAATATTAGTTTCCGAGCCCTGGCCGCTATACATCTGCGCACTGGAATGTCTACCATGTGGGTGGAATATAATAATCCTCCCAACGGTCAGACTCACCATCTTTGAAAGTATCAACAGTACCTTCTACCCCATCTGCCCCAACAGACCAGACGCCCTTTTCAACTAGCTTACGCCGACAACCCAACAAACGCTCTAAGCGCTGGGAGCGGTAGTAGTCACCACCAAAAGGCTTATATCCATGCTGAAAGAGCTCTGAAAAGCGTCCCCTATCAATAAGGGACCCATCCCTTTTTCGTGCGCCTACGCTTTTGTCCCAATCATTATTAAAGGTGAACGGAAGCAACAGCCGAAATCCCTCCACCATATCAAGGCCGTTTCTCTCCACTGGCTCGCAATTCGGTAGGCGCTTTTTCAAGTTCTGCAAAACGTGCCGAGGGAGGCGACGAAGATTGTGGGCCAGAGCGTCCCAGAGCTCTTGGTCAGAGTGAAATGGTCCACGGGGCTCAAGGCCGAAAAACAATAAGCCTGGATAGCATGGGCTTTAATCAACGCACTGAATTGAGCGTGAAGTGACAGATCGAAGCTGCTTCTTAGAGGACGTAGATACCGCTAGGGTTGGGCGCAGAGATAGCATTGACGCAGACCAAGGAAACGAGTCAAAATCAGCAATTACTTTATTCGGGCTTTTGAATGTGCTTGATGGTGTCTCGTCTCAAGAAGGCCGAATACTCATCATGACCACAAATCATATCGAACACCTGGACGAAGCACTCATTCGACCCGGCCGTTCAGACAAGAAAGTTCATTTCAAACTCGCCGATAAGAGCGTTTCAACTCAACTCTTCCATACGGTCTTCAAGCAATTGCCGAACCAAAAGAAATGCAACAAGGAGTACGATGATGATACGATCAAGGCGCTCGCTCGTGATTTTGCCAGCAAGGTACCGGAGCAAACATTCAGCCCGGCAGAGGTTCTTTCATTTCTCTTAGAGCGCAAGAAATCGCCTGTAGATGCTGTTTCTTGCGTGGAGAAGTGGGTAGCTAAAGCAAGGTATTGAGGAAAGGAAGGCAAAGAAAGCAAAGAGACAATGTATGAGGTAGATTTTGGGAGAACATTGGCCAAGAAATTGTCATAAGGGGAAGTTTCCTTATGACGCAAATTAATTAGTGTTGTTGGAGGTTTTGGGCATATATGAATGATCTACAACTTCGGAGATCAGCAAATTGTTTGTTTATCGCCAGTAGCGGATACACAATCGCACATATGCAAAGCAGCGTAGTTTTCACACATAGGCATTCGGTTCCGTGATTATAAACTCAGAGCATACCTCCTACCATCTTGTGATCGGAAGATACGAATATGACTCGATATGGGCTTGACGCTATCATGTGCAGACACTAGCCGAGCTAGATAAGAACTTTGGCCTGTTCTTCTCATCTCGGGCGCGATGGATATGATGTATGTTGCCTGGGGCTGGCTCAACCGCACAAGGCCGTTTCAGCCACTTCACGTCCTCCAGGTCAACGACGACCAAATGATGGCCTATATGGTCCCATAACATATTGCGCCACTCACTATCACAGTGAATAATTCCGTGCGACCGTAGCACAGCCAAAGCTTTCTTGCGTTTTTGGTCAAAGAAACTAGAATTTTGGTCGTTGACGACATGTTGAAGTCGCATTCCAGACCAGCCCAAGATCATCATGTGCGCCATCATTTCACCGTGGTACCAATATGCGATTCGTGGCTTGAAAGCACCTAAGCAGACGGGAATCTGTCGGCCCTGCAGACTTGTCAGGTGTCTATAGTTTTCTACCTCTGCTTGAAGACGGTGCTGCTTCTCTGCCGTAGTAGCTTTGATGACCACAGTGTATCCATGCGTTAGAAGGGTTGCCTTGACAAGGTAACCCGTTCGGCCGCGCACGTGTAATTGCTCAAATCCCTCATTTCGATTCCGCACGAGCTGACGGTGAAGTCTGCGGCTGAACTCTGCCGAGCCCATCGAATGCCTGTGACTGCTAGAATGTTGTAAGTGGCTTTGTAAATTTGGGCATTTTTTATCCAGAGTATCTCGATTGACTATGCCGCGTATGCAGTCTATGGAGCAGTACGCTCGTGTGACCTGGTTATTCTTTTCAGAATTCTGTCCTGCTTCCGTCCTACCATGTCTGCGGTCGGACTGTTGTTTGTTGCTCCTGCTGCGGCTCGATTTTTGATGGCTCGCCTGGCTACGCGCTGCTGCCGCGGTAGACGGGGAATAGGATTCTTCCTCACTGCCGCTCCCTTCCGCAGACGAGTGCTTCGGAGTCGAAATACCTGGTTGACAGCGAGCGCGGGACCGTGTATTGTGTATTTTGGGTTCTAATTTCCAGTGCGAGGGTCGATAAATTGAGGTTGGCCGGCCTTGGCTTCGCACAGTTTCGGGGATCTCCCGCAAGATGTCCAAATATTCGACTTTCCAAGTAGTAAGCTCGTCATGCGCTGTATCATGCCACTCTTGAGATGGAGCCTCGGCGGCGAGCGCTTGAAGAGTGAAGGCAAGTACCTGGCCGATAGCCGTCCGGTGGAGACGGCACTGATCATTCCCCTGCACGTCTTGATTCGGCACACATAAGTAATATTGAATAACAGTAGGATCCTCTGGAATATGGAGAAAAACAAAAGCCTCTCCTGTGCAGATGTAGCCGTCTTGAAGTCCACTGTCAATCATATATGAGAAGATCTGAGTGACCACGGCGGAGACGAGGCGGGTGGCATGGTACTCGAACGTATCGCCTTCCTGATCAATGACATCGCGAGCTAGGTCTATCTCATGTAGGCCCGCTACTAATTCTGGGATTGTTAACTTATGCGGCGCCTTGAACTCCACTGCATATACTGGCTTTTTTTGCTCGTTGGCCACGGTGTGTACGCAGAATTGGTCAGCGCGGCGATTCCGCTTTCGTGGAGTACGAGGTCTCGTCTGGTTCTGCGTGGCTCTTCTATTATGTCTAGTATTCGCCGGTCGTTGGGGCGACCGCGTGTTCTGGAGAGTCATTTGCTTAACACTGTTTTCCAGCGAGGTTTCCGCGCGGTCATAGAATGTGACTCGACCCTGGATGTCAAACTCATGTCGAAGAATTTCATTGTCGCGTAGCGCTTCGATGATTTTTTCGACAAAATTATCCACTGATTCTCGCTCAAAATTTCGCAGGGATGCTTCGGAATAGATCGGCCGATTCTGAATGTTCGTGGCGACGTAATCTAACTGTTCGTTGGATGGAAAGATTGGCTGTGTTGCGAAGGTGCCCATACGGTCGAATTTCTTCCAAATTTTCTCTTGGAGTTGGGGAAAATCAAGCCAGGGTATGATACGTTTGGGGTAAAGTCGGTTGACTGGGTCGGTCGCATCACCCTGGGTCGTAAGGGTCGCATCCGTCTCAACTCGGATCGCTTGGGACAGAGAGATGTGGCACCGATCAAGAAGCCCAAATAGTGTTGTGGGTTGCACTCGCGCTTCTGCGTCTTCTCGCGCCTGTCTCTCTTCCTCAAGCTGTCGTCGTAGTTCGGGTTGCACTCGCGCTTCTGCGTCTTCTCGCGCCTGTCTCTCTTCCTCAAGCTGTCGTCGTAGTTCGGCGATTGTTTCCTCCATTCCTATTTGAAAGACGTATTCGGCAGATGATAAAAGATACAAAGCTAGGTCGACACAGCAGATGGTCCACCGTCTGCCGGGTGGAGCTAACTATCACGGGGGAATGCACGTCTGGATGTTTACCTGCTCACGCACCTTTGGGTCCCAGTATATGTCGGAGCAAGAGGTCGGCATACCGGAAGATCAGTTTATCCTGTACATACAGTATTATGATATTAGTAAGATCTAGTTATAGGTACTCCGTACGGAGTATATCCTGTGAGAATAGTGCGTACAGAAATACAGAGTTTTCAACATCATTGATTGGACCCCTAATTTGCTGAATACGACATCAGTTGACAAAAACACAGCAAATTACAGGCCACAACCAAAACCAAGGTTCCTGTTTATAGCCTCGGGGGCTTATACTGCGCTGACATTTAAACCCTTCGATTCCGTCAATTAATTTACTGACTCGATGGCACCTAGATTGACCACGCCAGTACACAAATAAATGCGGTCCTTCTTCCAAGTGCCCAGCAAGCCCAGTCACGTAGTGAGGTCATTCATCATCTCGACCGTATCACTCGCGTGGCCCGCATTCCGTACTCCAATATAAGCCATTTGTTTCGCCGCAATGGGGGAAAGACGCAAAACGAACCTAGGAGTCAATGAAAGTTGTTGAAATGAGGTGAATGAGCTTACCTGTCTCGTTGTCTTTCTGTCTTGTTAAATAGGCTTGTGTATGCTTCAGGCTTTGGGTTTAGACCTCATGCAGCTATCCAAGGACTCTGGAAAAGTGGAGTGACGTACCCGACCTATTCGGGGAGCGGAGATCCTTTGTGGAAGAGGGTCTGTGGATCAGGCAAACTGAAGTACTCTCGCCGACAGGACCTGCAGCGATCTTTAGCCAGAAAGTACAAGGATGGCCGACCATATAATTCATGGATTTAGAATCAAGACTCGGAAATTAACATGTAGTGAAGTTTTGCTCCAGTAGCTGAGCTTGAACCTTCTGATAGATGATACTCCGGTATCGGTCCTCCCAATGAGGAAGAAAGGGATCACGTGGAGGAGGCCTTACCGCCTGGGATGCCGCAGTATCCTTAGCACCGGGGGATCCTCTTTCACTCTTTTAGATCATCCCGCAGATACCGATTATTCCATCAGAAAGCTATTCATTTCATCTACTCAAATAAATTGTTCTGACCCACAAATACCATCGGTCTGGACGCCACGATTTTGGTACGGCTCGAAGCGCCTCTCATCGAAGCCTACCGGCTTGCTGGTTGGACAGGACGAACGCCAAGAACAGAGCGGGTCGTCCGCCTTCTCGGAAAGATACCCCGTGCTTCTTTTCTGCCGCCAAGAACACGTTGACCACGTTTTCGACCCACACCAAGTCAGAGATCATTGGTCCAGATGCAGAGCCTTGGCTACCTAGGTAGGTATAACAAGACAGCGGGGGTTGCATATGAAAAATGATATTGCTATCGGCTCACTTTCCTTGGGGAGGACAAATGAATGGATCCTAAGGATACTACTGTCCGAGCAAGTGATAGCTAGCGGTAAAGTGTTGTTCTCTCAGAGCTTTCTTAATCTGCTATACTTCTATTCGATGATCGCTTCTCCCAGAACTTCATCTCAGTTCTTCTATTCGCCAGTTTGCTATGGACCTTAGCTGACCCATCCCATCAGATCAATCCCATTAAGGATATGGAAATGACATCTTTACAATATAGCTCAACTCTGCATAGATAAGTATAAAGTTATTTCTGAGCATATATCTCACGTGTCAAGGATTTAATAAAGCAACTGTTGAATCAGCTATTGTATTATATATCGAATTTATCGAAAGCCATCTACTGTATCTTCAAGAGGGCATGGTATGCCCGGAGCTAGTAGCTAGTCACACATCCATTTTCTCCGCATCAGCGAGTACTTGCTTCATCACGGTTGGTAGGCCCAACCTCCTCCACGGTCTCAACAGCACCCTTACTGTCAATGAAGTGAGTGATGCGGTCTCGAGGGAGCCATGCACTCTCAGGCATCAAGAAGTAGGAGATCAAGGCCAGGATGGTGACTCCAGCCATGATAATGGGGGCATCTATCCAGCAGGTTAGCAATATAAAAAGATTGGGGATAATAAAGACGACTCACAGTTCAAGTTCTCCCCAGTAACAGGCCATGCATAGGGCGAGAACAGGACAGCGACAACCCAGCCATTCCAGAAGACACCGATGAACTGGAACGGCTTACTCCAGCGCCCGAGACTCCACTGTGGCTTTGGGAACCGGTTGGGAGTACAGAACAATCGGCCTAGACAGATCAGACCGTATGCAGCAGCGCTGGGGACACCGGCTGCCGACACGAGGGAAGTGAAAGCAACGCTAGACGGAAGGATAGTGCAAGTGACTAGAGCAGCGACAGCCCAGACAACAATGACTGCGTTGCGTGGCTGGCCATTCTTCACGCGAGAGACCCAACCCGAGAAAGGGAGGACACCATCACGGGCAACGGCGAAGACAAGACGAGATGCGGCGATGATAGCAATTGCGGTGTTCTGGGAAGCAATCCGTCAGCTTTGAAATATTAATTGGCGCAAATGGGGTAGCTCACCAGCCATAAAGCAAAAATGCAAACGATGTTCATGAAGATATGGCCACCCTTGCCCAGAACCACAGCGTAAAGAGGTACGAAGGGTTGGGGCGAGCCAAAGCTCATGAGGGTGTCGGTGTCGGGCTAAAGCGATTGACGTTAGGGTTTCTAATGCGAACTGTCCAAGAGACCAGAAGACATACCGCACAGAACAAGAAGAGAATGATTGTAGCCAAACCGCCAAACCCGCTAGCAACGGTACTCCAGAAGATTCCACGAGCAGCAGTGATAGAGGCGTTCTTGGTTTCTTCCGCAACGTGACCCGATGCATCGAATCCAATCAGAATACCGGCAGTAGCCAAGTAAGAAAGACACCAGTTCCAGCCATCCGGGGCTCCGGTACCGTTATAAGTGGTCATGAAGGCCTCATGGGTAGTGCGGAAGCCCCAAGTTTGGGCGGTGCCAATGGGCAACCAAATCAGGTTCAGGACGAAGTCTAGCATCACGACTGCAGAAGAGAACCAGAAAACATATTTGAAGTATCGCGCTGGGGTTTCAAGAGTCAGATATAGCGGAAAAGAGTTAGAGACTTGTACATACGAGGCAAAAAGTTCAATAGGGCTGCCAGGGCAAGCAAGATCTCGGTGCAGATCCACTGGACCGCACGGAACTTGACATCACTTGAGTCTGATGGGAAATCAAGTTCAAAAACCGTTATTTCCTGAGAATGATACGTTAATCAATATACTGTGTGAAGTAGAAAAAAGAACCATACCGCAAGCATGTAGTTAACCGCAGCTTGGGTGTTGCCTATAATAGCATGAGCATCATGGGAATCTCAGGTGTGAATATGCTGTAACATACTTGCACAGAAGGTCGTCCACGCCGTTGTACTCCACCAGGCGACGATGAAGCCAAGAAGCCGGCCAAACCGGGGTCCACCAGCTTCGGCAGCCCACAAGTAGATCGAACCAGCGGACGGAGACGCCGAGCAGACTTCTGCAATCACAGCAGCCGTAATGAACGTGAAGACCATGGTTACTAGATAACTGGTCCAATAGGCAAGGTTTCCACCAGCGGCAATACCGGTGCTGAAAGTGACGCGCACGCCGCCGACAAAGTAAAGAGCGGCTGGACTAAAGTCAGTACGAATGCGCCCACGAAGTGGTCATTAATGCAAGACTCACCAAACGTGGTCGCAAAGTTCTCAAACAGAGTATATGTTCGATGAAGCACCTGTCCATTGATTCTAGTGAGTTGCTGATCTTGAATCCTTCCGATCTATACATAGCGGGACCTACCGGCTTATAGCCCATAGTGCGCTAAGTCATTTCTAATGTCAGCCTAGTGCTCTGCCTAGATACAGGATTCACAAGAAGAAAGAGCGCAATACTTACTAGCAAAGCGGCATCGTCCTGGTCCTTCTGCTCGGCCCGATCAACTTCACCATGGTCGAGGAGGTCGGCGGGGCCGGCAACAGCGTCGTGAGGGGCCATGTCCGGATCTGACGCAAACAACAAATTGATGGAAAACTAAAGAAACCGATTCTTCCAGCGTCCCCCGATCTCTTTATATCCGGAAATCGTTTGAGAAGCGGACTGCAAATTTTCTGGATAGACTTTGGTCTTTGGCGCAGACCCACCGGGCGGCTTACTGGACTCTGTGATGTAACCGACTGAGAACAAGTCTATTGTTCAGGTCGACCTTGAAGTTCCTGGAATGGGATTCTAAAGACTCCCAAGTTAGAGATTGTATCGGATGGTGAGCATTGCAATGTGCCGCGGTGAACTAAAGAGGATTGTCGGGAATGCGAATCGAATGCAAGGATCAAACCAGATCGCGATATCCACAAACGACCGAAGTTCGGAGCTGTCTGGTCCGTGGGGTGTTGAGTGGAAGGCTTGCTTCTTGTCAATTTGAGTAGATCTCGTGCCTGGAAAACCTGTAACCTGGTCTATTATGCTCTGACGGTGTATGCTACTTGCCTGAGTACCTATTTGCTAGTAACAAGGCAAATAGTGGCGCCTGCTCTAGACCAGTCGCTTGAGCACTTCTATTGAGATACATATCCAATATACCATGGCACACGCAATTGGGCTCAAATGTGGGAAAACCCTGGCGCGCTCAAGTTGTTAACTTGGTACTTACTAGGGAGTTAATACCACCGTTGCTGGCCACATGGCGATCACGAGGTAAGCCATGTGCGAGGTTCCTCTTCTCTTCGTGGCCCCGCATATCTCAAGACCTACGCGCTTGTCGCGCATTCATTATAGCAACAAGCCAGCCCTTCATTTTTGAAAGATGCGCATGACATTCAATTCAAATACTCACGATGATTCCAGCATTGTATGGATATGCGCGTCGCCGCTGGAAATGGCCACTGCCAAGCGAATGTTAGGATAACATCCATTCCAATCAATCTCAGGCCTCGCAAGATGACAACTCGTACCTGCTGGGGGACATGAAGAATCATAGCGTTGTAGTTGCCCGTCTTCCTTCCGGTCTCTACGATACAATTTCCGCAGCTGTTGTTGCATCTATTGCTGTCAACAGACAACAAGATCCAATTTCGTTTCTTGCTTAGAATTGTGGGTGGTGTGCTATCACCGTCGGTGGATATTAGACTGGGTGATATTGCTGTCTCGAAACGAACCGGAGTTTCGCCAGGCGTTGTGCAATATGACTTCAGCAAAACAATTGAATCGAGGAGAAGAGAGTACACAATTCGCTGTGTTTGCCTCATCCGGTCCATTTAACGGCACTCTCACGTCTTGAAAGTTATCATATGACGGGGACGCCTGAGTTTCGGAGATATCCATCTGATCTTTAGTTCTGGCCTTGGGAGCGTGACAGTATAGACATCCTATGTTGTTGTCACACGAAGGGAGACTTCCGTACATGAAATTTGATATCGACCTAAGATTTCCCTCGTGGAAAGGGTTACACCACGCAGTCGCTATATTAAGCGTTGTACTGCAGCGTAGCCTGAGAAGGTATGTCCAGAATTGCCGCGAGGACATGATTATCAACGCCTTGCGGATTCAGTAAAACACCGCACCGAGAATTCCATGCCAGTACCCGCATATACACTTTGTATTTGCGAATATTTCTGTTTTTGGGTAGGTCCAATCGAACAACGAGCATTTTTCTTGAGAGCCCTGGGTATGGTGAAGGTGGCTCTTAAGCACATCATAATGTCCATGCAAATTTTAATCTTGAAAGGCAATTCGTCCAATGACGGAAGCAATAAGAATGATTATACTCTTATTTGCCCGGTCTATATATATGATGCTTTATGTACATGCTGCATGGGAGCGCGGTCAAGCTAACTCCCCAGAGATGAGGAAATCAAGTTGGCAAGGAAGAGCCTTGGGGTATCAAAGAAGACGTAAGGGAATGTATATATGTCGATAATGTTGCGAGAAAAATCAAAGGAAGAGGGAGGAGTGGGCGATAGAGGATTTTAGTCATATCCAATGTCTGTTTTATAGCGTCTCACAGAGTCGACAGCGGCCTAGCATTGAAGCAGGCGAGTGAGTCGGGTATGTTGACTTTAGCCAGGTCCGAATCAAGGAAGAAGGATGTTCGTCTGAACTTCCTCCAGAGTTTGAATCCATCCCCCAGGAAACGAGCGTCGTTTGAACCAGACACCCTCGAGGGTCTCGAGTGCTTTGTCAACATTCTAGAATCAGAGAGGTTAGCAACCGAACTAGCTTCCTTTATAAACTTCGTTCAAGTCATACCCGGAAACCAAACTGCTTCAAATCCTGCATAGTCGTGCGAACGTATTTCTGCTCACTCTCAATCCGAGTTTCCTGCCCGGCAATGAAAAGCGGCCACAATATAGCCAACTGGCCAACGCCTTTGGACAATTTGCATATCAACAGCAGAATCCGACTGACAAGCATATTAATATATGACCAATCAGTGATCCAGCCAACACGCCCAGCACCAGCAACCTGGAGCAGATGGACGAATGTCGCCTTCTCATATGCTTCAATACACCCCGCATACTCGAGGACATCCGGATACGGATACTGAGCAAGACTCTCGTCGTCTAGATCCCCGAGCTGCTGTATACAGGGCGGGGACATGACACGCCATACAACCAGCTGATTGAAGATGTCTTTGTACGTCATATCGGACTGGTCGACTGTCATCCATGATTTCTTGTCCGATGCAAATTTGCTAATGAAGGCCTGCACTTCCATCAAGCTACACCATGCTTCCCGCAGCCCGACCAGATGGGGGTTATCGGGTATCGTTGACAATAAACTCGGCGTTCCGAGATTGTATTCCCATCCTCCGCCCATGGTTTTCCAGTAGTTACCTTCGACCACGGTGCCGCCCGGAGTTGCGCATGCACCCGCCACATCGAGATAGGATAGTAGGGAGACGAGGAATGGTCGGAGTGGGTGATTGGTCTCGGCAACCCTATGTGCTTCGCGCGTCGCATCGACGTTTTGCGGGTAGAAAAGGAGATTGTAGATTTCGCGAGCTCCTTTGAGATGTACTGCCCAATTCTGATGTTGGGAATCCATCATCTGCGGGATTATTAGCAGAGTAAACCACAAGAGTATGTGTGCACCATAGTTGCCATGGCGAACAAACCTCAAACAAGGAAAGCAATAAGCACGTCGCCAGATCCGTCAATCCAAGCAGCTGGGTGGGATCCGAGTATCGCGTTCGGAAACCTTTCACCACCACGCCGTATTTGCCCATTGCTTGTTGGAAATGCTTATTTCGCTGCGACCCCACGGATGTATTCGCGAGATGCAACGCGCCCAGTGCCTGCATCGCATTGACCATTGTTGGAGATGACCGGGCGAAGTCCGGGAAATATGTGCGGTAGGGATTGGCATTGTCGGCGTTGTCATAGATGATCAGGAGGGATGAGACACGATCGACAAAATGCATGAAATAACGCTCGTCAATGCGCTGGATCGATTTCGCAATACTGGTCGACGTGATAGGTTCCTGGAAGCGGAACTTGGTTTTTGGTTGTGGGCGCGTTGTGGGGGAGATGATCACAGCTTCGCAAGCCTCCTCATCGCGCGCATCTTCCCTCTTTACTGGTGGCGAGACCGCGGAAGTGTCGCTTGATTCCGGGCTCGATGTTGAGACTTTTTCCTGCTCCTCGGTGCGCCGGACTCTGGCGGTGAACTCGTTGCGTGGGAGGGACCGTAGACCTTGAAAGTCATCCGGTCTTGGGCGCCGTCGCACTCGCGGCCGAGTCGGACGCAGTTATTGCAGGCGGGAGATGCTTCGTCGCAGCGGACATGGCGGCGGCGACAGGTCGAGCAGCCTGTGAAGCCGCGGTGATGCCATCGACGGACTCGTTTCCGTTCGGGGGGTTCAGGGGGTTGTGCATCTGAGGTTTCCGAGGGTACGCCCTCGGTGCGCATCTCCATCGGGCGAGAGACTCGAGGGATAAGGAATGTGCAGGCATGGACACGGGATTAATCGAAGCCATAAATCATGGTGGCTGTAATTAGTGCCAGGAAAACTCAGTACAAGGCTCGGAATGGAGCGGCGCTAAACTGTGAAATCACCGACTTTTGGTCTTTCTCTCCTGCCACTTCGGACTATTCTATTTTGTGATCCTTATTGTTTTTTTATGCACTCAAACTAATCTAACATTACTGCGCCCTGACGATTTTCGACGCTTAAAAGCCCTACGGCCTTAGCTCGAGTTTAGTCCGAGGATCCATGCGGGGGGGGCCTGTTCTTCGAGCTCCTTGGTGATTTGGACAGAATCAAAATCGGGCTGTTCAAAATGAAATCGGACATGTCATCGCAGCATTCATCTACGGAAGACGCAGTACTTTTAACCTACTCCAGGAACCTAATCAGCTTCATGATTCGGAGACGCCAATTCCCAAGCTGCGTCCAAGCTACGCACATCGCGTGGGGCCTTGATGTTGGGATCCGCAGATCCTACCCAGGACTAAAGGCGAGCCAGAAAAGATACCATAGATCACCGACTTCAAAGATCAACTAATTGATTGTCGACATCGTCCAATGTGTGGAGGATTGTCATCCCGGGAATTGTAGCATGCTGTCAGCTTACCACCTAAAAACGAAGTAGAGCAATAGCCGGCGGCATCACATCAACAGTGGTGCCACGAGCCATTGGCACTGCTGCAATAGCGCATGGGAACACCAGAACCCCAGGAGCTTCTGGAAAAGTATTGACACAGAGTAACCAGGTCAGGATTGCCCCGAACAAACCGCATGAACGTTTCAAGTTTGATTCATCGAGACAGCTCAAGTGTCAGGCATGAACCTTGTCTTCCTTTTGCTGGAACTGCAAGGATCGGCCACGCGTCCTGCGAGTGGCTTATGCACAGCCTGTCACATCTCATTGCCTTGGCTGATCATTAGTCTTAAAAGGAACAAGTGGGATGTAGACGATGATCGGCCATCAAGGTTATACATGCTTGCCCCTATGGACGGGATTCATAGCGGAATCGCTTGGCAGGAACTGCTATGAAGCCATGGCATGACTGTGATTCCCGAGAGCAATATCAAGTCGACATAAAGGCTATAAGAATTGTGCATAAAGTCGATGCGGGGAAGGTACATCGGCTTTCGCTCCGAGCTTCAGGTCGGCCAATGACCCTCCGTCATATAGCCTTCTGGAGATATTTAAACCACTGGTCGAGGTCTTACTCTTCGTCTGTACTTCGAATTCATCTCAACCGGTCTCTTAATTACTGAACACACATAATGTCCCAAGGCTCAAGACTTCAAGGCAAGGTTGCCATTGTTACCGGTACGAGAATTGTGTCCTCACTCTTTGCTATTCTTTGCATTGTAGCATCTAATCTGTCTTGTTTCCCCAGGCGGCGGCTCTGGATTTGGCGCAGCAATCGCTCAGCGCTTCGGCGAAGAGGGCGCCAAAGTCATCGTGACCGATATCAACGCGGAGGGCGGCGAGAGGGTTGCCTCGCAGAACCCTTCCAACATCATCTTCCAGCGTCAAGATGTCACCCAAGAAAATGATTGGAACGAAGTATTGGACCTGGCCTTCTCGAAGTTCGGCCGTCTCGATGTGTTGGTGAACAATGCGGGTACTACTTATCGCAACAAGGTGGGTTGATCTATTCCGGCCATGATGCGGATCCCTCATTAACTGTTTACTCATTATAGCCCACATCAGAGGTCACAGAAGAGGAATGGGAGCGCGTGTTCAAGGTCAACGTGAAGAGTATCTACCTCGCGACGAAGACCGTCGTGCCTCGTTTCATCGATCAAGGCCAAGGTGGCTCCGTGATTAACATCTCCTCCACTGGAGCTAGCCGGCCACGCCCTGGCTTGGTCTGGTATAATGCGACCAAGGGGGCAGTCACCAATGTAAGTGCTAAGACGTGGTCTAGACACTGTGTGGGATATACAACATAGCGCTTACAATTCATCTATACAGGCCACCAAAGGTCTCGCGGCGGAGTACGGCCCGCACAATATCCGATTCAACACCGTTGCTCCTCTCCTTTCTGGGACTGGACTGTTTTCAATGTTTACTGGTATGGAGGATACCCCCGAGAATCGAGCGAAGTTCATCGGAAATGTGCCGCTGGGTCGCTTAACCGAAGTGGAGGACATTGCCAACATGTGCCTGTACCTGGGCAGCGATGAGGGTCGGTTCATCAATGGCACTGAGATGGTGATTGATGGTGGAAAGAGCGTTTAAAATGTGTTGGAGTCAGACAAGGCATATACCTATGTTGTAGATAGAGAAACCAGATAGCGTTGTCCATTGTCAACTCCGCATTACCCCGCAGCGACTGGGGACGAAGTAAATAAACGAAAAGCCGGACTTCTTGCGCCTTCGACGTTGATCAGCTTAACTTGGTGAACATGCATATATCCATTCCATGCTCAAACCCACTGGTTTTGATCTGAAAATGATATCCAACTTCAAATCCATCCCGGTCCTTGACCTATCCCTCGCCAAGTCACCCGCAACCCGGCCACAGCTTCTCCAGGAACTCCATTATGCCCTCACCTCCATTGGTTTCCTGTACATCAAGAACCATGATGTTCCACAGGAAGCTATCACAGACCTAAAGGGTGCCCTCCCCACACTATTTACGCTCAGCCCGGCCCAAAAAGCGGAAGTGGCCTTACACAACTCCCCCCATTTCCTAGGATATAGCCAAGTAGGCTCAGAAATGACTGCCGGGGCCGAAGATAAACGCGAACAGTTTGAATTTGCAACCGAGCTGTCCGATTCATGGCGCGAGGGTCTCCCTCTTTACGAAAGGTTGAAAGGACCGAATCAGGTATCGTAATCCTCCGCAGCCTGTCGGCCATCAGACCCAGAAAGACTATATTAACCAACATTTATAGTGGCCATGTAAAGACCCATGTCTTCGAAGCATCATCGAGAGATATATCCACGAATTAACAGATCTCGCCGAGCGCTTCTTATGTTTAGTCGCCGAAGCACTTTCCCTGGACCCGGATACTCTCTTCTCATTTCTCTCAGAGCAGCACCGTATCAAGCTCGCTCATTATCCAGCCTCAGATTCGAGTCTGGTCGATACTCAAGGAGTCGGGCCGCACAAGGACTCATCTGGATGGTGGACGTTTCTTCTCCAAGCATCCCCACCAACTGTGAAGGGGCTACAGGCTCTCGACAAAGCAGGCGAATGGATCGATATCCCCGCTATCGAGGATACATTCGTGGTGAATATCGGACAAGCCTTCGAAGTAATTACTCACGGTGTGTGCAAGGCAACGACACATCGCGTATTGTCAGGTCCGTTGGAGAGATATAGTGTGCCCTTCTTCCAGGGTGTGCGGGGGAATCTGACAAAAGAGGAGGCACTTGAGACTCTAAGGGGCCATTTTGCTATGCAGAAGATATCTCTAGAGGCAGCAGAAGGAGTGAGCGTTGACTCCGCCTTTTTGAGAGGCAAGTATGATACCTGGGGCGAGTCGCAATTGCGGACGAAAATCCGGAGTCATCAGGATGTCGGGCGGAGATTTTATTCCAATGCGTTTGAGGCTTATATCCATGACGATATTTAAAGGCAAATCTCTAAGCAACGTTTGTTGCAGACCATGGAAACTCGTGATTACCCGAACGTGCAACTCTTGGACTCTAGGGAAGCTTGGCTTGGAACACTGGAACACAACTGTAGAGAACGGCCATGGAAACAGCCAAAGCCGCTATGGGTTATTGCGATCGGCGCGGAACAGCAGGATCGCCCAAATGTGCAGTCCGCACGATGTTCTACTCCGTAGATCTGCTACAGCTACGGAGTACGCATCGCTTAGGCAGGGGATACGTTATCCAGCGATGAGACACTGCACGGAGTTATGTTGGCCATATTTGCAAAGATGAGAGCAAGGGGTAGCCACATAATGAGTGGCTGGAATGTATCGCCGTCAAAAGATACTGGCAGTGGTTCGGGTGACACGACTCCATGGTGGTATCTGAACACAATGCTCACGGCTCACCTGCTCTGTAGGGAAGCTGCATGGCAAGGGGCCCCCACACTGGAAATGTTAGTATCTCGGTAAGATGCTTAGATTCGGTACCACCGCATGCAGAAACCTTCGAAAGTTGCTTCAAAGGTGAGAAATACTCCGAATACTCATTTGAGGTGAGTAGTTGTTCGGGCACAACCAAATCCAAGATATGAGTCTAATTCTAGCCTTGCGGACATCTGGTCTCAGTACGTCATTCAAGATGCCAGTGCAACCACTACAGTGGTACGCTGCTTCTCATCATTTGGTTTATTTCGCCAGCGAGATGGATGATCAGCAAGAACAAGCATGCAGTAATCGATCGACATTCTGCAAGAGGCTGCAAATGCATCTACAAGCTGCAGCGTAACAGAGCAAACTGATACATCATATTGAATTAGCCCGATACATCCGAACTGATCAACAGTATAGCAGTGGCTGGCTGATAACAAAGACGGTGAAATCATCCAGCTCCTTGGGTTAAGTGGTATGCAGTTTTTCGCGTCCACGGACATGAAGAAGTACATGATGTAAGACTAGCCCCAGACTGGGCACCCGGATAGCGAGCAAACCAGTCTAAAGCGATATTAAACAACTATCTATAAAAGAGGCCTAGCATCGCGGCTCAGTATCAGCAACCCATCTTCCCCATCCTTCTCTCGACTCAATTCCCCATTAACCATTCAACACAAACTACCAAAATGAGATTCTCCTCCTTCCTCTTTGGAGCTCTGGCTTTTGCCGTTTCTGGCGTCTATGCCTCCTCGGCCTCCCAAAATGAAGATACGGACCTTTACTGCTTACAAGGTAGCTGTGAAGATGCCACCCCGAAGGATTGCTCAGTCCTCGGAGATAATTGGGTATGTATTTCACTGCCTCATGAGAGACCTGAACTAAATCCTAACATGGTGAATAGGTCTCAACTCCCGCATTCGATGATGATGGAAACATTGTGAGTCTGGACTCTTATTATTTTTTAAATGCTGCCAGTCACTTATCCTTAATAGCTCTGCTACCAATGCTGTCAAGAGGAGGAGGAAGATTAGATTTTGTCGTCCCTGGAATGACTGATTTTGCTAGCCCCGGTCTGGGTTGAGAGAACTGAATTAAATAGTGGCATAGGTAATGCCTTGGAGCCGCTATCTTCGCTGGTAATACAAGTGTCCTCCTCCCATCACTTAACATCATTAGTATGGTGATCTAAAAATATTATTTTCTCCTTGATGCTATTAACTGCGTGTCAATACTGTCCAAGACGAGATCATGACATGTTAGTAATTTGCTATTTCCACCAACGATTCCATTGAAGTCCAAGCATTATCAATAAAACCTCGACCGCATTACCTAGGTATGATCTATGTACTCTGGACGGAGTAATGAATCATACGAGTTCTAATGAATCATAAAGAGGGAGATTAATGCATAACAAGCCACCCCGAAGCCACCCGATATCAATATTCAAGGGTCGGACCGTATCCGCCTGCCGAAGCAAGGGATGATTGATGTACGCATTTGTATGTAAAGCGCACTGCCAACTCGTTCAAGGCAACGATCTACGTATGTGGAGATGCTGCATGAAGCATGTATTCGTAAAAAAAATTAAAAAATCTGGCTCTATTCCATACCGCTCCTACCTCGCGAAGCCAAAAAGATTGAGCTTTAGTAGTACATGGCCACAATATATATCCACGTACATGTGCGATGAAACACGAACAATGAATTTGATGATCTATCGGGATCAGTGCACAATAAGGACTTTTTTTCTCCAATGAAGATGCCGAGTTCAAACAGAACCTGGCAATCCGTTCTCTCAACGCGAATAGATGTGACCCATTCCTCTACTATTTACCACAGAGTTCCTTAAGAGCACTCATGGAAGGAGTAAAGAAGTACTCCCCACCCTCTGCAATCACAGTGCGATCAAGGGTCCACCTTTCCACCTTACGAGGATCGTCGAACCTCGGCATGCTGATGAAGTTGCTCTCTGTCTCACCCTTGGGCCATTGACCAATGATAGGATCGAGTCCAGGCTGTTGGCCGTCGTAGTTTCTGCTCTTTCCAGGAGGGAAACCGACTTTGTTTGCCCATTCTAGAATACAGGTTAGCCAAGGCTGATGTCGTGTGGATTTCTTGAGGACTCACCATTCTGCACATGACGGAACCCGTTCTGAAGGTTTGACTGATAGGACACGAAGAGCAACCCACGGTCGTGCAGTGTCACTCCACCTGCTTTCTCAGATGACTCAGTCAGAGGTCCAAACGAAATACCCCGACGAATCATCGCATGGGTGTCGTCCGCGGACCCATCGGGGCCTAAGCGCTCGGCTCGAGGCCGGACCTTGCGGATGTGAGACGCAAAGGGACATTTATCTTGCCATTTGATGTCTGTGAAGTCGAAGTTGTTCGAATCCAAAAGCGCTTTGTCTTCAGGGCTTAGATTGTGGTTATCCTCGGGGAGGGCTTTGTCTTCGTACACGTCAGAGGGTGCAGGCTTCTCCTCCAGAGAAATACCTGCAACATCGAATTAGTTTCCTATCAATGAATTTTTTTTCTCTGAGAAGGATCGCAGAAACTGACCATTGGGCCATCTTCCCATAATACGAGAGGACATGTTAGAGATCACACCAAGTTTCATGTTTTTGTGCTCATCCCGAGCTTGGTCTCCAATCTGGCCTACTACCCATCTAAGCATTGCATTAGTACATGTCCGTGATAGAAGTTGGTGTAACTTACTGTGTGAATTCAGGGACAAGCTGCCTCAGTCGGCGGAAGACCATGAAACTGCCATCATGGGCCCAAGCCGGTGGATTTTGAGTATCACCATCCTCTCCGACGATGATGTAACTGGCGGTTGAATATTAGCTGCATATTCTGGAATACATTGATCTTGGAGATCTCACCCAGGCTTGATGTTACGAGGGCAGAGATCACCGTTGGGGTCGGCGTCCAATCCCAGGATCTGAGGCTGGGACACACCATCTTTCCACCCAAAACTGAGAAATGATTAGTATTGTCAAATATCAATGAAATCGAGCCAACTTACTGTTCGATATCATACTCGTTCAGCACGGCACCGCTTTGTGTGAAAAGCCACTTAGCGGCTGGAGTCTTGCCTGGGGGCTGGAACATAGGGTTCAAGACGGACGCAAGATGTCTTGTCACGGTATCTTCAGAACTGGCCGCGAGGGTGAAAACGCCGTCAATCTGGCCTCGCGATCCCTTGAACTCGCCAAGCCATTCGTCGTCTCTGTCAAGACCGGCGGTCACCATGTCTGCATACATGCCGCCTTGGAAGAGATCGTCCTGATCCAGCTCGTTGTTTCCAAGCTGAAGGTAAACCTTGTTAGCTAATGTACACAACAGATAATGGATATGTCTTACTTTCTTTAGGCCAGAAGCAGAAAAGGAAATGTTGGTGCACATTGTCTTCATCAAGGCATTTTTCTTCCTGTTGTAAAGATCGCCTCGCACCTTGTGCGCCGATTCGGCCGTGGTGATGAATTGCAAGAACGCAGCCAGCTTTTCCTTGAACAACTTCTCGTCACCAATCTCGAAAAACAAGAATGTTTCATACTTTTTGGGCAGTCGAGGCCTGGAATCGGTTAGCTCATTCATCCATTTGGCAGCGGGCTCACCTACCAGATGTCACCCTGGATATTTCTGATATTGGGTGCCATGGTGAAAAAGTACTTCTTCTCAAGTTGCTAGTTTTGAAGAAATTAAACTATGAACCAAGAGGCCTCGAAGGAGTTCCACGAGCTACCTTTTATGTTCTACGCTTTCGTCTAAACGTCACCATGGCAAAAGACGGTCAATGGGCTACATCGTGAAGCGTAGTTATCAAAAGAGATAGACAGAAGACCGGGCATACTTCCGCATTGTAATTAGACCGCATTGGATCCACGGATTCGTCGAATGAAATGTGAGCGCGTGTTGATTCCTGACGTTGTATTACCGGACTCGTTAGGCAATCTATGTGGGTATGCAGCGAGTACGAGGCTTTGCAGCATCTATCAACATGGCCGCGAACGTACTGCGTAACTAATGTCACCCTAATGCAAAGTTGGCAATAGGAATTGAAGACCGAATATGATGAAACACTTATGTCTGGAAGAGCAGGCTAGCCGAGAGTACGATGTACAACAGTGTATGAAACCAGATAGTGGGGCATGCATTCTATATTCTTTTGATGAGAGTGTAACAAAGGATAGCCTTGTAGGAGCTTGGTAGCTCGGAATTCCTGCCATATAGCTAGATAAGGCCGACGGCCGGATGAACCATACTTCACTAAACACAGGTGTGAATAAATCAGACACTAGAAAGTTCAAAGGTCAAGCCGTCCAAGTACCCACTCCCATCCTGTAAAGCCGCCTTTCCTTTTCCTCTGAGTACCAAACATGTGCCCTCAAACATCCTTTTGCGTCATTCTCTGCCGCTTTAGGGGGGCCCGGGCCATCAGCTAGACTCTGCAGGGGAAACGATGCAGGTTATGCTCCACTGCATTGGGCCAATTATATGGACTACATAGGTCAGAGCGGCTCCAATTCATCGGAGTTCCCCTAAATCTGCTCCTGAGAAATCTCATCGTCATACCAAATGCCAGGCCCGTGGTAAATAATCAACGGGATACCTGCCTTCATCAGCAAGTCATGCATATTGTCCACCACTTTATCCACCTTATGTAGTATTTCCACGCATGGCACGGCCAGAAATGAAAAATACGAGGACATCGACGTTTTCATAAAACCGGAACCCGGAACTTTGGAGTTACAATTGACATACCATTTGAGCCATAACCCATGCCGACAAGGGAAGCCATAAGCATAGACATTCCGGGCCGTCCCGCGGGCTGACAAACTCAATCAATTAGCCACCCGCAAGCAATGAGTCCATTCAAGGAGAATGGAGATCTATTTCCCCCCTCGCATCAAATGTTGTGGTGGCTGAGCGGATAAGAGCTGAGGATCATCCAGAAATGCCGTGGAAGTAACGATGGACCTATATCAGACAAGTCCTTAGATGTTGCCATTCGTGAGGAATCCATTTTCTATTGCTTTTTTGTATCACTTCACTAATAGGGCTAGTTATGTTACGAGTCATCTAGTAAGCCATGATCAGACATACCAGATAAAGCATCTCCTTGCAGGGAAAAGAATTTCCTTCACGTTTGTTATTGCTACAACGTTGTATACACTGAATGGGGGGTGATCTTGAAGTTCAATAGAAATGTATTTAAGAGATATCTAGCGAGGGTCAAGCCCTTTGTTGATGCAGAGCGGTAGGAGACAACAAGCAGGATGCATCTAAAGTGGATCACCGGACTCCTGTTCCTGGGTATTGCCCAAGCAGACAACGACAAGTCGGCTCTCGCGCATCAAAAGGCAAGCCAACATCAGACTGCCGCAGACCCTTACTCGCACAACCAAGCTCCTCCCCGCGGAGAGAAACTCAGTCGGCGAAAATGGACCGTTACCTGCGACACCAGCCAAGAGGGTAACGAGTGTGAAAGGATCCTCGACGACGACCTTAACTCTTTCTGGCTGTCAGAAGATGAGAGTACAACCCATGAAGTCATTGTTGATCTCAGCAGCGTTGAGAATGTCCACGCCATCTCTGTGGTGCCACGCCAGGACGGCAATGCAGATGGTCAAATCGTCACCCACCAGGTGTTCGTGAGCGAAGACAAAGAAAATTGGGGCGAACCAGTCGCATTTGGCACATGGTACGAGGGCGATGGGGAGAAGCTTGCCATCTTCGAGCCTAAGCAAGGCCAATATGTTCGCCTGGTGTCTCTCGGCACCAACCTTGCCAGTATCTCGGCGCTGCAAATTTACGACATTGATGACCCTCAACAGATTGCCGACGGCGGTGTCTGGGGTCCTACAATTGATTTACCCATCGTGGCTGTCTCGGGCGCTGTCATCCCAGGAACAGGAGAGGTGCTTGTCTGGTCCTCATGGGCAAAGGACGACTACCTCAACTCCCAACTGGGTGTCACACTTACTGCCATTTGGAATCCTGCCAACGGGTCAGTAACGCAGACCAAGATTCAACACACACACCATGACATGTTCTGTTCCGGCATGTCCTACGATGGAAAGGGGGAACTACTCGTCACTGGTGGCAATAATGACCAGCTCAGCAGTCTCTTTGACCCTGCCTCTGACACCTGGACGGAGGGTCCTCTGATGGCGCTTCCTCGTGGTTACCAAGCCTCCGCAACCATCTCCGATGGTCGTGTATTCATCATTGGCGGCTCCTGGAACGGCGGCACGAATGAAGACAAGAATGGAGAGATCTACGACCTTGAGAACGATGAGTTTAGCAGGCTTCCTGGAGCCCTTGTGAAGCCCATGTGGACAGAAGATCGGGCTGCTGGCTACCGACGCGACAGTCACGGATGGATTTTCGGATGGAAGAACGGAACTGTGTTCCAAGCCGGACCTAGCAAGAACATGAACTGGTACTACACCGACGACAAGGGTGACCAGCAACCCGCAGGAACACGCGCCGACGCCGACGACTCCATGTCCGGTAACGCAGTGATGTTCGACTCTGTGAATGGCAAGATCATCACATTTGGTGGCTCGCCATCTTACGATCACTCCTATGCCACCAATGCCGCCTATCTCATCGAGATCAACGAGCCCGGATCCGAGCCCAAGGTGTCCGTGGCAAAGAACCCTTCCGGTGACGGCATGGCCTACGCCCGAACATACCATACCTCAGTGGTCCTTCCCGATGGTGGTGTCTTCACCACTGGTGGACAGACATATGGCGTCCCATTCAACGACAGCAACGCACAGATGACCCCCGAGCTGTACGATCCCGAGGCCAACGAGTTCCGCGAGCAGCAACCCAACAGTATTGTTCGTGTGTACCACAGTATCTCTCTACTGCTTCCTGATGGCCGTGTCTTCAATGGTGGTGGTGGACTTGGAGCCTCTTCCCCCACCAACCACTTCGATGCCCAGGTGTACACGCCTCAATATCTGCTGAATGACGACGGAACACTCGCTACGCGTCCTTCCATCGACAGTGTAGCCAAGAGTAGCCTCCGCGCCGGCGATAAGATCAGCATCAGCACCAGCACCCAGTTCAGTCGAGCTTCTCTAATCCGCTACGGTTCTACCACCCATACCGTCAACACTGACCAGCGCCGCGTTGCCTTGGACTCGTGGACCGCCAATGGAGACTTCTACGAGGCCACCCTCCCTGAGGATACTGGTGCTCTTATTCCTGGCCCTTGGATGCTGTTCATCTTGAATGAGGCTGGTGTTCCTAGCGTGGCCGAGACCATCCATATTGAGATTTAAAGAGTGTTGGAATCTTGTATAATTCTTCTTCTCCATATCGGTCTAATGAGGGCTAACAGCAAGGCTTTGCTTCATTCTTATGACTGTCTTTGGTTGTTATGTATCATCAGGCATTGTTTTTGTGTTTGGAATTTTTCTTCCTTGGGCTGTACTGTTTAGAATTCTGTGTTGACCGGCGTGTCGATTGGACTAGGAATTTGACCAGCCATTCTCAGACCTCGAGTGATGCGTGCGAAAGGCGTTGTCGAGGTATGCAATTATTACTGACATCTGTTGAGACCTATATAACATACCCAAGCAGTCTGTATGATTCTATGTAAGAGACTCATGTACACCTGAGGTATGCAACATTCGCTCACATATAGTTTCGAATGAGACTACCAACTAGAAATAACCACCATGATTGCTATCATAACATCTCCCGTTAGTCAAGTCAAATTTCCATTCAGAATCCTTCTAAAACCCCCAACTTCTATCATCTAAAACCGCCTATTCTCAACAGCAGGCTTATTCCCAACAGCAACCTCAATCTTCTCAACAACCTCCTCAGTCAACATCTCCACCACCTCCAAAGCGCGAATATTATCAAGCACCTGCTGCGGCCTCGACGCACCCGTAATCATAGACGAAATATTCGGATTCTTCAAAATCCACGCCAGCGCCAACTGCGCCGTCGAAACACCCAACTCCTCCGCAACCGGCTTCAACGCCGCAACCTGCTCCAACTGTCTCTGCCAAGTCTCATCACCCACCGTCTTCCGCAAACTCTTCACATACCCATCCTCCGACTCCGCCAACCGCGATCCAGCCGGCGGCGCCGCAACATCATTATACTTCCCCGTCAGCACACCGCCCTTCAAGGGCGAGAACACCGTCAGCCCGAGGCCGTGGGTCTCGTACAGCCAGCGGTATTCCTTCTCCACGCGCTCGCGCGCAAGAAGGTTATACTGCGGCTGCTCTACGACCGGACCGACGAGGCGGAGTTTATCAGCGACGCGCCAGGCGTCGGCGATTTCACTGGCGGACCACTCCGAGGTGCCCCAGTAGAAGGCCTTGCCGTTGTCGAGGAGGTAGTTGAAGCCGCGGACGATTTCTTCCATGGGGGTGTCGCGGTCCGGGCGGTGGGCGTAGACGATATCTACGTATGGCAGGTTCAGTCGCTGCAGGGAGAGGTTCATGCCCTCGATGATGTGTTTGCGGGAGAGTCCGTTGTTGTTAAGGGGTTTATCGGGGTTGGCGCTATTGGCTCTGCCCCAGTAGATCTGGAGGGGTTAGCGAGGATAGAATTTTTTTTATATATTATTGATCTACTTACCTTGGTGGAGATAACGAGGTCGTTCTGCTTCCAGCCGAATTTCTTGATCGCCTCGCCGAGCACGATTTCTGATTTTCCGCCGGAGTACACCTCGGCAGTATCGAAGAAATTGACGCCGGCGTCGTAGGCGACTTTCATGCACTCGAGTGCGGTTTCTGTGTTTCTGGGTTAGCTACTGATCATGTCTACTGATGGTGATAGCCGTACCATTTCCGACGTGTCCGCCATATGTGAGCCAACTACCCAGCGAAATGACCGAGACCTTCAGCCCGGTGCGGCCGAGGAAACGGTACTGCATTTCAGGAAGAGCGTCAGACATTGTTTGTATGGTGGTTAATTGACAGATTCTGACGAAGTAAACATGCAACGTGGGCTGTTTTATGTCCGCAGACACGCGGGCCGACGCGGGGTCAACGGCATCCGGGACTCGACCCTCCCCAATTTCCCCGATTGGGACTCCGGGGGCTTGGGCCTCATTGGAGGGCAGAAAAATGGGGCATATGTTTTAGGCTAATGGGATTGGAAGCACCTGCAATCCAATTGCTAAGAATCGCGGCTTGCAGTATGTATACAGGGGAGACATGGGAAATGGTGCAATATGTAACGAGAATGACCTCAATACTGGCACCTTGAGGAGCTGCAGTGGAGATGGGGCTTTTTAACAAGATCCGCGTTCCATTATTCCCTTCGGAAATTGTGCTCAATTGTCCAGGATATCAAGGCTAGAATGGCTATGCAAGAACATGTCATGCAATCGATTCGGAGTCACCGGCTTTTAGCTACAAACCTCTCCTTATCTCCGTTGTTCTCCCTCCTTCCCCAAGTACTCCGTACCAGGCGGCGTTAACGACATGCCGACGCGGAAAATCAATCGAAATTACACATATCGGATAAGATCGACTTCAAAACTCGCACCCTGTTGGCTGCGCACCGGGCCAGTCGGGATAGACTGGCGTCTGTGCCGCGTAGGCGCATTTACAAAACTCAGTTTCCAGAGGGATATCCGAGCACACGCCCGCTGACTGAGTAGCGCAGTACTCATTGAGCGAGACGGAGGTTGTCATGCCGTGCGGGCAGAAGCTATGAGGCATGCAGAAAGTGTCGTAGTTCGACGAACCTTCCCGCAGGGTCATGCTGTACCATTGGTTTTCGGCACAGGAGCAGGAGACAGCTAGATAGAATAACGGGACTCAAGTTAGCCATAGAATCCAGTTGAACTTAGTAAAAGAGGCTTGGAACAAGACTAAGAAACCTACCCTTGATCACATTTGACGCTTCTCCCGCTAAAGTGCCCTCATATATAGTCGACGTCGAATATGCAATTGCCCCATTGGAGCACTTGGTAGTAATCCAAGGCTCACTGAGTGGGAAGCAGGTTGATTGTTCCATGCAATGGTCTGGATGCCAAACCGAGGGGAAAAAGCCTTGTGGGCACTCGATTGGCGGTTCTTGGCTGAAGCAGTACGATACTGGGGTTCCCAGTGTACAATCCGTCGTATATACGGCAGTTTGTCCATTTGAGCAGATGAGCTCGGGACCTTGTGTGATCACCGCCGGGACTGCGGCCGTGGTAAAGGTGGTAGTTTGCTGAGGAACAGCCATTGTGATGGCCAAGAGAAAGACGAGGAAAAGAGACACTTGATAAAGGGATCCCATTATCATAATGTTAGAACCCAGTTGACATAGGAACAATTAATATGATGGTTGGGATAAGGTGGTGCACGATTGTTGTTCTCTGTGCTAGGAGCGGTTCTCTCTGTGTGGAGGTATGGAACTGGATCTTGTCTTATATCGACGCAGATCCAGCACTCAGCATAACCTCAGTCAAGGCGCTACTTGAGATACAGAGCTAACACAGCTTGGAAGATGAAATGTGCCACAGTAAAGCAACAATGGCTGATATCTGCGCTGCCGCATCAGAAACAGTGAAGATCAGCCCATACCACCTAACAACAGAAGATGCATGCAACCTCTTGATAGTTGAAAGTTAATGAACTGACAGCAAGTCTCAGAATCGCTGAATCATCAAGCCAGACATAAGCTTATAAAAATAGCAGCTTACCCCTCGTTGGCAAGACAGTCCAGGAGAGAATCCTTTTTCGGAAAGTCGAGAGCTCGGAAACGGTTTCGCAGTAGCAGGGTCGGGATTCCAACGGTCATCCTGGTCACTGGCTATCTACCGCGATGACCAAGTAGAACAGCGTCTCGAACAAGCAACATGCAATCTAACCTTTGAATCGCATGTTGCGTAATGGGGATGTGCTACATTGACGCAACGCAGCTGGCATCGCTGCGACGTTGACCTGGGGTATCTGCTAGAAAGGCTGGGTGAGTCTCGGTAGTGAATTTTGATCCGAAAATTATCGAAGAGAATGATCTAGATAGTGATTCAGTTTCGTTTGTCTTGGAAATGATAGTGATGCCGTTGTTGTCGGGTGTTATTGTGCCCCCATCGGTCCTACCGGACTGTCGCACGGAATATGTACAGCATGGCCGTTGCCTACAGAATCCAGATAAGCTGATCTTTGGTATGTGCGGTGATTCCGAGACACCTGGCGAGGGAAGAGGGGTGATGAAACATTCAAGAATGCTGGCGCAGGTAAGAGCTGGACTTGAACTGAGACATACATGGATTACTGTCCGATCCATGACATCAATTGATATGTGAAGCTGAGTCACGCAATATCTGATCAATACATCCACAATGGAAAAGATGGATGCAGGCAACTAGGAGCGGACTGTGCTTCGTTTAGATGAACATATTTACTCTCGACCAAAATGGCTGAATTGTTCAGCTGCCAGGACTATTTAAAATATGTACCACGAGAACGACAGTATGGTCAATGCACACCCTCCTCGCCTGACCAGAGAATGTCCAACAATCAGAACAAAACAAATGTACATGAAACGAAGCTCCTGGAGAGTTACAATCCAGCAAGTATAAGGTCCAGCTTGGAATAGAAGCATGGGTTAAATCCTCTTCGTCAAAGGAACGAAAAGAAAGACGACGCGCTGCGTACTTCTAACGCCAGTTCCAAATAACGACAAATAGATTGTTTAGATCTAGTTGTGCAGGTGATCATGGCGGTGGTGAGCATGTCTGCGCGCATGGGCAGCAGTCGGCGCGGGGACCTCAGCCTCCGGAATGGTATCCCTCGTCACGTAGGAAACGATGGTAGAGGTCTCAACAGACAAGGTTGTTGTAGTCGAAGACACAGTGCGGAGGGGACCGGTACTAGTCCAGGTATTCTCGCCATTTCCATCACACATAATCACAATATCACGCTCGAGGTAGATGATCTCCTCGGTGAAAGGATCGATGATCGTGGAAGTGACGGGGGTAGGAGTTGGCGAGGGAGTGGAAGTAGAGTTGAACGAGGTAGTAGCTGGGGAGTCGTGGAACAGGGTGTTGGGATCAATCGCAATATCGCCAATGGAAATGGTGGGAAGAACCAAGGACGCGGCGCTGGTGGCCATCGACATCGCCTTCATTATGGCACGTTCGGGACCCCACTCAACAGGCATGGCGCCGGGCAATCCCTCATCATGAACTGAGCAGTCTTCCTTCTCAAGAGCCAAGGGCATGTGGAACTCGCACTTGCGCTGGTCGTCCTCGCTCTGGATATCGAAGAGTGGGCAGTCTTCAACATTACCAGACAGATCTGTGCACGTCTCAATCGCCTCCTGCAGCACACCCTCTTCCCAACCCTGCATGAAATCGCCATGGTATCCATATCCAGTAGGATCTCCGTTGGCAAGTGTGAAGTATCCGTCGAAATCCTTGAAAGCATAGGTGTCCCAGATAGTCTCGAAAAGGAGGGATACTAGGCGAGTTTCGTATCCTTCGGGGCAAGTGCCATCCATGACAAGTGAGGGATATTGGACATGCGATTTGTGGTCGTGGCTGTCGAGATCCTTGCCATTCCAGCAGGAGGGGAACATCAATTCGAATCGGACTCCATCGGTACAGTGCGCATCCAGGTAGGTCTTGTTGGGCAAGAAGTGGCGCTCAAGAGTGGCCTCGGGTTTCTCATTGTAGTTCAGGCAGTTGAAACCAACGGCCTTGGCGCGCAGAGCTTCCTGGGTGCCGTGGATACCAGTCCACTCGGACTTGGGAGGGTCGGGAACTGGCAAGGAGAAGTTACGCTGGAAGGGATCACCCGCGAGCATGCGGAAGTTATCAGGGAACGCGGTGATCCTGTCTTCATCGGCGTAGTCCTCGCCACTGCCGTAGCCATACAGAAGATAGTAGCTAGTGAGAGGGTTAGTGAAGTTCCAACCCGAAATTCAATTCACACTTACACAAGCATGCCTCCAATTTCGGGCACAACCTCAGCGCTGCCATTGGAGTGCATAAAGAACAAAGCGGGGTGCCAGTAGGCAGACTTGTCCTGGGTCACTGCACACGAGGTACACTCGGATTCACGAAGGATATCCTGGTCCGCGCTCATACCGAAATCTGACCGAAGGTCAGCCAAATTATATTTTATGGGTTCGATTGTTCGAGGAAATGGCACTTACTTCCACCTCCATGGACGGCATGGGTGTGAGACGAGATCTCACCCGGCTCCACGATAGGGTCCAGCCGGGCGAGACCAGATCTTCCACGGCAAGGAAGACGCCAGAAGGCAGTCGCAGAAGATGGGAAGAGCGTGATGCAAGCCACCAAAAGGGCCTTCAGTCCAATGTCCTGCATGTTGGAATTGTTGAGCCGCGTGCCCAAGCTCGTCGAGATGATGAATTGAAAGAGTGAATGATCTCAAAGGAGCGATTGAAAGTGAGGGACTCGCCAGGAGCACCAAATCAACCGGTTCGGCGTGGAAAAGAGTGTCGATAGATGCTAGATAGGATTTTAGTAAAACGGAGGTCTCCATGAGTTGTTATTCAAAGGCCAGGCGTTAAACGCAGGTGCATCTTGCCGCAGACAAGGGGTTCCAGGTGGCCAATCAATTTGCGATGAAACAATCTTATTTGAAAAGACGGGGGAGTACTCCGTAGATCAATGGGGATGCTCCCTTCCCGCAGAGGAATGTCCCTTGCTTGCGCCGATGCCACCTTTTCCCCGTGCGAGGGGTGATAGAAGTTGCAAGAAAGAGAATCCAGGGTATGCAAATATGCAAGTATGCAACTTACCGGTCAAACGCGCTCTTCTGACGTCAGTAAAAAAAAAGATGATCGTTGCTTGAAGCCTTCAAATCGGGCTGTTGGTGATCCCTGAAAGAGCGCCATTTTATAAGCCACCGCAACTTTATTTGGTTGATTCTTTTGCGACGCAACTTACTATGGGGGCAGATCACCAAGGTGATCAGTAGAAAAGAATGAAATGATCTTGTATAAATGAGTGACAGGGGTGGTATGAACGAGTGACAAACCCTAGATAGGGCGAAAGAGTGCGACACAGAACGAAGTACGAGGGCCAAAGAAACAGATTAAGGAGCAGCAGATGAGTGGGATCAAGTACTTCAGGTACCAAAGGGCACTACAGACACCAAGCCCCTTAGTGCTTGGAGAGGGGCCTGAGTTTAATGAGCCGGCCAATCCCTTGATATCACGGATATTGGGCAGGTTTGAGCTCGTAAACATTAAGTCAATAGCTTGGTACCCCTCCATGGCTCTCTCTTGTCCTCGCTACGATTGGGTGTTCATCCGGAATTTAAATGAACGAGTATCCTGGGCGATAATCCGACGGGGGGGGGAGGTGTTCCAAGAAAAATTAGGGGCTGGGGCGGTTAGGGATCACAGAAAGAAAGAACTCATGTCACCCGAAAGTGGAGGACTTCCCGTGTGGTTTCCCCAAGCCAAGTCGATATCTGAGACGCTGAAACGAACAGCGCGTTCCTGGTCTAAATCACTAGCGGAGTCTTGGAGGCCCACGCTGAGCCGTGGGATTGGACCGAAGGTATGGCATGAAACGACCCATAAATTAACAACCCCCTTTTGATATTCGCGAGTTTACACGATGTCATAGAAAGCTTATGGATCGATATCACATAATAATTATACTATAGGCAAATGAAAGTCATGTTCTATAAGGAATCCGGAGTAGACGTATACCCACACAGCATACGGAGTAGGGAGTACATGTTCATCCTATGTCGTACGTACTTCGTAGTACGAGGCGAATATATGTTTCCTTCCAACTGCCTTCTACCGGTCTGACGCCGACTAGCCCAGACGATAAATGTTTGAGGCTTAGGATCTGACTTATGCCATTGTCGTCTGATCCCTGCAATATCCCGATCTACGGAGTACACCGGCCATGTCTCAGATCTCAGCAAGATCATGTGGAAGGCACGAAGGCTTTAAGGGTTTTCTGTGTATCTATTCCGTAGCGCATGTCACTTTGAGGATGAGACCTTTTCAAACGCAAGTGGAGCATACCTTGGGATCTGCCGTGGAGCTGGGAAACATTCTTGGACTCGTTCTTCGGTTGCCGATTCTGCCAATCGACGCCACCGCCCGCGGCCTCGGAGAAACATCGCACCGGTTATTTTATCTGCTTCGGTCGAGGCTTGGTATCTACAACCTGAAAATAGCGAAGCCAGGGGCGTTTTCCAAGGCTTTTCCCTTTGAATTTGTTGGTAACCCCTATTTTGATATCAGTTTTTCGGAAGCCTGCTTGTCAAGGACCAAGCGTCCACTCTATGTACCTGCCTAGGTGGGCAGGTGGCCAAATGCCCAGGTGCCTAGCCTCGCTTACGAGCCAGGCCAACAGGCGGGACCTTCTAGTTTGTCTTGGGAAGGAGTTATCTCCCTATGAGTTCGATTTTTCATATCCTCTCTCCTATTCCATGTCTCCTTAAATGCCTACAACATATTACCTTGTTTTTTCCGGCATTCCACGGCCCAGAATCGTCTATCCAGGCGCCCCTCCTACATTGCACAGAATAGTACGGAATACTCCGGATTTTTGGCATTATTGACGCAATTGTGGTATCTGCACTTTGGTTCAAACCTGGCGTAGCTGAATTTGGGATAACACAGCTATGATAGCCTCCATTCCTTCCATGTCCAATATATCCGGCTCTCGCACATAGAAACTACTAGATTCTCGTGTTTTATAGCAGTCGAATTCGCTGGTATCTGAACACAAAATAGAGTATTTGCCATGACCTTTTTCAATATATCTAGCACAGGAACTGTCGTCCGAGGAAACGTTGATCCACTGTTCAAGCGCAATAGTGGAAGGATTGAAATAACCTATCCTGCACAAAAGCTAGACGTTCTTTCGCTCCCATGCAAGTGATGTCTCTATATCTAGGTCATGTGCCCATCTCTCCTTGGCCCCGATCTAGCTCCCTAGTTTTCTCTTTCTTACATAGCACCCCCAAAGACTTTATGTTCTTGATCTACGTCTTCCCTCGTAGACACCATCATGTTCGCATTGTTCATAATTGGGCACTAAAGACCTTTAGGAGCGGACTGGCACCCCGCTTCTATCTGTTCACATTCTTATCAAACCGCATGGGACTCCCACCCAATACCACGCGAGTGGTCGCATGGGACCAAATGACAGGAGTTGACCATGTCTATCATCTATAGCCAATGAATGAACAACCAATATTCCAGCCTCATCAATAGTTCTCTAGAATCTAACACTCGAACTCGATCTTATACTGAGAGCCATATCCGACTAAAACGCCATAGGCATCACCGCCTTTGGAAGGTTTTTAGCCTTTGATATGGGTCTGGATGGCATAAGAGCCGTAGCACTCCCTCAAAATAAACCGGTTAGAAAATCATTACTCTATACTAAAAGAGAGGTTGGATAAATGCCTACACGTGAAGTGATTGATACTGCAGCTTGTAGTCCAGCCAAATTTGTCTTTAAGCCTATCGCCTTCAATAAAGAGGAGGTCGATACAAGCGGTCTCATATTTCTTGCATTCCTCAGCCTTGCCGATTTGCCTACTACCCTTATAGAGGCTGTATCCTATGTTAGATAGAGTTACGCATTTCACAGTGGTTTGTTCCTGCCAGCCTATCGCAGAGCAAGTGCCTGCTAAAGCAGCCGGGAGGCAGGCTGCCAACAGTAAAGCGGCGGTATGAACCTTGATTATACCGGCGAAATGCAAACACCCACGAGAGGATATAGCACAGTCTACTAGTATATGACAGAGCTATGCAGTGGTCGAGCAACGACTATATATTGTTGAGAACCATGCCTGAGGCAGGATTCTCTCATCCGCAGGATTATCAACGCTACGCCTTTTTTGTCTTTTCTGCCGAAAAGCTCACCTTTGGGGGCCAAATTGAGGACTCCGATCCTCGGCACACAAAGGGGCATAAATAGCAGGAAAAGGCAGATATTATCTAGATCTCCAGACAACTCAATACTTCCATGAGAGACCCTATTCCTAGTATCATTTGAACCCATTGTTGAACCCTACATGCTGTATCATACCTCTGTATCTTCAACATATATTGCTGAGAAATAAGATCCTCTCGAGAAGGCGAAAACTTGCAGCTGGTTGGCGAATGGCCTCATCTCCACTGCCAATTAACAAGGAAATACAAGTCTCTAGGACAATGGAAAAGAAAGGAAAGCAAAGAAAAATCCAGGTGTGTTTAACTTCGCATCGTGGTTTCCTCATCGAGATCATGTATTTCTATTCACCCACGATTGACCTTTGACCCACTCTGGACTTTTCCTTCAAAATCTGTGTATTAGGAAGGTGTATAGCGCTCAGGGGTCGGTCTCAATTGACGTCGAATTTGCTGCCTGGATATGCCTGGATTCGGGCTGGCTCAAAGCTATAATACCCGGACTACTGCGACAGAGAGCATAATCAATACCTGATTGAGGTACCTAAGTCCAACCTTAGACAGCAGGCAGGCAAAATGAAGCTTCTCGTATAGTCGACCGCGCTGTTACAGCTAGCTATGCTTGATGCATGAGATTGGGGGAAGATGATGTTCATTCGTGTAGCTGGCAGGGATGACCTATCAGCCAACTAGGGCTAGCTAGTTAATCATGATAGTTCCCCCGTTAGACATCAAGCGGCGTCCTCGTCGCTTCCGGCATTGCCTTGCCTGCTTTTTGTTTAGATCCTCCTTTTGTGTAGTGATGTAGTGCATATTCATGTAAGTTTTCAGTGGATGAGTGGCTTGGCCAGGGCTTCTCTTATCTCGGGCGTGTCGTTAGTGAGGGCACGCCGTCGTAGATCTGTGGCCTTGCATATCTCGAAACATGAAATCTAGATGTCACTGTGCGAGGGGGATTGCATAGAAATTGTGGCCGATAGTTCTTGAGTCTGTATCTGTGCGGTACTGAATTCTCTTCAAATGCGAAATGTAGAATGTATGCGGTCGTTATGGCATTGATTGTGTGTGTCATTTCTGGTTTGCCGGGCGAAGTTGATGATTGTCTTGATTGCCAGAAAATAGTGTTTGAGAATCATCCCGACGATGTGTTTTATGTATTCATTCAATTTCGCTCTCCATGTTCGGAGCGAAAAGGGAATAATGTGCGCACACTCAGTGTACGCTCCAATAGTTGCGTCGTTGAGAGCAAGCGATTCAGAGTCAAAGCGCTAGTGATAGCACATCTGGTTCCATCGCATTTCAGGCAACTCGATTTCAAAGAAGCTTCTCTCATCAATGGCCCAGTCAACAGGGATAAGCTCTTAGTTGAACCCTCCATAGCGGCCCGTGGTGATATTGTAGGTGTGGATCGTTCAATCCTCATTGGGGGTGAGAAGGCCCTCCATCAACGACTGAGGATAGTCATATGCTTATTAGTCTGTGTATAAAGTCTCGAGATAGTTGATGAACTTTGCATTCCCATCAGGTGGAAGGTTGCCATCAAATTCTAGTGTAGTGTTGTCATTCTGAGTTATTGGTTGATAACGGTTAACTTGCTCCATGTTGCCAGTGAATGTCCTTCACGAGACACCAGATCATCGCATCGGAGCTCAAGAAATATCTATACTGCCATAAAGACTGTTGCAGATCACGCAATGAACTCGAGAACTAGCTGTAGAAACTTGAAAGTCAGAAAGAGGCCAAAGTCAGAAAGAGGTGAAGATAAGCACTGTATCAATTTTTTCGTCAACGATGAAACCAGTGACGATACAATAAGCAGTGAAAACTCCCACTGGAGTGAGTGCGTAGTGGAATTCAGCCGATAAGACTTACTCCACTTGACCAAAGTAGACTGACGCAGGAAGGTTAGGAATAGCTTCTTTTTTGACAAAGCCGCCACCTTAATGAAGATTGGTAGATATTAATGGGAAAGGGGGATCAGCACGTACCGAGCAGAGTGAGAAGAGCGAGGAGAGAAGAAGACAAAGTGTAGATGTCTACGGCTTTGTTTGCTCTTGCCGTGTTTATATGCTTTCTGCCTGGATTACCAGGCCAGTTTGGAGATCAATTTCACATCTTGGATTGGGATTTTCACCGCGATCTAGTAGCTAAATAGTCATATCTTGATCCCGGGTCCCAAAGCTAGACAGATTTTAGCTATGTTGCGCAAACTATAGGATATTTGATCTTCACCTAAGTACCAGCGGCTGGGCTTGACTCGTTAGGGTGTTGATATCCCGACCTTGCTTGAGAAACGGTCCTAGAACCTTCTTGGCCTTCGATCTGGCAGCTTCTAAGATATAATCTGGAGCTAGAGGCAGACCGTGGGGAAGAAATTCTGCGGTGTATATCGTCCTGCCAATTCGCATCAATCATGATTGGATCTAAGTCACGTATGTCGAAGTGACTATCCGAGCGAGCATAGTATAGCGTATCCCGGAAAATTGTAATGTGTCTTTCGGTATAGATAGAACGCAGGTCCTCGATAACCTCGATGGGGACTGGATTGGCATCTCAGGCAATTGCGCTAAGGGCAAATGAGGATCTTTTGACGGAGATTGGACATCCATGGCGTCTGAAAATGTTGCGAAAGAAATCAGAACTAGTCCAGTTCCGACTGAGCGTTGACATAAATTGAAGACCCAGAGAAAGGGCCTGGACAGGTGACTGGTCTTTATATAAACCCGAAGTTTGAGTGGACACGGGACCAGGCAGCCTGACTACGAAGATGATTGCGACTGCGTGGTCAGCAAAGCTTGTATATCGTACATAGCAGAGTAGATTGTAGTTCTAGAGGTCTATTCTCGAAAGCTAATACATATACAGTACGCTCGACGCGCACATTATGCCTTCACATCCTCCAGAGCCTTTCTGGCTCTTACGACAGTCTTTCGTGCACGGGTGTCGGACAGATCCTCCACAGTCTTGCCACCATTGCGCACGATATCACGAAGAGAAGCCTCGGTTTCCAGTAGAGATGTGCGTCCTTCCTCACGCACCTCGTCCTCCCAGAAAGCACGAGCATCGTCCCACTTCTTCTGCTGGCGACGAATAGCAAAGATCAAGCCAACAGCGGCGAGGGTGCATGACTCGTACACGCCGGCCGCGGGAATAGCCACGTACGTTAGTGCGGAGAGAGCGGAAGTCAGGGTGGTAGTGGAAACGCTGAAGACCACAAGGCTCTGGGCGAGGGCTTGGAGAGAGGGCACAGTCGTGGTGAGAAGTTTTGTGCGAAGGTCGGGAATCTGAGTTGGCCAGGGAGCCAGAGCGGATTCTTTGATGGGCTCAGGGCTGGAAGTGGAAGGGCCCTTCAACAGGCCGGCCTGTTGGCACTTACCTGCGGCGAAGATGGCCTCCCGCTCTGCCCGGCGAAGGAATTTGGTGGTCAAAATCTCGGATGTGATCATGCTCACATCGTCGACGCGCCAGAAGAGCTTCCACCATGCAAGGCCGCGCCAGCGTGGACTCGCCAGCCCTGCCTCGAGGGAACTGCGGAGCTCAGAGTGAGCACGCTCTGCCCAGGTAGTCACGCCCTGGTCCAAGTCGGACCGGACCTCTTCAGGGGCTGCGCCAACTGTCTGATCGTGGAGCGCCTTGGCGTCCCGGATGTTTACACTAGCGTCAGCCGCGTCGACGAGGGACTCCACTAAAGGAACCAATGCCGGATTCAAAGCATTTCCTGTCGATACTTCCGAGGATTTTGCGAGCCAATTGATAAGTGGTTGAACGTTACTGCCATTCCATCCACGTTCGTAGTCTGAAGCATTGTGGACAGACTCACGGAACTTATCCAACGCAGCGGCGGCACGGTCGACATCGACGAAGGAAACGCGCTGATTGGTCGGGTTTTGACCGGCACCTGTGAGTGCAATGGCTCCATGCACAGAGGCAGCCTCGTTCTTCAAGTCCGAACGACCCATCATTGTGCTGTATGATAGAAGGCCATCAACTCCACTTCCACACACGAGAGTGCGGTGGACAGGATAACGAACGAAATTATTCCGGCCGGAGTGTGAGGTCTGGATGGTCACTGTAGGGACGAGGAAGGTATCGGCGTGGAATGTCGTGGCATTGGGGTTAGGCTCAGAACCGATGGAGCTGACTAGGATTTCCAAGTTGCCATTTTTGAGGATGGACGACGGTACTGAGATCGTGGGTAGCAGATCATTGGGGATAGATTCTGATATTTCGCCATATCTGTAGAATGAGTGTCCCGATTAGCAAGAGTCATAGCGAATCAACACCTGGAAAAAAAAGTTCATACCTGATCAGGAGCCCGCGGGATGAATCGGCATCATATTGGTCGAGCAGGTCCTCCCATCCTTCTCGCGGTACCAATGGGTCTGCAAGCAGTAGTCTAACAAGTTTGCGAGCAGAGGTCGCATCGTTCAATCCAAGCACTAAATTCCGAATCAAAAAGAAGTCAGCGCCATGGCTTTCTATGGCAAGATCCACTTTCGACGGGATAATTGCCTCGGTATATAATCAATTACTCACCTGCTACTCTAATGAGAGGTGTTTCGGACTCCAATCCGCGTAGTGCAAATTGCAGCCGGCTGAGATTCACCTGTTCCAGATCGGCATCTTTCACTCCCTCGAGGGCAGCGTGCAGCTCCTTGAACCGCGCCGGGACGCTCTTCGCAGTAATCACAGTCGATGAAGTGAAGCTTCGGGAAGCAGGTCCTGTAATTGTGTTCTGAGCCCGAGCGCCTCTTCGAGATGTGTCGGGGCTGGGAGCGCTGCGACTGGCATTGGCGCGCGTGGACAATGATCGGAGCCAGACCGCGCATGAGGGACAGTCGAAGATGGTGCTACGATCCAGTGGACGCGACAGGCTCTTTGCGAGCGCACTGCGCAGTCTTGGGGCCATTGAGGCGCGGTGAAGCGAGGTTTGAAGGGCGGTCTTCGCAATGGCACTTGATCGGTGGATGAACTTGGTGAGCGGAAGTGGACGCGGATACCGGGCTTGGCATCCATCACCCTCGGGTTCTATGCTCTACACATACCCTTTCGCTTCGCTGGGCACATTTTGTACGTGCTAGGAATTTAACCAAAATAGTCATAAATTATCATGTCAGGATTTACAATCAAAGGCCCTACGACAATTGCGGCTTTGTGGCTATGAACATGTGATGAAGCCTCAAGAGGTGGGGGAACAAAACACACATATTCAACTGAACTTTCCTATTGATCGCTAGAGTCGTGGATTCACAGGTTGGATCGCGAGGCGAGAGGAAGGACCAAGCAGATAGATAGGGTATCGTATCGATCGTGTCGGGGCAAAAAGCGTGTGCGCTGGAGGACAGGAAAGAAATGCATAGATCGTGTCATAATATCAACTCGGCCACATTACAGTTTGATCAGGCATCGCTAGGAGGATCTCTCTGTCGAGGATGAGGGCGACCGGAGCCAGCAGACCTGAGAGTGTCGATTAGTATGTGATAGAGTGGTGCGAGAATCTCTCAAGTGGAACTTACATGCTGATCCGCCGGGCGACTGTGGCGAGTCCCGCATCGTTGGCAGCTTCATGCTCCGCCCGCTCCAGGGCTATGCGACGGCTCTCTTCGCTCTTCGCGATGACCTCTTCTTGGCTAGGAGGCACGTGCTCGTTCTGGATATCAACCTTGCGGGCATCTTCGAAGTTGTGAATAGCCTGTTTGATGCCTTCAGCACCCAGCATGAGAGTTCCAGCGGGAAGACGACCGCCAGTCGCCGTCTTCAGTTCAGTAACACTCTCGGACTGCTCGCGGAGAAGCTGGAAGACACGAGAGAGGCGGCCAATTGCAAGAATCTTGTTCTTCATAGCCCGTCTCTTGAACTCGAGGGAGTCGGGGTCCATTGATGGAGGCGAGATCGGATCCTTGTCCCTATGTTCGACGGGGGAAATCGAGGTCGGGGTCTCGTCTTCCAACTCCTCCTTCGAGCAGGTGTTAAGAATAGCGATGAGCATATCCGTGATTTTCTCACCAACGAACGGCAAAGACCAAGTGAAGACATCCATGAAGTTAGGCAGCCAGTAAGGGTGCGGGGTGCAGTTGAACTGGCGGATATTCATCACATTGTTCTCATATTTGAGGACAGCCGCCTTGTTGTTGTAAACGTCCAAATAATTGGGTGCACTGAAGATAGTCATCACACTAGGGAAGCCAGTGGTTCGTGTCTTTCTATACATGCGATAACCGGCATCCTGGGCCTCATGCGCTCGGATGATAGACAACAAATTGTTCTTCTCCAAAAATGCACATGCCGCTGGGTAAGAGAAAAAGTAGGAGCAGCCGCGGACACTGTTATGGATGAAGAAATCGCCTGTCTTTTCTTGACCAAATTCCTCTAGAGGGTCAGCCCAAAGAATGTCACACATGAGTCCGTGAGTTGGAGGCTCGCGGAAACGATCGATCTATATAATTTGTAAGCTTTGATTCCTGATGTTGTCATTCAATTTTTGGAATGGGTAAATACGCACAGCCTTAATATCTTCGAGGGTGTGCAATTCGGGGCTGAGACCGCCGTGGATGCAGAGGAACTGCTTGTTCATGACCGCCGCCAGCGGCAGCGCACAGAAGGACTCCAAACACGCCTCATAGATCTTTTCACTGTATTTGTGCTTGCACTCCAACTTGAAAGTGAAGTAGTCTGTCAAGTGACGGCATTCGTGGTTACCTCGAAGCAACCATAGTGAATCGGGATACCAGATCTTCAATGCCCAGAGATAGAGAACACACTGAGATGATCTGTCAGAATACTTCTTCAAGCTAGAAATAACCAGGAAACATACCTCGATACTGAAATAACCACGGTCGACATAGTCACCCAAAAATAGATATCTTGTCTCCGAGGGATCACCACCGACCTCGAACAGCTTCATCAGATCGTAGTACTGACCGTGGACATCGCCACACACTGTAATGGGCGCATCCATTTCAAGCAGGTTGGGCTCAGCCTTCAGGACCTGTGTACCGGCATGAATAATCCATAGTGCCTGTTCTTCTGAGAGACGACCTTCGCGATAGAGGTGTTGCTTGAGGTACTGGAGATTGGGCTTAGAGGGATCTTCCGGCGACCAAAACATATCATCCGGAGGATAGCTCAGAGCAGGCGCTTGAACCTCTGTGTCACAAAACACCGTTAGCAATCTGGTTGCCACATCATGCGAAAAACGACCGAGACCAGCGCGGCATTACCTTTGACAACTCTCTCCATTGTCGACACCTGCGTGTTGTCCTCCATCGTGTGCAATGTGAAATCGATCTCCGGGACCGGCTGCTTGTCCCTCACAGCGCGTGCTAGAGCCTGATCCATTTTGGCTGCGGCTGATATGTAGTCCGGATTCTGAGTTTGGAGTAAGGGGGGGAGGGGGGCAAAGAAGCGCGGAGGTGTGGCGGGGGATAAGTTCAGCGCGGGCGGGATGAAGCTCCCGCGATGAAGACGAGTATGAGATGTATAAAGAACTGATCCGGTCGAAGTTTTCAGAAGGCAGAAAAGAAGGATCAAGCCAAGAGCTGGGAGATGGTGTTGAGCGTGTGTTTGGGGGGGGGGAAGTGTGAAGTTGGGAAAAAGAGAAACAAATTGGATAAGCGGCTTCTGGGGCCGTCCTGCTAGATCGGTGGATCTCACACCAACTTTGATTGCGAATCTTGGATTTTTGAATTTGCTTCTTCTGGGGGTGGACTGATCTGTGGATATTACAGGAGGCAAAATGGGATGATCAAATTTAGCCTCATGTCGACACAGCTGATGGCTCCATGCCTCAGGCAGGAACCGTCCCTGCACCATGTGTTTTTTTTACCCCACGCTATCAGCTTCATCAGCTTCAGGTTCATCAGACTCCTCAGGTTCATCAGACTCGTCCTATTTCCGGATATTTGGCCATCTTCATCTCAACAGTAGCAATTATTTCTGCAATAATCCACCAACTTCGCCTTGACTTCTTATCTCAAGCTGCGATTAGCACTCACTGTGGTGATCCCGATCTGCCTAGACCGCTAGACTTGAGGTATGCAAGATGGATGATCTGCAGATACGAAATTTCCTCATTGTTGCAGCCATTGCTCCCGAACATCATTCGAGGGACTCCATGTATGCTCTTCCTTTCCAAGGATATGCCAGTTCCATTTTAAGCCCACGAAAGTCCATGTTATCTTCGGACATGGAAATATCCAGGTAACCCGCTACAGCTTGGGACTAATGACCGGACAGCGTCCAAATTAAAACAAGTATCTTCGTTAATTCGGCGAGATCTACTCTACCTAATTCCATCGCCCAAGAATACCCTCGCCGTCGACATGTGAGATGGTCCCCCCGTCAGGACGCTTCACAGCACAGTGTTTCTTGGGCATTGGCCCCAAGAAGACCAACCCCACTTTTGCTTGGCGAGGATGTCGACGGTGTAGAATCAGATTCAAAGGTAGGCTCTGGAGAACACAATGACAAGATTCGGAGGTTGTATTTACTCGATGTGAGGGTTTGATAAACTCTCAAGCTACCTAGGTACATAAGATCATTTGGGAGACAGATACACCGAACTGAGATACTACGCATAAGGTTGAGACAAGGTACATTCTACGGTATTGGCTACTGTGTCCCGGTTGGTTATACTATATACCCCTGCTGCTCAACACATCTTCACTCATTTAGGAAGATCCATCACCATCATTCGCACCACACGATGCACAAAACTCACTGGATCAGTGTACCGTTGATTTCTCTGAGTCTCATTCCTGGAGTCGATTTATACAGCACCCCATGCTAGTACCCAGATTTGTTCCTTTTCTTGGCTGTTGATAGGCTCATGGACTTGTTGACATGCTTCTGAATTTTCGCCTTGTTTCTCAGGCTTGTTTTGTAGAACAAGCCATTGTTGGCTATCGACAGTCTATGAACGTGTGAAAATCGTGGTTTCCTAATTCGATAGAGAATACAGACCCAGCTTCATCCTCTCTCTTCCTTTCTCCTCTTCTCCTTTCTCTGTTCTCCTTCTTCTTTCAATCCTGTCTCTCCTTCTGCCTTTCCACCTTTCCATCTTTCCATCTTTCCATCTTTCTATCCTACGATCTAGGTACCGGGATCTGAGATTATCAAACAAATTGAATTTGCCAATATTTCACCTGAACCCTGTCACAGCCTAACCCACTGTTGTCGACTACGCGTTCTACATTTCAAAGCAAGTCAGTCACTTCAATCGGTACTATCAATTCCGTGGGGACATACACTTATATCAGAGCTTAATTCAGGTTGAAGCCATTTTCAGCATGTGTGACTTACCATACGATATCATAATCCTCATTGCAGAGGAGCTGCCGAGAGATCGAGATGTTTCAGCCCTTATGCAAACGAATCGCACCTTCTACGATTCCCTCATCACATACCTCTACAAGCGGAATATGCGCTCGCGGCAACCAGCTTTGTTTTGGTGCTGTCGTAATGGTCTTTTGACCCCAATCCTGCGCTTTTTGTCGTTGAAGGCAGACGTCGACTCGGTTTGGAGACTGGATCGCCAACGGGCCACACCGTTGATGGGAGCTGCAAGTGAAGGTCGTGTGAAGACAACAGAGATTCTTCTTGATTATGGAGCCAGTGTGGACCCCTGTGACGGTACTGGCAGAAGATTGGAGCTTCCATTGATATTGGCTGCAGCTGGAGGACATGCTAGATTTGGCTTTTCGAATGAGGCCCGAATTGAGGTCAACCCAGTTGACAATTCAGTGGTTCGATATCGCATCCCCAACACCTCCCACAGGACAGAAGACATCCAAGATCATAAAAGGGTGGTCAAGCTGCTTATCGAACGCGGCGCCAGTCCCAGCCATACAGCAATTTCTCCATTCACACGGATATCCCCGATCATTGCGGCTGTAAGAGGACGTAATCCAGACATTGTGAGGATCCTGTTAGAACAAATGACATCCATTCCTTTGCTCCCTGCTACCAGGAGAACTCATCTGTCATCCAGGAAGGATTGGGGAGGTATCTTGTGGGAGGTCTTGAAGCTCCAATCGCCAATCCGGGGATGCCTGCTTGATTTGCTGTTGGAGTATGGGGCCGACATCAACGGCGAGAATTTACAGGGTGAAACTCTGATTTTTCAATTCGTTCGACGTGTATCCATTGGTGCCCCAATGGAAGTTCACATCGAATACTGTTTTGAAGTGGTTCGTGAACTGTGCGAACGTGGCGCCCGAGTGAATTACCAGAATCTGAGAGGGCGCACGCCGTTATATCTGTGTTACATGGCCGAGGATATGGTTGACTTACTCCTTAAAAATGGCGCTGATGTGAATATCCAGGACATAGATGGATGTACGCCTCTTTTTTTCCACCCTCGAGTTGCTACTATGAAACGACTCCTTGCATATGGGGCAGATCCAAACATCGAGGACAAAAAAGGTCTTACTCCTCTGTCCTTTTTCATCTTGTCTAGAGACCCATATGCTCCCATAGAGTTGGAATTGATGGAATTGCTACTAAAGCATGGAGCAGACGTGAATAAACCACTACCCTCACGGCATGGAGAGAGCTACCTGCACATTGCTGCCAGACTGGGCAACGCAAGCATGGTGAGGCTTTTTCTGGAGCACGGCGCCAATCCTATTGCTCGCACACGTCATGGGTTCACAGCATTGGACTTGGCACACGATGAGGAGTGTCGAGAGGTTCTTGGTCTATGGGTAAGAGAAGCGAGCAGACCAAGACGAGTTTTGCATGATGGACTGTGAGACATGAGATTCTATCATGACTATGGGCCTACGCCATTTCTATTGTACAAGTATCTGAGTCTGAATGAAAGGTAGCCTGGAAAGCAAGATTCAGGCAATTATTTGACACATTCCACAACCTAGTATCATCTCGATCTAATTTATGACAAGTTTGAATATTTTCCATTTTTTATAGAGCTCAAGAGTCGTGTCTCACTCCTCGCGGACGAATCCAGGTGCATGGAGATACACCTCCATCATTGCCTGACTCCAACAGGAAATTCAAAACCCCCGAGCTAGCTCTCTAGAGCCCGAGCAGACTTTGTAGCGTCGTATCGAGGCCTGTTCTCATATGATTCCCGTCGACTTAGACCTATATGCGTCTTCTCTGCCAACATCTTAATCCAGGCATGGTAAGGTAGCCCCTTGAGACAACCGCCACTACCCGAGCCTATGCCAACCAGCTCCATCGTATCCTGTATATCAACACTGCGCCACTATAGGGAACATCATAGTATCAGTAGCCCAACCAAGAATCAGCCGAGGAACAAGCAATATATAAAATAGTTGCATTGACTCAGTCCACGGAAACAAACTGCTTGCATTGACTCACCAACAACGGATAATATCCCATTTCGACACAGTTATGTATCAAGTGACTGAAAAAGTTGTGTGAATTACACGTACCGATGCGATTGTGTGCCGTGATGAAACCCGATCGATAGATCGCCCTCTTCGCGATTTCGGGGAAACGTTCGGCCCCAAGCCCAAGATACAGTTCGTCTCAGTAAACAGAACAGAATCAATATCCCATCCATCCTCCCTTGATCTCCTGTAGTGCCTTCGTGGTGTCGGAGGCCCGGACTAGGCATCTTACGTGATGGACTTGGCGCATGCGGAGGAGGTCTGCTACCATGAAGGCGCCGACGAGCCCAGTATCGCCTGTGTAGAACCCCGTCCCTTTGTATCACGGCACCGGTCAATCACCGGTTTGGCAAGAGGAACTGGATTGTCCGCATTCTTGGCGTCCTCGATCTATATCGCTTGTTAATCACGGATAGTTTCGCTTTTTCTGTCCGTTTCCACAGGCGCTCTGGACCACGACAGCTGACTCCCCGGGTGTGGAGCTGTTGTACAGAATCAGCAAAGACACTTACACCAAATTGATGGTGAAGCTGACTGATGCGAAGTGAGAACTGCAAGGATGTGGCTCCGAGGTAACGGTATAGTCATTGGGAACGGGTATCTGCTTCATCACCCGTCGATTGCCGTACGGCCGAGACAGCTGTTTTCTGTCCATGTTAGCGTGGCTCTTAATGGGCAGTTGTGAGATGAGCTCTATCCGAAGGATTCTGTATTCTGGAAGCACCTCTGGAAATGGGACCAACCCATCCTCGATGGCGTGAGGTGTCGAAGATCTAGGCACTGCTAGTTCCATCAGAATAGAGCCAGCTCTCTGGTTGGGTTTGACTTTCCACACGACTGCTTCTAAGGATTGACTTGTTTGTAGTATCGCGGCAGTCACGGCTTTGAGTTCACTTGCTTCGTAATCTTGGCGCCCAACATAGTCGATCTGCCTATCGATGGCTTTTCTTGTCTGTTTTTCACCAGTGCGGCAGAATGAGCTGAACCGCTGAATCATTTTTCACAGTGATCAAGCACGCGGCATTTTCGAAAGCCAGATGCAGATGTCCAGACACGCCTGCACCTCCGACCCGAAGCTCGTATTCGCCGCCGTCTGCCACGATCTTTCCATCATCATCGTCGCAGATTAGAGCAACAGTGTCGTCGATGGGCTTCCCAATACTGATAGCTCCAAGCGACACATTATCAAGAGGGATTTTCTGGGTTAAGCAGAAGATACAGCAGTCTCTCAAACCGTACGTGTTTGTAAGCTGGCGGGGTGGGCCTTGGGTTAAGATTGTCTTCTAAGCAAGTGGGCAGCAACATTGGCTGCCTCGCCGCCAATAAAGCACGTCTCCAATTGCGCAAACACACAGGGATATGTACGGCTGTAAGATACAACAATGCGGCAGTGATGGCCACTATCGTAACCCTGATTTGGTTGATCATGGCTATCATAGGCAACAGATCAAGGTAGACATGCTTAGCATCTACAAAAGCACAAATACAGTGTGTCAAGAGAAGCATACATGTACTCATTGTCAAAACTAACTAAGGGACTTGCTTGGTTTCACCACAATGGCTACTCATCCTGAACACCACGTAGAGGTGCAAGTCATGATCAGGTGTTGCATACAGGCCCCATGCAACTGGGTCAGACTCCTAAAGCGCAAGGTGTAATGAAGGAATGGGGTCAAGGATCGGAGGGGGACAAGGATAACCAGGAAGAAGGACCGTATCCACGCTCAAAGAACCTTGGAAGTGTCCGTGAACTAAGGCGCGCTTCGTGTCGAGACCAACCCCTTTGAAATCCCTATCCCCTAGGGGAAAAAGTGGGAAACCCTCAGATTGCTCTTCATTTGGGGCCGGGCAAGTTAGTGGCGGGCAGTGGAGGAGTGGGGTCAAGGCTTGGAGAGGTAACAGTGGAATCCGCAGGCAGGACTGGCTGTATCCGCAGCGGCCGAAAGAGTGTCTTCCCCGTGTGTTGAACACAAGGCGCATGTTTCAGCACGTGTCTCCTTGGCATGCTTCGTGACTAACCTTTCCTGCGGCACATCAACAGTCCCTAGAAGGATACAAAGTGGGAAACATCCTCAGAGAGCACTCGTCATAGGCGCCAGGCAGATAGGTGACCGGAGGAATTAGGTATGGGCAGAAAGATGAGAAAGGAAGGGAAGGGGGATGGGAATACATGCAAAAAACGGAGTGGAGGGCAGGGGAGTGGAGAAGGAAGAAAAGAAGAAGAAGAAACTGGGGGAAGGAGAGGGTATTTATACCCTGGGGCTGAAGGCGACGAGGGTCACCAGGGTGGGCGACGAGTTCCTTCTCAAAGAGGAAGGGACCTGGGTGGTGCCTTCCTCGATAGAGGCACATAATCCAAACATGTAGTCGCTACATTATGTACATTGTATGCACTTGAAAATGGCCCTATACCTACATGATACCTAAGACCTTGGTCGTTCAATGTACAATCCATGCAGCACACAATAGATGCGCTACACAATGACGAAAGCCGAACACAGTCCCCTGGAAACTGCTGATGGTCCTGAAAACATGCACGACTTGTCAATCCACTTCGAGGGTCGAGGAATATCCCATGCACAATGTCCCTAGAGTCGTTAGAGATACTCAGTCGGGGCACATTCGCTTGGTCACATCAGTGTGGAACACGGAAATTCAGAGAATTTTCGCTATCAGGAATTCAAGGGAATCTTCCAAATCCTAGGGCAACGTCTGTACTCGGGAAGTTCTCAAGGAGCCAACCCACTCCGGTTGCAAGGACAGACTCGAAGCCGTTTAGCTGTTTGGCATACTCTGGTTTTGTATTTCACTGCTTCATTGGCCAGATTACCAGAAGAGCTTACCTCAAGATTATAGATCTCTCACTGTCCATGGCCTTCATTCGAACTTGGCCATTCGTCAATTCGGTGCATGCAGGCCCTGAACTGAACGCAGAACACCGCACACCTTATTTGACAGCAGCATCAGCGATGAATTTTCCCGTGTTAAGCACATTTTGAGTCTCCGGATATGTGAATGCCTGAAATATGCTATTAGCTACCTAATTAAAGAGAACAGAGATAGTTTTGAGACCTTGGAATGCGGACGGACTTTGTCATCAGAGTCGATGTTCACAAAGTGACCCCAGGAGTCAAAGACAACTTCCATCGCTGGGATTATCTCGGCACCCTGGGGAGGTCGATTCAGAAATTAGGGTTCCGAGTGATGCTACGCACCTGAAGCCGGGGGTTCTACACCAGGGACCGAACCACCGGTACCCCCCCCTGGTCGCCCACGGCCCCAAAACATAATGATGCATTTGGTGATAGAAATCATGACTTATGCTTACTGGCATTTGATGCTACATGATATGTGAAACTCACGGCCAATGAGTTTGTGTCAATATAACAGGTCAAGTTTTGTCTCGTATATCCAGGATATTGGAAGCAAAATCTGTGTGTAATCAATCGCATTCTCCCTTTCAATAAAGTTTCACCAATTGATGCCCGCAAAATTGCCTATCTCAGCGAAAGAACGAGTACCGAGAGAAGGATATGAGAAGTCACATCAAGCCTTGAAAGATCCGGACATGCAGTTTACATCAAATTGAAATCTTAGCTGATGAGTACCTCAGACTTGATACACTGCTTACTGTGGGATAAGGTTCCACTTACAAGTTATACCAGGAATCACTACCAAGACCGCCGAAGGATCGTCGCCATCGAGCCCCTCCTTTATGCAAGTCTAATTGTGGTACTTAAATATGCTAGTATTAAGACTATACAATATCAAATACTTGTTTTATTGGACTATTTTTGATCCTGGCCTTTTAGGCACAGACTATGCCTGAAGCGTCGGCCTCGGTTCACGAGATTGAAGTAGAGCACAGCGTTGATTCTTCCAAAATCAGTGAGATTGATACTGGCTTCGCCTTTTGCAACATGGCTATCGCGATGGGGCAATTTATTATGCCTCCAATTATCTGTTCAGCTAAACAGGGACTAGGATGGAGTGCTATGACAATACTTAGGGGAAACTAGCCCTGCTTTATTGATATCTTGCCGTTAATTAGAAGTTGATTTAAACGAGGTTCTGATATCCTACATTGGTATATTGTTTCTGTTTCTGTTTTGGATTGCATCAGGTATATACGTAGTGGTTGGTCATCTCGTGTTGTCCCAATTATATATACTTCAGCGGTAGGGAGCCGGGGAACCACGCAACCTGTGTGATCTTGGCAAATCTAGTCGAATATTACACATGAATTGTTGCCTTGTAAATTCTCTTTGTAACTATAGACAATTATTCGCTGCCAATGTTGTTGCACTGGCGAAAGATCGCGGTGACGTCTCGGCTGTTTAGTGCCCGCAATACCCCCCATCTCCGCTACTCCGCATCTGCAACTCGATCAGCCTCACATTGAACAACTCAACCATGTACGACTCATACCGTGAGTCTATCTATTGCTTCATACTACGAGACACGTATTTGAACAGCTAACCCAACCTCTCAGGACCACACCCGCTCCTCGCCCAGGTCCCACTGACCGTCTCGCCCTTTATCAACCTCCCCACCTCCGTCACACTACCCTACACATACAAATCCGTCTCCTCGACGTTACCACCGTCAGTGACAATTGATCCAAGCAATCCGGACAGTAAAGCTCGCTATGTCGTCTCATCAAGTGGTGGGCATGCAGCTCACCCAGACGACATTCTCGCCGCCTGTCACTCCCTCGAACAACATTTGAACAAGACTCGCGCGGACGCCGACCAAGCAATAAATTCCTGGAAAGAATCGATTAAACAACGCGAACTAGCTGAAAAGAGACGCGTAGCTCCTGGGTGGCTAGACCGTGAGGAAAAGCTGCTTCAACCTAGTCGGACGAGCCTCTCCCCTGGCGCACCGGGCGAGGCCTCTCCAAGTCTGCTGGACAGTTCTTCCCCCGACCAGGGGGCTTCACAAATGCCGACCATGGAGCCTCATGACGAGGGGAGGGAGTTGGATAGAGCGTTTGGAGGTTTAGGGCTGAAATGATGAAGGGCGGTCCTGGAGGAGACTTGATCTCCCAGGATTCTTCACCCTGGAAATATAATTGGGAATTCGATCTTCATCTGGCTCAGCGGGTTGATCTCTGGAGCATAAGCTCCCCAACTACCACACCTCTAGCCTTGCGTCGAGCGGGCATCCTTGCGCCGGGCTCTGAGGCGTTGGCAAAGCGATCTACTACTTTGTCAAATGTGCGATGTTATAATTTAGCGCTCGGATTATGTTAGATTGGGAAATTGTTTAGCTATCGAGGAGTTGAATGGTTAGTCTATATTGGCTATTGCATGAAGGCATTTAGTGCAGGATATCGACCATCAGGGACTTCGATCATGGCTAATTTGATATACCGCTTCTTATTCTTCGACTTAGCCTTTTAAATCGCTAATGTAGATAACTTCTATATCGATATCTGTTCTTCCACGACGTTCTTAGACCTGCGCCTAAAACAGCTGCCAAAAGCTTATCGCGGGGTTACGGAAAAGCTCCACGCCGCGCCGGACGCTGTTTTTCAATTTCTCCAACTCTCACCAACCAAAAAGTGCTCTTGTCATATCTGAACCTTTTATTTTTGCATCAATCCCAGTCTACAGCATGGAGGTCCTTACCAACTCCCCCGAAGCCTCCTCCTTCGTACCGCTGGCCGAACACCAGTCGCGCACCCCAACCTCATTCTACTCCGGACCCCCAGTATTGTATCACCACAGCCAGCGCTGCAAGATCGTTGTTCTAGAGCGCGAGCTCCTCGCCAACCCATTGCTCAATGCCCTGCGTGGCACCGACAGCGTCACCAGCGGTGACGGCGACGAGAAAGAGGTCGCAATCGCAGACGTGGACACATGGGTGACATCCGAGTAAGTATATTCACCTCCCAATCCCAAGACCTCCAATTGACCCAATTACCAACAGCAAATTCTTCCTCTTCTCCCCAGCGGCCTCAACAGGCGTGTCAATCCCCTATCCCTCGATCTCCCTCCACGCACTCCAACGCCTGCGCGTCCCAGGCACCGACGCCGAAGTCCAGGGTCTGTACATGCAGATCGCCACACCTGGCCCACCTACCGAGGACGACGAAGAGGAGGAATGTGTCGCGATCACAGTTGTATTGCCTGCCGACGCCCCGGCGCAGGAGTCCGTCGATGCCGAGCCCGAAACCGAGACGCCTACTCAACAGCTCTACGGTGCTGTGTCGGCTTGCTCCTATCTACACCCGGATCCGGTGGAGGATGATTCAGATGACGAGGATGCGGGTTCTAAGTTTATCACGGCCGAGGAGCACGAGGGTGTCTACCAGACTGGGAACGGTGATATGCCCCCGCCTGTTCCTGGTAGCTCGGGATGGATCACTGCGGAGAATATGGGCCAGTTCTTTGATGCGGATGGAAATTGGATTGCGGGTGGTGAGGGACCTTCTTTCCCTCTTGGGCCTGGGGCTGGAACTGTCCGGGCCCGGGAGGAGGAAAATGGTGTTGAACAGAACGGGAACGAGGATGAGTCCAAGTGGCGCAAGACAGATTGATTGTGTTGAATGTTGCAAAGAATGCGCAGAATAAAGTTCTACAATGGCGTTCGAATTGTTTGAGTGATAGCTCCTAATGGATATGACATTCGCTCGATACTATTCATGGATGGAGGACAATTAAATTATCAGTAACAACTACCTTTTATGGCATGGATATCAAAACACACGTCGAACATGAACATAGAAAAAAAGAGAGTCTCGTGAGACAAGAAAGAAGAGAGTGTGAGAGAGCAAAAAAGTAAAAAAAATGAAACAAGAAAAATAGGACAGAGAATAGGCAGAAAATAGAAATCAAGCAAAAAAGCAGAGGCTTTGGCGCTCAATATCGGTATCAGATACAACGCCTGGTTGGGAACACAAAAATAAAAAGAAGTCAAAAAAGAAAGTCCCGCTTGCTAACTCGTGAACGACTCTCTGCCAGAGAGACATCAGACTTGAACTTATTCGCGTAGGAAACCATCCCCATCGTACAGGCTAGCAGGGGTGTCAATCCCAAGCCCGAGGCTCTTGCCCGTGGGGGTAGTCATTCCACGTCGTGGGGATGTAGGAGTAGGGGGTGCATAGTGGCCCGAAAGATAAGGAGGCAACTGCTGATTTGGAGGCAGAGAACGAGGGATGCTGTTCTCGCCGTGGGTGGGCGAGGAGTCAGGTGTGCGGAAAGATCCAACCGGGGACAGTACAGACTGTTTGGACGGGGAGGTAGTTTGGTTTGCGTCCTCGAAGATACTAACGCGGGCTTGCACCAGCGATGACCGGCGGCTACCATAGAGTACGGAGGAACCGCCGATGGGGCCCAGCCCGTTGTCTAGGCTAGAGGTGGAATCGCGGTCTCGGCGGAATGAGCTGCGTGAAGCATCGGTTCGTGTGCGTTGCAGCGAGTCTGTAGACTTGCGCCAGTCACTGCCTTCAGTTCCGGTGATATTCATCAGAAGAGGGAGACGGTTGGGTGACAAAGGGCTTTCGAGACTGTGATCAGAGATCGGAGACATGCCAGTGGGGTGGCTTCGGGTTGCAATGATGCTGGGTTGAGTCCGTGGGCCTTTGACGGCTGATCGTCGTGGACCGCTAATCGGATGCGAGTTCTCGTGGGATGGAGATGGGGCTCCATGCGGTTCCCAAATGGATGGTGCTTGGTCGGGAGAGGGGGTGTGCGTGAGACAGATGCCAGTAGAAGGAGGGAGGGAGGTAAATAGTTCGGGGAGAGCCTGAGTGTTCTTATTCGGGAGCTTGTTGGCAGTCGACAGAGATGAGGAATATTTTCTCTTGCAAGGACTCTCGTCATACATCGGGGGCTGTGGCTCCTCGACCAGTGGGCCGAGAGACCCAAGACCCGATTTGCCATGTCGACTGCCGTAGTTGCTGCGTCTTGAGGACAATGGAGAGTTTGTGGTTGGTGTTGGCAACGAAGGCGGCGGCTTTGCCGGGCTGTTGATTGAGCTTTCGCGGAGATCTAGCTCCTCCATCTTGTCGAAATCCTCAGGTTCCTCTTCAACGGTGGGAGAGAAAGTAGATGAACCAAAGGTGAGCGGCGGGTGAATAGAAATACGGACACAGTTTTGACGTCGGTGGCCCTTTCGTTGGGAATTTCCACCCTTGAGTGCAGAGGGAAGAGCACCTTTCACAGACATATTGGCAGTTTGCATTGGGCTTGCTGGCTTGTTGGTATTGCCTACTTTTCTTGGTGGCGATTCAACTGGATGGAACCGAGTTCCATTTCCAGGAGAGCCGACATAGAAAGGGTCGTACTCCATTTCCTCATCTTCGTAGACCGTTTCATTGTGGAACTGGTTAAAATATGGCGTGAAAGACGACTGAGAGCTGGAGGATCGCCATTCGGGGGCATTAGGATTGAGATATCCCGAGCGCACAGCGGAAGCACCAGATCGCTGGGATGTGTGTCGTGAAGGCGGGTTGAATGAAGACATAGAGTCGTTTCGCCGTGGAGCCCCACCAAAACGATCTACCGAGGCACTTGAATGGTGAGTCGTCAGACTCCGCCGAGGTGACAGAGATGGGGATTTATGGCGAGTCTCCGTGGTCGAACAGGAGCGCACAGGGAAACGGTGCAGTGGTGGGATTGATGTATTGGTGGTGATGAAACTTCTGCGACCATCCCTGACCCCAACGTCTGCAGCACTGAAAGGAACAAAGGAGCCACCTGAAGGAAAGAGAGGAGAGGTTAGATCAGTATCAGCTGACCGAGGACCATTTCGACCATCATCCAGAATTGAGCTGTTTGTAGTATCAAGACTCATTGAGGAAAGTCTCATGGCAGAGTCATTCCGAGCATAACTGAATCTTTCTGGTGGATAGGCTATCGGCGGTGGAGGAGGTATCGAATGGTCTGGCATCGTGCCAGGTGTTTGACTGGCAATACTTCTTCCACGTAGACGCCTAGGAGACTCCTCAAACACCACGGATGATGGATCAAAAACCTGAGACAAACCAAGATTTGCCGACATACCGAAGTGACTTGATGAGTTCCGTTGCTTTTGGAGAGGCCGTCCAGGTGAGAGTGGTCTCATACCAAGGTGGAAACCAGGACCCCCCTCGTTGGGATCTGGTGTTTGTCTAGGTGTGTTTTCTGCTGGCAACTCCAGAATTCCTTCGACCGCTGAGATGGGGACCTCTTCTTTGGATATCGATGCTTTGGGCGAAGGACTATGAATCTGCGTTGATTCACCCACCGTGGCTAGAGAGCTTACACGTTTATGAGATGAGCGTGATAGCTTGGATCGAGATCGAGAAATGGAGTTGCGGAGAGATCTTGCTTTCTCGGTGAGAGCAAAAGCAGACTCTGAAGTGTGCATTGGGCGAAGCAAACTTTCTCGTGACGTTAATTGACCCCATTCTCCTGGTTTTCCATATGGAAGTTGTCCATGCGCCCTCAAGACATTCCCTTCTGCCTGACTGAGTTCGGTCAACGTGTCGACCGGGTAAGATTGCAACACCCGGCTACGCCGGCCCTGCTGCCGCCCGAAGCCCACCAGCGTCAATGCACGGCGTTTATTGCGATATCTCACCCAGATGACGATGCTGACCACCGAGACGACAATGAAGATGGCCGCGCCGGAAGCGGCTAGGGCGACGGTGGCGCTTAGCCCCAACATGGTCGCCTCGCTGGCGAGTCACTGTGCTCGTCTTGAAGCAATATAGACGAAGTTTTCAAAGAGGATTCTTTCAATCTATCACTCGTGGTCGTGGTATGTTCACGAAAGTAGGGTGCTGCTGACTGTTGCTCTCTCAAAACGGCAAGAGTGAGGCTTCACAAGTGTGGAAGACGCATCCGCATGGAACAACACGACAAAGTGCAATAGAGACAGGAGGTAACAAGATATTCCAGCATTCCCCCAAGGGAATCATTTTTTGTTATGAGAACATTGATCCTAGCCCAGGAATGTCCACTCATCACCACCGGGTTTGAAGAATGCTGGCGGCCACACTACCCCCTTCCATCCCGGTTCGACAATGGCATCGTCAGCGAATCAGATACTCTGATGAGACGAATGGCACGTCTGAGTCCTGTTCTTAGGGCGTTGGAATGGGCGCTGAATGTGGTCATCGAAACTTGGGTATACTTCGGAAGACGTCACGGCCAAGCTTGGCATGCTCCTTGCGCGTCTTTTCCGACATCTTTGTTAACTTGGGTTCTAAATCATTTTGTTCGAAGATTGGATAGCTCGCTACATATCTAGATGAAATCGACACAAACCCGAACATAAACCAATCAAGAACCAATCCACGGGAGTTGATATTCCCCCGGTCACCTTTGAGACCAATGCCAATCAATGTCAACGCTTGCTCCCGATCGACCCTTATATCCATACAAACCATCCATTTTGATCTCAGCGTCGAATCCTCATGGGTTCTGGGATCTAGGGAAGTATAAGCAGCAGGTGAAGAGTTGGCGTGGGGTTATGGAGCTAGATACGGAGTACCTATCCATGGACAGGCTCAGAGAGATAATTACCCCTTGAGCGCACGGTTCCCGTATTCAGCCAATCTCAATTGCCTGAATACGGGAACTCCGAGCCCATTGAATCTTCCGTGATTCTTCCATTGTGCAAAACCAGGTTCGCGCTTCTGTCCTTTGGTCTGCGGTGATCTTTCGGAGTCAAGTCCCCGGGATCTCGGCATGCTCGACCGTTCTCACAAGAGGGGTCGCGTCAGGGGTCTTCACATTATCCTTCCTGATATGCACTTGAGGATATATACTGTAGTTTATGCCTGAGTCCTCTTATGAGCAGCCCTGGAGCATTGCAGGGTTTAAGCACCTTCGGGTGAAGTGATGATAGGTGGCCATCCGCCTAACCGCCCACTCTCACCGCCCCTCCATACTACAGCCACCTCGTAGTCAGAGAACCATGAGTGCAGCGCCACGGCTTCTCGATTTCTACGACATATTTGACAAGAGCAGTCTATTTTCAGCAGGTTGATCTGATCAACCTATTATCATACAGGATTATGATGCATCTCATCCCAGGCTGTCAAAGACCCACCCCTGCCGGCTACTCTGGGGCGCATAGCGTCATTTATCCAGTGAAATGGATGCTATGGAGGGTGGGAAATGCGACAGCTCTCCCACCAAGATCTATACGGAGCCTAGGGTGGTCTAGTCCGTCTTCCCCGCCAACGCATCACTCACCGTCTAGCACTTTCTTTGGAGTTTCCACGACTGCCCCTCAGAGGCTCTATTTAAGCGATCCCCCCTCCAATTTGGGTCCCCTCTCTTTTCTCGCTCTTCTCTTTTGTTGTCTACCCCACATAGCTACTCTTTTCGTCACAATGGCTGCAAACCCGGTTACCAAGAATGGACTGTTTGTCCACCATAACACCACTGCTCCTGAGCACCCCAGCCTCATGAGCATGTTCTCCCTCAAGGGCAAGACCGCCATTGTTACCGGTGCAGGTGCCGGTATCGGCCTGGCTGTTGCCGAGGGGCTGGCTGAGGCTGGCGCCAATGTAGCCATGTGGTACAAGAGCAATGCCAAGTGTGTCGAGCGGGCCGCTGAGATCGCCCAGAAGTATGGAGTTCAGAGTGCGTAACAAATCTGTGCGATACGGTTGCTTCATGTCATTCTAATTCAATCGCATTGATAGCCAAGGCTTACCAGGTTGAGGTCACCGACGCAAAGGCCGTTGAGCAGACCGTGAATGATGTTGTCAAGGACTTCAATGGCCGTCTCGATGTTTTCATTGCCAACGCTGGTATTCCCTGGACTCAAGGTCCCATGGTCGACGGTCCCCTCGAACACTACCGCGATGTCGTCGGCATTGATCTCGATGGCACCTTCTACTGTGCTAAGGCCGCCGCCAACCACTGGCGCCGCCAGAAGGAGGAGGGCACAGACGCTAACGGCAACAAGCTCACCAACTTCACATATGGAAGCTTTGTTGCTACTGCCTCCATGAGCGGTCACATTGTCAACTTCCCTCAGATGCAAGCCGCCTACAACGCCGCTAAGGTTGGCGTCATTCACCTCTGTAAGTTGTCACCAAAAGGTCATCACCTCCCCTCACCCTGCTAATAGCTCTCCAGGCAAGTCCCTTTCCGTCGAATGGGTTCGTTTCGCTCGCGCCAACACTGTATCGCCTGGTTACATTGCGACTGAAATCTCCAGCTTCGTGCCCGATGAGACTAAGGATATCTGGCGTGATAAGATCCCCATGGGTCGTGAAGGTGAAGCCCACGAGCTGAAGGGTGCCTATCTCTACTTGGCATCTGATGCTTCCACCTACACCACCGGAGCTGATCTCATTGTTGACGGTGGCTATTGTGCCCCTTAAATTGTTGTTGGAATTTTCTCCTTTCAAAATGAGAGAAGAAGCCCATCTTTGATCAACAATATCTGAGGGAATGATTTTAGCGATTTTCATTTAAACGAGATGACGATAGACGAATGGAACGACAAAGAAATAACGGAAAAACAAGATCAGATGAACAAACCATGAAGCTTAAAAATTAATCATCTGTGCATCCACGCCATCCTCTCGATTCATTCGCACTGAGAACCTATGCCTATAATTTAGAGGGACGCACGAGAAGCAACGGCCCAAATGCACCGCTGCCAGACTCGTATGATTTATGGAAGCATTTCCCTATCTGTAATCACCGAGAAATCAGCTTGTGCGCGATTGCCGAGCTAATGACGCCACGAGGCCGTGCCATCCTTGTAGACCTTGTATCCTTGCAAAGCAAAGCCCAGTCTTGTGTGAAAATGTCACCGCCAATGGTTGTGCTCCAGCCCCCGGCCTCGTGACAGGGCTCATACCTGAGTGTGATGATAAAGGTAGCCATCGTGACTACAGAGAAGTGAGTTTGCATGAATATGTGCGACAAAAGTGATGCCAAGATGAAACTAAACTGAGAACTATTAGACGCATAAACCCCGCAGACATAAATGATATCTGATCAAGGACATTGGAAATAATGAAGGTGAAATCATCGTTCTTGGCACGTGCCTGGTTACCAGGCACGTGGATGCCTACCTACATGTAGGTACATGTATCTCGATCTTTCGTCCTCCATTCAACCCCGCTGCATGATCTCGGGAGCAACCACACGAAAGACCCCCTCAGCTACCCATTCAACAATGTCATCCAGCCAGGCCAACCCTCCCCGGGTACCCTCAGACTCAACCCAGAAGATATCTCCTTCCATCTCAGCTTGCCCGACTCGGATGTCGTCCACATTGGTGACTGGCTGGAGCCTCACATCCTCTGCAACTGGATTGGACCAATCACTGTCGTAATCGCGGTCAGAGACCGCAGAGTCAGAAGAACTGGGTGAATTGTGGCTGCATAGCCCGAATAATCCTCCACACGAACTGGTCGGTACTGGCCTCTAGCGTCAACATTGTTTCTTGAAAGGCGATCGATTTCAATCGCGTTGCGAGCTTCCATGCTTGGAAGCTACATACCAAAAGCAGGAATTCCACCAGGTGCATGGTAAGCGAGCTGTGGAAGTGCTGGGTTCGCACCGGTGGCAAGAGGGCGTTGCGCTTCCTCGTCTCTGCCGTGGATGTTCATTAGCTCGACCGCGTTCTCGGGGAGTTGGTCTGCCGGCATGCCCTCTGCCGGATGGTGATTGGTCAACTTGCGCTTAATCCATTGGCAGGCTGGAAGGATGGTACGACGGTAAAATGCAGCGATGCGTCGCCTGCCCAGAACACAGATGATGGTGATATGAAGAGCGGCTGTGAGGCTCAGGAGCGTTATTCCCAGGTTCAGAGAAGGTCTGGAAAACTCCATGATGAGCTTTGTGGACTGTAGTTCAGTGGAAAAGAAGCCTTGCGAATCAAAGAGGCGAGTGGCCGGGATGCGATTGAAGATGCGATTGAAGATGCGATTGAAGATGCGATTGAAGATGCCGCGTACAGATTCGCCGACGATGGTTTGTACGATGAAGAAAGAAAGTGGAAGTTTCGAGTCCCAGAGGAAGAGAAAGAATGGATATTCGCTCTGATGACTCGCGACGCTTCACAGGTTGCGTGGGTCCGAATAGAGTACAATGGGGATGTGCCTGCATCGTGAACAATACGCTCGTTTTGGACAAATGTCTCACCACTTCCGCGACCGTGGCAGCCTCTTGGAGAACATCCAATGATCTTCAAGAGACAGCGGTCTTGTTTATCTGCATTTTCTATAGAAGCAAGTTTCATTGCTCGAGACCCAATAAGAGCACAAAACGAATAGCCAATTCCTATAGACGAGCAATCTTGTGGACATCTGGGGATCAGAACGCTCCACATAGCTATTATAGGGCAAGATCCTCTTTTTGTATCTTTTGCGCTAGGCCCGATGATCGTCTCGCAATGCTTACGTCCAATGATCGAGTCATGCCCATCCGAGCTTAATCGCGCCTCCAGATGACCTTTCGTGTACAGACGTCATTTGGGCAAGCCCAACAGCATAGGCAACGGTGTTATATTTAGTGAATACGCCCTAGCGTTTTCTATTCATGCATTTATACTATATCTTTCAAGTCTAGTTGGTCTATAAGAATACCTAATCATTGTGCAGTGACATGTTTCCGGGCCATTATTTACCTATTCTAGCTTCTTTGTTGGTTTCAGATCAATGGACTTGATTGTCTTCTTTGACACAAATTAATATCAATGGACTCTGTTCCCTTTCTTCCGCTGTCTACGGCATCAATACAAAGGCCTTTCATGCTTTGTATAAAGACATGCCAGACGACCTCACCCTTCCCCCAGATCTTTCTCGACTTTGGGACAGATCATTCACCACTTCATATGCCTTATTCCAATCGTTGCCTCGATCCCATCAAGACTTCACTCCCAAATCTTTCAACCATGGGCGTTCCTCGCGCTGGGAAGACCAGCCGCATTACCAAACGCACCACTGCTCGCAGAAAGCCCGTGACAGAGGCTTTCAAGGCAAAGCTTGTACAGTTCCAGACTTCTGAAGTGCTTACAGGTGATCTATGTGTTAACAAACCTCAGTCACCCCACAATGATGCTCTACAAGAGGCCCTCAAATGCACTGAATGTGCAGATCTGCATATCACTCCATACATGATGGAAGCAGACATCTCTGCAGGATCATACATCACCTCACAATATCCACCTTTCTTCTCCTGCAAAAGCGTCCAGGATGACGGTATCTCCCCCCTCGACACATATTCCCACCATAATGACGACATCACCTTCTGGAAAGACATCACTCGCCACCAGCAGAAGCAATACTTTGACAAAGTAGACGCTCTGCTTCGGACGGCTGAGGTGGAATCAGGCAAGCCAATAGATGAAACCACCGTGCTTTTCGCTCACTACCAAGTCGACTTCCACATTCGTCAACACTACCTCGCCCCTCGAGGTTTCTTGAATCTCTGTCGCACCAAAGACGAGATCGTCAAGGTAAACAAATGGGAGTGGAAGGTTGCAGTCAAAGATGAGACAAACTTTGCCGAAGATCCCGACTGGGGAGTCGGATGGAAGCATGAGCCGAGCAATTCCCTTGGACACCGGGTTGCGGCATGGCATAAGGGCGAACGAGAGCGGCGAGAGCATCTTGATGAAGTCAAGGCTCAATGGGCTGATATCCAGGCGGAACGAGATGAACAGCGGTTACGGTTACGGACGGTCCATTTTCACTTCAAGGGTACGCGTCTGAGGACTTGTCAGTTTGAGACCTTGAAGCCGTCTCCCCTGACAGAGAAGGAGATTAAGAAGATTGCGGCCAATGCAGTATCTAACCCCCTTTCTTGAGTACGCTCCTCTTTTTCTATAAGGAGTGATATGTTTGTTTATATGTTGTATACCCATTTGAAAGCGTATTTTGTCTCTGACTTGAAATTAAGTGTAATCTATCTTTCATATGGTTGGGATCTGCATCCCTGTAAAGACTCTATGTAGGTGGTATCAAATCGGTAAACAGGAATAGAGCGCGAATGTAGAGTTGGAGACTGGTAGCACAAATACAAGCAAATGGACCAGGTTAGAAGGGTGACATATATACCGTACATAGCTAGGTGCATGTATATCCCTGCTGTTTCTATATCCTCGGTCTAGTCCGCATATGCGACGGACAGGTGAAGTTACGAACTGATAATAGATCCAATTAGCAGTAATTCGAATATCAAGGTTTCTAATTGATTTATTCCAATGGGTACCGTGGAGCACAAAGTGGGTTGGTTCCTATCAAAAACACTACAAATGCCTAGATTTAACTTGGGTGGTGTAAGCGAGAAACCTCGTAAACAAATTGATAGCAAATTAGGCTAGGCTATGAAAAAAGTGTGAGAAGCCAAGCTGTTCAACATAATCAAACCAACACTAGTTCTTCACATGGTAGCATCGGGATCTCTTAGTCAAAAGCCCGCGTTCTTGACCTCTGCCATAACGGGCAAGGCAATTGCCCCGGTGCCCCCCACTTAAGCGACAACAGTTTGATCGGCTGAGAGTACTAACTATTATCATATCTGGACAGGTAGAAACCAAATTAGTTATCATCAAATGACCTGGGAGACTACCTGGGTATGTTGAGTGAAATTTGGAAGGTGTGCCGAGACGGGACTGGTTCCTTACGGGCAATAAGGGTTGCTCGATGAGTACGGAGTAGCGAAGGCTTCAATACTACATGTACTCCGTACTCCGTACTCTCTGAATTGGCAATACCTGAGATATGTTAGGAGGCATTATTGGTTTACAGCGCATATTTCGGAAAGTTAAAATGGAGACAAAATACCTCCACAGTACCCTTTTGCTCCCCACGCTGCGTTTCACGCTGTCGCTTCCCCGGACCTCCGGTTCCCTTCCCCAGTAGTTTCCTCGCCATTTTGGTTAACCGCCGATAACGACGATCAATCTCTAGAACAACACTGGCTGGAAAGAGCTCAGGTCCAGAACATCCCTCTGCTTAGGCCTTCCCACTCTGCTGCATTCCCCGCGATGATTACCAGACGGATCAGCGATCTTCACCCTTACTTACTGCATCGAGAAGAATCCCCAAACTCACGATGCAAGTGACCTTACCCCACCAACCCCGGAAATGAAGACAAACCATGGGAATACCCATGGATGCCTTTCTGGCACCCGCAAAACCGAATCGGACCCCGGATACACTTGGTGCGAAAAGGAGATTTGAGGGAATCCGCCAGGCACAGATCTCCCGGTTGTGGCTGGCGCCCCTCCTTGGCTCTTTCTTCCAAGGATTTTCATTTGCGATCAGCTCCCAAGGCTCGCTCCTAGGGAGGTCACAAGCAATCAGTTACCCGTGAGCCCATGTGCAATTGCATCGTCCTATCCAGCATCAGAGGTACAGCCAACCTGGGAAGCATCCATGATTGGCGCCCAAGATCTTTCCCCCCCAAAGACCCCCATTTTTTGGGCGCGACGCCACCAATGGAATGGAGACCCTGACTAATCTTGGCCATTTCGTCACTTGCGTGAAACCTGACTTCGAGCTGAGACTATGCAGATCGGGATTTGTGACGTGAGTGTTCAAGATCCTGCACGGCAAACTAGGGGGTTTTATAGAGGGCTTTTTCACTAGCTCTGGATTTGCCCGAGAGTGATCCGAGGTACTTTTTTTTTAGTCACCCGGGTGAGACCACAGAAGCAGTCCGTGGGAGATGATCAGGAAAGGTTGGAGATTCTCTATCTTGGACAATGTATACCGAAAGAATGGGCATTCATTAGCAAACATCATCATTATCCCATTTGGTTTGGCCCGGGAAGCCGTAATATGACGTAACGTTGGCCGACCTGTTCCCGAGTCGGCCCGTGAAGGAAAAGGAGGCAAAGGAGGAAAAGGAGGTATTTTCCCTCTTTACACTCTTTACAACACCCCTGAGACGAAGAGTCATGAGCCAAAATGACACCGACAGGGCACAATAAAATAAAATAAAATAAAAACCACTCCCCTCAAACGAGGGGAACATCCACCGACCCACTGCTGCGGATGAGAAAGTGGGTTGAGCCTTGGGAATTTATAACGTCGTCAGGTCCTAAACCTGTTACCCAATCCCTGCTTCTCTTTCTCTTTCACTTTTTCGATCTTCAACCCCTCCATTTTCTCCTTCATCTACTCCTGATATCTCATCGTCTCCTTACTCAATAAATATGTCCAAGACCAAGGTTTTGCTGGTTGGAGCAGCGGGTGAAACCGGAGGGTCTATCGCCAACGGTTTGTTGGAAGCCGGTGACTTTGTAAGCGCCCCCAACTTCCTCCAATTGACCCCGGACTAATCCATTGGTGTCTCGTTCTCTCAACAGGAGGTCATCGCACTTGTCCGCCCTATTTCGGCTCAAAAGCCAGCCATCGCGCGCCTCCAGGATCGGGGATGCCAGATTCGGAAATGCGACTTGAAGGCCCCAGAGGAGCAGCTCATCGAAGCGTTGGCCGGGATCGATGTGGTGATTAGCTGTGTTGGACCCGCCGAACAACAGGACCAAATCCCCCTCGCCAAAGCAGCCAAGAAGACAGGAGTCAAGCGATTTGTTCCATGTGGTTTCATCACCGTTTGCCCACCGGGCGGTGTCATGTGGTTGCGTGACGAGGTATGAGAAATGTGGCATGGTACAATCGTCAGTGGACTGACCAACGTTTCTTTTTTCGCACTTGACAGAAAGAAATTGTCTATAACCAGATCCGCCAATTGTGGGTTCCCTACACTATCGTCGATGTCGGCTGGTGGTACCAGCTGGCCTACCCCCGCCTCCCCTCCGGGCGCGTCGACTACGCCATGACATCTGGCAACGATGAGATTATTGGTGATGGAAATATGCCCACAGCTTTGACCGACTTGCGAGACATCGGTCGCTACATGGCTATGATCATCTCCGACCCCCGCACCCTGAACAAGAAGATTCTCGCCTACAACTTGGTCTCTTCGCAAAATAAGATTTACGAGCTGATGGAAGAACTCAGCGAGGAGAAGATTGACCGAAACTACGTAAGTCGCATCAGGCTGACAGGCTCAGAATGAGTGAGTGTGACTAACAGGAATTTTCTTTTTTCCGGAGCACAGGTGCCCGAGGAAACCATCTGCAGCCGAGTCGTGGCGGCCCGACAAGCCAGCGAGACTTATCCCTTCGATCCAATCAAGTTTATTCCCCGGTACCTGGCCGAATATCAACTGTCCTGGGGAATTCGCGGCGACAACAACCCCGAATATGCCAAGTATCTGGGTTACCACACTACACAGGACTTGTACCCCGATTTCCAGCCCACAGATTTCCGCGAGTATCTCGAGCAAGTTATTCGGGGCTCAGCCAAGGGTGTCTATACCGACCGTGTGATTTCACGGAAGCACCAACGTCACTTCCCACGCACCGAGTCCAGCGATTCCCTCTACACCCGCATATTCCCCCGCACAGAGTCGAGCGACTCCCTCATGTCGCGATGAACTGATGAATAGGAATTCAACTTCTCTCGCGTTACCCCTCCGCCTCATCCAGCCAGCGACCGTTCCATGCAAACGCCAGTCGTTCCCGAACCGCTGCTACCTAGTTGGTAATATTTGACAAAGACTTTTATGATATCTCTCCTCTCCCTCTGGCCCCATGTTACGGGGGCATGGAATTCCGTATGCAACCGATTGGTGCCTTTTAGGTGTTGAATCGACATATTCTTTTCGGCGTTTGTGATCTTGTGGTCTTTGATAGACGCTGGCCACTTCTGGTGCCTCCTCGATGGGCTTGGTGGCAATCATTAGAGCTGGCATACCTGGGAAATTTTTGTTATTTTTGTTTATTTCTATTTTGACTATCCCATGATGGGATTCTTGCATATAGAAAATATATCCCAATGATCTGTGATCCCACCGGTCGTGCCTCGTTCTTTCCCATATTCGCACTGACAGGATCCTTCTCATCTAAGCGCCCGAAGGTTCGCGGGGATGTTTATGCCCTTTCTGATCCCTCATTCTGGGAACGGTTTGGAGTTCTATATCTTCGTTGATCCTCGACTGTCAGAAAGTTGTATTTTTCTGAACTATACTATAAGATATGTTTTCACGACGCCGGCCGGGATCCCGATCCTCTGCCTGTGAGCTCACGCCCATACGCACTGAACCCATCGCCCCATCAGTTACTCCCCAAGCTCCGCAGACTGAACATGCACTTGGTTTCACCGATATATACGGGTCGTTGTCACCCCGCCAGATCAGCATCATCAGTCGGTATCTGCTCCCCTATGGCAAGGACTGGCATTCTAACACAGGTTCGCAGCTATCGGATCGGCCATTGGAACGGGGTTGATGGTTGGGACGGGAAGAGCATTATCCATGTAAGACCGACATTTGCTTCATATCGAACGTGAAATTGACCACAATACAGGAGCGGCGTAAGTCATTCCAGAGGATATCCAGGGACAATAATATTGATTTGTGATAGCCTGCAGCTATACTACTCTCCTACACCGTGGTTGGGTTCGCTATGTACCTTGTCCTCTCTGCCTTGGGTGAGGTGGGCTCATGGTTGCCAAAACCTGTTACTGTGGCAGATCAAGCTGTCCGGTTTTGTGATCCTGCACTTGGATTCAGCTTGGGTTGGATGTAAGTCTTCCTATATGGCAGTATGGGTACCGGCTTGACTCTGATCACTGACCTCTTCCCCAGTTTTTGGCTGAAATATGCTATTGTCACCCCGAACCAGCTTACTGCTGCAGCACTGGTAGTGTCGTATTGGGTCGATGCGGAGCGAGTCAATCCTGGTGCCTGGATTTCGATCTTCCTTGCAGTCATTGTGACTCTCAATTTCATCAATCACCGCCTCCCGAGTAAGATTGAGTTTTATGTTTCGTCGTTCAAACTTGTTGTCATGCTAGGACTCATGATATTGTCCGCCGTCATCGCGCTAGGAGGAGGACCGGACCATGACATGAGAGGGTTTCGATATTGGTCGTACCCTGGTGCTTTTGGTGCGAACCATTCTAACAATAATGAATTATTGGAGAAATTCTACATAACATGCTCGACAATGTCATCAGCCACATTTGCGTATATCGGAAGTGAGCGAGCTGGCATGGCGCATTTTCCAAACGTCCGCAAAGCTACCTCGAAGGCTCTCAAGAATACATTTTACCGAATCATGGTTTTCCATCTTCTGGCAATCACTCTTCTTGGGATGATTGTCCCTCAGGATACGATGTCCGTGGCCTTTAATAGACACGCCTCTCACGAGGCCGCCGCATCGGCTTTCGTGGCAGCTCTGTATCTTGCAGGTATCTCTGTGCTACCGGACTTGCTCAATGCCTGCATATTGTTGTTTGTCCTATCGATCGCAGATTACGATCTCTACCTGGCGACTAAGGCCATGTGCGACCTCGCAGTAAAGCGTCGTGCGCCTGCTTTCCTTTCACGTACAACTAGGAGAGGTGTTCCAGTCTACGCGTTGGCTGTGTGCTCATCTACAGCAACACTCGCCTATCTCAACGTCCACCAGGACTCCACGGTTGTCTTCGGGTACTTCGTGGACATGGTCACAATGCTCGGGCTGCTTACATGGTTTTCTATCCTCGTCACGCACATCTCTTTCGTTCGAGCGCGAAAGGCCCAAGGCGTTCCCGATAAGGCTCTGGCTTTCAGAGCTCGTTTCGGTCTCATCGGAACCTGTTTGGGGCTCCTTCTCTGCCTGTTCATCTCTGTCACTATTGTCTTTGATTCCTTTAGTTTTGACTCGGGCGTTCGGACATTCAACGTCAAATCCTTCATTGCTTCGTATATCAGCATCCCCGTTTATATCATCTTGATGGTTGGACACAAGCTTGCTGTTCACAGCAAGCATGTTGACCCCAAGGAGGCTGATCTGTGGACAGATAAGAATGAGCCGGACAATGAACGAGGGGAAACGGACATGGCTGAAGCCAACCGGTCGTGAGGGATGTTGCCCAATAGCTAGTTTCTGGTCAATCGTGTTAATCTAGCTAGCATGGCTGAGAACTACTACCTAGATAGGTCATTGTGGCACCCCGGATTGGGAAAAGCCGAGAATCAAGTTTCATCCATCAAGATTTCAATTGACCTAACAAAACGAACTTGACGGTTATCCATGCAATATCCCCGTAGAAAATGATATCGAAATATGTCACTTGGACATTGTAATTTCAGGGAAGTTTAATGATATCAAACCCTATACTTAAGGGCTATATCTAGTAGTGTGATAAGCCCTAGTCTTCGGTCTAGATCTCGCAAAATAACAACTATCATCTTGATCCCAACGACCAAAATAACCGACGAAATCCCCAAACCCATGAAAGCTGCCGTCGTAAAAGACTTCAACGAAGGATACGAAGTCTGCGAAGTCGACGTCCCTCAGCCAGCAAATCCAACATCGCCGTTGTGGACTGAGTCGGATCAATCGACACATACGGCTTCTGCGGCTCCTGCAATCCATGCAAGAACCAGGGGCAGCAGCTCTGCGAGAAGCGGGTTGGTATGCTCAGACTGACTATCAACGGTGGCTTTGCGGAGTATATGCAGGCGGACGCGCGTTTCAAAGATCCTCGAGTCAACTCCGTATGACGAGGTGGCACCTCCTTTCTGCCCTGGGGCGACTGTCTACGGCGCGCTTCTTGCTTCTGGTGTCAAGAGAGGGGAGTGGATTGCTCTCGGCGGATTGGGATATCTTGGCGTTCAGTATGACCAGACGAGGGGGGCTAAGGTGGTTGCGATTTAGCATCATAAAGAAGGGATTGAGATGGCTACTTCAGAGGGACATTTCAAACCGGATGGGGATACTCGTTGACTCGTCTGGTGCTGGGCAGGATGTCATCAGCGAGCTTCGGTCGTCTTTCTGCGAGATAATCCCTGGCGTTGACCGTGTTGTTATCAATGTCAGGTGTGTGGCTTGGTCGATTTCTCGCTGCAGTTCTTTGGGAAGGGAGGGACGCTGGGTGATATGGGTAGCCGAAATGTATCCGGTGGTCCTCATGTTAGGATAACGGCGTCTCAACTGACAAGACCTCTATGGAATGTGGTGGCGAGATTGTAAGCAAGGTACTGGAGTTTGTCTTTGCTCCGTAGCTTAGCGCAACCGACTCAACGAATAGGACTTGCGTAGAGACTCAGCTTGCCAACGGTCGACACTGTGTAATGAGAGGCTCTAGGCCAGAAGCCGCCTGAACAGCAACGAAGGACAGCTGAAACGAAGTAATTTGCGTGTTGAAGTTTGGACACAATTGCATACACATTCTCAATAATGAATGTACGAATAAATGTACGAACTAAACAACTAAATCATTCGAGTACAACAAAGTGGCAAAGGCCAAGATAGGAACATTCTCATATTCAGCGAATATCCAACCACGGGCCAGTCGCAAAATTGCTCAGGCCCTCTCTATTTCATCTGCGGGTAACTTCAAGTGCTCCTATTTAATCATGACAACGAAGCTTTGAGCCAACAACTTCGTCTCGCGCATAGTGCCTCGCCGGGCACGGGGAATCGAGGTCCGCGACCCGCATCCAAGGTTCCACGGAGCCTATATTGTCATTGCGATTCCCCGGTGAGGGTTAAGACTCCAGCCCTTTAGGTGGAGTGGGGCTTGCTCGCAGCCTCAGCCTGGGCGCGGAGGTTGGCGGAGGTACCGGTGCTGGAGAAGAAACGGCCAAGAACGGGCTGGAGGAAGGAGTGGAAGACAACTTGGGCACCGCTGGAAAAATAGGTCAGTAAATGTATACCATACATTTATGGGCGGGTGACATACTTGGTCTGGGGAAGAGCCATCCACAGGATCAGAACGAACTTGAAGATGTAGTAGAAGGCTGTCAACCGTTAGCAAAGTAGTGCGCAATATCATGGTCTCGTGAGTACGTACGGAACCAGTAAGCGGCGCTGATGGCGCTCTCAATAACAGTCAGGAAAGCGAAGACAACCCAGTACTATTAAATCATGTGTTAAAATCATCGGCCTTATGCGATTGGGAAATATGTCACGTGGGTGGTGTATGATAGGGCCAAGGCGGCAGTGATCTCATACTTCCGCACGATTGCGACAAAAGGGGAAGAGAATCATGGGAACATACAGTAAGCCACTGTGAGAGTCGGAATAGTCAGCAGGTGTTACATGGAAGTGAAGAAGTTGGGAGCAAAAATTCTTACCTGGGTATCATCCTTGGTGCTCGAGGTGAAAAGGGCCTGGAGGGAGTAGTAACCGGGGAGCAGGAAACCGGCAAAGTTGACGAGGAACTCGCCAGCAATGTTGAAGAAGACAAGGAAGAAGTAGATTCCGACGAGGCCGAGGATAACGTAGACCTTGGGGACGTTGGTTTGACGCTCAAGGTTGGCCAGGACAGGGTACTTGGAGAGCTATGAAAGAACACATGTTAGCTCCAAAGCACAACAATCAATAGCACGATGAAGTGACTATCAGTTCATGCAGTTATATTCAGTGCAAATGCGGTCGCTGGCGCTTCGAGGTATTGCATCCAACAGGCGAGGGCTAGACTTGAAGCGCTAGCAAAACACACACAATAGCTGGGAACGTACCTCCTTATCGAGCTGGGCGATGGTGTGCTGGGCACGCTCCTGGAAAGAGGCCATTTTTGCTTATTGAAGGAGTTGTTTGTGGTAAAAACAAGTCACAGAGCTGTTAGGATGGCAATGGAGCGAGGGATGGTGAGAATGCAACTGGTCAAGCTGGCGGCAAGTCTGAGACAGAGGCTAGCCTGTGTGTGTCACGTGATGCACATGACGTATCCGCTGTGGGTGCCATGTGAAGCTGCATAAACCAGATTGCTATTGGTTTGATCGGCTCACTGATAACATCACTAGTTCAATCTGCACCAGGAGGCCTAGGCTGTGGAGAAAGGTCATCTGTCCCCCGGTGGAAGGCCACTACTCCGGATGGAGTACGGGGTACGGAGTGCTACATATGAGTCTACCGGAGCTGTAAGTACGGAGTATACCCAGGACATTACGTACCAAGGCTTAGCTGAGGGGTTCAGGCACACCCATGGCCCTTGCAATGCAAATAGCTTCAAGTTTTTGTGAATTTCAACAGGTCTCAAAGAAAAAAAAAACTCTGGGCGAAACTACACGAGCAAGTCATCCAGTCGGCTTTCATCTCCACAGATCTCCCCGAGATACTTAGTCCTCTACGACATGACGTACGCGGCTTCCCAGGCTTGAGATCACCGAGAGTTGTTTGCTCTGTCATAGGCATTTGGCCTGTTTGATGATTTTCGTTGTTATAGTTTGTATCATGAAAGCCGGGGGGAGGAGTTCCTGTGGGCCTGTCACCCCATCACCCCTGCAGCACTAGGTCCAAGTCTTTGTGATGTACGAAGTATCTGTCCCCGCTTATTATCAGGGACCAATTACCCTGTACGGAGTACTCAACACGGATTTCCATCTTCACCCCAAGTGAAGTATCAACTGGGAGACTCACGGATGCCGAGTATCATCTTCAACAGGTGACCTCGGGACCAAGCCGCACTCCCCCACGTGATAGACACGTGAGGGCTGTGGACGTAGACTGGGAATTGGCGAAAGATGAGAGACCCCCGAACGACAAAAGCACCGAGCTATCAAATGTGAATTGCCGAGAAGTGACTGCAGGGAGTGTCTGACCGCCAGAGACGATCTCGGCAGATGATGTGATTGGGCCAAGGGCTCAAAAAGACAGAGAGTCCAGGAACGCAGCCCTCTATTAGTTTAATTCCCGTTATCAGGCAATTTTCTTTCTTCCAAAATCCCATGCGGAAAGACCTAAGCTTGTTCTAAGCAATCTCTTCGTTATTTGTGTTGAAATCCTCGGTGGATCCTCGAATTACCCTTCATATCCGTGCACGAAAAAGGCGGGCCATTCACCGATGCAACCGGTCCGCATACCGCCCTCCTTGGCTCTTCCATCTACAGAGCTGCACTGCAATTGAGGCATTCGACGCTGTGGTATATGGGACGGTTATCAGCCCACACAATTCACCATTTGTCTGCCGTTGGAGATTCGTGATACCACGTGGGACGATCAGCAGCTACTCTAACCTTCGTCTTGCACAATTTCAATTTCGTTTCCCAAACTACCTCTAAATAATATCGATACACATTCTTTCTCGATGCGGCCACAGTGAGTTCTGCGATCATTCCCGAATCCCCAAGATCTCATTCTAATTGTTTGTTTGCGCTGCATTTAGACGCGAATACCATATTGTTGTTTTGGGTGCTGGTAAGCGTCGGCCTTGAGTCCTGAGATATTCCCATAGGTCACAGGCTGACCATAGGCGTTCTTATGCGATTTCATAACAGGAGGTGTCGGAAAAAGTTGTTTAACAGGTCCGTTTCCCATGCCCCACGCCCTGCCCTGAGCTCTCCAGCTGATCAACAATCAAACGTTTAGCCCAATTCGTTCAAAATGTCTGGATCGAAAGCTACGACCCGACGATCGAGGATTCATACAGGAAACAGATTGAAGTGGATGTGAGTTATCTATCATGCGCTAGTAGTAACCGACCGCTAACGAAGATTCTCAGGGCCGACAATGTATACTGGAGATGTGAGTAAATCGGTCGTTTGGACATGGCATGATGCTAAATTTTCGCAGTCTTGATACCGCAGGAACAGAACAATTCAGTAAGTCACTTCCTAACCAGCATTCCTCAATGCAGGCTCGAAGCTAATTGTTACAGCCGCAATGAGGTAAATCTAGTCTCCAACCCGCCGACTCCACGCACCGACCTCGAGAACAATCCACCATACTAACAATGCCTCTTAAAGAGAGCTCTACATGAAACAGGGCCAAGGATTCCTCCTCGTCTTCTCCATCACCAGCATGTCCTCCCTAAACGAACTATCGGAGCTCCGCGAACAAATCATCCGAATCAAAGACGACGAAAACGTTCCAATCGTGATCGTGGGCAACAAATCCGATCTTGAAGAAGACCGCGCCGTACCGCGCGCACGCGCCTTCGGCCTATCCCAAAACTGGGGTAATGCGCCATACTACGAGACCTCTGCGCGCCGCCGCGCAAACGTCAACGAAGTTTTCGTCGACCTGTGCCGCCAGATCATCCGCAAAGACTCCGAAGCCTCAAAAGGCAGCAGCGATCCCAATCGCAAGCGTGAGGGCCCGAACCGCCACGACCGGAAGAGAGATAACCGCAAGCCGAAGAACCGCCGCGGCCCATGTGTCATTCTCTGATCTAAAAACATTTCGAGGCGTGTGCTTTCTCCGGAAAGTCCCCTCCTTGTCTTGTTTCATTTTCATGCGCTACGACCCCCTGCGATCTATGCCCCGCCTCCGCTGTTATGCATCTCGACATGTCATGTATGAGTGATGTTCTTTCTGCCTGTTGCCGATATGTCTTTGCTCATTCCTATAGAACCATGTTTTGCCGCTACAGACTTGTATCTTTTCTTTTGTGCTGTACACAATTGGTGTCCGCTTTCTTTTATATTTGAAATATTTATGGCTTGGTTTACCTGGACCTTCTAAAGATTATACTCATGAAATGGAGGAAAAAGTGCTTTCTGTTATTTTGATATTGTTTTTGCTATTATTGGTCCGCTGGATAGGCTTGTGTGAGACCTCTTGGGTGATCAGCATATAGCTCTACCTTTCTTACATCAAAGCAAGAAACATTCGAAGCATGTGGTGGTAGCAGATGATATCTGCTACGAGAATCCTTTCTGTCGGTACGCTCCATAGACCATGTTCAGGAACCGTGCGCTTTACAAGTACATTAGGCTACAATACACTAAGCCTTGGGACGCGCAGGATTGTGGTAAGTGAGTTAAAGCATGAGTCTTCCATTTTGTGGCATCTCCTATTTATAGTGACAGCATCTTTGCAGATATTACTCCATCCCGCGAACGCCCTACATTCGGAACACTCCAAACCTGGTCTGCACATCTGGCTCAGCCTTCCCACTGAGTGCAGCCGACAGACCCAACCCGAGCATGTGCCTTGTCTGAGACGGGGGAATAATACCATCGTCCCACAGCCGAGCTGACGAGAATGTCGCTTCGGATTCTCGGTCAATGCGATCCTTCAAAGCTGGATCAGCAGTCCGTCCAACAGCCTCCATGACGGCAGAGAGTTGCTCAGACCCCATAACGCCGATCTTAGCATTGGGCCACATGAAGAGAAGGCGAGGAGAGTAAGCACGGCCACTAAAGCAACGGCCGTTAGAGATGAACCTGATAGTGATTTTTAAGCTGGACTCCGGGAGAGTAACTTACCACATGCCATAATTACCCGCACCAGCACTGGATCCAAATACAACAGTGAACTTGGGGACATCGGCGCATGCAACAGCGGTGACAAGCTTAGCACCATTCTTTGCGATACCGCCTTTCTCGGCATCAGCGCCAACCATGAAGCCTGAGATGTTTTGTAAAAAGACGAGAGGGATCCGCCGTTGAGCACACAGCTCAATGAAGTGTGCTCCCTTGAGCGAGGACTCGGAGAACAGGATTCCATTATTAGCGACAATACCGACGCGATGGCCGTGGATGCGTGCAAAGCCCGTCACCAATGTTGAACCATAGTCACGCTTGAACTCGGCAAATTCACTGCCGTCAACGATTCGCGCGATGACTTCGTGCACGGGGATCTGGCGGCGCAGGTTCGTGCCAACAATTCCGTTTAGCTCATTAGGGTCGTACAGCGGTTCTTTGACAACAAGTGAATCCCCATTACCATTCTCAAGCTGTAGCGGAGCAGTGGTGGGAGGATAATTGAGATTCGCGACGGATCGACGGACAAGGACAAGAGCGTGAGCATCATCGACGGCCAAGTAATCCGTAACACCAGATATAGACGAATGCAGTTGGCCACCGCCTAGATCTTCAGCGGAAACCTCCTCACCTGTCGCGGCCTTGACGAGAGGTGGGCCGGCCAGGAAAATGGTACCTTGATTCTCGACGATGATGGTCTCATCGCTCATAGCAGGCACATATGCGCCACCCGCTGTGCACGGCCCCATAACAACGGACAGCTGTGGGATGCCGAGAGAGCTCATGCGGGCCTGGTTGAAGAAAATGCGGCCGAAGTGATCACGGTCTGGGAATACATCTGCCTGATGAGGCAGGTTTGCACCACCGGAGTCTACGAGGTAGATGCAGGGCAGGCGGTTCTCTTGCGCAATTGCCTGTGCGCGCAGGTGCTTCTTCACTGTGATTGGGTAGTAGGTACCGCCCTTGACGGTGCTGTCGTTGGCAATGATCATGCAGTTAACACCCTCGACCATTCCAATTCCAGTGATGATGCCACCAGCTGGGACATCGTCGCCCTCGTACACTCCGTGTCCTGCTAGCGCTGATAACTCCATGAAGGAGGTGCCTGGGTCAACTAGGGCGGAGATACGGTCTCGAGCAAGCATTTTGCCTCGCGCGATGTGCTTCTCGCGTGCCTTTTCGGGACCCCCGCGGGCGATTGTTGTATGTAGGCTGTTCATTCGGTCTAGGAGCTCTTGCATCTGTTGGCTATTTTCGCGGTACTCCTGTGAGGAGGTATCCACAGCTGTGGGGAGGACGGAGAGGGCTGAGGCATGATGGGGGTGTGTATAGTTGGCTACTGTTCTATTTGCAGGCCGGTTGATTATTCGTAATTGGCACAATGAGCTGGGCTGATATTTGCGTAGTCCAAGTCGTGAACCCCAGCTCCGAAGGACAAGCGGGGACGCGGCACGCATTGCGGGGAAGTTTGTGGAGTCGTTGGCTTTGAGATGAGGATGGCAGAGCTTAGCTCAAGTCAGAAGGAGAGTGATCTGTGAATATAGACGAATATGGCAAAGTATTTAAACCCGTATGAATGGTGGGAGAACAGAAGCGAGGCACAAAGCTTGGAGTTGACCCCAAATGCGGAGGTGCGACGATTGCCGCTTCTACCCGAGGGGCATCATGGGAATGTTCAAGAAGTCAACAGATCAAGGTCAATTGTCGAGAGCAAAAGAATATACTATAGCGAATTCAATTGTTCTGATGATAGCTGATTGATAGTATCGTCTATAAATTTAACAATCGCAGGAGTTGAGCATCAAGATATCAAATCTCATAGTATAACAACTGGACCTCGATAGCGCGCCGAGGACTGCCGTCCCCCTGCGTGAGACTCCTAACATACTTAAGAGGTCCACATCCCCAAAGACAATCCGCGGGATTTTGCATTTTACATAGATTCTCTCATCATGGCCTCCCTAGCCCTCCCCTCTCTACTTCGCACATCAACGCGCACGTTGCGGCTGAACCGCATCCCCGCACTTACCCCATGTTTCCGCTCCATCTCAACGAAGCACCCGGCGGGCTTTGTTCCCCCGTCCGAGGAGGATCTACTGGAGCTCCGAGAGCGCGTTCAAGAGTTCACAAGTATGTGACCCCTCATGATGTCTATAATACTACCTAAATTGCAGTTCTAACACTGCCACAGGGCGCGAAATTCCAGCCGACGTTGCGGCAAAGACGGACGAGCAGAATGAGTTCCCAGCGGAGATGTGGAGGAAAATGGGTGATGCCGGGTAGGTGTTCTATGAATGTGCCAGATCATGATCTCGAGAAGAGGGTGTGTCACTAACTGCGATGAAGGTTCCTCGGTGTTACAGCGAACGAGGAATACGGTGGCTTGGGAATGGGCTATCAGGCACATTGTGTGGTAATGGAAGAGATTAGCCGAGCATCCGGTAAGAAATCCCCCTACCCAGAGTTTCTTTGAACGGTCTATCTGACTTGGATATGAATCAAAGGAAGCATCGGTCTCTCCTATGCTGCCCACTCCCAGCTTTGCGTGAACCAGATCTCCCTCAATGGCTCGGCGGAACAAAAAGAGCGCATTCTCCCCGGCCTTCTCTCAGGAGAGAAGGTCGGAGCTCTGGCAATGTCGGAGCACTCAGCTGGCTCTGATGTAGTCAGCATGAAGACCACGGCGAAGGAAGTTGACGGAGGCTGGGTCTTGAACGGAACCAAGATGTGGATTACGAATGTAAGTTGCCTTGTTGGTATATATGGATTGAACGCATTACTCACCACCTTCTCTCACAGGGGCCCGATGCCGATTACATCGTGGTTTACGCTAAGACAGAGCCTGAACTTGGCTCTAAGGGCATTACAGCGTTCCTGGTCGAGAAGAACTTCAAGGGCTTCTCGTGTGCCCGCAAACTAGACAAGCTGGGCATGCGCGGCTCTAACACTGGCGAGCTCATCTTCGAGGACGTCTTCGTTCCCCGCGAGAACCTGCTAGGTGAGGTGAACCGCGGTGTCCGTGTCCTGATGGAGGGCTTGGATCTGGAGCGACTTGTCCTGAGTGCAGGACCCCTAGGGTGAGTAATCCCATATCTACAGAAATACCTTTCTCATCCTAACAATCTGAAGAATTATGCAAGCTGCGCTTGACCTCGTGCTTCCTTACACACACGTTCGCAAGCAGTTCGGTGCCCCGATCGCCCACAACCAACTGATCCAAGGCAAGCTTGCCGATATGTATACTAAGTTGGCAGCGTCGCGTGCGTACACCTATGCCACGGCCCGCCAGGTGGACAACGCTGCTACAGCGCCTGGTGAGATGACCGTTCGCACTCAGGACTGTGCTGGTGCAATCCTTTACGCTGCTGAACGCGCGACTGAGTGCACGCTCGATGCCATCCAGCTGATGGGAGGAAGTGGATATATCAATGAGATCCCAGCTGGGCGACTTCTGCGGGATGCGAAGTTGTATGAGATTGGTGCTGGGACAAGCGAGATTCGCCGGATGGTCATCGGCCGCGCATTTAACAAAGAGTATGCTTAAGAGAGATACAAAAATTAATTTATTTGACAGGATGCCGTCTATATAGAGATCGGATGCATTGAGATTCATTTGGATCGTTGTAGATGTCATAAATGGCCCCCCTGGGTCTAACATTACCAACCCAGCCCGTCCTGGCTACTTCTTCTGCCGAGTTGACCTGCGCACAGGCGGAGCCGAGGGCTGTTTAGTCCCACGGACACCGCCCTTGCGCGTTTCAACCTTCTTTGAGCGAGGCGGCGCTGCATCCTCGTCAGGCTCATCCTGCCGCACCGTGGTCTTCCGTTTAAGTCCTCTTTTCAACGGAATCACAACCTGGGGCGGCGATGCCAGTCTCAGCGAACGGACAATTTCCGGCTTCGGGTGTGTCTTTGTGTTGGATATATCGCCAGTATCAACGCCTGAAGTGTCCAACGAGGGTACATCGGACATTTCATCCGAGCCCTCGGACTCGTCGTCAGCACTGTCGCCGGCAGATATGTCATTGTCGACCAGAGCCGAGTCTGCGATCCGGGATTCCTCCACCCGCCGCTTTTTCAAGCGCGACTTATCCAGCGCCGGCTGAGCCGACTTGAAAACCTCCCGCCAATTCTCCAGGAGGGCGACTTTATCGCCCGTGTCCGGCTCGTATAGAATGGCGACGTCCTGGTCCCGATCCAGGGCGGGTGTTTTCCACACCACACCCTGGAACGAGCTGATATCCGGGACAACAGACGACTTGACCGGTGCGATCGCGGAGGTTGGCGCTGTCTGGAGAGATGGTTCTGCTAGGCGTTTGGCTCTCGCCGCCATTGCAGTTCTTTTCCTTCGCTCTGCGCTTTTCTCGGCCGTTGCGTCATCGTCATGGTAATCGTCCGAATAGTAGTCCCAGTCGCTGAAATAGTCTTCGACGTCAATTCCTGGGTCTTCATACAGGGCGGCTTCGTAATGTGAGGAAGCAGCGAGGTCGTCCTGGATAGGCAAGGGCTTATTAGTGGTCTGAATTGACGTTGTTTTGCTCTTAGAGCGTTAAGGGCGCAAGTCGCATTATGTGTCGCCTCGGAAGATGTACTAACCACCATGTCGGGGACTAAATCCTCATACATATAATCCTCCTCGAACTCGTAGTACTCATCGTCGTCGGACATGTTGGAGGGTACCGAGAAAAAAAAAGTTGGAAGAGATCCAGTGGCGAAGGGGTTCAAGAAAAATGATGTCTGTTAAATGAATGACGAGGGTCGAACACAAGCAAATTGAGTATAGAAATATACAGCGCAAGCAAAACAAGGATGCCCGGCTGAGGTGACGGAATGAAGATCGGACTGCTCGTGCATTGAAGAAGATTGGCAATCCTGCTAACATAAGCCTTGGCATTTCTCCAGATCTATATAGTCACCAGGGGTTCATTGTTCTAATGGCGTGGGACTATTTCCGGACTAGTCGAGAACCCTTCGAACTGACCAACATGGGGATTTTCAATGAATAGTTTTACTCTGTACAGAGTCAATCTTGGAAGGCTTCCTGGTTCCCATGTTTAATGTGTTGAAACCAAAGACGATGATGCCAATCGATGTCGTACTCAGTAAAATAGGGGTCCAATCAAGGATGTTAAAAACCCTGTATTTCTGTATCCACTATTCTCGCAGGATATATGACTATCTTACCAATATCACAATACTGCATATACAGGATAAACTGATCTTCTGGTATGCCGACCTCTTGCTCCGACACACCCCCTCAGCTATGCCAGTATAGTATAGCTGTTCCTGCACACAAGTCGGCGTGCTGATGCCTTTTTCATACTATTAAATCGCCTATATCTATTAACCTTGACATCTTAATGATGGCTTTATGCTTCTGCTTAGTGAGCGATTTCCTTGGAGTCTATCCGCAGCTATACTCGCTATCGGTACTCCGTACCTACTTCACCTATATTCTCCTTTCTCTTTCCCTTGCTCCACCACCCGCTTTTCCCTCAATTTCCGTCCCTATCATCGTCCTATCAACGTACCAGCGGTTTGACTGACCATGTCAGATTTACTTTCCGGGGCCTCCGTCATGGAGACCGCGGCGCAGGTGATTCTGCGAACCGTCCCTCCCCTCACCACGATAAATGGTACTCGTTATGTCTCCAACTCATCTGAGGTTATCTCGTTACGGTTTTTCCATGAATGGCAGAGCTTTAAACAGGATGTTCTCGAAGTATCCGATTCTTTAGATCTGAGCCATCCTGTGCCTTACACGGATGATATATCAGAAAGCTATGTTGTTGGAAGCGAACTTGGTCTGACCGGAAGGTTCTCCAAGAATGTATGTGACCCAGTTTCGAAAGTGTTTGCCACAACTGGCCTCTCCCACTTAAAGTTCGGTGATTATCAGTCCTCGGCAGGGCCAACGGACACGAGTCAAGTGCCTGATATCACTATGTTTAACACAACGGGACCACCTCGCCCAGCGGTTGTCGGAGAACTCAAGTCTTTCTGGACAGTTGAACTTGAGGACTATTCCATTCGCGGAGGTTATCCACGTTTAATCGGCATCCAGCATCATATTGGTAAGTCCAGTTGAACCTTATTTACGACCCTGTTAACCGTTCCTCAGCCCAACTCGTCAAATACATGCGGTCGAGTAAGCTTAAGTTTGGATTTTTGTCGACATACGAGTGGACGGTCTTCATCCGCAGAACAGCTCCTTATCACTTTGATATGTCGTTACCGATTGCAAGAGACACATCGAACCCCAGTCTCCGGCAGTGCTTCTTGGCGCTAGGTGTAATGGCTTCCAAAGATTGGAAATTTATTGAACCCCCTAACTTCAACATCGCCCAGGTGAGTTTTCCAGTTATAACAGCGGCAATTTCGTAATATCAGACCCTAGCTCCGCGTCCCGACGGGCCCTTCACTCCAACCATCTATTCGTCTATCCGCTTTCCGCAACCAAATCGGCAGCAAGGAGGAGACATCGGACATGCTTGGCTCGTCGTCAATCCTTTACGGGGCCGATAACGGTATTGCAACGACGTTCGTAAATTGCAAGAGCAATATCCAGCAATCCTCCGCCAAGGCGATTTATGAAGTCACATGGGATGGAAAACCGGCTATCGCGAAATGCTGGTCACCGTCTAGAGTCGAACGGTCTGTTACTATGTCCTTGTAGCCTAGTATCTCAATCGCTAATACTTCTATTCTGTAGGTTTGCTGACGAAGCGAGGACTTATGAGAACATCCATGCGCAACGTCTAGCTGGTTTCGATTTTTTCCCTCCCTACTAAGCATCGGCAAGATCTGTTGCTCTTCGATCTTTCCCCAGGGTTATATCATTGTGATGACAAAGGTTGCTGGGGAACGGCTCGACAAGCAATGGAACCAACTTTCTGGAAGCGTCAAGGAGCACATACGTTCAGAGATTTACAAGGCTATCAAGGTCCTTAGGCGAGCGTCAACCATTGTTATCGACTCCGGGATGCATAATGTCTTATATGATCCGCAAACCAATGCTGTAACAATGGTGGATTTCGAGTTAATGCAAGCATGTGAGGAGGACACTATGAGTCCTGACGAACCAGAGATGTTTTCCATATTCGGGCATTACCCTTCTCGCGTACACGTTCGTCACGAGGGTGGTTAGACGCCAATCATCGACAATCACACCCCGGAGTCATCGCGAGCCGATAGCTGCCATGAAATGTTAGTTAGATATCTGCACCTTGCTTAATAATTTTAGGGTGGTACCTGTGCAGAGGCTCCCCCTCCCTTGGCTAGATATTTGCTAGCAGAAAATATGACTACCTCAATTACTATGGATAACAGAGCCTTTAGTAAGTAAAGCACTTGCATTCTTCTAAGTTTTAATCTTTCCTAAGGTCGATAATGTTAATGCCTTAGAGGATAGGCATTAAATCCTAGAACTCCCTTCTTCTAGGCGTTGAAACTTCCACTTTATAATCATTACCCTCTCTTCCCCTTTACCACTCCTATATACGTACCCGTTAGCGATACCGGAATAGGTGAGATTAGGGAGCCATATGGCAAACCTTGAAAACTCAGGTAGAAGGAAGTGAGAGAAAGGGAGGAGGAGTAGCGAAGACGGGTCTTTCCTGTCGGTGGCCTTATGGGACTGTCGGCCTCTTTCAATTAGGCTGAATTTGGGCTAAATCTGGTTGTGATGTTTCAGGGTAATCATAGCGTCTAATATCAATTTGTTAGGCCTCGTGCCATCACTATATGGCCTCACTTTTACTAAACCTGCTGGCGCGTAATTGCTAGACCGTTTGATTTTGCCAACCTAGTACCTAGGGGCTTTAGATATAAATTGGTCAAGCAGCCCGATCTAATTGTGATTCAATTCTCAATCAGATCACTACTTCACGAGGTCGAATTCACTCCAATTTTGATTTACTCTTTGACTCAAGCGAAACCACACCCTTGAAAAATACCTCTATGGCACATCAGAAACAATGGTCCGCACAATCCATCTGGCAATATTCTCAAACGGCGCGCGGCCCGCTCATTACGCTGTTTTTATCCCTTCGGGTGATGCGGGTAAGGTGGGAAAACTTATACATGCCACCGGGACTACAGCCACTGGATTTTTCCGGGAGTTCAAGCGCAACTACGACTTCAATGCCACCCAACGCAATATAGAAAAGAGATCAATAAAGACCGGAGCAAAACGCTATCTTTATCTTAACATCCCATAGCCGTCGTATAGTAGTCCCACGGATCCCAAGTGCTAGTATACTGACATAAAATCATTGGTAAATATTTTCTAGACCATTCGTCATTTCTGTCAGCAGTATACTGCGCCTTTCTAGCCTCCCAGTACATAGGTAGCCAGCCTGACTGTTCCCAATCGACGATTGCAAGGACATGGTAAGGTTCAGAGCGTGTTATTAAGACGTTGCTCCGGTGGAGATCGCCATGCGTAAATTTGATTTCACTATTATCAGGCAGGTCCTGACGGAACGGTTCGATTGGGACAGAATATGGATCTGGCATTGGTTTTCGATGTAGGAAAGTGAACCAGTCATGGAATTCCTGGACGGTATTGAACGGCCCTGCTTCGGGCATAGACTCGACGTGGAATGCTCTATCATATAGAGGAGCTTGTGTAATATTACCTATACGTAGAGAAAGAGTTATAGGCATAGCTTAAGAGATATAAAGGCTGTTAAGAGTATCGTACCTATAAATAATTCTGCCGGCTTCTGTTCAAGGTGGCGAAGGTTACTATAGATTGTCCGGAGCTCATGACAGATCGAAACGCGGTTATTAGGTTCTAACTTGTCCCACACTTGCTCTAGAGTCTGCGCATACAAATACTCCATATAAATGAAAGTTTGACCGCTATCCTCCCGCCACCCGTATATCTCCGGAACCGGGACATAATCTTTAAGGAGCTGGCCGAGAGCATAGAGGCATTGACCCTCTGAAATTCTCGCAGCGCTTCCCCATTTGACAAATAGCCCTAGATCCTTGAATATCACAGGTGGTGGTCGTATATGAGGGCCGGTTATCGAGAAGGTTTTTCTATCGTCTGGGCAGACTCCTGCGAGATATTGGGCTTTAGCCTGCGAGCGTACTTCTTCCGGTGTGGGCAACTTGGTGAATTTTCTGAAGAATTGAGAATCTTCGACGTCAAAATCGGGAGATTTTGGTATCATCAGAGGCGTCAATTGTACGCGGTCTTGTTTGATGAGTGCCCCGCATTTTGAATCGCGTGACATATTTGATCAGAGAAAAAGTCAAGAGGTAAGTGTTGGAGGGGCTGGTGCCTTGGTGTTGTTCGTTTGAAATCACGGAGCATGTGGTGAAGGGAGGAAGTGAGTTTCGTAGCTACGGTAAGGACACTTTAAACCGCATTAGTTATGGTTTGCATTGTTTACAATTAATGGATCCGTGTCAACCTTGAAACAATGAGATTCACAACTAAAGACTTGACTGGAAATCCGAAAAGAATCAAAATACTAGAATTCAGACCTAAACAGGTCTTTGTACTGGGGACTGCAACTTGGTATGAATGGTTGGTAAATTATGTTCTAAGAATAGGACAGAAGATGTGGTTTCCCATTCGTGAATTTCCGTCCTGATTGGACTAAACCCGTTTGATCACAATTGTCACGGGACAATACCTTCGTGGGGTTAGGTCCGGGTTATGATTGCTTGTGACGCACAGGTAATTGGTCACGGTTAGGTTAGACGGGCCCAGGGTATCCTTGGAACCTTCTTGGAAGTTACCTTAATACTCGGGTTGGTCCAACGTCAAGGATCTGATCTCACTTCACCGAGAGTTTTCAACATCATTTATTTTACTTGATACATCAGTTGACAAAGACGATCGATCTAGATGCGGTTCTTCTGTCCTGCTTTCTATATTTCTTTTTATCCGAGATCTTTATGTGGTTGTGGTTGGATTTCCGCGTTAGTCTTCATCTGTCCACTGTATCCATGGTCATATCTGACTTTGCCTCCTCTCCCATGTCTTGTGTATAGCCGCAGCCCCCTCTGCATTTACTCTTTACGAGTCGGACTGTGAATGACTTTCTCCATCTCCCATTTACGACTTCGGTGTAATTTTTCCGGGAGCTATTGAATGTGCTCAACAAAGTGAAGTTGATGTGCCATGCTTCTTGGGATGCGGATTTCCTCATTGGGATCGGACATCTGAAGTAAGAAATATTCCGAACATCACAACTGATGTCGGACCCTAAAGTCTGAGTCATGGCGAGTCATGGTATATACAGGATCTGCCATCCCTTCCTCTCTTCTTTCTTTTTTTTCTTCTCCAACCATCTCAGACCATGTACTACAGACGCAACCCCAGTTTTTGCCGTGCCAATTGGCGCTCCCACCTATTGCGAGACGTTGAATTTATCAAACCCGCCAAAATTGTTCACATCAAACGAAGGTACTTCGAATTCTGAAAATCCTCATCCTCATCACCTCAGTGCTTGGGTAGGGACTAAGGGCCCTAGTCTCTATTCGAAATCTGAGCAACCGTCCTCCTAACATCCAGCTTGTTGGTCTTTGGTGAAGACTGCGGCGCCTGTGGTCTTCGCTGGAGATTATCAACTTGGACTCTCAAAAACTCTCGTGTCTACGGGCACTCTTCTTGGTGTTTGTCTGGTGATCTAGGGCCCGGATTGCCGTTCAAATGCTGAGCTTCCATACTCCTGATACCCGGGTTTCAGGTTTTCGGCGGAGACTGCGGCGCCTGTGGTCTTCGTTGAAACCGATACCTTGGGCTCTTAAGTCCTCTGTCCTATTTATTAAAAACTCCTCATACTTCGATCTCTGAAACAACCTCCATATCTGAAAACCAAAAAAAAACCACAAAAACGAAACTGCCCTGCTGAAGTCGACTTGGTCTGAGATGGTTCACCAGTTCTTTCAATATCTCTTCTTTTGTCTCAATATTCCTTCTTGTGTCTTAATCATGTATCTTGTGTCTATTACTGGATTTCCTTTTCCTTTTCCTTTTCTTTTGAATTTATTTGGTGGAGGACTCTCTCTCTCTCATCCCAGTCCAGACTGGAGGCTTTTCCCACAGGGTTTCCTCCCAGCTGGACATCAACTTGTTGAACATGTTGAAAACTTACGGGTGATCTACTCTTTCGTCGAACCCCGGAGCCTTTCCCACGTGGTTTGCTCCCGGTCCGACATTCACCAAGGTGTCCCTGATACCAATACGCTACTACTACAACTATAACCACAACAACCGTCAACTCGAGGCACTCTTTCCAGCTAGGAAGCTTTTCCCACGTGGTTTCTCCTAGTTGGTTTTAACGAGGCCTCCAAAACAATCAACCCCAACCTTTTGGAGGAAATCGAGGACGAAGGACACGGACGGCTCCGCATTGCCGTCCGTTGGAAATAGGTGGAATCTGGAAATGGACGCAATCTGCCGAGGAAGGAAATTGGAAATCGCGCCATGGGTGAGTCCTGAAGTCAAACAGGACTCGAATGCCCATCAAATTTGTTTCCCAACAACCGACAAGCAATCATCTGCAACCGACAATGGGCACGGCATCCGTGCCAACACATGGGTCCTGAAGAAACACAAGGACTCAAATTCCCATCCAATGCGCCAAACAAGAACAATCAAAAAAAAAATCGAAAACAAAAAACCCTCTCAAATCAAAACTACTGGCAATCGTCTGAATGCCAACAATATCATCAACATCAACATCATCAATATCCACAACATCAATATCAATATCAGGATCAACATCAACGTCAGACCAAACCAAACCAAACATCAAAACACAAAAACATCGAAAAACAAAAAACAACAACCAATCCACCATTCAATATGGAATCTCGAAAACAAAAAGCCGAATGTCAATGGAGGAAAACCAAGGGAAAATCAAAGGAAACTGGAATCACTTTTGTACGAGGCACTCTTTCCAGCTGATTGTATTTATCCCACAGGGTTTTCCTTCAGCTGGTTTTAACGAGGCCTCGGATTGATGTTGGAGGAAACGGACTTTGAGATATCATTTTTGTATTGCACATTGAACGGACAAAGGTTGCCGGATAGTTCGAGAGAGGGCATGGCACCTCTCTTTCGGGCTGTTCGGACAACGATACAAGGGCTTAGTTAGTTGCTGGATGGTTCGGGGGAGGGCATGGCACCTCTCTTCTGGATTGTCTGGTGACGCAAATCAATTTAATTACCACACAAATATGGCTATGAGGACTTACTAAGTAGATAAAGCAGCCGACTTAGTGCCGCTTTCTTACGGGTATAATCTACTAGGAAACTAATGCATGTTGGCCCCCAAATGGCAGCCATCAAGGAGTCATATTGAAGCAACTAAGCTCCTGATGTATTCTTAACTCGACTAACAATCTCGATAACATAATAGTTCGGGCTCGTTCACATCGAATTCTCGAATACCTCCATGCCTGCGTAGGACAATATCTTGTTCTGGTTGGAGAGTCTTTGGTTTTTCATACAGTCAAATTCTATGCCCAGCCTAAAATCTAGTAGTATAGCAGCTCAACAAGACTGATGCGTAGAATAAGGTAATTTGAGAGTATGAGATCCTACAAAATACGCCTAATTTTGCGCTGGCCAGGAATCCCCCGTCGTAGTTCGATCCTTCCTTGTTATGGCCCCTACTGTTGCCTGTTTGGTGCCTGAACGATCTGCAAAGTTGTCATCTCAACAGAACAATCCCTCCGACCACATCATCCGTTCTTCAACATTCTCATCATGAATAACAAACATAACACTCATGAAATGGACGACTCGCTCTTACTCGTTCTATTGACCAAGTTGAGCAACCTGGATCGGAATAAGCTCATCAAGCATATTCAACCTCCAGCCAGCGACTTCCAAGTCGACACATGGTATCCCAACGATTTGCTGCCCTCACTTGCTCCCCAGGGCCAATACAGAGATAGCCAAGCCAACCTTTATGCCATCGCGATCCATCTGTATCGTACAGGTCGCTCCTTTTTTGTTGTTGCTGACAGTCTCACCAAACGTCAACTGCAAGGCACTGCAGTTCGCGGCGAGAGTGATGCTATCTCGGTGGTTCTCATGGCCGTCCGGCCGTCTGCACGGGATGGCGAGGTTCGTGTCATTGCTAAGCGCTCAGCTATGACTCGGGATGAGAACGTCAATTTACTTCAAACTGCCAGATCATTTGAGATTTCCCACAAGTTTCTTGCCGACCGGTTGCAGTGTATCTCCCTGATATATTCGGACTTTGGGCTACAACTGCATGATCCAGACCGTGGGATCTTTGCCAGAGATACACCGCGAATGCTGGGGCACGAGCAACTGTCTATCACTTTTGAGAGTGAACTTGGGCCAAATATCCCGCTTCCCGCCGAGCTGGTGCACGAGATTTCCTCCCTGGCAAACGTCACCAGGTCCCAGAGCCCAGTGTTATTGCCAGCTGGCTCAAACTTCACACCTTATCGACCGTACATACACATCTTTCTCACATTCCGTACGAGTGAGGAGCAAATCCGAGGGATGCAGCGCGCATTACAACAATGGATGAGAATTGAGTATCAGGTACAGGAGGAGAAGAGACAACAGGAAAGGAAAAGCAAGGGAGTGAGAGATGCAGAGTATTACGATACCGATTATAACCCCAGTTGTGTGGCCTTTCTAGTCGAGCCAATCGTATCCCTCATCCCATGGAACTACAGCCGTGTCCCATCTCGGCGTGACGTGCTACGTATGCGCGCAGCGACAGCTGAGCATCCCACCAGAGTGACCGAGCTCCCGGAGACACGCGCACGACCAGTGGACCTTCTTCTGGAACCGCTGAAGGACGGAGAAGTTGCAGCTGCCGCACTTGCCACTGTCTATCCTGCCCCATGCGGTCTCATCGTCACCCAAAATACACTGAGCAACTTGGTGGAAGAAGTGGGCCTCCATAACAAGACTGAAAAGTTTTCTGAGTTTTCCGATGATCTACGTCACAACCAAATCATTGATTCCGATAAACTAGAGATATTACCATCCGTTGAGATTATGTCTTCGTACGATGATCCATTCTATTCCAATCCACCACCATGGCAACCAGTCGACCGCAGCATGAATTCTATCTCTTTGTTTTACATGACCAACAGACTTACGAAACAAGAAGATCGTGCACTGCATGACGAAATCCGAACCATGAATGATCTAGAACATCATAGTTGGAGCAGAAAGGTCATTAGCCCTGTGCCATGGAAGCCTGATCAGGACAATGCGGATGACGCTGGTTTGGACTACATGTGGGAAATTGTGGAAACTGTTCCGGAGAGCAATCATGTCCAACTGCCGTATTTCTTTGCTGATGAGCAGTCTGGCATGGATCAGACAATCATTGTGATGGAAAAGGATTATTTCTTTGCTCGTGACGATGACAAAAAGGCACAAGAGCTCCTCAGGGATGTGCCTGAGCCTGAATTTCGTGGCCTACGCTATGCTAGAATCAAAGGTCGAGATGCACACACAATATTCGCAAACCTGAGCCTCTGCAATATGGAGATGGAAGATTTTGACCTTGAGGGGGAAGGAGTCATCAAGCTGCCTAGGGCTGGCTGGCCTGGACATGGTGTCCTCTTCGAACAGTGGTAATTGGAGAATTCCCATATGAGCAATAACCATACGTTCCACAACAACACAGACGCAGCTTAGGCCGGTGATGTTGTACCGAGCGAATTGTATGATGTCCATTAGTGAATCTCTAGGATCCTGCAATGAAAGCTTAGGAAATTCATGAACCCATATCAATACATTGCTTCTTGAGAAAGGTGCCATCCTTTTTAAATGTACTATCAGAATCGGGAGCTCAAACTTGCTCAGATCACATTTTGCGATAAAGCTCCGAAATACCTGCACATCCGAGCCAATCCAGAAACACCTCATTGAGTCCTTGTCGCAGAAGTTCATCCCCCATGTGGTAACTTTCCATTCTCATCCATGCTGTAGTTCCCATCGTACTCTGGAGAGATTTCCCTTGGCTCCATGTCTCAATAGATCTCTGAAGGTCCATCCAATAAGGACTGTTTGGCTGCCAACATCGCTCCTGATCTGCGGCTGAGGCAAGTCTCTCAAATTCCGGTAGAGACTGAATAGTCTCCCAGATCCGAGGCGCATCATAGTATGCTACCCTACCATACTTCTGCAGTATTTGTTGTGTATACTCAGGGTCAACCATTTGTCGGGACGTTCGCCGCAAATAATCAATTTGCCGCTCTATAAGGTCGTTTATGTCCTCTGTAGTGCGCGAAGGATCGTCCTTTCTCTCCATTCTGTCGAGATAATGGGTAAGCTCATCTCTCAATTTTCGGAGCCGGTATTGTGTCCATTCAGGATAGAGTGTGTTGGTATCCGCGTAAGGCCGAACATTGGTAATATAACTGGAATCATAGACATTGGGCATCTTAGCCCGGTAGGAAGTGATGGTTGATATGCGCTCTTTGACACCTTTCGCCCGAGCTGCTAGATGGCAGACTTCGCCGCCTTGGAGCATCACTGCATGGCCCATCTGGGGGCCTTCCACCTGTGCAGGGGTTAATGAGAATGGATCATTAGTAGTCTAATGGTGGTACTCACCTTTTGTGCCTCCCCATTCCCCTTTTTGATGTATGTCTCGCCTCCGATCATACCCTCTGTTTCGCTCAGCATCAATACGCAAACATAAGGATATGAGTCATAACTTTGATCGAATTAGCCCCAAGAGCGGCACAAAAAGGGAAATGTGAGGATAAACGTACTGCCATGGTATTATAGCACTGGCGTCTTTCAGTGGGTCGTAAGCTTGTTCTTCGGGAGTCAACTCAACCTTTTCTAACGTTGGTTCGATCCTCAGATTGCGGGACATTTCCGATATGGTATTGCCTTGCACTTGAATGTTGGTGTGTGCTATTTCCGTCGGCATCACCACCTCTAAAGGTACACCGACTGCTTCGGATACGATTTTCAATGTTTCGGGGTGTGTCCAAAGGTCATGGACAAACTTTGAATGCTTAGCCGCATCTCGTAGGACCAAAGTTCCAGGGAAGGGTGAGGTAGCGCATTTTTCGACAACGTTCCTTTGGAATAAGGCTCTTCGATAAGCTCTTACGCCTTCAGCTGACAACAGTGGAAATGGGACTGTTCCTGCAATGGGCGAGGCGGTTGGGCTTGGGTTCAAGAGGAGATCATCCATTGTGAACTTCTTCAGAGGTGGGGTATAGTTAAGATGTACCTGTTGTTTGCGAGCTTAGATATAGAGGCTTGAGATACGCTCAGAAAGGCAGTGGGGAGGGCTAAATGATGTACACATACTCTTGGGTTGAATGTTTCTTCGTGATCCAGACTTTTGGATGGTCCTTTGAACCATTGCTTGAGCAAATTGAAAGGATTTATCAAAGGCATAGTTTGTTGAATAGGTGGAATTGTAGTACTATGTTGAAACCCTTAGGTTTATGATAATCAAGAGTCGTCGTTGGGCTGGGTGGGAGAAAGGCATGAATCAGAAATACCGCTCTTTATTATCAATGCGCCTGGGGCTATATTTTCTCGGCGTATAGTAACTTATTCGGCTATGCTCCGAGCCAGATCCGTGATGCCTATCCAGGAAGGCCTGTCCGGGGCATTTCAGCGCACATCCATGTTCTGGGATCACATATCCATTTTTAGAACTTTCAAACTTATGTGCCAGCGTCAGATACCAATGAAATTGATCTGGCGAGTTGTAGTTCTGTGTATACCGCAAAATAATTGTGGGATAGATACGTCCTCATTTTCGATATATCCAGTCCGTACCCGTGGTACCCGTGGACCGCTCCTCGTATCTCCCGAAATGCAACCAAGACACTGATCACTTCATTGGATTGTGCTTCCAATCAGAAGGTGCTTCGACCTCATTCGCAAGGGCTGGAGTTCACCTTTCATGACTGACAGACTGGGAAGCCCACCTACCTGAATATCCATGTAAGTAAGTACCTATTAGGGCCTGTTATTGTCCTGAGTACGTGGGCAAGATAGCAGAAAAGGTGCTGATTGGGTAACCTTTGCCAGAAGAAGAGATTGCAGCAGACTTGACTGCTAACTATGCCAAAGAAGAAGCGAAAATAAAATGTATCTTGCCTTCGAGATCTTGACCATCCTCACCAGTGCCGGGCTTCCCAAGACGGCATCACCCGTCACACTGGGGGTTTTCCCCAACAATCACCTAGATTCCCGTCTGTCACCCGTTGTAGCAAGCAGAGATAGATCTGGTGACACTCTCTAGTCTACCGAGCACTGGAAATAGGTAACGCTGGCCACAGTGGAGACCGCCTCGTAGGAAGGCACATTCCATTTCCTTACCCCAAAGCGGCTGATTATGTCATCCTCGGCTTTCCCCGCAATCTCGCTTTGCGTCGGCTCACAGCTTCTCCAAGCCCTGGGAGCTTTTTCCCATTCTTTCTTTTATCCCTTCGATAGACCTCGATCATGGTAATTTTTTGATTTACTCTACTCTCTGTGAAAACCGCGCTGCAGCTGTATAGGCTGCCTTCTACCGTCATGACCCTCTCATCCCTTCTCCGCATTACTCCCCGCTTAACCCCGACCGCGGCCCGCAGAACATCGCGCGCTATATCCTCCGCCACTAACTCAAACACAACCAAGTCATTGGACTCAATTCTTATTGCTAATCGCGGTGAAATCGCTCTGTATGTCAATAACTGGTATAATATTGGAATCCGTGGTGCTAATTTTGCCTTGTTAGACGAGTTGGACGCACTGCTGCGGAGCGTGGGATCCGCGTGACAACACTCTACACCGACCCAGACAGTCGATCACAGCATGCCTTGAGCTCGCCCTTTGCTTTCAACTTGGGGTCGGTGTCGGCGTATCTTGATGGTGACCGGATTATTGAGATTGCCAAGAAGGAAGGATGTCAAGCTATACACCCTGGTTACGGCTTTGTAAGTTGACGGTCAAAATGCAATACACTGAGTGGAATGCTGACTCGCAATCTGATACTCAGTTGAGTGAGAACTCTGCATTCGCGCAGAAATGTACCGAGGCCGGGCTGGTCTTCATTGGTCCGCCGTATAAAGCCATTGAGGATATGGGCGATAAGAGGTACGTTTGTTACTTGATTCTCGGGCTCACCATGCTTACTCGATCCATTTGAACAGTCGTTCGAAAGAGATTATGACAGCTGCGGGTGTACCATGTGTACCAGGCTATCACGGACAGAATCAAGATCCTGCTTTCCTCGAGGAGCAGGCAGATAAGATCACATACCCGGTACTTATTAAAGCCATCAAAGGAGGTGGTGGAAAGGGCATGCGTATTGCCAACTCTAAGGCGGTCTTCCAGGCTCAGCTCGAGTCAGCGAAGTCAGAATCCATGAATTCATTTGGAGATGACAATGTGCTGGTGGAAAAATATATCACTACGCCGCGGCACATTGAAGTCCAGGTGTTTGCAGACAAGCATGGCAACTCTGTGGCACTGGGAGAGCGAGACTGCAGCATTCAGCGGAGACACCAGAAAATTCTAGAGGAATCTCCTGCCCCTCATCTCCCCGATGTAACCAGAAAGGACCTTTGGGCGAAGGCCAGAGCTGCTGCCGAGGCTGTTGGCTATGAAGGTGCTGGTACCGTGGAGTTCATCTTCGATAATGATACAGGGGACTTTTACTTCATGGAGATGAACACTCGTCTCCAGGTCGAACACCCTGTGACTGAGATGGTCACCGGACAGGATCTTGTTCACTGGCAGATTCTGGTGGCCGAGGGAGCCAAACTGCCTCTCACACAAGAGGAAGTCGAAGAGCGAATCGCTCAGAGCGGACATGGCATTGAGGCCCGTATCTACGCTGAGAACCCAGCACAGGGATTCATCCCTGACTCGGGGCGTCTACTTCACGTGCGGACACCGGCCACGTCCGAAGATATCCGCATTGATGCAGGATTTGTGGAAGGGGACGACGTCTCCGCACATTACGATCCCATGATCTCCAAGCTTATTGTGCGCGGTGCAGACCGCGAGGAAGCTCTTCGAAAGCTGGCTGCTGCCCTGGAAGAGTATGAGGTTGCAGGACCCGTGACTAACATTGAGTTCCTGAAAACCATCTGCAAGAGCCCGGATTTCATTGCTGGCGAGGTAGAGACTGGCTACATTGAGAAGCACCGCGAAGAACTGTTCAGTCCGAAGATCATTGAGGAGGAGGTGTTGGCGCAGGTTGCATTGGCCTGTCTCCATCGCGACTCTGTTTCCGGAGCGCGCGCTTCGGCAGGGGTTGCAGGCACAACCATTGGGTTCAACCCTAGTTACCAAGAGCGACAGCTGTCATTCACCGAGAGTACGGGGCCAGGGTCTACCGATGGCTCTACGTTCAATGTACGGGTACAACAGACGGCCGATGATACATTCAATGTGGAAGTCGGCGGACGGGTCTTTGAGCAGGTAGTGAGCCGCATGGAGGCTGCGTCGCAGGTTGTCACCTCCTTCTTCGCGCACACGCGACTAGATACGACCGTGATCCGAGACGAGGATACTATTATCGCATTCCAACGCGGAACTCAATATCGACTCACCGTTCCTCGCGCCAAATGGATGGAGAAAGCACTTGGGCTGAAGGATGTGGCAAATAGCGTTCTGGCGCCGATGCCGTGTAAGATTCTCCGAGTGGAGGTACAGGCGGGAGACGAAGTGGAGAAAGACCAGCCGCTGGTTGTGATTGAGAGCATGAAGATGGAGACGGTGATCCGCAGTCCACAACGCGGGACCATCGCGCGGGTGGTGCATCAAAAAGGAGTAAGTCACGCGCCCTTCCCCCTGACTTTGTTCTAGAATTCCCGAACCCCGTGACTCTCTTTTCTTTTTGTTGGTGATTTTGGGCTTTTGACGGCCCCTGGACACCTGTCTGGACCGTTCTTTTCTTTTCTTTTTCTTTGCGGAGAGATAAGAAAAAGCCCCCTTTCACTGGAATTTTCCAGGCTCTGCAGGTGAGAGATTCGAGAACAATTCACTAACATCGGGCTTGCAGGATCAATGCAAAAGCGGAACACCGCTGGTCGAATTCGCCGAGTCCGAATAATATGCCATTCACGTTATTTAGAAGCACGGAATTCTCGTATGGGTGGCAAGATGTCTCACTCGGGGGGAATCCTTTCGTGGTTCTCGACCAGCTTCCAAGTAAGATTGGAAGTATACCCGATTCATGGTGGGACTGGGGGTTTAAGAACACTGTCACGCGAAAGAAAAAAAAAATAGTTCTCCAATAGCAAGGCTTTGAGATAACGCGCCAACGTTCAATAAAGTACGGAGTACTACAGAGGTACTTCGGAGTACTTAGTAAAACCCGGCTTCCATACGGAGTAGCTAGGTACCTCCGTAGTCAATTAGTCCATCGCGACTGTGGAGCGAACAAAACCGGGTCTCGGGTAGACCCCCCACACCTCCGATCCACCATTTACCCCAGACTCGGCCCTGAAAGGAGAAGCTGTTGATTCCCGGACAACCGTGTGATATTTGATAGTGTGTGTGTACCTCCTCACCGAGTATTGCATTAGATGTGGCAAACAGGTATGCACTGAAACTGCATGACACCAAAGTGACTGACTTGGGCGAATCAGTGCCAGCGGCAAATGCGTGAAGTGTAGAAAATGACTGGTCTTTTTGGCAAAGATCCCAGAAATAAAGTAAATCGTCGGAGGTACAGGGTACTCCGGGCTTGCATTGGGTTTAGGAGTCTGTGCAGGGGTGCAGCTGGGGCATAGAGCTTGACCCCTATATCAAATGTCCCGTGGATTGAGGGAGATACCTATATCTGCCAGGGAGAATAACCAGATCAATACCAACCAAGCTCACCGGGTGAATTGCGCTTCAAAGGCGAAAACGCAAAGCGACACGAAGTATATGATACCGCGTCACTGGTACACGCCGATCGATCTGACATCACCGCTTTGCCTCCATGTGGATAATCCGTTTTTTTAAAAGCAGCTCAATTCAGAAATCAGGTAAATAAAAGCCATTCCTGGAAGATCAAGCTCCAATTAAACGCCCCACGTCAGCTGTCCATTGGTCTCTTTTCACCGCAACTGTCGCATTCCCCAGCTCCTTGGCTTCGGTGCGAAAATAAAAGCTCTCCGACCTTTGTCCTCTCCTGGAACAACCTTCCCTCCCTTCTTGCCTATATCAATTGCTTCCCAGTCCTCTCCTCCTGATCACACCTCATTGCGTCCGTGTCCATCTCCACCAGCTCCAGTATCTGAAGCTGTACTATTCGCAATGTTCAAGCCTACAGTCGCACGAAATGCCATCAGGGCTCTAAACACCACTCGCCTTGCATTCGCAGCGGCCGCTCGCCCAGCTACAGGTTTTACCCGACCACTCTCATACACTGCCTCGCTCAGCAAGAAAAAGAGCGATGGCTCTTCTAAGGACCCTATAGTTACTGCTACAACCAAGGCACCCGAGGGCGCCTCTGGTGAGCACGAAGGCCAATTCGCTCGCACTGATCAAAGTGTTCATATCGAATATCCTCCCGACCACGAGATGCCCGCTCAGCCCGTGGCCCAGGGTCGTGGTGGCATGCATTTCAAGCGTACTTTGGCCCAATTCTCGCTCGAGAGGAAGGTCAGCATAGTAACCGGAGGTGCTCGTGGATTGGGTCTCGTTATGGGACAAGGTCTTGTCGCATCTGGCTCTGATTTGGCCATCATTGATCTCAACAGTAAGTTTCTACCATTGCAATTAATCAATAGAGATGACCGACACTAATGCCTATCGCAGAGGACGAAGCCGAGTCTGCAGCTGCCTCGTTGATCGAACAATTCCGCAAAGAGAACCCCGGCCTGGAGGAGTAGGTCCACACCCGTTGTCATGTCCAACTCACCGCAGAGGCTAACCTGCACTAGCATGCCCAATGTCACAGCCCACTATGCCGATGTCGCCAACCCCGAATCCGTGAATAAGGCGATGGCCGAAGTCCTGGGTAAGCATGGCCAGATCGATAACCTGGTCACCTCGGCTGGCTTTACCGAGAACTTCGATGCCATCAATTATCCTTTCGATCGTATGCAGAAGCTGTGGGGCGTCAACGTTGACGGAACCTATCTCTTTGCCACGAGCGTGGCCAAGCACCTGATGGAGCGCAAGGCTCCCGGTAGCATCGTTATGATCGGTTCCATGTCTGGCGCTATTGTCAACGTGCCCCAGCCCCAGGCTCCGTATAACGCTGCTAAAGCAGCTGTCCGTCACCTCGCAGCTTCGCTCGCCGTCGAGTGGGCTGGTCATGATATCCGTGTCAACTGCATTAGCCCCGGCTACATGCTTACCGCGCTGTGAGTGACCCCATGCATTATGCAATACACACTTTGGTATCAAGAATTCCTGCTGACATGTGTCCTCGCTGTTCAGAACCCGCAAGATCCTTGACGAGAACCCCCAACTCCGCGATCAGTGGACCTCCCTCATCCCTGCCGGCAAGATGGGCACACCAGAAGATCTCATGGGCGCCGTGACCTTCCTACTCAGCGACGCTTCCAAGTACATCACGGGAGCGGATCTCCGCGTTGATGGTGGCTATACCGTGACCTAAATACCAAATCCACGCAATGTTTGTCTATTCTCTTTGATGTTTTCTCGTTGCATAATCTACGGGTTTTTTTCACGGATGCGATTGCACTATAGACCGGGTTGATTTAGGGGCATGATTGGGTTGCAGGATAATTTAGCCACTCTTGTTTTGTGGATTGTTTTGTGTTCTTTTCTTATTCGCATCTTGTTGAGCTCATCGATTCTTTTCAAACGGCATTCTTGATTCATCCCGAGCCCGCGTGAGCTTGGGATATGCCTTACGGCCGTCGAGCGCAGATAGAATCGGAGAGGATTATTATGTATCTTCGATTCAAAAGTTCATTGATTATTTCTCACTTGCATAGATGTGATTCCATGCAATATAACGAATAATGAGATCACTTTGCGACAATAATGACAGCTCCCCAAATTCTTACGTCTCTGACAGGGGAAACAAGGCTATATCTTCAAAATCTGCCCCTTACTTACGGAGTACATGTGTTCTTTATAATACCCCTGAGGCTTGCCCAGAAGAACAGATATCATCTACCTAGGTAGGTAGGTTATCCACCCGCGACACCCCCTTGCGGAATGAAACAAGATATTCGGTTATGAACATGACGAATATTCATCGACGCATCTGATTTACCTACATTCCTGACTACCCCTGATCTGAAGACATGGACCTGGAAATCCCCAGCGCGGGATGGCTTCCGATCTCCCCGTGGCTTGCGTATGTTTGGTTTTTGAACGCGACTATGTATGTGTTTCAGCAAACTTGGCGTTGAGGTAGTTTGTCGTATCTGATCTCCATCGGAATGCACGATCGGACAGCCAGTGTCCACGACGGTGTCCATGTTATTCAGATCATTTCATGAAACGTCTTAATATCAAGACGGGATTACCATTGAGTGGGGAAATGGTGATTTGTGCATATTCAGGGAAATATATAATTCTCGAATAAAACGACATGCGTTAATGTGAATGGCAGCGAAGGCGCGGGGAAAGCTAGATTTATAGAAAACACCTCTTTATATAACCTTCCCTGCTCTGTATTTCAATCTTCTATCGAAGGATTGCCCAACAAAACCAAGCCTGCCAACTTCAAACTCTACACCATGACAAGCACCGCCAACCCACCAATTCGATTACCATCCTTCAACATTTCAGACAGGTCACAGGTCCCCGGCCAACTCAAACCACCCAACCTCCTCGACCGTTAAAGGTTCCCGGAACCGAGCCACGACCTGACCGTGAGGTGGTCAACAAGCTTAAAATCTCCCGCCAAGGCACCGTCTGGTTCACACCACAGTGTATTCCTCGATAAGGCTGGGCTGTCACAGCTGGCACTCTAATTACGAACCTACCATGTATCAAGCTGCCGCAACGACATGAGCATGTCCGCGTGCTTCGGGAGAAAGGACAGCGTCTGGGGATACGGGCTTCAATGGGAATATCCTTCCGAGCGGGTCGGCGGAACTCACTAGTCCTGCGAACCCTTCGATGACCGATCTCATGGCCGGTGCCGGAGAAGCTTTTGATAAAGAAACAGAACTTAAGTCCCTCGCCAAAATGATCGTCTCCGATTTGAAGACCCACATCAGCAACTTTTCAAGCGGTCCAAAGGCGTGCGATGGTCAAGGTCAGATTCGAGAGGGCAATATTCAAGTCTCTGAGCCTCGTAAAGAAGCAATTTCAATAGTCTGCACGGCGACGGAAAGGACAGTTGCCTACTCTCAGCCTGGGTCCCGGCATGGTCACTGAATTCGCAAAAGGGCCCCGAGCGAAGACCTGTTGTCTCAAATGCAGGTAGGCATTGGAATTCCACTTATCCTGGAGACCGAACTCATGGGTGAGAATTTGAAGAGCAAAATGTGCCGCACTGAGACCTTCATATCGGCGTTGTAACTCTATAGGCCGAATCTGCGACAGCTATGAGCTCATGAGCTTTGCTGTCCGCAATCTTGCCGAGACAGAAGGGCAGGAGGCCATTGCACCCACATGGTCAAATTATGGAAACTCAATTGGGCCTCAGATTATGTGGTCGAATATAATCACCACAAGTGATTTCTCTTACCGAGACCACAGCGCATGAGATTTCTGAATGTTTCGATTCCTCGCTAGGGCGTCGATGATGGGGGAGGCCCTTGAGGGTGGGAGCAATGTATGTGGAAATAGGAGGTACGAGGTGCAATTGCAGGGAGGGAAGGCGACTTCTCTGCGCCCGCGAGGATGCCAGGTTTGGGCCCTTTATGAGATGACTTTCTTTATATTTTCTTTCGTCTCGCTTGTCATCGCCGGCTCGTGTGTCGCCCTATCTTTCAGGTTGAAAGTCCTCGAGGACCCATGGGAATACCCTCATGGACTCCGCGAGGACTAATCGACAGGGTGAATTTGCATACTGGGGATGCACCATCATTAGTTATCGTCAAAGTTGCTTTCTGACGCTATTGCGCATAGCAGCATGTATTTCAGGCGGGCTAGATAGGTTTAATAAGATTATCATCATCTTTTCGCTCTCCATAACAGCCATTATCGATACATCACGCACAAAATGCGCTGTGCCCCGGGCAAATTGGTCCATGACCCATAGCTAGCAAAATTTAATCCATCGCAAATTTTGCAAACTCCGCTTTCGGTCGTTATATCGAGCGTGGGTGAGGTTGCGCACGTAGCGTGTCGTGTCGTGTGATCTTAATCCTCACGCGATAGTGCTTTCAAGATGGGAATCCTTACAAGCTAGAGACAGGCTCTAAAGTTGCTCAAAGGTGTCCAGCCGCTCAATGCCTATCGTTCCCCAGTCATGCTCAGTATCCAGTTACTGATTTATTGGAGGAGAATGGAGATAATATCGTGACCCAACGTCACGATATCTATCAAGATCTGTATCTTTATCCTGCTGATCATGCGGAGGTGTTTTATCAGGTTCAAATTCTTTTGTTGTGTGCTATTTCATGCTATCACCATCCATATAGGCTTGGCTTTGTCATGCAGGACTCGATAGCTCCCCATGTATATCACGTACCTGATAGGTATACCCGGTTGATCTTGGTGTCACGCGGGACGGTCCGCCCTAACCTTAGATAGTTCTAAATCCAACCTGGGAACCTCGGAACCTTGGAAGCCCCCAACGCTCCCAATAAATCATTAAGCATACCCGGTGGAGCTACACACCATCGTAAAGTCTTGTGCCGGGGTATCCGTCGATCATGAAGTGCTTTTTAAGGAAACATCACCGGACAGATATACCTTTAAATCCATATACGAAATGTGCCTTTATGCAAGGACTGCTTTAGGCCATGTACATCTCACTAGTAGGTACGGAGTACTCCGTCCTGCATTCTATTTTGTGCAATGCAACCCAAAGCTCTTTCGACGTGTCAAGACTCAAGGCTCATCCTTGCTTGCAGACTGCTAAGCCTGCTGACACGAGGTGCTTTCCGTTCTTTCGATATTAGTATTACTACGATGCAACAATGCGCATGATTGCTTACCTCGGTTGCAATATCTCGCAGATCTCATCACTAACGCTGTGTCCAAATTTTGCAGCTAAATAATGTCTGGGGAAGCGGGGAACTTAACGGATGGCATGTGACAATTCCTTTCGGCTGGGATGCTCTGCTGACTGAAATACGAGTTATATCTTCACGGGTAGGTATATACGACGAGTACGACTTAACCAATCCGTGGGCACCGCAACGGCAACCTTCTAGGAATAAAGACGTTTATGGTTAATTTAGAGCTAACCACAGCTACAGCGAGTTGCGACGTGGTCTACGATAAGTGGGCGAAATATATTCCAAATAATAACTATTGGAAGACAAGATCATTATTACATTTATCCGGTGACAAGATCACTATTGGTTATTCTCTGCCGTCTCCAGAAAAATCAATAACTAACCGGCTGTCCGTCGGACTTCTATCTACTGGATGGTCATGCGCAACCATCATCAATATGAAGGTAATTGTGGGCTTTTCTCATGGGTTATCCCTGTGCTGAACCGGGGAAATTTGACGAGTTCAGCGAGATCGGGGCTTCTAAAACTGATGTTTTCCTTCTCCACTGGTAGGACTACGGAGGGTGGAAGAAGCCTACAGGAGTATAGGCGTCTCCGTATGATTGGGCCTCCTTGTAGCACACAAGCTCTGATCGTAGATGATATGTCCAAAATTCTGCTAAGATTATTTGAACTCAGGGGCTGTTATTCAAATGACAGATCTATGTGGTGCTTGGCATGTAGATCATTGTTGGTGTGGGCCCCGAGAGCCCCAATGCCGTTGTGCTTCGAACGCATTATGGATCACTGGGTTCAACTTGCCTTTCTGTCGCGTTTTCAATCACCAAGTCGATTTATGGTAAAGTCGGCGCTGCGACCTCGTCAATATTCAGTGCAAAAACCCGGGAGACTAGGAATTAGAGCACCAAAGCTCCAAATGTGATCTCTGCTAAAGTCTAACATGGATAGAGCAATCAAGGATGGCGAATCCCTGTAAGTTAAATGACGGGACAGGGAGGCCCAAACGACATATTTAAGAATCAGGATTATACACAACAAGATATCCCGTCCTTATTCAAATTGATTGACTTTACACCCCATTATTCTGAGTTATGCCCCGCCTCGGAATCTAGACCGCGCCGAGTATTCGGCCCTGCATACCTCGCGAGATGTTTGTTAAGTGCGGCATTTCAATGTGGGGCCTTAAGCCCGACCTGGTTTTAGACGCCTTCCCCTTTTTAGTTGATCTCACACATTGCTGCATATGCTTCTCTGTTACGGAGTATATGGTGTCTCTTGGAAGCAACTCTACCGAGCTAGGATGAAGGCATGGGATCAAGGGTTCAGGGCTCAGGGGCATCCAACATAGTCAGAAGATGGAGGTGGCTGGCTGTCACTTGGAAAGGGCGGGATCATCAGAACAAGCCTTACGTGACCCGAATGCTGGTAGCGCAGGGGTTGTCAACAAGGGTGCGGCCGAGGGACAACCAAGGAGAATTGAGCCGGCAAAATCATGAATTACATCGCAGGCCAAGTCTTCGGACGGCTGCCGTTGCCATCAAGGTAAAATTTAATTAAAACTCGCCTGGATCTAAAGTGGCGAAGTTCTTTAGTTCGCTCAAACAACCAGTCATGCCGCGATTGCTTTAAAAGTGGTATAAAGACTTATTCCTCAGCTTGTATTGAGTGCCTGGGGGTTGTGTATTGTTGTCACTGGCATTATCCTGGCTTGAAATGCATCCATCGGGAGCTTTGTCCATGGCACCACGGATGCTTCGTTTGAAAGCCGCGATATTTCTCTTCCAACTCATTTTTGTTCTCCCTCGATCGGCCGGGGCGCAAGATCTAATATCACTTGATCAGATAGGACTAGATCAGCTATCACCATGGGAAAATTCCATCACAGGCTTTGGACCAGATGTCGCTCTCGGTGATTTCTGGAACGCCACCTTCCCAGTGGCCGAGAGTACCATATACGATGATTATGACACCACTGGTAGCAACAAAAGCAGCTCCGTGGATACTTTCAGAATGCTAAGAGGCGCGAAGGATTTCTGGCTGAGGGTTATGCCATTGGGCGCATCTATCACAGAGGGAGTTGGGTCAACAGACCGAAACGGCTACAGAAAGTGGATTCGCCAGCAACTACGCTGGAAGGGTTGGAAAGTCAACAGTATGCAGTATTTGCTCTATAAGCACAGAACTCTGAATGACTGACTTGATCACAGTGGTTGGATCAAGCCATATCGGTACAATGAAAGACAGGGTGAGGCATATTCTCTTGGGATTTGTGCCCTCGGTGCTGGCTAACATTGCACGCGCATCAGGACAACGAAGGTCACCCGGGCTGGATTATTGACCAGGTTCCCAATAAAACTATTAACGGAGTGCGACAGGCCTGGGACTCTGCCAAGTCGTTGAAACCGAACCTAGTCCTCCTCAATGTCGGAACCAACGACTGCGGCAATGGTCTTGAAGACGGCGCCGAGACCCGGATGGGGGATTTCATAGAGAGCATCTTCAAAGATGTTCCCGGAATCGTTCTGATTCTATCGACTCTGGTGCCGAGTCCTAATGTTAAGGACTGTGCCGCTAGGCTGAGTGAAAAGTATCGCCAGCTTGTGCCCAACTACCCTCGTGGTAAGATTGCCCTCGCCGACTTTAACGCGGCGATGAACCCAAACACCATGATTTCTTCCGACAATGTTCACCCAAATGATCTTGGCTATAAGTTCATGGCCTCAGTCTGGTGGGACGCTATTTCAAAAGTCGAAGGTAACATAGTGAAGCCGTTGGATAATGGAAAAGATGATTCTCCGGGTGATGTTTCTTGCGCTAAGAATCCTGGTGGTTCTCGAGGTCCCATCGTGACGCAGTCAGGCTCTGGCAAAGATGATGGCATCTACGTTCACAAGTCGCAAGGCCGTGGTGTTTTGAAAGACGGCAGAATCCAGAAACCATCTTCTCGGAATGAGAGCAGCGCAATTCCGTCCCACATCTGGTTTGCTCAACTGACTGAAGCTAACAATGTGGACCGTGGTGCGGCTTTGGATGACTGGGTATGTTCCAGCTCTTTGTCAAATCGCAAACAAGAACAATCGCTCACTGAGTTAGATTCGCATTAATCCCCGCAGTGCCTCGGATGGTAAAAATGAGTATTGGTTCCGTGAGAATCTGGGTGGAGGCAGCTTCGCCACGTCTGTTCAGTTTGATGTGAAGCAGAACTGCGATGGGGGCCCGAGTAAGTCGTCGATAGAATGCGAGGGGTGGAAATATATGCCCGCTCAATCATAGGATTACGCTAACGGTGTTTCTGTTCTTTTTAGATTACGCCTGGGCGGACTTTGTGAGTGAAACCTGCTGCTTACTTGCAATGGCAATGAATAGCCATAGAGCCTTGCTGACGTGCGATTTTGGCAACTTATGAAGAACAATGACGGACTTGGTGAGATAATTACTATCACCTCTTGTGGTCAAAGACCTCGTGCTGACCATAGTTTCTCGGGGGTAGCCGATTTCTGGTGTATCGGTCAAGACGCAAAGATCTCGGTCTCAATCAATAAAGGAACACGGCCTCCAACTGTGAGCATGTCGCGGAAAGATCGCCGTTGTCCCGTTAGTATGGTCCTCTGTTTGCTGATGCACATCACCCTCGATCCTAGTTTGAGTATCTCGGCAATGTTCTTCCCGCGCAGGGAAACTTCAAAGCATCAGATGTCAGAATCGCTGATATAGACGGCGACGGGAGGGCCGATGTCTGCTTCGTTAATGATAATGGGGACATTGCCTGTTCTCGAAATGGAGGCCAAGGCACAAACTACAATTGGCAAGGCTTCCACACGGTAAACGGCCTCGGCGAAATAATCTTTACTGGAAAGGGCAATGGGAGCAAAGATGGGATTGTTCTTGGTAAGCCTTCCCTCCCTGTTTAGTATTAGAGCCAAGGTGAATTCGGAAACTGACTTATGCTCAATAGCCGATCTCAATGGAGAGTAAGTCCCCTGTATAAAGGGGATTTCTTGAAAAAACGCAAGCTTACTGACTCGCTGCTTTTGCTGCGTAGTTTCCGAGACGACTGGATGCTAGTTGGCGACACTGGGCAAGTTGACACATGGATCAACCAGCGGGGTACAGGCACCGGCATAGTAAGTACACCCCTTCTCGCAGTCCCTGCCGACCTTCTCTTTCGCTTGACATTCTATTCACCACTCGGTACAGGCTCCGCAGTGGTCTGCATCAGGTACTACGCATGTTGGAGTAAATGTAGCAGGTGCCCGTGACAGGATCAAGTTCGGTCGTATCTACGGCTCTGGGCGGCGTGACTACATCTATCTCAAAGAAGAGAATGACTACTACGACATGATGGTATTCGAGAATCTTGGTGCAGGAGGGACAAAGCTCAAAGGTTCGTCTTCGACGGGCAAAGGGCTCGATGTTCATGGACTGACGTATATTATATCACTAGGGGACGGATCATTCTACTGCGACATGACGGGCAGTGGGAGTGCCGACTATGTGTGGATCTATATGGACGGACACGCTGATTCGTCTGCACTTTCCTTGAACATCCATGACCCGCCGAATTGGGGCCACAAAATTTCTATTCAGCTCAACGTTCCCGGACCTCGTGTCGGTATACACTTGGCCGACTGGGATGGAGATGGTCGTTGTGATGTGCTCGTCCAGACTAAATCGACCGGCGCCCTTACAATGTGGAAGAACAACGTAAGTAGCATCCATCGTGGGAAGAAAGTGACGAGTCCTAACTCCTACGGTTCACTGTTCAAGTACGACAAAGATAAGCAAACGATCACATTCACCAATCAGGGTGTCGTTTCAGGGAGTGCCACATGCAGCCAAGGATGGGGTGTTAGCATCTTCGATCGCGGCATGCGAATTGCCGACATTGAGTAAGAATACCAGCAGGCAGTATGTCAACGTTACTCGTATCAAATTGCTGATTGTTGCTTGCAGTGGTGATAATCGGGCGGATATTCTCTGTGTGGAACCAGCAGGCCGGATAACAGCTTGGCTCAATAAAGATACTGGACTGCAGAACGTCGGTCAGATCAAGGCATCCGAGGGTTGGGACCGGGCCAATATACGCTTCGCTGATGTTGAGGCCTCTGGCCGAGCGGACCTTCTTCATGTTGACAAGTACACAGGTGCCACGGTCATGTTCAAGAACGATGGATATCGACCTAACGACGTGGCCACCAACAAAGGCAGCACGTTCCACTGGACCCATCGCGGTGTGGTGTATTCGCCAATTGACCGCGGGGAGAACATAGTACGTCTTGAATTGTTGCTAACTAGTCATCGGACTGCACTGGGGATAGACTGACGATATGTGTGGCTCACAGCATTTTGTCAACTTGGGCGGCCTTGGACGGGCGGACCTCCACCATGTCTGGCCAAACGATAACAAGGTAAGTCAATGTAACATATCACTGGCTGCGATTTTATCTAACGCTGTGGTCACTAGGCGGAGACATTTTTCAACGAATGTAGCCAGGGCGGTGGCCTCGGAGGTGATGACGAGCCTGTCTGTGAGTAGCGCTCTAGGCTGACAGGGCTTCACGTTCCCCTGATTTTCTCCAGTTCGATCCTCTAACAGATCATCTAGCCGATCCAGGACTCCCCCCTGTGTCTCTCAAATCAACAAGGGCGGTACGGGGAAGGCAGCAGCCGCGACGATGATGCGGAATTTGTTCCAGCCCTAGATTCGCGCTCGGCGTGACTGGCAAATCACTACCATCGCTGACGAGAATGAGATTGATGACACATACAGCACCAGGCTACGTCAAAGGATTATGGCCACCTCGGTACCTGTGCAAGGGCGGCCTTCGTGTCAAACGTATCGCTTCCCACTATGACTCTGACAACAACTGTGACTTGCTGTACTGACTATATGCTGTCATCGGGGGACAAGCAAAAGTACATTGAAATTTATATAGTTTTATACCTCATACCTCATCCAACATAGGATTTGTCTTCATTGTGATAAGCTTTAGATCACAGTGATATAATATAGACAAGAATCAATCGTCCAGAATTAGCTGGCGATGTCAATATGTAGCGTAACTGTTCTTCGCGCAAAAGGCTCCCCATCGATGTTACCCGGATCATTATATACCCGGTCGGCATCCAACGGTGTATGCGTCCGTCTTTCGCCAACTTCCACAAGCTCAGATCCTACAGTCGCGTGTTTCCAATTGTCGCCAGTCCTGCTGTCTCACAGAATGCAGGCAGCATGCTGGACATGTCGCAACCGCACTATCCAATGTGACAAAACCAGCTTCCCTTGCGCCAAGTGCAAGAAAGCTGGGCTGGAATGCTTTGAACGAAGACCGCTACGATGGGTCAAAGGTATAGCAATCCGCGGCAAAATGCGCGGTCGTATGCTTGAACAGGACTCTAAGGCCTCCGATGAGATCTCATCCGCACATCTTCCGCGGAAGCAAGTCTTACATCCCCTCTCGAAGGTTTTGGCAATCAACATCACTCCCCAGTTCGCTTTGCAAGACCCTTCCATCAAAGCTCTTGATTGGTCATCAAGGTTTTATCTTGATTACTGTGGGTTTCCAGCACGGTTGGTGCGCCTGTGAGTGTGCTAATGTAAGATAAAAGATAACGTATGCATCGCCAGGTTGTACATTCTATACGACAGTGAGAGCAACCCATTTAGGCATTTACTCACTTACGCTATGAATGATTCAACCTTACGATACAGTATAATCGCCCTTGCTGCTCGACATTTCGCTAATACAGGCCGATCATTCGATCAGGTCGATGACACTCCATCCCCTCGATTTGCCAATGCCAATCTGGATGCACTTTATTTCAAAAAGCAAGCTATCAAAGCCTTATCATCATCATTGACACATCCAGAGCCCTCGCGGAAGGATATGATAATGGCAACTATCCTCCTTCTTATCTTCCTCGATCTCCTCGAGTCTGGCATCGAAGGTTGGCAATGTCATCTTCATGGTGTAGAAGGCCTCGTCAATCTCTCACATACCATGCTGGAATCTAATCCCAGTGAGCGTATTAGCAGGCAACCTGGAGAGACAGTACAAGAGACAAGGCGATTCATCGCACGACAGTTTTTGCTGTACGCTTCTTTTGCCTCTTCGTATCCCTCGTCGCTTTTCATTTTGATCCCGCTGACGATAGTAGTATCTCAACTATTGGAGGCGCTTTCTCAGATCCTAAGTCTAGGTCTGAGTTAAGTGTCCATTTTGACGACAGCAAGCACCAAGAGTCCATTGTTCGAAGCTTTCTGGGATGCCCTGAATTCCTTCTACGAGCCATTCGTTACTTCTCTAATCAAAGACATATGATTGAGACTTTGGATATGCAAAATGAGCCTTCGATTCATGAGCATGTACGGGATACTCTGACGATGCTTGAACTGACAACGAATTTTGATTGCCTGGAATGGGCGTCAGCCGCCATGAACTCCAGGACTTCCTCAACAACTGACATTCAAAGGCTTTCCATGCTATCGGAAGCATACAAAACTGCCGCCGCGATCTATGGAAAGCGAATCATTCGTTCTTTTGGGATCTTCACAGGGACAACAACACCTGATAATGAGGGATTAGTATTGCGATTACTTGAAGTGATCCACTCTCTCAAAAGTGACGCGGCTTTGTTTAAGTGCCTATTGTGGCCGACCTTCATTGCCGGTCTTGAATGCCAGGGTTCTAATGAGCAAAGGCTGATTATTGAATCTTTGAGGATGCTTTGGGATCTGACCTGTTGTTTGAATGTGATAAATGCTTCGAAGATCCTGCGTGATCATTGGGAGCGAAAGAACTTCGATAGCAATTCGACTGAGCAGGCTAAATTCCATGTAAGCGAACAAGGCTGGCTGCTTATATGATCTATGGTATTGCTTCCAACCTTCCAATGTTGATCTGTATGTTGAACTCCTTTATTCCAGTTCCCCGAACGCCAGTCGGCGTAGCTTATTTTTCCTGGCAATCTCGAATACAACTTAATCATAACTAGAGGGTTACATCGATGACTCCTGCCCGAGGCATTTTGTTATATTATCATCCACTACGGAGTAGGACCCGTCGACCGGTCCACAAGTAACCCATAGTACCCCGAAGAGGAGTTTCAGCGCCACATGCTATAACTTCCTATAATGGCAATGAGAGCTTATCAATAATCCCCGTCTTGAAAATTGAGCTTCGAAGATTCTGACGCCAATAGTATGTGCCATTGCACTTGCCACCACAGCCCCACCTGGCGTAACTTCCTAATCGGGTATGGTTCCACCATGCTTGACTTCACGTCTACGAAGTCCGAGGAATCTCCTGGTGCACGAGGCAGAGACTGGCTTGTAAATTCTCACATATCGGAGACAAGGCCTTCATCTTTTGTGGAACCGGAAATGGGATTGTTAAATTGTTAAGCATGGGGTGCGGTAAGTGACATTGGAGAAATTAGGTATTTAAAGACATCATTCTATCCGTGTTCATTACATCTTTCCCATTCAACCGACTCCCACCTTCCCTCAACTACCTTCCACTTCCACTCGACACCTTTTATCTTTCTTCCATCGTTCTCCATTGCGCCATGTGTCAGCAGGAAATCGCAGCCAATGGCTGGACAAGCACGCCGGCTAATGCCGGCACCATCTTTGGTGATCAACCTTTCATCAATGAGCCGGAATTTCTCGATCTCAATGACATCCAATTCCCATTTGATGACCCCACGGTTGCAAAGACTCTCAAGTACGCAAAGGGAACCTTGCATCATGAAACCTTCAACCATTCGATGAGGGTCTACTTCTACGGTATGTCTGCGCATAGTTCTCATAGTGCCGAACTTCTAATCTCATCTCTACTCAGGAATGTCCATCACCAAGCAGCAGTTCCCCAAGCAGGCCGCCACTCTCAATCCGGTAACTTGGGCTTTGACATGCCTGTTGCACGATCTCGGCACGGCCGAAGAAAACTTGACGGCGACTCGGATGTCTTTCGATATCTACGGAGGCATTAAAGCCCTCTCTGTTCTCAAAGACTTTGGCGCCTCGACAGATCAGGCCGAGGCCGTTGCTGAGGCTATCATCCGCCATCAGGATATGGGAGTGGATGGGACGCTTACATTCATCGGTCAACTGATCCAGCTGGCCACGACTTACGACAACACTGGCATTCATCCCCACGTTAAGGACTTTGGCAAGATGATTCACGAAACCACGCGCGCTCAGATCAATGAGGCTTATCCCCGTTTGAAGTGGTCTACATTCTTCGCTGGGGTTATTCGCAAGGAAGAGAAGATCAAACCCTGGTGTCATTCGACCCATCTGGTCAACTTTGACAATGAGATCGAGGGCAATACCCTCATGAAGCAGTGGGAGTGATAACCTAGCAAGGCTCATTGCCCTCCCAGGTTTCTCCAACACTTGTCGAACCACAGGCCTCTTCTTAGCTATTCTCTGATCTTAGGGTTAGGATATGTATTTGCAAATCTTTTGGAGCGCTTCAAAGTTTTTATTTATTGATTTGGTTTTCTATCCTCGAGTATCAATCTACACATCGCTCTGACTAGGTAGGTTATTCATGAATTTCCACCACCCAGTCCACTCCCAACATGGATTGTTCAGTATCTATTCCGATCGTCTTTCATTTCCAACCATTCTCAAGCTTCTGGCGATAATCTGTAATCATTTCCGGAGTAATACCGCTTCCTCCACAAACAATTATCACAACTCGACTCTCCGGTGTTAGATCGGGCATGACTTCCTGCAGCCTATCCAAGCCAACTTGGACACTGATTCCGCAAGACAGCTCGACCTCCAACCGCAATTCATCACATAACCGCACAACTCCCCTCGCAGCATCAGCATCCGTTCCCACGACACTAGTGACTTCAATGCCGGCTGGAGGGGATTGCGCGTGTTTGAACGCCTGCGGTGCCACACAGAGGGCCCCCAATGTGGTTGCCTGCGATGTAATTGCAGACAGAGATTGCAAAGATCCCTTGCTTAGCGAATAAGCCAGCGAATCCGCCCCAGCTGTTTCAACAGCGAGAACTCGAACTTTTTTCGCCGCTTTCTCGGAAAGCGTTGTCTTTTGAAAAGCTGGCAAATGCCTCTCAATGCCCTCGACAATCCCGTTCAAAAGCCCACCCCCACCGACACTGCAAACGATCGCATCTGCCGGGAACGAGCAAGAGCTTTCGATTTCCCTGTTGTATTTTGGAGGTAACTGCTTAACTATCTCATCAATCAGAGTCGCCGCACCCTGCCAGATGACAGGATGATCGAATGGCGGGACATAAAAGTTCCTAGCCGAGGAGTCAGACGTGTCTTGATTTTCGATAAACGTCTGTCGCAGATACGTGTCCGCTTGGAACCAAGTGGCGCCATGACGGATGACATCTGAAGCACCTGCAGCGAGTAGTTTCTCGATCATCATAGGCTGCGTGCTGAGGGGCACAACGACAGTACAGGGAAACCCGAGATCTCGAGCGGCCACGATCGCTGCGAGCCCCGCATTGCCCCCCGAGGAGCTGAAAAAGTGCAGAGATTTGCCGTGGTTTGAAGGATCAGAAACAAATGAGAGAATCAGGTTTCCAATGCCCCTAAAATAGATCAGTTTTGATTCTGAGTCACACCCCCTCACACGCTGTAAGATGGAGTGCGCAACCTACCGTGATTTGAACGAGCCAGACGGCTGGAGCGTCTCTATTTTGAGGAAGATCCGGCTATATTTACTCTTCAGCGCTCTGTCAGTTGTGGGAAATATAGTCCTGTCTTACCATCCGGCAGCCTCTGAAAGTGCCACCGACTCGATCAAAGGTGTTTCAAGCCAGGGTTTCTTGCAGTCGGGTTCGGAATCGTAATGGCCCATTTTCAAATCGAGGCACAAGTGTAATAGTTGATACGTGGAACCCTGTGAGATATTCAACCCGAGTAGGATGGCAAGCGACTTATCGAGAGAGATATAAGGCGCCGTGCGGCCCGATCTTGCGCCCTTTGACTTACCCCAAGAGCGCCCGGGGTCTGCAGTTCGGGCTCGTAAACAGCGCCTTATGGACCCCAACCACTTAGGTTAACGACTGTGGAGTCGGTCTGGTTTCTGGGTTCCAGCTTCGATCTAGAATTTTCTCCAAATCGTGAGATCATAAATTCTTGTTATATAATCACGATGGCACGAAATTTGGAGTACTCCTCACTGGTACGTGATATATATATGAGCCGACAAGGAAATGGATTTCGAGAAATACGTTGGCTACTGGATTTCTTCTGGATTCCCTAGGGATCCATGGTGAATAATCCGAGAAATTTAAACGAGTTTTATGTCAAATGGTATTACACTGTGAGATCTCTTCGCAAGGCATAGGTGTGGACAGAAGACTGCAGCATAGTCACTTCGGTTAAGTCATATCGCCAACAACCGCAGAGAAAAGCCATTTGCCTCTGTGTGAAAGACCAGCCGAGAAGCATATCTTTGAACACTGATCTGGGGAAACAAAAATGCTTCCCATGTGAAGATCGGTGTGCCACAACGTGGGGCTGGCAAGCTGCTTTCAGTATTGGGGTTGAGTCGAGGAGCTTCATGAAGCTCATCGTGACTAACATCTGGGTTTGCTATTCTAGAGTTCCTTTGTAGAAGCTCGATTGGCTTTATAGGCCTGGACTCGGTATCCGAAGCATTTTCCGCTTCGTAATAGATATTCCCAGACCCAAAATCGAGCCCCCTTTATAAGGCATCAGCAGATAAGCTATAGAATTCTGGGAGTTAATGCACAAGCTCCTTACTCAGAATTCTGATTTTCGTCAACATCAAATCCTCGATTGCCAGAGGGCCCGATGCAAAAGGTCTTGGATGGATCAATCTCATTACCAAGAGGCATGTTAGATCAATTCATATCTATCCGAGGGTACAGTCCTCCATATACAGGGAAGCTAATAGCCGATAGCTGAGCCTCAAGTTCGGTCAGGTGTATGATCAACTACAGCTTGTCAAATTCAGTCATACTGCCCCGTTGCTGAAATAGAGGGGCGCCCGCTGCTTTCTCTATGATAATACATTCGATGCCTACCGCATTGACACTGTCCGACGATCAGGAAAGCACACGAGGTACAGGAATATCCGTGTGCGTCCTGAGTAGAATAATCATCCTAGTCACTCAACTTGCTTCGCAATAGTTACCACCATACTGTAAAATGGAAAGCCCCAACAACACAACAAGACATTGGGTCATCCCCAGATCAATTGAGCGCTTCTGGCGGACCAACGTTATACCGAAGCCTTCAACGTCATATAGTCACATCGCCATCGAGAGCGAGAATGATACCTCTAATCCTACCCCAATTCCCAAATATCGAAACCTGATGGCGATATCAGAGCAGGATACCATCGGTGGGAACGATCTGACCAGGCCAATCGCAGCGAATCTTCTAGATCGTTTGCAGCTTTGTGGAGAACCTGGAGAAAGCACCCCGGACCCAATCATCAGCTCCCCCAGCTTTTCTCCGCATACCGCATTCCTGGGAGGCTGATCTCTGATTGGCACCGAATCAAGGGATGTAGATTCCACCTCTCGCTCAAACTCCTTTCTTTAGCATTTTGTTCCGACTGAAGCCGTATTGTGTCACATCTGGTAACTAGGCCGGTGGTAAGGCTGTCTCTGTAACCTGCTGACCAAAGGGACGCGCAATTTGGAATGCAATGATAAGGCCTTTTTCTGACCTGTCCTCTTTTTTTGACTGTAAGTCGTACTTCTATACGGAGTAGTCCCCAGACCACATCTATACGAAGCCCAACGCCGGCCCGTCCCGGTGATTCCGGAGATCACAGGACGTTGACGAAGGTTGATCTCATTCGGCAGAGTTTTCAACGGCCAGGGCCGAGGGCCAACTGGGGATCGACGGGAGATCTATCGATTCAGTCCGATTGTGAATCTAAGGGGCCTCGTTCACCGCTACAGGCAAGGGACCCTGGGGTGCATTATTCACGTTCTTTGTCTCAGGTACTGTCGCAATTCCGACTTTTGCTTTTTTTTGCTTTTCTTTCTTTGGATGAATGTGGAGTGCATACAGTTTCATGATCTCCAGATTCAGAAACGACCTTTCTAAAAATTGCAACTAACAGTTCTTTTGGCATCAGGCTCAGAGTTGATATCCGGGAGCTCGACCCTTTCGACTCGCCACTTGACAGGTAGTACGGCACGGATCCTGGAGCATTAGGCAAACCTTTATCATCTACGCTCCCAGTCAAGCTTGCCTCTTTTACTCTCAAGCCTTCCTCTTTTCTTGAATACAAAGGATGAATGCGAGCCTTGAGTTTACGTCCATACGACTGTCCACCCGGCATTCAGCCGGATCACTTGTCTCTGCCCATCCTTGATCTTGCTATTCGCAGGTCACCTTTCCAATACTTGTTTTTGTTCCAGGTGCAAATCCCAGTGTCTATTGGACTCAATATTGATTTGTTCACTTTGACAACCAAGATGGAGCCAAAGCTCCCCCAGGGTGGTCTGGTTGCCATGTCAACAGTATCTCTAAGCGACACTTTGCGACAAGATACATTAAGTACTGGTGCTTACAAGAATCTTTGGCAAGGTAGGACCTCTACAAGCATACAAGCGATAGAGGGATTGACTGACATTCATAACAGCATATTCGACTTCGCATCTGGCCAGCAAAGATGAGACCGAACGTCGATTAGAGCATCTTTTCTGGCGAATATGGAGTGCTCAGCGACTTTCCAGTCGCCTTAATGTCCGGACTCTAGATCATCTCATTCTACGCATCAAGGCACCAGCAGTGTTAGTCGGACAAGAGGTAACGGTGCGACAAGCGATGCCTGAGACTGGCAACAAAGAAGAACAGGTAACGGCAAACCTGTTCCACATCAAACCTCTCCAATACCATATTAACCATTCATACAAGCCCATCAATAAGACTCAGTCAGGCTGCGTCGCCGGAACCTGCTCTCTACATCCAATATTAAAGAAACCGCAGCCGGCCCCAGTCGAATCACATAAAACCACTCGGCTCCTCCTTGACACTTCCTCCGGCACAAAGATCACACTCGAGCCTTCTTTCTCTCCAACTGCAACCATGACTGCAGAGCCCGAGTCCATCTCAGATGTCATCGAGCATCAAAGCCCCAAGAAGACCAACATCCCTGCAGGACCCACGGCCATTCCGGATCCCGTGAATCGACAGAGTTCCAAGAAGACATTTCTCACTGCGACTCGCCCCGGACGAGGCCCACGTCGCCGTCCAGTCTTCAACCGTCGCAAGTCCTCGCAGACATCCGTCCCAAAAGCTACACCTCCCCGCCGACGCTCCGAGCCCACCACCAAGAAAGACGGATCCAACGATGTCTACGAAGACAGCTACGTGGAGCTGGGTCTACTGCAGCACCTAAGCTTGCGCGACGAGGAAGACCAAATCGCGCGCGATCTGGGACGCGAGATTGCGCCTGAGCCGAAGCCCAAGCCGGCTGTCCCGCTCTTCGACGACGATTTCATTGACGAACCCACTGCGCTACAGACCGCCAAAGCAAGACCCAAGGCATCGCCTGTTCCCTTCCCGCGAGCTTCTTCTCTGCGTCGCCCGATGTTGAGCCCGGAGGATTTCTGCAAGATTACGCCGTCCTTTGGGGTTTTGCAGAGCCATGTCGATACGCCTGGCGGGCCGCAGCTTATGACTGAGGATCTTGAGGGGGATTGGACGGATGTCGATGCTATTGATTCGACTCTTCCCATCTCGCAGCCTTTCAAGAATCTGGTTGTGCATCAGGCTGTTGGGAAGGCTCCTGCCGTCAAGAAGACCTCGTTGCTGTCATCTGGAATGAAAGGAGTGAAGGGAGTGAAGTCGTGATCTCGAAATACCATGTTATTTCGGGGCAACACACCAGTTCCAGGTCCGACTTCTTCAAAGCTCCACACATTGTACATTATCACTTTGCCACGGTTTATGGCATGCATATCATCTGAACTTGACAATCAAGAAATGCTCAAATGATGAATACGGGTGACGCAGGCGATAGCTCATAATAGGGCACAACGGTACGGAAAAGAAAAAGAAAGAAAAAAAAAAAAAAAAAACAGGCCCAGAGGTTACCTTCAACGCCAAATGCTTGAGAAATGGATTTGATGAGGACAGGGAAGCAGATGCACATCATCAAAGAGAATTAGGAGGAGAGGTTCACTCTACGGAAAGTGGCGAGGAGAAGGTTGACTGAGAAGAACAATATTAACGTGAATTATCCAAAGGCCATCTTCAACCTTCTTGAATGTATCCTCTCTCAATAAGTGTACAATAAATCACAGACACAGATGACCAGTCTCTACCCATGCAGTCTACAGTCAGTAAACATGGGCACCATATCAATATCTCAAAAAAAGAAAGTCTTAATGCTTTGTATTCAGAGAACGCCATCCATGAAATGAAGCCACAGCCCTAGACACCATGACTCCCGAGCCTCAGTGTCAAATGCAAAACGAACGAATATGAATGCTCGCCTCTCCGATTCATCCAATGCCATCAAAGCATATTTCCAGATCCTCCAAGCAGCCCACTATCAAAGCAAACCGCCAAACCCAATGATCTAAATCACATTACCCTTCTCAGCATCAAACCCAGGAGCAACCAGCTTGCGACTCTTCAACCAGCGCATCAAAACCCAAGAAGAAGTCATAACCCAGAACACCAAGTTAATAATATCAATCCAGACAGCATGGCGCATTCGATTAATCTTCGACTCATCACCCAGCGCCGCCGTCGTAGAAACATGTCCCTTCTCGGTATTCGTATCCGCGTGCACGCCAATGTACATCTTCCCAAAGACGCCAAACAGCGCCAGCCATAGCACCGTAACCACGAATTCCCATACAAACTGCGGCAATAGCAATGCGGGGTTCGAGGTCACCCCGTTGGCTTTGGCCTTGCGCATGACGAATGGCAGGATGATGTGGATTGCCGCGGTGATGGTGGCGAGGAAGGCTGTGACGAGAGCGTAGACCCATTTCGAGTGCCAGGTGTGTTTCTCGGAATGGTCGTGGTGCACGTCTTTGCCGTAGAGGCCGATGACGGTGAGTCCGAAGACGAATTGCAGGAAGCGGAGGAGGGAGAAGAACATGAAGGCTAGTTTGGAGCCTTTGCTTTGTTCGGGGCTGTCGTAGTGGATGGTTGTGCCTGGTGCGGCGCCGGCTGGGTAGCCGCTCATGGGATGTTCCTCGGGGTGGTTGGGTGGGTAGACGCCGGCGTCTTGATACTTTTGGAGGTCCTTCTTGGCCTTGTGCTTTTTGGCCTGGCCGTAGCCGAGTTTGAGGAGTTTGATGGCCACGAATGACATTGTGTCTTTTGCTGAGGATTGGGTATTGGGACGGATGGGATTGATGGAAGGTGCGGACGAGAGCAAGGCTGATATGTCGATGCTTGTGAGGATGAGGCGCACAGCGCAACTATTATGTGCAGAATGAGAGGATGAGAAGGTCTTCGCAAGACTTTGGCAGACCAGATGCCAAATAAAAAGGAATAGAGGCTATTGTCGAGAATGTATAGCTGAAGTCGGCAGACCACGAACCGGTGAGGTATTGAACAGTGATATCAATAGAAACAATAGAAATCGGCAAGAACAAAAGAAAGACGCAGGGGACAATGGAAAGAAAGACGAGTCTGGTTTCATCAATGACACAGCTGCTCGGCAGTCCTTTATAGATCCTATTCTCGTTCCCCCACGAATATCCTCCCCGACGTCAACTTGACAAAGTCCAATATTCCTTTTTTTGGCATCTGCAGCCCTAGATGAAACGGATTATCCTCTTTTGAGGACTGCGCGGTTCGCCCTGAGAGTCCCCGCTGTATCGGTTGCGCGTCCTCGTCTTTCATCCAAAGACCATCGGTCGGGGATGCGAGGATGAAACATTTCGGAGGATTAAAATAGAATGTCGAGCATCGATACAAAGCACGAGGCTGGTTCCTGCAGAAATCGGAATAGCTTCCTAAGATGCTTCAGTTCGCGCGCGCTAACTCCGGTTTGAGGTTTGAGGTTTGACGTACTCAGTTTCAGGGCGGCGGTTGCTTGAAACCCAATCAAAATGGAGCAGTGCTATTTTTGGGATTTGGGATTTGGGATCATCATCTGAGGCGCAACCTTGGACTATTCAATTGAAGCTGGCGTACGGAGTGGAGGACACTGACGTCTCGGCCTCGGCTCACAGTCTACTAAAGTTGGCATACAGAGAAACGGCATTGGATCATCTCACATTTGATTCAGAACATGCATATCGCTCACGGACATTACAATTACAAAGGTAACCAACAAGAAACTCTGTCCAATGGATGGCTCGCCAGTCCAAAATGCTTTGAGAGGGGATTTCCATCCATGCAAACCCCTAGAACGCCGATCGAAAACAGCCAGACGCCCAACCCGAAAAGAAAATGCAATGACGAGATAAGAAAACTACCATTTATGAGGAACCACGCGCTGATTATGCCGGTCGACTTGCCCCGGAGTCTGCAGCACCCTTGATGCCTGGTGCAGACGCTGTAATCTTTGGGTGATTGCCGGCGGGCGGTAATGGAGGTTTGAGGTCGGTGGGGGATTCAGGAGCGGAAGGCGGAATTGGCGAATGTTCATCATCATACTCGTGTCCTTGATATTCGTCGTCGGGAAGACCCGACCCACCGGCAGAGGAGTGGTCCACCGAAGCGCGGTCGTATCCATGTTGATAGTGCTGGGAGGCATTCTTCGATGCGTTCTTCGTCGCCTTCTTGGTCTTGCGACCCTTCATCTTGGCCTTCTCCAAAAGCCGCTTCTTTTCCGCTAGTCGCTTACGCTCTTTGCGGTCTTTCATCTCATATTGCCGGATGAGAGCTTCGGGCGGGCGGCCAAAGATGCTCTCATACTCACAGAATTCACAGATCCAGATATCCTCCAGGCTTGGAGGGTGATGCAGGTTCGTATATTGCTGCTGGATCTTGCGTTGACGTGCAGATAAAGCGTATACGCTAGCTGGCGACCGTTTCTTTTTGGGACCTGCGGGAGGTAGCTCCCCGCCTTGGACTGGTGCTTGCGTACCAGGTGGAGCCTGTTGATTCATGGATGCTGCCATGGTAGGGCTAGTTTGTGTGGGTTGAGTTGAGAACCCCCGCTGTTTTTGACTTGCCGGGCCGAGGGGTGAAGTGGGGGAACGATAAGGGATCGAGTAGTTTCGTTGCATAGCCATACCCTTCGACGAGTCGGACTCACATGTGAATGTGAATTGCGTCTTCGTCGGAGTAGTATTTTCTTTGTCGAGTAAGCTAACGTTGCTAGGACCCCGAGGTGGGGAGGAGAGGGTTGCGGCATTTGCAATGGCGGTGGAGATGATTCCCTGATCAGAGGTGGATTCAACTGACACGAAGGGTTAGCATAAAAGAAGCCCGAAAATGACGCAAAGTACATACCAGAAGGCCCAGGGGATGACATCAGGCCATCTCGCCGACTGGGAGTTCGGGCATTCATCCATCCATTCTGAGCATTGGGCGACAGAGGATTCCTGCTGCTGCTACGAACAGTAGGACGACCCAACCGACCTCTTCCAGAACCAGAAATTCCACTTCCTAGAGGAGACGCGGGGTTCCCGTTTCCATAATACGTGCCAGTCGAATCACTCGAGGCAGGTGCCGGTGCGGGAGCTGAGTTCACCAACCCCATGCTAGCGAACTCCGGAGACAACGCGGAATGATGCCCTCCCAAATTTCCAGGAGTAGGAATTTTCCGCTTTTTCTTGTTATTTGTATTTTCAAACGCGTCGTAGCCGTCACCGGTGGAGGACTTCGTTTGGGGTGTGTCGTGAGGGAAGCTGTGTGGATTGCCAGACGCGGAAGGGGACAACGACGATCTCCGAAGTACACCACTCCTGCGAACCACTACCGCACCGTCTTCATCTCCGCTCTCCAGCTCTACGGATGTCTCAAAATTATGGGTGTCAACCTCTGGTGACAGTTCAGTCTCCACAGTTTGCTGCACATAAACTTTCGATTCGTTCACAGCTTCTTCGGAGTCCGCAGAGACACCATAAAAGATCTGAGACGCCGGGGGCGTGGGAGGATAGAATATAGTGTCGGCGGCGTCAGAGGAAAGGCGAGAACGAAGGGTCCGTCTAGGGAGAGGCCGGATCAGACGATCGGGGTAGATAGTGGAGGGTGTGTCAGGGGCCGAGTTGAACACCCCGTCTACATGGCACTCGTCAGTAACTGAGTAACTAGTAGACCTTCTCCCCAAACAGGGAAATTCCAGATCATCCGGACCAGGTGTTCCTGAGCAGACATACTCAATGTAGCAGTCATCATGAAAGTTCTCCACGCTCGCCATCAACCACCGACGATGCTATGGGGATGATATTCCCACCCGTTGGCTCTGTCCTTTTATCCCCGCCACCGTATCTGTCCTGAAGGGGCCAATAGTCCAAACGTCGGGTATTGTGTTTGTGGGTCGAATTGGGCGATAATGTCTTCAATATCTGTGATCTGCGCGGGTCATGAGCTTTGTCCTTCCCAACAACAGCAACTCAGGAAGTGGACAGACAAAAAGTCCGACATGTACATGGGATTCACATCCAATCCCCGCGCTCCTCTGCTGTCCACAATCCCGGGGAGACGAATATCAACCTACCCACAAACGAGTGCTAGCACTCGGCACCTTCCAAAATTTGGGTTGATTGGATGGGATTCAACAAGAGAGGCCAAGGAAACCCGAATCGAGATTCCGAGCTCAAGTCAAGGTAAATGGACAAATAGGGAATTAGTAAGAGGGGTTGAGGGAGGTGAAGCGAAAGAGACGAGTCACGGGAATTCCGAAAAGACGCTAACCTCCTTTTGGCTATACTCTACCCAATGATCTTCGGGGTGAACTGCCATTACATTCTAAAGAACTACATACACGTTGAAGACCTAGTTCAACAACTATGAGTCCCAATGTTGGATGAGTCTTCAGAGTATTATATTGCACCATACCTTTGGTTCTATGTCTATCTGGCCGCATCGCACTAATGAGTTCTGTACGATTTTGGAGAGAACCCCTCTCCGATCATCTCCTAGATACCTACTGCCGGTACCTACCTTCACAGCGACTGCTAGTGAGAGGTAGTGTTTGGGTTTGAGCTGTGAATCTACAAATTGTATCAGCAAGCACAGCCCCCAATGGTGCCACGAGCCTACCCCGTAGGCTGGGTGTGATTAAATGTTCAACCCCTCCAGACGACTTTGCCCCAAGGCACACATCACTCTTCAACCACAAACCCACCCCGAAGCACATTCCGGACCAACAAATATATTATGTGAAGGTTGAGAAGAATCGACACCACGGGTTTGGACTTGCGACTGGACCAAAATGGTGTTGCCGACGCTCAAAACGGGATCGGCTCGGAGAGGCACACCGGGCACAATCGGTCCAACTGATCGAGATCAAAAGGAGTGACGGGATCAATACGCCTATAAAAGGAATTTGAGAAGACTCATAGCCGGGTCTTCTGACTTGGGCTTTCTGAGGCTATGGAGTCATGGCGGACTTTTTTTGGCCTCTGTCTACTCCGGTGCTTTGGAACGCATCGGAATCCAAAGCAAAATGCCTGCGGTGTTTTGTAGTATTGCAAAATATCTCTCGTTCCTTAATCAAGCCTTTATTTTCTTTGCACACAGGCTCTTTCGTTGGGTTCTCCTGTTGCGGTGGGAAAGCAACGGACACTCGATAATGGCCCACAACGTCATATACACCGAGCATATAGAGTCTTAAAAATGGTAAAATATAGATATGAGACATCCTTCAGGGGCCCTGGTAGGCATTGAGGAGGAAATTAAGAGAAACACGAACAGAATGAGTGGTGAAAGATTCGCGCGTCGAGAGGCGTCGAGAGCGGGGAAACCGGCGATTGGATCTTTTGGAGTCCCGTTCCGGCGCTTTTCTCCTTCTCTTCTTCCTCCCCACCATTGCACGGAATCACTTCTCGGACTATGTAGTCTTCGGGCTCTTTATCGAGCCTTGTGACGCCTTTATACAGATCTTACTGCGATTCCCAATTGTCCTACTCCTTTTGACCCTGCATCCTACCCAAGAGCTCTCAATCGCGCGCAAGAGCTCCCTCGCAAACGTCTTTTTCTCGAGTTGCTGTTGGAACCACACCAGCCAACGTCTCGAAGCCTCGTTTATTTCTCCTCATCTTACCCCCAGAGGTCTCTCATATTTTTTTTTCGCTTTCCTTCAAATACCTCTCCCCCCACCATGACTCCTCGTCGTTCCTCTCGGGCTCGCACGTCCCAGCCCTCTCCTGCCCTCCTCCAGCACACGAACTCTTCCTCCAGCTCCTCGAATTCTCTTCCTCGAGAGAGAAGTACTCGATCAAATCACAAAAACCACTCTCCCCACGAATCGGCCGGTCACCGTTCTCAGTCCATCGATGATGCTGAGAGTGGCTCGAAAGACCTCCCACACACGCGGCAGCGCCAGCGCGCCCACGATGACGATGATGATCCACCCCGTGAAGAAGACGAGGATGAACTAGAAGATGATGAGGAGGAGGTAACCCGATGTCTCTGCGGCCAGCAAGAATATCCGGGTTTGCCTCATTCTCGTCGCGAGGCCCTCGGTCGCGGCACCATCAAGCTGGAGTCGGGACAAGTTCCCACAGATTTATCTGATCCTATGTCAGATGAGATTGGGAGCATGTTCATTCAGTGTGACTTGTGTAAAGTCTGGCAACACGGTGGTTGTGTTGGAATCATGGACGAGGCAACGAGTCCTGACGAATATTTCTGCGAGGAGTGCCGGAAGGATTTGCACGAGATCAAAGACGAACCTCATGGGTGAGTGAACAAAACTACCCTTCCTTGTGCTTATGCATCTCTATTCTGTCCCCAATTTCACCGTCAATTTTTTCACCGTGATTGTGGTTTGATCTTGTTGCTTGGAGGGGCTGCTTTTCTCATGCAGCTCCGGGCACAATCACTCCCTACAGCAATTATGGGGCCAGAAGAAATCTTCTTGTGTCTTTCTATTAAGATTTCCGATTATGGTAATACTGACAGTTCCCAGGCAATACTCTTCTACCTATCTTCCTGTTGCACCAGAACCAGTGCCCCCACCGGCGGCGGCGCCAGCACCTCCAGCGGCACCAGTCATTCCAGTCGTTCCAGTCATCCCGGCGGTGGAGCCCTCGCCTGCTCCCTCCTCTCGTGCTTCCTCAAGGGAAACCTCTCGGCGTTCCAAAGATCCCAAGTCTCGGAACAGCGAGAGTGCTGCGAACGCCAAGCGGCGATCAACAATGAACAGTCGTGATGCTGCTTACGACGAAGAAGAGCTGATTCGACGCGCAATCGAGGAAAGCAAGGTGGATAACCAAAGCAATGCGGATGAGACGGAGACGCATTTAGGCAAGCGAAGTCGGAGTGACAGTGTGACGTGCGTGACCCCCGATGGTTGAACTGCATTGGCTCGGATTTTTGTGGCTGACCAATTTATCCAGGAACAGGGAAGGAGCGAAACGTCCGCGAACTACTTCGCCATCACCTAGCGCTGCCTCGAAGCATAGCAATTTGGCATCTCATCCACCGTCCGATGACGAGGCGAAACAAAAGCCCGCAGTCAACGGGACTCGGAGGCAGAGAGCTACATCCCGCGGCCAGCTCGAGAAGGAGCCTGTCAAAGAATCTAATGAGGCCGAACCAGAGGCTCCTGAAGCGGCAAGTCGCCGGAAAGAACGATCAAACCGGCGCAAGGGAGATGGTAAGTGAACAATCCCCAATGTGCAATTCTCCACTTCCTCACACTACAATAGAATCCGAGCATGAAACGGGGTCTCCAACCAAGACTGCGCCGCCTGAGCCTGAACCGTCACAAGCAAGCCCTAACACACCCACTCCCCAAGAGCCCACGCCTGTCCGTCCGTCAACCCGCAAGTCTGGCAGACCTCCCGCTCGTCGCGGTCGTGTTGGACGAAACCAATATACAAAGGACCGGGACACCAACGGGAATGGAGATTATGGGTATATGGCGAATTCGCCGCGCCGTGGCCATTCCCACGAGGTCGGCGGAGACTCCCCTCGAATCGGTATTAACGGAACTCATGTCAACGGTGGAGAGTCAGGACGGCCAAGCAAGCCGCGCCATATGCACCCGCAGCGAACAACGATGAACGAGATGAAGCGCCGGGTAGCAGCTATCCTCGAATTCATCTCGCGCATGCAGGTGGAGATGGCCGTTGCCAGTGAGAACTCCTCCACGCCTTCAAGCAACAGCGACCGGGCTCAGGGACTTCTCTTGAAGACCATGGTCGACCAGATCGATAGTGCGATGCCATCCGCGCGTAGCGATGGTGGCGAGTCCGGCCCCGCAACCACAGACGGCGGTGACGGCGAGTCGACGAACCACGAAAAGAATTTCAAGGAACTCACCAGCGTTGAAATGATGGACGTGCTTACTCGCCATCTGCTCAAGTGGCAGCAGGAATATGGCAAGTTTGGAGAACGGTAGTCTCTGTTGCTATCACACAGCCGGTTCCTTCCTTCCTCTCGTCCCATCTCATCTTCGAGCTTGTCCGCTGCTTCGCATCACGATACCCATCTTAACTTGCTTTTCTCATCGCGCCGATGTATACTAGAATTCATTTCAACAACCTTTTTGTTTCTCTTCTCTCCTGTCTTCTCATATCATTCATATCGGTCCGGCGTCGTCTTGATCATACTGGAGAACAATGATGATACCTTGCTAGTGACGACTCATTGTCTTGCTTGGCTCTGTCCCTCTCGTTGTGTGTGTTTATTTATCTGGGATCCGTGCTTTGCTGTGATCTCTTGCTGTCTGGTATAGCCATCCTTCCAATCTTTCGTCCCTTATTTGGTGGTTTTGGTGTTCGGTTTTGATTTCTTGGTGTTTTGGAAAAGTCGGGGTTATATATGGCAGTGTCTCTTTTTTTTTTGTAAGAACTTCTTTTCTTTTTAGTGGGAATAATCACTGCTCCTTTGTCGAATACAGATAGATATTCGAGGCTCCTACATAGTAAGTTGTGTAAAGACCTACAATGTTTGTAGGAGACACTACGGAGTAGTTCATCCCCCAGTAATAAAAGCGAGTGCAGAAAAGCCATTGGCATTTCATTTGCCGGCAGTTTCATCTTGCTGACAGGCTTGGCCGAATAACCCATATGCCGAGTATCGTAACTGACACTCCATGCGTTGCACATTCAGAACGGTGGATCAGACACAATGCAGAAAGACTATAATTAGAGTCCATACCTGTATACATGCCCAGGTACCTCATCGCTGAACCGTGGGTGCATGTTACGAGTTATATGCAGTAACCATGGTCGGGGTCAAGTCTGAATGATGGATCCACTCCTGACCCAAACATTGTGTTCAAGCATACGGAGTACAACATATGTAGCTGAGAAAATCCACTTACGGAGTACGGAGTACTCCGTATGATTTAGGCAATTGGTGCCCGCCCTATAGGCAGCACGTTGCATATGGTGCATGGGACTGTGGGAAAATGGGGTGGAGATTGTCGTTTCATTGGTCACGACCCAGTAATGATGATGTGATTCGAGCGCAAAGACGCGTCTGGGGATTACTTTCTGCCCGGATGTCTCATCACGATGGACGGGCAAACACCAAAGTACGAAACCTACACGCCGTAGCCTGGCCACAGCTCCCAGCCTCTGTGCGAAAAGAGGGTCCAGACACGAGCTGCATGCGCTGGCTGGCTGGCGCCTCTGGTGGTTGGGCTGGGGCTGGGGATCGAAAAGAGGGTCTTGAGGATCTTGATGAATCATTTTCCAGTGGAGAAGTGCATTGGATGGTATTGGTACGGAGTAAAGTACGGAGTACGGGGGGCCGACGGTATACTCCGTACCTATAGCGCGTATCGATGTGGGAATCATGTATCTTATGCGTGCTGTGTTGTCAACAGTCTCGGAGATGGGCCAATGGCGGGCCAGGAAGAACGCAGTGGCAGTATCCCACCAAAAGGACACTTTGCAAGCCGAGGGATATCACAGTTGAACGTGTCTCCGCTACCCCAAGTGCATTGTTGCCGATATGATGGAGCCAAACACGATCGGCGCCAAGGGGATCCAGATGTCCGATTCGACCCGGACGTTGCCATGGGGATCGAAACCGTGGCGCAATGACAATACGTGAAGGCTGGCCAGCCCCCCTCCATGTGAAAGGGCCGTGTCCAAGGTGCATCGTATTGTGGTTTTGGAGGTATCCATCGATGGGGATATGGTGCATAGTTGCTAGTATGGACGATAAGACTCTCCGTATGAATGAACAAGAACAAGAACAAAGAACTCAATTGTTCCTTGTCCTTGCTCATTGGACTATTCAAAAATCATGAACAAACGTAAGGAGCAGGAAAGAGAAACCTCGGTGATCAGCGGAGGCCCCAAAGAGGCAAGGCGGCGTAAACAAAAGAATTGCGGGCATAAATAAACGTAACAGTCGCCGACAGCATCTCTCTTTCTTCTTCTTCTTCCATTCTTACGATCTAGCATTCTTCATCCTTAAGCTTATCCCCCTCCATTCCAATCATCTCTCTTTGGTAGAAAAAGATCTTCTCTTTTTCCCCCTCCCCCCACTCCGAGAAAGACTTCCCCCTCAAGTCTTTTCTTGTCTAGTCTTTCGAGTTGTTTCGCGACAGTTCGAAAGGCATTCGAGAAAAGACGCTTAAAGTCCGTCAATCTGGACTTTGACGCCCGCGTTCCTATCCCCTTCAGTGTCTTCCCGTCGTCGTACCGGAGTGACGCTGTCTCTGAAACTACTCAGACGAGAGTAGAGGAGGAAGTCAATTTCGATCGTACTTCGCGCGTCGAACGGGAAGATACTCGAGGTTCTGCTCCCCTTCCCGCTCCCAGAAAGGAAGAAGTCGAGTTCCGTGTGAAAGAAGAGCGTCCGCACGTCCACGAAGAGCACCCCCAGTACACGCAGCACTCGCAGCAGTACACGCAGCACTCCCACTCCCACTCCGAGCACCAGCCGTCGGACAACTACGCCCCTGAGGTTGAGCTCACTCGTGAACGGTACGTATTCGGTGTTTTCCTGCGTTTTCCGGTTTTTTATCTGTTTCTGCATCTATGATTTGCGGTGTTTCCCCCCAGCCTCTCCAGATCCACTCGGAGTGGAGCAGCTGCAGCTGAACTGTCATTATTTGTTGTGAGATCTCCTATCTCGGGTTAGAGTGGTTACGGATTTAATCCCAGTCCAAAATTACGTGTCACAAGCTGCTCCACTCCAATTAGCGGTGACTGGCTTGTTTTGTTTATATGTTTATGGTACCCGTGCATGTGGGCTGACAATCTTCCCACAGCTACCCCAGTTACCAACAACCTTCTGTCAACTACGAGGAACAGACTCCAGTCTACGATAAAGTCGTCGAGAACCAACTCGACCTCACTGAACGTGACTACCGTCAACGTACCTCTCCCTCTTACGACCTCGACGTCTCTTACGACCGTCGTTATCGTCAACCCGTAGATTCTGCCTACGGTTACCAGTCTGAGTCTCACGACGTTTCGTACGACCGGACCCCTCAGCCCCAGACCGACTCTTACAGAGCCGACGACGTCTATCTTCAGGAAGTTCAGCCCCGTGCTCGTTCTTCCCCTTCAAGCAAAGTAAAGGTTTCTCACTCTACTTCTACCCTTGACACCGCCCCCTCTCGCAAAATGGGTTACTACGACGAGGACGGCCAGTACCACTCTTTCCGCCGCGGCGTTGAGCGCGCTGCCGACCGTGTCATGCACCCCTTCTCCCACTCTGACCGTGAGCAGTCTCACGCCGGCGAGGCCATTGTCCCCGCCCGTGAGAACGTCCGCGTTGTCGAGCCCCGCAACCACGGCAAGGCTGGCGAGACCGTCCCCATCCCCTGCCACTTCATCCGCGTCGGCGACATCCTGATCCTCCAGGGCCGCCCTTGCCAGGTCATCCGCATCTCGGTCTCCCCCCAGACCGGCCAGCACCGCTACCTCGGTGTCGACCTCTTCACCCGCAAGCTGCAGGAGGAGTCCAGCTTCGTCGCCAACCCCGGTCCCTCCGTGGTTGTCCAGACCATGCTCGGTCCCGTCTTCAAGACCTACCGCATCCTCGACATCCGTGACGATAACCGTCTCGTTGCCATGACCGAGAGCGGTGATGTCAAGCAGGGTCTCCCCGTCATCACCCAGGGCCACCTCTTCAAGCGCATCAGCGAGGCCTTCTCCGATGGCCGTGGCTCTGTCCGTGCCCTCGTCATCAACGACGGTGGCCGTGAGCTCGTCGTCGACTACAAGGTCATCCACGGCTCCCGCCTGTAAATGGTATGATTTTATTTTCCCTGGGTTTCTCCTAGACGGGGTCTGGATACGCTTGTACCTCATCCATGGTGTGATGAATAGTTGATTACGTCTGTTTTTCCTATTGCTTCTGTGATTTAATTTTCCTTTGTGTGACGATCTCATGTATGCAACCTCTTTTGTGTGCGGGTGAAAATGTGAATGGATTTATCTGTACTCAATTAGCCTTGACTCCTTGTACCTAGCTCAATAATCCCAATCATAGAGCCATGTCCACACTACTTCCCATTCCTCTTTTAGGCCATCTTGAAGTTGGGCAGAAACCCCCTCACGCATACATTAATGGCTTGGCCAGGCGAATAATTCTTCTTCCAGCTTCTATCCCATTCCCTCTCCCCAGTCAATTATTCATTCTTTGCGTGTTTTTGCCCTGTATTAGTTCCTTTGTATCCGTTGTATTAAACCACAAATCAATTGCTCGTAGCCCCCAACCTCGGTACGGAGTACCGAGGTCATTCGGCCCGGTCTCAGCTTTCACATTAGCTTTGTTCTCAACCCCCCATATACGATCGACTTACCGCAGCTTGCAGCTTGCATCTTGCAGCATGCTCCTGCGGCTGTAGCTCGTGATCGACATTAGAAGAATCCTTCGGAATCTAGACCATTTGGGTATCAATGCACTTGGACGGTGATATCATCTTTCCCCTCGTAATATGTATGCAGAAGCAGTGATCACCAGAGCTGAGAACCTAGCTTTTGATTAGAGATGGTGACGGGGAGGTCTTGTGGACATTAATATTAAAGCCATGTATATATAGAACCTTTATCCTAATTGGGTGATGGATATATATATGTTAGAGAATCACACAAAGTTGGGCTATTTAACATCGACATAAGAGCAGACCAAGATAGCTTTCTTTTTTTTTTGAATTCAAGTATAGAGAGACTACTGGCTGATCTAGAAATAATCAAAAAAAGTATTATGGCAGATGATATTCCGTTCCTTGGTTGGCCAAATCTATGTAAAAAAAACAGACAAGTCTGAATCATCTCACCAACACATCATCTCGTGTTGAAGCTCAACAGACCTATTTGAACAGATCTGGAGGGGAATAGGGAACGAGAGACATTAGTACATGGTGGCAAGAGAAGAACGCGGGTATCATGGAAGTAAAATAAGTCCAATGGGCTTTACCAAAAAGTGTGGAAAAAAAGAAAGAAAAGAAAGTAATAAGTAGGGAGAGAATAGGATACCCAGTTGAAGGCGAAAAGCCAAAAGAGCGGGAAAGGTGGAATGGAAAACCACAGCGAAGTATGAGAGGGAAAGAATGGGGAGCTAGAAGCAGCGGACCAAAGGGTGTATATCAGTCATTAGAGATTAGATATCGTCAAAGATGAACTCGGGGGTTGGAAGACAACAGTAGCCATGGGAAGCCATTAGTCTTTTGCAAAGGATAGACAGGAAAAGAGGGGGAAAGAAAAGAGGGCTGAAAGAAGGATATTAAAAGGCATTTGGCCTATAAGGGTGGAAAGTTGGTGTTTGACCAACGTTGGAATGACGAAATATTAACAGAAGGGCAGTTCATGTCTGCGAACATGATCAGTTGCGCAGACCGAATGCCTTCCGAAGAAGAGGAAATCGTTTCTTTCGTCCGGAGCCAGTGATCACGACGTCGCGCGCCGACATCCCATGCTCTTCGGGATTCGTTATCTCGGAGGTGCTGTCGTTGTTTGGATTTGGCCCACCGCGGGGTGCCTCGGGCTCTTTCTCAATTGGAGATGCACCATGAGCGCCATGCCCATTAACCACGGGGGTTTCATTGCGTGGGGCAGCTGCATCAGCTGTTGACGGTGCAGGATCCTGCGCTTGCACAGGGGACGATTGGGCGCCGCGCGATTGTTCTGCAACTGGCTGGAGTGGTTCTTCTTGCTTGACATCACCGCGGAGAGGCCAGGCATCTGGTCCTGTCGACAGGCGTTTGGAGTTCCTCTTAACCAGCTTGGACGACGAGCGAGTGGGGAGAGGATTCTCAGCAGAGACTGTGGTTATTGTGGTTCCATAGTTTCCATTTAGCATGCTCTCACTGCGCAAGTGTTCCCGCTCCATGCGTGACCGCTCTAGTGGCATGTCTGTCCGGGAGGGGCTTTGAGCATCTGCCTTGCGAATTATGTGTTCCGAGTTCTTGGACTTCTTGAGGCCAAGTCGGGTGAGAAGTCCTGGGCGACCACGGGGAGGCGCCATAAGGAACTCCTCCAAATCTCTCTGCGACATACCGCGTTGTTTAGCCACAGCTGCCATTCCAGACATGTTTGGAGCGTTCTTTTGTGAGCTCTTCCCGCGAGACCCTGGTGGGGAGCCCATGTGATTGGATGCACGCACTGGCTGCGCTTGCTGCCCGGGACCTTCCTCGGAGCTATCGTCCAATTCTGTCGAGTCACCGTCATCGGCACCTTGGCGACGGGGAATACCTCGGACAGGACGTAGCACATTGTTTCTAGGCTCATCTTCATCGCTGGAATCTGCAAACCGACTGGCGAAAACCTGGGGCCGGGGCTCATCCTCGCCATCGGAGTCTACAAACCGTGTTCCGCGTGCCGATCTGGGAGGCGGCTTGGTAAACTTCGCTCTCGGCGGTGATTTCTTATTCGTCGAGAAGAACGAATATCGCTCACCGGCAGCAGGCCCCCGAAGAGTCTTGCGCATTGTGCCATTTGAGGAGCCAGACGAAAGAGGCCGATGTTCAAGTGGGGACTCATTTCGTTCCGTGGGAGATTGAACTCGAACGTTGGTGCCAGCAGCACCAGCTCTCATCGTTCGCCGCATGGTGTGCGGGTCTCCACGCGGAGAAGAGCGTTTGAAGCTGCTTGAGGAATCACTTCCACTTGACCTGGTGCGGCGGAGAGTGCTAGGGAAACCAGGCTGACCTGCTGATTTGTGGAAAGCTGGACCAACAGACATTGGGCGTGGCTTATTCTTGCCACCTCGCGGAGGAGTGTCATTGCTCGACCATCGAGGATCCTGCATCCGAGATGCACCATTCACATCCACAGACATAGGGCGGGTTTGCGTCGTACGCTGAGCTTGGACACTGCCATTTTGAGCAGGCGCATTGCGAGCTTGCAACTTGATTGGCACTGGCTGGTACGCAGAGTCAAATCCATGACCAATCGAGGAGGCGGCAGATTCAGATACCAATCGATTAACCGAATCTTGAGTCGGTGTTGTGGAGCGCACTTCTTCGAGTGGCTGCTCTGTCACATCTTCCGATAGATTATCCACGACTGCGACCCGACTCAAAGGTTTCGGTGTTGCGTCACGAGATTCGCTCACAACCTCTAGGGTCGGTGTCGACCTAGGGGGCGAGCGTCTATCAACGATAGCATTGATGGATCCAAACCCATCGCCGTCAATGTCTTCCGGCGCATCACTATAGACGCTATCACCAGACTCCTCCCCGGTATCCACGTCATCCAGCTTGGGAACAGTGCTCGCCACAGTTTGGTCATTGGTCTTTTTCGCAGTCGCACCGATACTGCGGTCTGAGCCAGATGGCGGGAACCCACCTGGAATCCTAAACTGGTCCATGCTAGATCTCTTCGGGTCGAAATTCTGCTTTATTTCGTCTGCTGGGGGCGTAGCAGGTTCAACGGCAATAGCTGGCACAGCTAAATCAGAGCTTACGCCGGCATACGGCCGTGCCTTGTCGATGCCACTGATGAAACCATAATCCAGTTTGGATGGTTCAGCCTTTGGGCTGGTTTTCGCTTGGGAGGTGGGCAATGTGCCGCTGACAGACAATTGCTCTAGAGCACTCACATCCCGTGGCTGGAATTGTCCGTTTAGGTGAATGTTGGGAAGAATACTTCCGACAGCATGGTCATTTGAAAACGACATATTGGGTTTCGACTCCACGTCGGATTCAGATGATGAGCTGGACTCATTGTCACTGAAATCTGGAATTGGTGACCTTTGAAGACCGCCCCCTCGGCTACCCCGAATACTACCGAATGATGGAAGAACTTGTCGTGGTTTCATCACCACATCCCAGTCATCATCACTCGCAAAATCCGGCAAGGACTTCTTCTTGCCCACACCAAGCCAACTCATACGAGACTTCGTTTTACCACAGGGTGGAGATTCAGGTATGTATTCATCTGGGGAGGTAGGAGGGCTGGCCGCCACACCAACAACCTCAGCCTCGTCGTCGAAACTGACCTTGACGGACTTTTTCTTGCCGCCAGTCCGCAGGCCTTCGTCTGAGGCCACAGAGGTACCGTCTGATAGCTCGCTTGGTGGCAAGACTTGACCAGTTGCCCCGGACCGCCTATCAGGCGATGTAGAGGTTCCCCTCGGATGTTTGAGGGCTGATTTGACAGGTGATACTGATCTCGGCGGAGGCTCGTGGACGTGATCACTGGCATCTGCCACGGAGAGTAACCTGGAGAATCGAGTAGATCGGCCTGGACTGCTCGACTGCCGGAACTGGGGCTGATCTCCTATTTGCAGTTCCGATGGTGGAGATGGAGGCAGTGGCACTATCTCGATGTGATCGGCAATTGATGGTACACTCGCCATCTGGGTTCTACTTTGTCGGACGCTCAAATCTTCGATATTTGGATCAGGAATTTTGGGTATGTCTGCTCGGACAGTAGATGGCCACCGATCAGGCAGAGCTCGCGAAGATGGGTGTTCGTTCTCCCCGCCACGAGCCACGACAGGTATTGCATTATCCGTATATTGATCTGATGAATCGGTCTCTTCCGGCTTATATTGCACCTTTCTAGCCCGGAAATTCGCAGTCGGGCTGTCATGCTGTGCACTGACTGCTTGAGCTGCAGCGGTAGCAGCAGTGCCAGCCAAAGGCCCAGACTTGTTTGCAACGGGGCTTCCCTCCAGACTTCCAGATGGTTGCGCAGTAAATGTTTCCTTTGTCGGCTTCTCGCCCACCTCGGCGATAGTTTCTTGAATAGCACCGTCCAGTGTCATCGAATTATTGCTCGACATTGCAATCGGCGAGGTAGGTCGCGAGCCCATAGGATACGAGAAATTCACGGAATTCCGACTCGCTGCTCGTTCCAACTCGGGCACAGTCCCAAGACTAGTCACGCGTTCGTGCGTGGCGATCTGAATCGGGGATCCTCGTCCTTGTTGACGATCCATGGCCCTCGTCCCAGCGCGCGGCGGAGACGATGGAGACAAACGCATTGATGGCTCCATACTCATCGCCCGGCGATTTTGATTTTTGCGCGGGACAAACTGAGTTGGAACAGAGGGTAATGGTGGTACATCAAGAGGTGGAGAGACGGGTCCTGAGCTCGTCGCTGGGCGATGGGGCGACTGTTCGCGAAACGTGCGTGCGCTCATCGAGCTATTACTGCTAGAGCGACGCAGGGTGTCGCTCATACTGGCCGAGCGGCGACCGCCAACAGGATTGACCTGCGACTGGGTCGAGACCCGTCGCTGCATCATGCGTTTTGTCTGGACATTTTCGATGGGGGTTGGGGTAGGTGTGGAATTGCGGAGAGCTGCCGCTGCCGCTGCGGAGGACAGGCTCGCCGCGGAAGGCTGGGATCTTAGGAAGGCATGGCTGGCGGCGGACTGGGCGGATTGCGCAGCGGGTGTGGAGAGTGGCTAGTGGGAAGGAAGGGGAGCTGTCAGATTCACGTTTTCATGCATAGGTTGCAGGTACCCGTTGGATTGCATCGGGTTTTGCAGTGAAGAGTCCATTGCGGCATAGAGGAATGTGCAATCATTGGTAATCGACGCGTGGAACTCACCTGGTAATGGGCAGAGGCACTTCTTTTGCGACGCCCGAAGACCATTGTTCCAAGGCTCCGGCCTTTTCAAGGACACGGTCGGGGGAGGTCAGAGATCGGATGGCCGGACACTGCTCGATGCAGCGCCGGGATCCGAGATTGGAGTGGATGAAGCAGTGGATCTTCGATCTCGAGATAAGATGGGTGCGAAGTGGGAGGGTGTCGGAAACCGGGAAGTCGAGAAGCTGAGAGGGGGAACAACACGGGATCAACCACAGGGCCAGTCAAAGACAAGGAGATATGAAAGGGAGCGTCAGGTAAGGAGGTTTTAAAAACGAAGGTGAAAAAAAAAAGCCGAGGAAGGATTGTATGGCAGATCCAGCAGATCCGACGAGATCAAGAGGAACTTGCGTCATGACTTTTTTCGATGGGTCAGGCACCAAACCACTTTGCTTTGGCGGAGAGCTGCTTATTAGCTGCCGAGGCATCGTGAACTCCATAGCGTGGGCTGGACTCTCTCTACTTCACACATCGTCCAATATATTAGCAGAGTAATAACCACATTCCAATACAACCTTATCATGACCCTCCAACCCCTCCCTCTCCCAGCAGGCCTTACCAGCCGCACGGTCCAAACAACCGATCTAAACATCCACATCATAGAGGCTGGGCACACCCCAGCGAACGATAAACCACTAATCCTCCTTCTCCATGGTTTCCCCGAGATAGCCTATTCCTGGCGCCGTGTGATCCCCAAACTAGCAGCGGCAGGCTTCTACGTCGTCGCCCCTGACCAGCGTGGCTTCGGCCGCACCACAGGCTGGGACACGCGCAGCTACGAAGAGGCCGATCTCTCAACCTTCTCACTCACTAGCCTAGTGCGGGACATCATCTACCTTGTGCATGCGCTGGGCTACCGCTCTGTGCGCTGCGTCGCAGGCCACGACTGCGGCGCCGTATCAGCGGCCATGTGCGCCCTGATGCGGCCGGATTTCTTCCAAAGCGTTGCGCTCATGAGCCATCCTTTCAATGGGAGTCCGGAGATACCGTTTGATACAGCAAATGTAGACGCGGTGCGGGCTGGATCTGATAAGGCGGGTGGTGAGGGGTCGGCTGCTGCGGGGATACATGAGCAGCTTGCAAAGATGGGACGCAAGCATTATAAATGGTATTATTCGACTCGGGAGGCCGGGCCGGAGATGTCGGATCTAGGACCTGTGGAGATGCAGCGGTTCTTGCGCGGATATTTCCATCTGAAAAGTGGTTCGTGGTCGGGAAACCGGCCCCATCCGCTGGAGAAATGGTCTGCGGCTGATTTGGCAAAGTTGCCTGGGTATTATGTTATGCCGTTGGAGTTGTCGATGCCGGCGACAGTGGCTCGGGATATGGCGCTTGAGCCAGAGAATCTGGCCTCGCACTCGTGGCTGCCAGATGAGGAGCTTGCTGTTTATGCGGGTGAGTATGGACGCACGGGTTTCCAGGGCGGTTTGAATTGGTATCGTGTTCACACCGCTGCTGGAGGTAAATATTCAAAGGATTTGGATATCTTCGCTGGAAAGAAAATCGAGCCGCCATGTGCGTTCGTCTCGGGCAAGGTGGACTGGGGTAACTACCAGCAGCCTGGTGCCATCGAGAAGATGAAGAACGGGGTTTCGTGCGCTGACCTGCGTATCCTTCGTCTTGTCGATGGAGTTGGACATTGGACCCCCCAGGAATGTCCGGATGAGGTGGCGCAGGCGATTTTAGACTTGATCGGAGACGTCCACGAGTGAATTGTGAGCTACATATGTATGTGTGTATACAATTGGATATAGCACAATAGATAGTATGAGATATGAAATTGTGTTCCAAGAACCACATGCTTAGAATAATTGTTATAAACTTGGCAGATAGATTCGTTCTGCATAAGTATAAATGTAAAGCCCAAACACCGGTGAACGCCAGAAAGACCCATAACGTCAATTATATAGTTCAAGAAAGGCATACAGTGTCACCAGCACTGATTTTGAAGCGTCATATTTTAAGAAAATCAGGGGTATGGCGCAGAAGAAGCACAAGCAAAGCGCGCGAAAATGCAATCAACAAGATCAGAAGCAAGTATCTACATGTACATACCAAAAGCGAGGGCCAGCAATAGCGGGGCGATGGCCGCCGCGGACAGTTTCGGGGGTTGTAGGATCGCCGCACCCGAGCCTATGGATCTGGTAGTGTACATGTACTCAAAAGTGATTTCAGACGAATTGAAGCAATTGTCACGAGTCACAGCCTCCACAGATGGATCACCGTCTTCGGCAAACTCGATGTCCACGCACTACATAGACAAGTCAGTACAATTGATCGCTGAGTCGGGATTAGAAGACGAGAACATACGTTGAATAACGAAGCACCGTGCTTGGCTGTTTCGACCACTTGAATGGTGGCGTAATCTCCAGGACTGACACTGATATTGGCCGGCAATGGAACCTGGGGCAGACACACAGTACCCGGGTAAGGGTTATTAGTTGGCCCGACGATCTGGAATGGCGAAACGACTGGGTGGCTCATGTTTTCAGGGAGCTCGCCAAATCCGAGATTGATGTAGATCAAGGCAGTCTGGTGGCCTGGGAACCAACCCGGCTGGAAGGCGACTGCACCACCGCTGACGGGCCACTTGGTTCGATTAGTTGATTGAGGCATGCCACCACCTTGAATAAAGAAGTCAGTGGATGATCTTCAAGTGCAACCAGACCGGTCTTTCTTACAGGGATAAATCCATTCCATGCCGTATGGGTAGATGTATGAGCCATTTTTCACATCGTAGGCAACACCGAGACCATGAGCTTGCGCAATGGTGCCGTTGGTATGGAGGTTGTTTCCTCGATACCCAGGGTATGTGATGACAGTGTGAGCCTGCGCTAAGTCCAAACATAGCAGAACCAGGACAGAGGCCCATCGTGATATCGATTGTGCGAAACTCATGATGCGATCTGACAGCAGCGACAATGGTCAGAGATCAGGGTTGAACAGGAATTATCCAGTCGGTGAGCAAAGCTCAGGTTCGACTTCTCCGGTCGCAGAATGATAGAGTGCTGACAGGAGATGGAGAAGAACTGTTCTGGCAAAAGGACACCAAAATCATAAAAGCTCCAAGACCAAGACCAAGACCAAGCCATGATTTTCGAGGGCCGGCCGGTCTTTTTGAGGGGTACTGGCCATCACTTCGGCGGACGAGTCAAAGCCCAGGAACGCAGGTGTGACCGAGACTGCAGGCTGAGCCATTTGTGACTGGCCCCGGACAGTGATGAAGAGCAGGGGTGCCCTGCGATCACCACCGCCCGCTGCAAGTACCATCACTTAAAGGGCTGATCCTGTATGATGATTTGCTGAGTGGCCAGCGGTGGAAGCGCCGAGGGAGACACTAGCGTTAGGGGTGGAAACAGCATGGGCGCTTACAGAGTACAGATGAACACATGGTGTCCTGAGGGCATTCTATAACCCTGTCCTGCAACTCATTCACCTGAATATGCACCTAAGCAGGTCTATCGCACCTCCGAAGTTGCAAGCAGATTGCAACCTTGGAAGCTAGAGATGGAAGGCCTCTGACTAAACCCCAATGCCAAGCCTTTCCCCCGCATCTCCAAAAAAAAAAAAGCTTCTCACATTCTCTCCAATGAACTAATCCAATAACATTCACACATCCCATAATTTTTATAAAATATATATATATAAGATGCCCCACACATCCCGACCAAAGCGACCAACAACCCAAAAACGAACCCAAGTCACCGACGACGACGGCTGGACCCATGTCGCAAACAGCAGCAACGTGCGGCGCGTAATGCGCAGTCGGCCGCGGGGCCCAACTGCCATCACAAACTCCGCAAACGAGATCCCCTCTAACCAACTCGAGCCTACCCTGGCCCCCGCAGAAGCACCCGGTCGACTCACGTTGGCCGAGCTGCAGACACAGTTCCAGACCCACCGTGAACGGTGGGAGGCGTCAGAGAGCTGGACAAAGTTGTCAGGCATTTTGGACCAAAGACTGAAGATCAGGGCGCAAGAACAAGCTTCTGCTTCTGCTTCTGCTTCCACCACGGCCCAATGTCCAGTCGACTCCATTGTCTGCATCGGACTCGGGAGCCCTAGTGGGTTCCTGCGCGATGGCTGGGTTGACCGGCGGGCCGTGTCGCTGTACCAGCTTGCTGCGCTGGCCAGCATCAAGGATCAAGTGGCTTGTTCGTCTCCCGGTCCCCCTATTAGATTTCCTCAATTTTCATCTTCCTTTTTCTCTGATTTCAGTTTTGCATTTACTTGCCTCTCTTCTTCCCTTCCTTTCACATTCACTTTCATGATCGTATATACCCGAGACAACCTAAGCTAACCAGACCCACACTCCCAGGCAAGACCACCTATCCCGACATCAAAGTGTACGCACAAGACCCTGTCTTCAACACACTCGATGAGTCCCTTCTTGCGATGTTGAACATCACAGTCCTCAGACACCCAGAGGCCTTCTCGCATATCACACCCAACACAATGCTCTTCTGCCCGGGTGCAGAACGCAAACATCTTGAACTATTGCTACCGTCAAAACCATGGCTGTTATTTGGTGGTCCTCTGGAGCATGCAGACTCCGGCACTGTGTTGCAGGAGTATGTGGATGCCGCCGGGTCATATTGCTTGCCTGGCTTTGAGCAGTTGGAGCATGCCTTCTGGAACATGAGGCTTTATTGGCTTGAGGCGGGTGAGGAGTGATGGTTATATAAATGTTTTTTTTTTCCTTTTGGGTTTCCGGAATTTCGGGATATCCATAGGGTTGGGGGTTATATACCCGTGCATAGGGCTGGCGTTGGTTATACACATCCATGCAGACTTTCTTGGAATTCTTTTTGGAAATTGAGAATCAGTTTTATTTCCGACCCTCCGTATATCTGATTTATGCTGTCAGCCTAGAATCTAACTCGTAGATGGAAAATGATACATTTAACCAATGAAAGAAATCAACAGCTTACTTGTGACTTCTACTCTGATACATTGTACACCGGAATCAAACCGAAATTCAATGAATTGACCCTTATTTACACATAGACCTAGGATAAAAAAAAATCCGAGACAAACCATATAAGCATAAATGTCAATGAATATCCCACCCCGAGAGATTTCCACCACGCAAAGCACAAGAGCGAACAAAGCATATTCACAGAATCGGATGACACGAATGAGAATATGTCAATCCAGTAAACAAAGGACAGTAAAGACGATGAAACGCCAGGCAAGAAACCCCCGATATGTTGAATCGGAAAGTAAGAGATGCGAGGAAGAATGATGAGAGCGCCGAGGGTTCCCGCCATTATGATGAACTGGTATAAGAAAGCGGAACGCCAGTGCAAACGAAAAAAAGGAGGAAGAAGCGATACTAAGAACGCGATAACTATGCACAGAAAAAGAAATTTTCATGATCATCATCCCGTAACAAAGAGTCGCAAGTTGGACTCAGTAGTACTGTATTAGATGGTCTTGCCGCCGCAATCAGGGATTTTGAGACCCTTCTTGATCTTGCGTCCGGGGTCCATCAGACCCCATTTATCCTCCCACTCCTTCTTCGGGAGATTGAACTGGACTTTCCATGGTTCGTCAAAGGCCTCGAACCTGCAGAATGTTAGTGATCCGAGCAAAGTAGCGGAAAGAGGGAATGATAAGACATACCAGAAATAATCAGTTCCATTGTCCAGAGCCTGGCACACCCAGTCGTTCATAAAGATATTCAGATTGTCGATGCTGGCGACAGAGCCGGGTGTATCGTCGTCACAGACTTTGCTGTCACCGCAGTCCTTGCCGCCGCCAGTAGGCCATCCAACCTCGGAAATAATCTGCTTCTTGTCTGTGCCCTTGGTTAAGATGACGTCGTGGTTTTGCCAGAAATTCCATGTCCATGCAGTAGCATCGGTGACGTTGACACCGGCGAAGAAAGGATGAACGTTGGACATGACAACATCTACAACCTTAACCAGCTCCGCATTCCAGTTATCGCCAAGGTCGGAAGTGGCAATCGGTAGATCCAGATCGCGCTTTTCGAGCTCCTTAGTGACATCTTTGATGTATGAGATCAAGTTCGTTTGGGCAGACTGTTTGCTGTCTCCGGCGCGGAAGAGGGCTTCATTGCCGACGATAACACCCTTAAAGATGGACGTGTCCTTGGTATTATCCAAAATCTTGTAGAGATTCTTCAATTGTCGAGTGGTAGTAGTTGTGTTCGTATCGATCCAGACACCGAGCCAAAGTTTAACCTCCGTAAGCTCGAGACGGTCGATCGCATGCAAGACCATCTCTGTCTGGTTGCAGTCTGTACCATACAGACGCACAGTGTTCGTGAGCTGCGACAAGACAGCCATGTCACGGGTGACATTATTCTGAGAAGGGGGCCACTTCAGACATTCCGGGTACTGCACGCCCCACGGGGTGTAGTCCATGCCCGGGAAAACCTTGTGAAGTTCCTTGTTACCCATGAGGGCCTTAATCTCCGACGAATCCTTGTCGAGATCTCCATTGGTCTTCACATCAGTCTTTGCAGTCTCCGTTGAAGTATCCCCACCAGGGGATACTTCAGAGTTGTTGGGCTTCTCGGAGTTGTCGGAGTTTTCGGATTTGTCTCCGCCGTGCCGGGTACCGATGGTACCACCCACTGCACCACCAACGATAGCTCCTAGAATCAAAAACCCAAGAACAAGACCGACGATCCAGCCCATCTTCTTGCGTCCATGCGCGCCATTACTCATCGATCTCCCGGATTCCCCGCCAGCATTCCGCAACCCACCCCCGGGCACTGTGTCGTATGCGACATCGGCATTCTTCTCCCGCCCAAAGAAGCCTGTCAGAATGCCACCGGCAGCCGCACCACCGGCAGCACCTGTTGCCGCACCCGCAGCGCGGTTCCGTGACGGAGAAAAGTCGTCGTCGCCGTCATCCACGATCTCGTCGGGGTTGATATTCGACATTTCGCCGGTGCTGTACGCAGTCGAGTGTCGCTGATAAGGGCCGTCATTGATACCGGAGTACGCCGCGGGGTACTGGTGAGTACTATTGCTGCTGTCGCTCAAATACACCGAAGAATGACCGGGGGTTTGCATGGTCGGTGAGGCCACCGGGGCGCCGCGAGCCATGTTCGACGCGTGAGGATATTCTGGACGAAGAGACTCGCCGCTCATATAGCCTGCCGAGGGGACGTAGGGAGTGTCGGAACCGGTGGTGTTGAAATCGCGCTCTGCGGGCCCGGTGTATCCGTCGTTTCCGCGAGAAGCCTCAATGCCGCTCTGACGGTCGTGTGTATTAGCGATTCCTAGAGCAATTCCACCGATTCCGCCGCCTGGTGAGCTGGGACCGAGATTGTCCATGCCTGGCGTGACGGTGTGGTTTTCACGGGTGCCGTAAGAGTAGCGATGAGCTGGGGGAGGTGGGATGTCCATGCCCGGATCATCTGATGGCATGGTGTTTTCTCCTATCGAGTTTTCTGGACCTCTAATTTTCGGGTCTGAAACCGCACGCAGCGAAGATTGATCGGAAACTCGATCTCTGAAAGAGTTGAGTTGAAAGAGCTGCAGGGAAAGTGCCAAGGCAGAAAATTAAACGGTCATCGCAAATTGCCAAAACACGGGAACCACGGTACCCGGGAGATGAGAGGGGAGCTGAGACAAGCAATACACAGGGCAATCTAAATTGCTCGCGTTGGGCTTGGAGCTAGAGGAACTAGAGGAACTAGAGCAATAAGATAAAGAGGGTAACGTAGACAAATAAGCCGAGTGGAGGATCAACAAGGCGTGGCCCGGACAACGGCCCCAAACTGATGTGTCGATGAGGGCTTCACCTACATGGAAGTATCGGAAGTAATCTGTCAGAACCCTTATTTTCTCTTCTTTTTGGCAGACATGGCCATACATATTCCCACGAGGGACCACTGTGGAGTACGACTGTCTCTTGAACCCCTTGGGTGGTGTTGCTATTTTTACCCTCAAGCCCCCGGAATGGGAGAGCCGTTGACTTCGGAGACGCTTTCACATCTTTCTTTGTTATACGCTGCAGATTTGGGTTGGGAGGTTCCATAGCACATTACCATCTCGCATTCAACGTTAAAATCACTAGATCCAAGTCGTGGTATCATCCGGCATATATCCGCTATATAGATCATATCGTCCAATCCCATAAATTGCATCCCATCCCAGCGCCAATCCATTCCGGCAATATCCCTCCCCCCTTTTTTTTAAGGATCCTTTCTGTTTTCATGTTCGTCTGCCCCAAACCAGTCGTATAGATCCCAAATCAGCAAGACACCAACGCCTTCGTACACGAAGGATACCTGAACGACCCAAAGCCCCCAAAAGTCAAAACCATAAACACAACCATACGTAAGCAAGGCACGAAAGCAGTAAGTTCACAGAAAATCTAGCCTTCCACGTCCTCCGCACTCCGCTGCGCAGCTGTTTTACCTTTAGACTCCAGGCGAGTTCCGCGCTCCAGAAAGCGTCGCTTGCCACGACGAGTATCAAAATGGTCTGGGATCTCAGCAGCTTCCTGGCCCTCAGCGAGCATGCTGCTTCGCATTTTATCGCGGTAGGCATCCACTGTTCGCAAACGGTTAGCCGGGGTGTCTCAGCCACTCAGATTGTCCGAGAGCACGTGGGCCGGTGCGGGTGAGGCAAGGGAACTTTTGGGACAAAGCGCAACCGGTGATGTCACATGAGACAGCCGAACAATGGAAGGACAATAAAGAACAAGAACAAAAAACCGAGAAACAGGATGAATCACTTACGCGACCGTTGCAAAAATAGCATCCTCCCCGCAAACACACGGCTTTGACTCCAGCTCATCCGGTACCCGAGATCATTCAGCAGCAAATCCTTACGGTGTTTTCTGCGAGTGAGCTTGGGCACCTCGATCTCGGCATCTGCATCGAGCGAGGGCGCAGGCACCGTCGTGCGTCCGATGGTCAATGCTTCGGGATCATCCCCTTGCTCTGCGTCGTCGCGGAAGAAACGCCTAGCAGGGACGACGCGATTCTCATCGCGCATCTGGATAGGGAAGTAGGTGCGCGGATAGACTGCGTTGGACTCGCGGTAGGAGTCTGGGATCTCGTCCATGTTGACCTTGTCCAGGACGACCTTGACGCGCACGCGGCAGCCACGCTGTGGGTCGTCGACTAGGATGAATTTGCGTCGTTTGCCGTCTGGCAGATGACTGAAGAGGTCCTCATTTGTGGGGCCTTGCTCGTCAATGTCATGGTCGGTTGAATCCATGCGTGCGGAGGTGGCGATTGTGGGATGTCGGCCTAGTGAAGAGAGGCTGTTGTCCCGGAGCAGTGGGGGCATGGAAGGCCCGCCGCTGCCGGGAGTTAGGGCTGTTGGGGTATCGTGGAAAATGTGAGCGGGACGGAGGTCAGCTGGCTGTGGGAGACGTGTGTCCACGGACCGGTGAGTGCCGTAGTCTGTGCCTATGGGTCAAACAAAGGAGCAAGAATTAGCCTACGCTGTACAACTGCATGTTTGGCATGTCGGGGGAAAGGAGGTTGAGTTCCAAGGAAACAAGGACCAAGGCACAAGAAGCGCGGCGGTATCAAATGTAAAACAAAGCAGCGAAGCGAACAGGGTATGAGATAAACAGAGGCCAGATAAAAACACAAATTGGGTGCGTAGGGATACAGGAGTACACATCTCATACAACCATAGACACATCCTCGTACACATATACACAGACAACCAGATCAGACACAAAACTCCCACATATACACATACACTCAAGACAATTATTCGGTCCAACACAGAAAGGTCCCAAGAAAAAAATACACAAGTGATCCTGCCGCTCTTCGTAAAAGAAAAAGGAGAAAGGAAGAAAGGGAGACATCGTCGGATCAAAGCACAAAGCACATCACATGTGGTGAAACATACCGCTGACTTCCTCATTAGGGCTGCCTTCAGGTTGGTGATGATGATGCATCTGTGGTGGTCCCATCGATATGGGACCCAGACTCGGCCGGGGAGCAGGAGGAGCCGACATAGCACTCATGCCTGGGCCAGGAAGACCGCTTTGGCTAGTCGGGCCCTGTGGCGGCATGTGAGATTGGGCAGGAACCGACTGTCTTCGATTCATCTTCGCCTGGCGGCGAACCCGTCTGCTGCGTAGTCTTGGATCCTGATTGCTGTTGCGCCAGCTATCGACAGCACGTTGGATTAATCCTCGCTTTCCTCTCAGTGCGGGATTCAGCTCAGCCAGCGCCCAGCCGACGGCGTTACATTCTGTCTCGTAAACCAGCCGGTTCCCGCGGTACTGGTCCTTACTGCAACAGGCGCGCGGGTACACGCAGTTCTCCGTCTTGAAGTCTTGCGTCAGGGTGTCCACGATGACTGATTCCACGTCACAACGAATCGTATATTCCATCTTCACCCGGTCTCGGGAGTATTCGAAGGCGATCCACTGCACACCATTGCTATCTTGTCGCACAACTAGCGGAGTCGTTGCTGGAATGGGGCCAGGAGCTGCGCTAGAGGTAGTGCCACCCAGTGGTGGGCTTGCATGTGGGTTACTGGCGGAGACTGCATGGCTGCTGGTTGCCGTAAGAGGGGGATTTAGCATTGATTGTTGGGGAGGATTAGAATGCTGGGAGGAATCGAGTTTCATGATAGGACTGTTAGACATGCCAGTCGTAGGGATGTGAGCGGGTTGATGGGGTGGCAGTTGAGATGGGGCCTTCTGATGCGGCATCATCAACGGCTGTGTTGAAAGAGGATGCTGCTGAGGAGAAGGATGAGCCGCATATGGTGACGGCTGAACTGGATTGATAGACGAATATGGAGAATAGGCGTACATCTGGGGTGGCATCTGTGGCGACTGTGCATACAGGTTGCGGCCATGTTGGTCGTGTGGCTGAGAAGCTACCGAGGCCGGTGAGCTTGATTGAGGGGTATGATAAATAGGAGGATATGGCCTCTGCATTTGAGCGGTAGATGCCATGAGGTCAGGCGGCCCTAAACCTTGGGAGTTAGTTGATATCTTCGGTAAGCTGAAAGGTATGAATGGCCAAGAGTGTTTGAAGAGCTGATCACGAGTGCGTGGCCTTCCCGAGAACTTCCTACTTTCAATTACATGTTCAAAAGGAAGAGAGCTTACCACTAGAAGGGTAATGTGCCGACGCTGGGATCGTCGAATATGGAGGATGGGTGGTGTAGTAGGGCGATTCTGGTGGTGGGCCGTAAGGATTATGATGGTGCAGGGCACCGTTGCCTAAAGAGTGGGATGGCGGGTATGTAGTAGGAGGAATAGAAGAAGCAGACTGAGCCGGCGAGATGGGGTCTTGCTTCTGTGGCTGCGCTAGATTTGATCGGGGCAATGTCTGAGAGTGTTGAGATCCAGGACGTCCAGGGTTGCCGTGTCGAAGCTGTAACAGAAACACGCATCAGTGACTGGATTTCGATAGCCGGCCTAAAAGGTCGCGAGAAAGACACAGGCAAAGTTCGAACCAGAAAACGAACGGTGTGACAACAACCCGAGAACGTGGACTTAGGAAAGAAAAGAAAAAAACTTGTAAATACAGCCAAATGGGTCCGGAGTGACATCAGCATATGGCTCCCCGGTCTAGCGTGGGAATTTGAATCCCGTAGGTATGCAGAATCTCATCGCCATGGAGGGAATGGTTGGGTTGGACCACAGATGAATCCAATCCTCGAACAGGGATGACCTTAGGTGCGTAACAAATGAGCCAGGGTATAACCGGGATTGTCCGTCCAGGACCAAAGGAGGGCATGGATCTGTGTAGCGCTGGTGCATCCTTGATATCGCGAACAGTTCCTTTCTTCCGAAGGGACAACGCACGCGAGAGATTGCCTATGTAGGTGGCGCTTCCAAGCTGCACCGCGAATTTGACGCATTGCTTTCGTTGCTCTTCCTCTCGGTTGCGACTTTCTGCTCTCTCGTATGGCTGGAGAGGGCCTCTTGTCTGGGTCGGGCATTTGGTAGGTCCCGAACAGATGCATACGAATGGGCTGAAGCTGCGTATGTCATGGCGAACAATTGCCATCCGATGGACCGGTGTTGGGTAGTTTCCATAACTCGGCATCCAGTCTAAATTGTCGGCCTTTTGACCGAGGCATGTCTGTATCTTCCAATTTTGCGCAATATTGATCTTGACGAGGGCGCAATTCGAGGAAGGCATCCACAGGCGTGCCAGACATTCCAGTGTGGGCGAGAACAGACCAGGACTCCACCGAGCACTTCATCCACAACCACATATGAAAAGAACCAAAAAAAAGATAGTGGGAATGATATTGAAGTAAGAAAAAAGAATTGACGAAAGCTATCCGGGAAATTCAACGAAACAGAAAGGCATGGGTTCAAGGCCGAGAAAGATGCGAAATGATGCGAAATGATACTCACGGAATCATCAATAGAGGCTTCCTTGTACTTTGTCGCCGGAGGACCAAGGTCAGGCTGTACCATACCGGTCATCGACCTCTCTCGTGGTCCCGGACAGAATATGGAATGGACTTCCAAGGTTGACAATAGGGTCTGACAAGAAGAAAGAACTGGGATGGAGGAACGTGGGAACAAATGAGATAAAAGGTAGACCACGAGGGCGATCCCGAACTGAGGCTAAACAGCAGCTGCGCGACACACTGGGTCTTGACTGGGGTTCAGGGGGCCGTGTCAAATGTGAAGGCAAGTGGAGGGTCCAGGGTTATTTAGCTGCACCCGTGAGACCCTGTTCTTATTCTTTTCTTCTTCTGTCGGAGGCGAACCTCGAGATGCTCACAATCAAAGAGCGCTAGATTGAAAAGGAAAAAAAAGAAATAAAAAAAAGAAATGAACTAAAAGCGAGAAAGAAAACATGAGCAGAGTTGTATATTATTTATTGCATTTTCCAATAAAGAATCCAAAAATCCAAATCGAAAAACCCCCGATAGGGAATAGTAAAGAACAAGACCTCAGGCGCAAGTGTATAGCTGGTAACTCGCGCGAAAGAGGCCTGTAATAAAGGAGATTACAGGCTCGAGGCCGGTAAACATCCGAGTCTTTGAAATTCAATGTGTCATCAGCCGAGTTGAAAGAGATTTAGACGCTTGAGAATGATGTGCAGACAAAGAGACGAGTGGAGAATGTACATCGTACTTACGGCAATAGCCTCGACACTGAGAGCATGGGGATTTGCCGCAACGGCCAAAGGCTTCTCGGATCCAGTGGAGGGAGCATGATACGTCAGGCTAGTCACCCAATAGTAATGGAGTATATGCTGAGAGACTCGACTTGGAATTAAAAATGTATATAAAAAAAAAAGAATTAAAGCAAAAATAATGGTTATTTTTTATTAAAAAAAAGAACTCATTCTGAGACCTGATTTTCCGGCAGGATTCTGATTGCGCAGGTCGAGGCAGAGACAAGCGCTGCTCGAAAAACATTCCCCTCAAATATGGGAAAATCAAATCCAGGTGAGGGGATCACAAAAGCCTCTGTTTCTCTCGAGAATTTCACCTGTCACCGAGGATATGCCGCGGGACCAAGGTAACGCCCAGAGGTTGCAATCGATGTACAATAGTATATACGTTGAATGGAGCTCGTCAATATAGACTCCGTCTAATCCGTGCTCCATACGGGAAAATCCGTTTGCTCATGTTCAGATCAAATAATATCAAACGACCCACCGTAAGTCTAGAATGCCTGATAGCCCATGACGATTGGAGTGTGGACCTCGGGATGGATTCGAGGCTAAAAAAGAGAGCTAGTTGACGTTGCTCTTGGATCGTGCAGAGGCCAGTTTCAGGTACGGAGTACGGAGTACGGAGTTTGGCTTGGGCTGAGAAATTCCCTTCGGAGTATATCGAGGATCGGCGAAATGATACTGGAAAAGAATAATGAGAAAAGCGAAAAAGCGAAAAAAGAGAAAAAGAAAAAGAAAACAGAGAATGCTCCTATTAACATTCGACGCGGACTAGTCAAATCCAGGAAGTTACACCGTTCTCCCATGTTTCCACGGCCCAATTGTTCTAAACCATCTCCTTCCGATCTAAATAAACTCGAAACAGCCTAACGGCGCCCATCGCCATTTTTCGCTCTGTCTTTTCCCCTTTGACTTCTACATTCGTGGGACCGTGTAACCCCGTCCCAGCCTCAGCAGGTAGATCCCATGAACTAGTAGGGTATAATCGGCCCATGCTACTTCCCGTGGAGATTAGACAAGCCCCCTCTGGATACGCGTCTATAATTTCACACACCCACGATCGAGTCCCTGTTTTCGGACGCTAACGCTTAGAAAAACCATCGTTTCCGTCGGGATAGCCAATTGGGTTGTGATTCACTCCTCCCATGCGGGCCTCCGCCCGGGTTCGCTCTATCCCACACCCATTCTAGTGGCATCTTAGTCGATCTTGGCAGTCCCATGGAGTGTGGCTCGAAAGAAGAGACAGAGTCAGAGGGGGCAAAAAAAAAGAAAGGAATGACATGCCTGCCTCTACCTCTGCACCCCCCCTCCTTCTATCTCCCAATTTTCTCCGGCCTCTGACACCGATGCATAACACTTGAGTCCTTTCAAGCATTTTCGGTTTTAGCCCCCTTGTGCTTCATGTGAAGTGGCCGGAACGCTAAATTAGTGCCTAGACATCCCCTTCTGCCTAGTTGTTTAGATTCAGTTCTCGATGAGGGTTTAAATTAATTTTATACTCGGCTACCCATCTATCCATGGTCTGTACATCTTCCTACCTCTGGAGTGGAGACATGCTCGGTGTGGAGTGTTTATCAACCTCGGAGGTAATGAGGTATAATGATGAATTGCTCGTGACACAAATCATGGCTGATGAGATATACCGATAGAATTGAGTCTCCATTTCATCCCTCTCGGCAGCGGATCACCGGCATGTACGGGAGTATGGATCTGACATCTAGCCCATTGGATTGTCGAAAAAAAAGGGAAGCATGGATCAGGAGTGCGGATTGTTGTTGTTGCGCAGTGACTTTGCATGAAGATGAAATTAGGGGCGTACAAGGAGTCCAACTTCGGAGGTTTACTTAACCATGCACACACACGAGGAAGAGTAATTAAAACACAAATCCAAAAATAATCCAAAGAGAAAAAAAAAAAGACTCAAACTATACGCTTTTGAGAGTGCTTCCAGAACGAGGCTAGTCTCACACTCCATTCAGCTGAACCGAGCTTCGACGGAACAGGTAGGGGTTGGGATGCACCAATGACTTGCTGCCCAATGGATCGTCAAGTTGTGCGCGGGGATTCGAGTGTTCGAGGCACAGGAACTTCAAGGACCTCAGCCTTGAAGGTTGGAGCTAAAGCTCTAGTGCACGGTTGCATGGCCCCTTTTTCTTTTTGATTGCTGTTTTCTGTCGTGTCTTGGGGGCTAAAGGGGGGCCATTTTCCACGGCGCACTGTTATTGGCACAGACGGTGATCGATGCAGGGTGCTAGGGTCCCGCGGTCTTCCGTTGCGTTAAGCCGTACCCGTAGTCCCACCATGTAATTTTTGGAGTCGCCCATCTCCATGATCGGTGATTTGGGAAATTGTGATAGTGTGCTCGACCCACATGGTCCATGCGGACTATAATGTACTCCGTCCCTCCGTACGGAGTGCTGGATATAGCATCGTAGTGTTGGATCGTGAGACTGCCCTTTTTTCAAATCGCAATCCCAACCGAAGCTGAGAGAGTGTTTCCCAGACATCGCACAACGTGTTACTGAGTCGTGGGGCCGGGGATCGGGGGAACGAACCAGAGGGTAACCCCTGGGCGGATCAACCGACAATCCTGGCCCCCTTTTTTGCTCTAAAGTGTGCCACTACCGCCCCGGATCGACTGCGGACTTCGCGGTCCAGAGCATTGTTAATGGACCGAACCCGTTTGCCGAGACGTTGGGGACTTCGCTAAAGGACCTGAAATATGAAATGAAAACCACGTTTCTCTTTGTGCCGGTCTCCCGTCGGTCTCGCTGGATCTTTTGTCGATCCATGGCCAAGTACGTCATGTTCGGCCATACAAAGAAAGTCGCCTGGGCGCAGCGTTCTGATTCGAGGCTTTTGGCGTTTTGTAATGCGGCACAAAAGCCCTAGACCTGAACAAGCAAAAGAGGAAACAGACATGCCTTAATCAAGGGGCTGAAACTAACCTTGGGAGCAACCTTTGAAAGCCTCATGCCCTGAACGGACATTGTGGACGATAGTTCCAACGCACTGTCCCCAAAAGTGACTACTGGAAGTACTCCGTGGAGAGAGAGAGAGCATGGTCAGAATACTCGTAGATAGTGTTTGTTTCTTGGAGTTGGCGAGTCCCAAAACAGTAAGACCCGCCAGTCCGTATTCTTTTGGTCAATTGCTCTTTTGTTTCCGCTCGACAGAATAATGAAAACCCAAGTTTGAACATGCAGACAACCCGACGTCCACGTTGTCCTGAACCCTTGCTTCCTGCAGTGCGGCTTACAGCAACGCAGACGAGCTGTCTCTCTTCACCTCCTCCACCTCTCGGTTCTCCCAGAGAGACAAGAACAACGGAAAATCGATGACGGAATTCCCGCAAGCAACCAACTCCGAGCCCCGGAGATTCCTCGAACGGTCGGAGCTCGGCAAGAAGTATAGACGGTATGTCCGATCACTCGATATCGACGCTCGGCCCCATATCCCATAAGAGCGTGGTACGCCAATAGCCACGGGGCAGTTGAGGGGCAGCCAAGCCACAATCTAGTAGATCGCGGGTCGGGTTACGGAGTACGGAGTACGGAGTATAGTACACGGACTTATAGCTCCAGGCCAACTGAAGTCTTGATAGTCTTGGCCACTTGGCGAATACGCCCAAGAGTCGAGGGGGAAAGGAACCGGCCATTGACCTGGCCGGTCTCAGGTCTCTCTTCGGGGGGCAGGGAAACCTATTTCTGACAGCAGTCGGGAATCAACTGCCCCCAAATTAAAGTTGTCGTACCCTGGTCTGTTGACCATGCGGATATTGGCCACCCTGCTTAGCCTGCGATGATCTTCACCAGGGCCGTCAACGGCTCAGCTTTCGAAGAATTGACCTATGAGACACGGGATACGGAGTACATGTATAATTATGGATATGGACTATGTCCCTTTCGTTTTTTGTTTCTTGGCCCCAGGTGCATTTGAACACGACAGGATCAACACCGAGAAAGACCCAAATGTACTCCGTACTCCGTACATCGCAAGCATTCTCCGCACTCCGGATCGCCCTAAGACAGATATGGCCCCTCGGACCAGGGTTCCAAGAACAGGAAATGATGCCCGTGAAAGGCCTTCTAATTCGCGCACATCGCATCGGCTCTCTCCGACATCCTTTGATAATTTCCTACGATCCATAAACGCGACATTTAATAGATCGTTCCACGGCCCCACCATCCGGATCCGAAATGGAGCTTTGAACGTGCGATGCAATTTTGTTTTGTGTTTTATGTTTTTTTTTTTAGCCGAGCTCTCGCTTCCATCGCACGTTGTACTCCGTAGTCCTCTGTTCAAGATGCACTCCGGTCCTAGCCGGGCCAAAAGCCACATTTGGGGAAATGATCGGGGAAGAATGACAACCCGGGGGCCGACTTGATACTCATTTGATACAGGGATTGTATCGTTCGTATTAAATCCCATGGCCAAGTACCTACCTAGGTACCATGTAGGTAAGGTACTTTTTATGGGTTTCTGTTGACATCTCGCTATGAAGTTTCAGCTCCACGCCGTCTCACCGAATGTTCCGTCGAACAATTCTCTTCCAGTTTTCTAGCTTAAACCATAAAATCCCAAGCCGGTGTTAATGCTCACCGCAAACCGTGGGCTTTGTGAGCCATCCAGGCGGTGTCAAGGCATGCGCAGTAGCGTGGTCGGAGTTGACTTGTTTCAGATTCGTTCTCTTATGCAGTGGAGAAAAAGGAAAAGAAATACGATCCATTGGGATGAAACTTTCGATGATCGTTGTAGAGATGGGATTGCAATCGCCACTCACTGTTACAGATATCCTGCATGAACTTGTATCTCGAACATTCAATCGTCATTGTCGTTGAATCTACCCCGTAGAGTATGGTGTACTGGTAGCCACTCATGGATACTCCCTCAGGTGTTTTACGTCAGAGCTTCGGGGAGACCCTCGTATTTTCCCCTTGTCTCATCCATCTGGAGTAATCCTACATAGATATGGGTGATAAGCAATAGTGCAGTGATTGCAATTCGTCTGTCCCTCTGCCGTCCCCAGCCTCGTTGCCAATCCAATGACACCATCGGGCATTCGATGTCAGATGTGTCAAGATGTCAAAAGGCGGAGGCAGGGGGGGGTAAAGGGCGCGTTTGCGATGATGTTTGCTTTTTTCTTTTTCTTTTTTGCCTGTGCCACGACGATCTTCAACCACTTCGGGGTGGTCGCACCCAGTCAGAACAAAGAATCTTGGTTTTTTTTTTTTTTTGAAAGTGTCGAGAGCATGAACAGGCTCGAAGAAACCAAGGTTTTGGGCTGATATTGCAACCAGTAGGGGAGGACTGCGCAGGACCGATGCGGACGAATCGTACGGATAAGGGCAAATATCGGAGATCAGGAATCCTTCTGTGACGCTAGAGGATGTGCTCCAGGATCGGCACGTGAACTTTCCTCCCCACAACGGAGGTAAGCACTGTATACGGGCAATCTAGAAAGCCCGAGATAGGATTGGACGCTGATGTTTGGTTGTCTTGGTGAGTCCGACATCAGTCGTCGATGGCAAGAGCAATCCCAGCAGCCAAGGGGGCGGAACCCCCATCCCTCGCGACATCCAGAAAAACAAGCTCTTTCCACCCTTTGCCTTGATTGTGAATGGAGATCGACTGTCAATACTTGAATGTGGCTTTTTAGCCTATATCGTGCCGTGTTTTTTCCTACTCCAGACATGATAATGCTCTGGATATCCCCTCATTTTTCCCGCCGTGTGCATGACTCGCGCACATCGTGGATTGCTAGGCGGGTTTCATCGCCATCCACTGACAGACAACGAGAATCTCCACAGTCGAACTGGTTCTCGAATCGGATTGGTATCATCTATCCGAATAACTTGTTCTGTTCACACGTGCGGGAGCTCGGCGTACTCCGTGCATCACCAGTCTATCAAACATACACTCCTCCGTCTATCAGTCTCGTTTTGGAAGGATTGGCGGCTCGGTCTCTGCCGTATTCCCTGGCTCTAGTCTTCCTGATCTGAATGCACCTTATTCGATCAGCCTGTCTCAATCAGGAAATCATTAAATGCCGCATACAATCTATACTGCAATCTCCGCATGGTGAAAGTAAGCACCTTTCTCGTTTGTGGCGTCGGCTCGATTCGTCTCCGATGTGATGAGAATGTCTCCGGCTTCCTCAAATCTCCTCTTTGTAACCTCACTATCACCGTTTGAGTATATGCTCCCTGACTCTATCCACTGGGGTCCAACGAGGCACTGATCGAACGGAGATCTAGCCCTACAATTTGTCCGGTCCATGGCTTTGGCCGTGGAACGCTTGGGACCGATTCCTCCCGTACCAAGCACAGCAACCCAGCCAATACAGACGTTATTAGATTTCACCCGGGCAAATTGCAAGGTAGCAACGCGCGGCGCGAGGTGGTGGGACGAGCCTCAACCAGGGGATAGCTCGAGTACTCCGTATTGTGACCCAACCCGGGTCAGATCGCAAGGCAAACATCGAGTTGGAACTGTCTAGAATGGGATTCAAAGACTACAGACTACGGAGTATGGGGTACTGAGTACACATAACATTGTACCCTTCTCTCCGCACCAACACATCACTATCACCAGAACAGCACCGGTGAATACCGAGTCTTCCAAATGTTTGCCCGTGGCGCTTGTCTAGAACCTGCCATTATGCAACGAGATTCTGTCATTTCCACCCCTTTTTTATTTTTATTTTATTTTTTTTGGTCTGCGGATTCCCGCTCCTACTTGTTTTCTTTTTCCCGGGCGATCAGCCGTAGAACCGGGCGAGATGGAGGGGGATTTAGGCGCTGGACAATTCCCGAGATGATAGTCTTTGACAAAAAAAGAGAAGATAAATAATACAAAAAGATAAATGATAAATACACAGAAAGAGAGAAAAAGAAAAAGAAAAAGAAAACATTGGACTTGACACAATTGCATTTGCAGATCCATTTGTATTTGCTTTTTGCTCGACATCTCCCTCTTGCGCTTTTAGGACAACGCTTCCATCATACCTAATCTACTCCGCGCTGCTCAATACAATATATGTGCAGATACATACGGAGTACTCCGTACAGAATACCCATCAATGCAACGTAAAAAAAGCAAAACAGTAAAACATAAAACACCCGGGCTCTTCTCAGACCAAGGTAATGGGCATAATCTTACTACAACTGCAGAACCCCTCCACGAGAAGAGAATGAGAGTGACACAAGAGCTGAAAAGCAGCTTATGCAAGACCATGAATTTGTCAGACAATCCATCCAATCAGCCGCGCACAACTTGGACCAGGGCTCGTGTTCGTTCTACGTCGCCAAATAGGGATGCAGCTGTGGACGCGGGTGCCTAGCGCTTGATCATCGCTGGCCCTCGCAATCAAATCCAGGGTGACCTGATTGGCCCGGGAAGACACCATGGGCGTGGTGCGCTGCATGCGAAGGCGTTGGTGGTGAATCTTGAGCGTTTTCTGTCACTCGAATTGACACCCGGGCGGTATTGGCTGGGAGAAATGTGGAAGCGGCGTATGTTAGAGATAAATCCGGGAAGGCAGGAGACTCGATCGCTGACATGGGTTGGTACATTGGGGGGGCTTGGGTGGGATTGAACGGCTGCTTGCTGGTCTGTGGGGGCTTGTTCGCATGGGCTTCGTGGCCCGGTGGTATAGGATAGGTGCATTAGTTACATCGATTTATAGAGCTAATTTGAAGACCGACGGTTTCCTTTCCCCTCCCGTGTACTTGGCGGGTGTCAAAGTGGTTCCATGATTGCAGAGGAATGGTGGTTTCTTTGCTAGGCGTTCCTGAATTTGAGAGGTATAGGTGGAATATCTTATACCGGCGCGGCAGACGGGTTCATTGTTCGAGGCCGCTCGGTCTCGTGCATTGAGTTGCTCGAGGCGCGTGGGCGCGACGGCAAGGATAGCTTCTGTGCGCTTGGTGCAGGAGGCGCTTCGAGCTGCTTTGGGGGCTCATCTTCGCCTTCGTCCTCGTCGTCGCTGGAGGACTCTGCGCCCCGACGGCCGTGGCGTTGTGTCTCACCTCTGGCCTTGAGTTTTTCCTGCACATGTTCCTTGTGTCGGATATCTGGAGTTCACATGTAAGTATTCTGCTGGAAGCAGAGTGTCGAAATATTCGTAATATCCGGACTTACCTCTGATTTCCTGTGTCTTCACAGCATACTGCTGGATCTCTTCCTTGCTCAAAACCCTTAGTACAATCACATAATCCGACCGCTCCTCGAACCGTTCATTCCCAGCCACCAAGGCCTCTGGGTTCACTAAGCGCCGGTCAATCTTCGTCCACCGAGCGCCTGGTGGGATACCCTGCTTGGTGGCATCTTTGAGAGGAGCAACCCCCTCTCTCACTGGATTGGGCTCCTCTGGGAATGCCTCACGTGGAGCTTTGAGAATACCCTTGGGAGGGGCCTCGGGCTCCTTCGGAGTGGGCGCAGGCGGGTCAACAGCATATATTCTTCTCGGGTCTTCCTTGGTCATATCAGCCGGTGGTGTTTGCCGCGACTCGATGGCGTGGATATCTCCCGACATGCGGTGGGAGCGAGAAGAGGGGTATCCACGCGAGTGGTCACGGTCACGCCTGTGATGTCGCGACCGGTCCCGGCTGTAGTCACGGTCGCGGTCGCTTTCGGTGTCAGTACTGCTGACTTTGCGGCGAGCGGGCTCGCGTCTGTATTTTTGGAGATCGTCTTCTGACGTATCGGCATCATCGATGTGCGTCCGTCGACGGGAGTGTCGTCGCGATCGCCCGTGGCGACGTGCGTCGGCAGGATCCAGATAGGTTTGCTTGTTTCTTTCAGTGCCTGGAGCTCCTTCCAACATGGCCCGCGATGGGGGCTTGACGGCACCGTGGTCACCGTGTGAGCTTCTGTGTTTGCGTCGGGATGGGCGGTGATGTTCATAGTCCGACATATCGGAATATCCTCCTAGAGCTGCTGTTCCGAGTCCCATCACCGTGAGCGCCCCGCTATCATGTGCCGTCTGATGACGGTCTTCTGGATAATAGTGCTCTCGATCACCTTCATGGTGCGATCTGTGAGCACGGCGACGACGACGCTCATCGTGCCGGGGAGTGTAATCGCCGTCAGAGTCGTGGGGCATGGCGACCAGGGCCTGATCATGGAAACCCTCCTTCGATCTGTGTGGATCCCGAGAATCATCTTTCCCACGAATCGAGTCTCGGTGATGTTCGCGGCCCAGCTTCTGAAGGCCCCAAGAAGTTGGGGGCGGGCCGTGGTGACGATCTTTTCGTGCCGTCCACTGGGGGATGTCTTCCGCACCAGTGATACTGAGCGGCCGATCGATTGAGGTTCTTGGCCCATACGAGCGTGGTTTGACAGGGTAGTCCCGGTCAAATTGCTCACGAGCGTTGGTGTATGAGTAGGCATCAAAGTCATCGATATCGTCACCTTTCCTCAACCAGTTGTGCGCTGGGTAGCGTGAGGAACGCGGCGGCGCATGGACGCGGTGCGAGTGTGTACTGTGACCTGTCTGATGCCTGGTATCATTCCATGAATCACCATTGCCCGTGTCGCTGCCATAATCAGTACTGTGAATGCGACGGTGTGCAGGGTGTCGAGGGGAAGCGGAGAGTACTTGATGGCTGGAACCTGAGAGAGGGCTCGGATCGCGGCGGTGAACCGTGTGATGTACTGGCGAGAGATGCTGGCGGGATGTAGAAGGCACAGCTAGATGCATTGATGGCTCGTAGTGATCTGCTCCCGTTGTCGTGTTGCTTCTGTGCCTGGTGCGGGGTTGGACAGTGTATTCGGTCCGTTTTTTGGCGGATGTGGACGGATCACGAATTCGACGGGAGGAAACTGGGTGGGCTTCTAGTTTAGATGAACGCCCTGGGCGGTATCCGTAGGCACTGGCGTATCCAGTATCGGATGGATAGTCTTCGTAATCATAGCGCCGGGGTGCGTCATAGGGATCGTAGGAGGAGTTGAGCTGCACCGTACCGGTCGACGCTCGCATGGGATCAACCATGGAATGCCGACCTCGGCCAGGAGATAGATTTCGGTGGTGGATCGACATAGGGAGAGCTTGTTGGGATGGAATTGCAGATGCGATGATTCCAGACGATGACAATGCCTCCGTGGCCAGTGTCGCAATCGGGTGTGACAGTCCGTTCTCGGTCGGCCTGAGGAGGTTTATGTGAGACCTGATGTATCCGACTGGGGCTTCGATTGTTGGAATGCCCAAGCTGCGTTGTAAACGGTAGGCTTGGAGGCAAAGATTCGGCGCAAGAGGAAGCCGAGGAAATTGGAGGGGCCGAACTTGACACGGCCGTGTGGAGCCCAACAGTTGCCCAACACAACAATCAAAAAGGCCAAAGGGAGGACACAGTATGGAGTATGTTTCCAGGAAATGAAACGTGTGAACAATGACGCAAAAGTGGGTTGGGGTTGGACCAAAGGTTAGTAAGGACGCCAAGTCCAAATGGATTTACATCGCGGGGCTGAGACAGAGTTTCAGCGCACAGTGTATCTCCATAGGTCGGTAGGGACGGATTACGGAGAGGCAGGATGAGATAGACAGTGTAAATCGAGGTACGGAGTAGATATGTCCAGAAGCATATAAAGAGTCAAAATGATAGTCCGACCCATGGATCGAGAATGTCTGGACCGTTCAGACCCGTGGACGCCATGTGCCCTTCCCGCTCTTTAACTAAGAACCTCCCTTGCTTCATATGCAAAACAGTCCCCCGACAGGCGGTCAACTCGCAGAGGCTCTAGGCATTTCTTTTGCTTCACCCGGGTAAAAGGGCCTGAGGCGTTCGAGGGTGTTTTTCTCGTGAGATTATCACTTGGGCCACATGCCCGAACAATGAAGACTGGTGATTACAAATGTATTTCTTTGGAATGCGAGCGGAATATGGCTGTATAATGTGCAGGCCGATCTTTTTTCTATGAAATACAGTCTCTAATAAACAGGTAGCTTCCGAATTTCTACTATGTAATTACACGAGGTACGGGGTTGGATCAATTGCCAATGGGATCAGAGGTGGAAGCCACAGAGATACACATATCTATCCCGGAGGTATGTACAACATAAACAACCTTGGAACATAAGTTCAGATACCTAGGCATCCAGACAACTTGAAGGTGGCCTCTGACGATTTTGAGCTCTAATCCTGGTACTTAATTTCGAGGGTTCCTCTCGTCATTTTGTGGGTTTCATGTTCGTGTCTCCTAATACATTCAGATGGATATGTACTTCAATTAGGCCAATTCCAGAATGCTAAGCAACCCAACAATCCTGATATCCATGCTTCTTTCCAATCGGCTGATTAGAATTTATACCCGGGTCGGGGCTCATTGGAGCCCTGAGTCGCACAATAAGGCGTCATAGCCAATCCCATCCAACTAGAGCTATCCTTTCACGAACCATCTTACCCCTGACAACAACCGGGCACTGTATTGGGATAATTATACAGAAATTGGATCATCTCGGGAGCATTTACTTTCTCAGGTACCGTGCATGGATGGGCGAAGCTTCCCACTACCCCCGTACATGACATCAACAAGTATCCAAAGAGAGCGACTAACGCTGGCGATCAAAGTAACCGGCGGTTGGCGAATACCTACAATGACGACCCCTTCCGATTTTCACCCTAGCACTCACGGGAAATACTCCATTTGAACACTGCATCCCAGGCAAGGCTAAATACAAGCAAAGCAATGCGCAAATAGAAATCCGAGATGCTACAGTTGTATGCCCAACGACACGGTTGCCCTTGCGCACGATATGACTTCACCCGGCCACCCAGCACTAGAAGCCTGACCCAGACACTTTGCCTCGTATCGCAGGCAGTTAACCCGACCATACCGCTGGAATCCACGATTTTTCTCCTCAGAGATAAACATAGCGCTAACAGGCCAAGCTTCTGGATCCCTGTTATACTGGAAGACTTCTGACCAGACATTGAACCCAGTGCCCAGGTCGTGGGATTTCTAGGCGCAATCATGGCTTAGCATGCTTGGCCAGACCCGGGCCATGGGTGAATATGCCAGTGTCAAATAGACGGCTGTGCTGCTGGGTTGTTGGCATGCTCTGGCTGGTTGATTCTAGGCTCGCTTCATTCTTGCTCAAGCACGGCCACTTGCTTTTTGATATGTTCCATTACCCGCTGGGTGTCCAGCTCCGTGTCCTCGGGTTCCCGAGTCTCTCGCAGTCGCTCTTTGGCTGCTTGACTTGCAGCTATATGCGTCGGGTTCGAGCGGGCTTCGATACTTGGGTTTTTCTTATGCGGTAATGGGAGCCCTGATCATGGACGCCTTTGTATCGACGATGAGGTATAAAGGGAGCGGTTCAGATCTGGTTTTGGAATGCCATCACACTACTCCAGTCAAACAGTCTTTGGAATCACTTCAATTCTCTTCATCTACAGTCCAGCTCTTTGGCAGATCCAACTCTTGCAGATCAGTCTATCTTCTCTGCCCTTCTCTTCATCTACAGTCCAGCTCTTTGGCGGATCCAAATCTTGCAGATCAATCTATCTTCTCTACCCTTCTGTTCATACATTCAATCCATCATGCCTATTCACGCCATGTCCAACAAATTCTCGACCACCGAGACCGTCAATGAGAGACAGAACCAGTCTCCTCTTCTGCAGGGCTGGCACTTCAATCGGCTCGACATCAATGCATCCATGGATGCGGATGCCATGAGCAGCCCGCTCACCTCTCGTGTACGATCAATGGTCCCTCCATTCTCGGATGGCATGTCCGTTCTCGCACCCACAGCCGACTTCCTCTCTACCGGCGCCCCGAGAATGGTACCACAATGGTGGGTATGCTGCGGATGTGACCAGATGGTCAATCCCAACCTGGCATCGGAGGACAAGTGCCCGATTTGCGCGCATTCCAAGTGCCCTTCTTGCAAGAAAGAGGAAGTGCGGTAGATTTGCGGAATTTGTATGGGAACATGTCGTCGTTTTTGGATAATTGGCTTCAATCCTTTGTTTTCCTTGCTGGCGTGATTTTTACTGTCTTTTTTATTTCGCTGTTTTGTTTTGTTTTTGTCTTGTCATGTTTTTGATTGATTGGTTTACCTCTGCGTCTACAGGATATCGTTGGAGCTTGGGATATTGATCGACAATTATAGACAATGGGTTTGGAGCAAGACTTAGAGCTATATGAGGGTTTTTCCGGAAGTGCATATCTGGATATGAGGGAATACGTTGGCATTGGCATTTGGAATTTGATTATATAAATTTGCTTTCTATCACTTGTACTTTACATATATGGCGACTGGAGTTGAGAAGATGAGTTTCCCTCGTGGATTGTGCGCTTTCTGTTCACTTAAGCAACCGAGTCGCCAAGTATGTAGTGAAAGTGAGTACAACATACTCCGTACATCAGACTTGGATAGAAGGATATACATATACCAGTACTACAGCACCATTGTATATAAGAGTAATGAGCCAGGAATTGAGCAATGTCTATGAGTTGCCGAGAGAAAGTGTCTCTACTGGAACCTTTTCTTGTTTACCTGGTATATCTACGCTTGAACGGTTCAATGCCTATCAAGATACACCGTACTACATACATAGCAGCATCAAAAGATCAGTCAATTGCCCAGGTGCCCCGACCGACTTCATGAACCAAGGCTGACTATAATGTGTACGTAATAGTGGAATCGGGCCCGGGGCACTGGGGCCCAACAGCTGCCCCTGGAGCCATGTGGGGGCATCAGCCCATCGGAATATAAACCAACCTGTCAAATCCCAGCCAAGCCAATAGTACATGTGGTAGCGACAGAATGCATTAATTATACGGAGCAGGTGTCCAAAGCTTATAGGCATACGGAGTAGAGCACACCAAACGCCCCGAGTTATTGAAAGGAGAATTTTCCCCATGGCTATGTACGCCCCGGATGTGGGGACTGTGGAGCAGCCCCGTTATCGGGCGGGATCAGTCCAGCCTCCTGCTTCAAGCGGGTCACCACGGGTCCCAGGGCAAAATGGCTATCCATGCTACGGTGGTCCGCACACGGGCTTTGCTTGATCGGTAATAGCCAATCAAGAACACTGTATCCCATGACCTGCTGGAGGTTCTTGAACGAGCCCAAATCGAAAGGGTTCTCGCCCGGCAGAGTGTGGAGAATGGCGAAGACATGGCGTTCATCTGGAGAGGGGTGGATTGATTGAGGCTGTGTTGGAGACGAAGGTGTCTGGGTAGGATAGGAGACCATGCGAAATGTTGGAGCCCAGGGAGACTCGGGTGCCCAGAGTCGTTCCAGGAGGTATTCTGGAATGCGGATGGCTAGGGTCCAGACCGCTGTGCGCCGGTTTAGGTTCTCGATTGTTGTTATATTGAAGATAGCCATTTGGATTGAGCTCAGGGTCATCCCGGCAGTGAAAAAGGCGAAGAGGCCGCTCCTGCTCACTTGTTAATTTCAATGGGGTTTCCAATTTTGGAGCTAGAGCTTACAATCCGATGCAGACACACCAATGGGGATTTGCTCCTCCGGTCTGATTGCTAAATTAGTAACAAAGATACTAAAGGTCAAAACACTGGCGCACGAGGGTCTCACCTGGCGTCGAATCTCTGCCGTGAAATAGGCAGACACGATAAGAACGAAGCTGCAGTATACGCAAGTATAAACAACGAATTGAATAAAGAATTTGAACGATGTCTCCGACACTACACCTCCAACCCTGTGTTCGGTTAGCACAGTGCCGAATTTGCCGCAATATCTTGATCTCATACCAAGGACAAAAGTGATCCATTTTGCGCACACACCGACCCAGCTCCCGACAGTGATGTGCTCTGTCTGTCTTGTACTGGCAGCACGTAGAGCACCATAGAGGTCGGCCGTCCTCCTGGCAGACGAAGACATCTTTGGTGTAAAAACTCTCCAATGCACCATCCGACTGAACTGGGCTGCCTACAGCTGTGGAATTTGAACCTCTCTCCACATCCGCGTCTGCCTGGTTTGTCTTCTCCGGGTCGCTTTTGCGGGTGCTCCTCTTTCGTTTCGATCGCTCGGCTTTTTCGTCATCTGCTAGTTTTTCTTCGCCAAAAGGGAGGTATCCAGGATTCCATAGGACGTAATAATAAAGGTGTATGTATGAGATAACCATGGGGACTAAAAGGACGTAATAGATCGCGAGAATCGCGGCGCCAGCACCGACTCGAGAACCTCGGTCATAGGAAGGTAACGGATGAATTAGATAGTCGACTAGATCGCACATCGTCAGCTTTGTAGAACAGCAGCCTCGAACCCGGTTTGCGCGAGACTCACGGCATAATGGCTTGGTGATGGCATAAGAAGCGTACACCACGGCACCAAGTAACACAGGCGGAATGAGCCTGGATATCACGACGTTGACGCGCTTCTGCGCCGAGGACGCCATGTATCCGATGTCAATACAGCAATATCAAATGCATTGGATTATGAAAAATGGGATAGACAGGGATAGCTATCGAGTCGCAAGGAAGTCGATCAAACGGTGCAAACCTGACGTAATCGAGGCTCTCCGCCCGGGCGGCCACGTTCCTGTTCATCTGCGTCCCACGTCCCATGGATTTGGGCACCGGGAGCACACCCTTGCCCGTTGCCCTGATCCGCCAGTTCCAGCTTGATTTGATACGAGAACCGTTAGGCCTGTTATTACTCATTTTGTTCAGCTGCGACCGTCAGATCAGCCTGAAAGAATGGATTTGCCGACTCCTCCCTCTTTTTTTTTTCGATTTTCAGGTACGCTTATACTCGAAAGAGTCAGTATACAGAATGGGATACGCACATGGCTTGCATGGAATGTGGGCATAGCATTTGAAATCAGCCCCAGGGTTCCACAAGCAGCTAGTAGTCTGCTCATTACAAACCCCAAAATACCTATTTCGTAGAGAATGATGAAACAATTGCTCGCCTGGGATTTTTCGTCATCTTCAGGTCCACGGGTGTCAGATAGGGAGCCTGGGTGACTTAGGCAGCAGGGGGGCAGGCACGGGACACCTAACTCGATCGATGACTCTATCTTTCAGTTTCTGAGCAACTGGTGCCTGCAAAACCAGGGAAAAGTGGAGTATACTGTACGCGTTGAAAACCAATTGATCAGGCTCATCCGTCAAGGCATCAATTGCAATAGAAGGAATCCGAGTTATGACTCTCCATGTAGACCGGTTGTTCGGATACCCCGACGAGCTAGAACCCGCCAATGCCCATACATTTCCCCGGGTAGCCAACCCATGCGAGTCGGTGAACATTTGCTTAGCCCTGAAATAGTGGGCCCCGGTTGACTCAGTGCCTCAGGTCTGGGTCTGCAGATGAATCATTGCAGGTTCCTGACAATCTAGGCAGAACGCCCTGGTAATTACCCAGGGCCCCGGTCTATACTAAGCCACGCCCTTGGGCGACCCTTCTCTACGGATGATGTGCGACTAAGTCAACTTTCACATACGGCCCCAATGACAGCCCGGGTAACAAATCGGCCTTAACCCAAAATGGGTTTCTCGAGGCAGCCTGGCTGTCGACGGTTTCGAGAAACGTTGCCTTGCGTAGTTAGTTCTATTTTGTGTATTCTCGTTTCTTCAAGATATATAGCCCTCTTCCGTGCTTCAAGTCTAAAACATTCTCAAACACGATCACATCCAACAAGTATAACATCAACATTGGTCCCTCGACCCAGCCAGACCTTTCCGCTCTACAGTGATATACAGCCAACTTCGCTTTCTACAAAGCTTCCAATCTGTCTCTAAGACCAATCCAACAACCAATCCAATACAAATCTATCATGGCCTCCTTGTGGTATTGTTGCAGCTGCAACTTCGGCCCTCACAACTCCTCTCTCTACGATGCTTGCATCCAGTGCGGAACAGCTCGTTGCCCTCGCTGCCTTGAAGAGAAGGTCAATGATAGCCTGAACCTTCACTCTCACAGCTGCAATCCCATTTCGGCATACGCAGCTGCTGTTCCCATGGACTCTCCTCGCATGCCAGCATTGAAGACCACGTCTATGCCCCTAGTCGTACCAGAACTTCCAGGTCTGGGGCCTCTACCACGGGCTAATTGTACCGGTATCTCCCCAGCATCACTCGCTGGAACAAACTATGTCGCAAATACATACATGTACATCTGCTGCTCATGCGGCGATGGACCCAAGATCTACGATCACCAACCCCAATGCGTGATTTGCAACCACATGTCCTGCCGCAGCTGCGAATATGTGAAGTGAGATATCTGAAACTTCGTCTCGCGGGCCGAGACTAGGTACTACGAGTACAATGGTGAGTTACTCCGTCTGATGCTCACTCAGCACTTAGGTGGTTCTTGAAGCTGACGGTTCGACATAGTGATTTCGAACTCTCCTATGTTACTTTTTTTTGGGTGCTGATTTCAGAGATTTCTCTTCTGGAACAATTCTATTTCTGCAAAGCGTGTCATGGGTCATCGGCATATACCTGGGTGTATTATTTTGCTTTTTGTTTGTTAGACTAAAGATTTGTATACTTGCGGCTTCCTGATTTGGTTTAGCGCGATGCGGCGGGGCTGGTCCTCAGGCTGTCAGCCTTGCAATCTCCCAGTTTCTATCGTTCTGTTTATTAGTATGACAACTCAATATTACTGTTAGTTCTATGGATTATGCTTCTTTCGGTTTTAGACCCTTTCCTTCTTAGGTCTCCGATGGCCTGGCAGCCTGCGCCCTGTAATGGAGTCATACTCCGTAGTCTCAGTCGTGATCTTCACGACGTGCAGCAAACCCCCTGCTCAACTCTGAGGCTCAACCCGGGCACGGATGATTTCCACTTTCCATTGATTATCATGGTTGGCTGGAATAATTTGCGGCTCAGCCAAGAATAGACCCGGGCATTCTAACTGGGTAAGGGTTTATGCAAGCCCAGCGTGACTACATACCTACCCATGTACTTCGTACCCAGCGCCCGTAAACCCAACGCCCGCTAACGAGCCTGTTGCTCCTGTTCCTGTTACCGCTCCTTTGGCTGTGCATTTACAGCAACAGCCCTATATCCCATAGTGAAAGAAGCGGCCTTGGTACTCGAACTCTCACAGAGACGATGTGCGTTTCTGCTTGCTCCCCGCTCCCTTTGCCTTTTACGCCTACTCCGTATACTCTTCACCTCCTCGAGGGCTTATCTGCTCTGACATAGACTCAGCCCCCACTTTGGTATTCTCCATGATGTTATTGCTATTTACTGCTCAACTATGTTATTGTGCTAACCCCACCAGGGCACTTCCCATTCTTCCCTTTCAAGACTGGGGCTGTGCTGGCTGGACCGTGCGCCCGGGACAGGTTTTGCTTGGCAGTAGCTTTACTTGACCCTCCTCTTCCTCTTGTGTGCGCGCTTGTCATCCCATCACATCAGCTCGCGGATGCCCCGCGGACGCTTCTTTCTCGAGATCGCGCATGTGCAAAAGCTAACTTTCATCCACCCAACCGGTCCCGCTGACTAGTTTCCTTCTCCTCCCGAATATTGCCCAGTCGCTGACTTCCCTCTCGGGCGCTGGGCGCGGTACCCTTAGTGTTGCACTTCGTATACACAATCTAACTGTACAAGATGGACCATCGGCCTCGCCGAAAGCGAGCAGGCTCCGGGCCAATTAAACTAAGCTTGCTGCGTCCAAGACATCCGATCCGCTGGTCTGCCTTGCTTTGGCCTTGACTCACTCGTATAGATATATGTATCTAGAAGCAAGCTCACAACTTGACATTGCGCAATTCTAGAAGAGAGAGATGTGCGAGAAAAGGAAATATTTCCTCACATGCTATGATTTTACTATTATTATCTTGTTACATCTTGAAACCGTTGCACAAACCTATCCTGGCCCCCATCCCCATCCCCATCCCGACTGGACTTCACGCTATACTTAGCACTAGTAACAGAAATCCACAAATATTCAGCCCTCTTTCGAGGTTCGGCTTATTTATGTTCGGTCACGGATATCGGCGTTTTTTGCACTTCCGAGGTTAGATGGGTTTTAGATTCCATCGTGTAATTCTTACTTTCTTTTATTTTTTTGCGCCTATCTCTCAGCTCGGTTGGTTCAGCTGAAAATATACATCTTATGGCATGTTCGGGTCAAATGTGGGGTATTTACCTAAACTCTTGGGGGATGCTAGCTTCGACAAAATGTATCTTATTCGATCAATCAATGTCTACCCTTGGATATATTGTAGGAATGAGTCATTGGTTTCAATATTCCCTGGCTCGGTGTATTGCAGATGCCCAGTGCGATGGACAAAGGGTCGTTATTTCAAGGTTGGTGGTCAGATGACGTCACCCATGGACGGATCCATGGGCCAACTTTCGAAAACCATGGATTAAGTCAGAATTATGCATACATGTATGTAATCCAAGCCAGTCACCTGCATCTGGAGGAAGGAATTGGTGCTTAAATCCTGGTTCTACTAAAGATAGAGAAAGGCAGATGGTTGGATAGAAAAGAATACATATTGACTGATTGCTATGAATATGTTCTGCGAAAACCCGACGAGATCCTAATCGTACAACCACACCGGGAAGAGACATGTGCCTTCGGTGTGCAGATTAGCTGTAGCCAAATCTCACATAGAGCTAAGACTGTCGAAGCTGCAAGAGTTACGACCAGCAGCTAAGAATATTCAAACGCCCCAGCGCCGTTTCGTTGGGCATCTGGATAATAAAGGGCCCAGAGCCTAGATCAACAAGAATAAGAAAGAAGGAGGCCAGAAGTCAAAAAAAGGTTGAGCTTCCCGATCGCGCAGAACGGATGCAGTTGGAACGCAGGAAAGAAAACGCCAGATCGGCTAATGATGCAGAGTGGAAGCCAAGTCATGAACGCCCTGAAAAAGGCGGCGGCAAGGAATATCGCAATGAAAGATGGCGAGGACTGTCTGAGTCCATGTGGCGTGATGGTGTTTTCCCCCGCCATCGAGAATCTTCGATGACGGTGCTCACAAGACGTGGAAGACAGCTCACCTGGAGAAGACTCTCAAAAAAGTCTTCGATGTATCAAGTTGGGAGAATGTTACAGGGATAAGACACGCGACGGGTCTTGGAGGAAGCGCCTACGGTATGCGGCTATCTCAGATGCCACAGTGCTGAAATCTTTCACCTTGTCACGCCGTAGGTCGTTGATGATCTCCTTCAAACCAGCAAAATATGTTTCTCTCTCTTCATCGGTTTTGCCCTCTCGGACGGAACCCATTTGAATGAGAATGTCATCGTCTGTCGAGGTTAACGGTTCTGTGGTCAGCACTCGGACAGGGTAAAAAGAAGCCGTGAATGAATTGGAAGGGAAGCAATAAGAAAGCAAAAAAGGGTTAAGATGAAGGCATAGAGCAATAAACAGAAAGTAAAAACAGACTAGATAAAGCAATACGCCGACGGGAATCTCAAGGGCGAGGTGGGGTGTTGCAGTTTGTTCATGTCGACGCACCGCTTAGAGTCATGTCCCGAAGATGTTGAAATACGCAGGTATTGTCATTGCAGCGACCTCCAGCGGACAATTCAAACGGGCACATGTACTTCATTGAATCAATGGTATGACTGTACGTTAGCGAGCGGTGGCCACTCGGAACATCTTCAGCATAATTAGGATGGTAGCGATAAGCCTGGAATGTTCGTAGTGGGCTGGTGTAGGGCGTGAACCGTTGCGTCGGACTGGCTGATGTAGCTTCGGTCTAAACAGGGATTAGTATGAAGTCACCAGAAACTTCCTCCGAGAGGGGTAGTATTCATACGCCAGGAGCGCCAACCTGCAAATTTGGCCGAGATGGTGATTTCGACACCTGAGGCTCATTTGTCAGTTCTTCGTCAGCTTGAGTCGTGTCAAATAATGGCGCCGAGACTGCTGTGCTTTCTACAAGACCGGAAAGAGCAGGGCTGAAAGGAGGAGGACTGTAACTCGAGCCTTCAGACTGAGATTCAGTATCAGGCTCTGGGGGCTCATATCCGTCGGACTCTGCGGACATTTCACGCTCGGAGTGTGCGCCGAGGCCATGGAGAGCAATCGATTCATCTGCAGAATCGGCACTAGGATGTGTGACAACAGATGGCGAGCTCCGAGACACAGATGACTCCGAAGAGTCGACTTCTATGGGCTCCGAGGATGCTGGTGCAATGGGAGAGTCGATGCCAATCTGGGCTGGCGAGCTCACGGGTTCGTCTTCACTCTCGCTGGATGATTCGGAACTATCACTGCTACTATCATCAGATTCGTCCATCGCCGATCCAGCAGAATCGGATACAAATGAAGCTGAGGTCTGTGCGGCGCTGTCGATTGCGCCATTTTCAGCTTCATCGATGGAAATTTCCTCAGGCGGTTCCCGATGAATGGGACCTTCAGTAAGTGCTGCTGGGGGCGAGAGAGGTGCAGGCCGGGTGATCTTGTCAGCAGAAACCGTCATTGGTTTGGCAGGAACAGAATCTGCGCAATGGTCAGCTGAACCGTATAATTTTGCTGCGGGAGGAAAATGTTCTGGAAAGAGGTAAATAGAAGACAAATGGCATTACCTTCTTCGGAGGTGCCTGCCGCTACACTGGACTGTCCACCAGATGATGATGCCCCAGATTCGTCAATGGTGCGAGGTGACTGGGTCCGGCTGGCAGCGAGCTTCGATTTCCGTCGTAGCTCCAGCTCTGCGATCTTGCGGCGCATAGCTTGGATTTCCATATCTTTCAGTCGAATATCTCCTTGATCACTGAGACTGGAAGGGGCCTGTGGAGTAGATGTCGAAGCCCTGGTGGTAATATGATGTGTTTGGATGGAAGGCTTGACGATAGTCGAGGTCGCTGCTGGGACCGGATCTTGCTCAGGACTGGAATCCAGTTCCATGTCGTCATCCTCATCATCGCCATAAAGTGACTCATCATCGCTGATTGCAATAATGAGTTTCTCGGCGGGATCAAATCGGTTCGCGGTGGGGTTAAAGCTCTTCTTTGGAGGTGCAACTGGTTCATCGAAATCGGATGCCCGAGGCCGCTTACGTTGGTTTGCTCGAGATGTTGGTGTCGAGTCGGGGACGCTCGAAACCGGCTCAGAGACGAAAGCTTCACTTCGCTCAGACATGTGCAGGCCAGGAAGACTGGCAGGGCGGCGAAACTCCGGCACAGGGGGTCGAAGAGGAAGCGGGTGTTGAATAGCTGGCGCCGGAGATTGCAACTGGATCGGCGCCGGATTCGCCTGGGCCAGCTGCTGAGTCTTAAGTAGAGTCTGCTTTTTGAGTTCCTCGATACGCTGCCTTGCCAATTCTGTCTGGGCTTTGCTTTTCTCTTTTACGGGGGGTTCCTTTTGAACGGGGCGAGGTTCATCGATGTGTACCACAGGAGGGGATTTCACACTACCAGTCGGCGAAGCCTCCTTGGATGTCGCCTTTGCGGCTTTCTCCGCCAACATTCGGGCAATGAGTTCTTTCCGCTCTAGAGGTTTATCAGCCGTCCCGTGAGGTGCGGCGGATGGGACAAGAGGTTGGGACCCCGGTAATTCTGACTTGGTGGTGCTTTGTTTTTCCTTGCCCAATTTAGGAACTTCCAAGGTGGTAGACTGCGGTACTTTCCCACTGGTGATACCCGTGACGGGAAGCTTCTGAGGAACCGATGGGCCTTGGTGAGATGATGGGATGACCTTGATGCCAACCTCTTCGTAGAGGCGTTTGAGTACCACAGGGTTGATACCTTCCGCAACCAATTCATTATAGCGGATATTGTGAGGTGCTAGGCCAAGCAAAGCGCCTTGAGCCTGAATTCGTAGCTGCGCCACTGACTTCTGAGGTTGGGCGACTGTTTGGGGGGATCATTTCCCTGAGACTGCATTGCGTGATCGACCACGATTGGGTCCGCGGACACCGACAAAGGAGGGTTGTACGCTGGAGAATATTAGTAAGACTGTATCGATCAGGGGTAAATGTGGGAGTAATACGTGATCCACTACTAGCGGAACGTGCGCTAGAAGATATGGTTTCTCCTTCTTCTAGATCTGAGTACTGCCGCGTATCCTTGCGCGTCGACTGTAGTGACTGCTCATTCACCTCCTCGCTCAGCTCTCCTTCTTCCCTGTGGTTTTGTGTTGATACAGAGTCATTGTTCGGATGCACAGCGGGGGACGGCTGAGTATGCGAGTTATGGGCCGCCACATTCTGATGCGCCAAGGGGCTATTTGAGGCTCCGGTAGGAATCGGAGCCGGTGGATAGCTCATCGGAGCGAACGGCATTGGAGGAAAGGGAGGGGGAAATTGTGACGCGTCGAACTGATTGTAAAAGGGAAACTGAGGTGGAAAAAAGAGTGCTGGGTTCGCAGGCCCAGTTGAACCCGGGAAGCGAGCGTTAGCATTGACGCTTGCCATGTTATAATCAAAAGATTGCCCGAGATTCGTCGACGGTGACTGGTTCATTTGAGGATAGTCTGAGTTGAGTGGGAAGTTCGGAGGGAGCATCGACGGGTACGCGGGAGGCCATTGCTGCGCATAATTCGGATTGCCACCGTATGAGGGAGGCTGGTCAGACATAATGATATCGTGTATAGAGATGAAAGAGATATATTCTCTACGGGTTTCAAGAGCCAAGTATTGGATTTGAAGAATTGCAGTGACTTTAACCACCGAATCTCATTATGTCCTGAAGGAGAAGGTGGAGATGTGTCGATGTGTAGGAAGCAGCTGTTCAATTTAGGTGTCACTGAGAGGGCGCAGGCAAGCTTGTGGCAGATTAGGAACAAAATAGAGCCACGCGACTGTGATTTTGAACTTAGGAAATCAGGAAGTGATGGATAGTGATATGCAACTTGAGGCGGATTGAGATATGCGGTCTGCTCCAGGCGCCTTCTTCGACGAAAAGATCGAATCGGTCACGTGGGACGCACGGGCCATGCGCGATCGGCGGGCGCCCGAGGAACGTAGGGTAAACAAACACCATGGAGATCGGGGTGCGTCACTTGGATCAACTTGTGTTTTCTTACCACCTCTTGCCAACGCCACCCCTCTTTTGCCTTTGTTAATTGTATTCTATCTCTCCAACTCGGCGGTTGAGTCTCTCATCTCAATTCACCTGAACTACATTTAACCTGAGATTGCGGGATAATCTTGGCTATGATAACAACACCTGCGCTCAAATAATGTGCTATTGAACTACGCTTACCATGCTTCCCTCACAACTGAATGGTTCGCCAAAGCGTGCCAATCTATTTCCACGCCCATCCTCCTCACAAGGGACATATTCACCACAGCCGAGGCCCAAATCCGCCATAATTACACCCTCTAATGGATTAGAATCAGCTAGAGGCCATCTGCGCAACTCGTCCATTTCACAATTGTCGCCGACATTATCACAACGGACGAATCGCGAGCGGTCAAATTCGGCGAAGAATAGTCCTAGCTCTGGAACATTTGCTCCAAGCTTCATCAAGGCAGAAGAGCGACGACGCGGAGCAGATCAGATTCGTGGCCTCGAAGGAGAAAATGACTTCTCGGGCAACAAATATGTGTGGCTGCGAGACCCTCAAAAGGCTTTTGTGCGGGGGCTGGTCCTCGAGGAGCTCGAAGGGGGCCGCCTATTAGTGCAGAGCGGTGATGGCGAGGTATGAACAACCCGTCCACGGAGTGAAAATATGCTCACATTGCGGTAGCAACGGGAGGTAGATGCGGATCAGGTTGATAAGGTCAATCCTGCCAAGTTTGACAAGGCAGATGATATGGCAGAACTCACACATCTGAACGAGGCGTCTGTAGTGCATAACCTGCATACTAGATACCAGTCTGATTTGATTTATGTTCGTGACAGCCTTCCAAAATATGTGAATAGGGCCTGCAGCTAACAAATTCTCGGCATAGACTTACTCGGGACTTTTCCTGGTAACAATCAATCCATACTGCCCTCTACCAATCTACACCAATGAGTACATCAAAATGTACAAGGGTCGTGGAAGAGAGGAGACGAGACCTCATATCTTCGCAATGGCGGATGAGGCCTTCCGAAATCTTGTGGAAGAGGGCAAGAACCAAAGCATTCTTGTGACAGGAGAGTCTGGTGCAGGTAAGACAGAGAATACGAAGAAGGTTATCCAATACCTCGCGGCAGTCGCTACTTCTGATACACCATACGGTCGTTCTGGAACGAAACAAATTACTGGTCTTTCGCAACAAATTCTACGCGCCAATCCTATCCTTGAAGCCTTTGGAAACGCTCAAACCGTCCGCAATCACAATTCGTCCCGGTTTGGAAAATTCATTCGCATCGAATTCTCGCGATCTGGCCAAATTTCTGGTGCTTGGATTGATTGGTATTTGCTTGAAAAATCAAGAGTTGTGAAGCCCAACCCCGATGAGAGGAACTATCATATTTTCTACCAGCTTCTTCAGGGCGCGGACAGCCAAACTCGCGAGAAGCTTCTTCTGTCAGACCTTCAAATCGAGGATTTTGCATACATGCGAGACGGGAATGATTCAATTGTCGGCGTCTCTGACCAAGAAGAATGGAACGCGTTGATTGAGGCTTTCCATGTGATGAATTTTGATGAAGAGGATCAACTGTGCATCTTGCAGACTATCGCTGCTGTTCTGCACCTGGGAAATGTCGGCGTTGCGAAAGCAAGTGTGCGCGCAGACCAGGCAGCTCTCGCACCCGATGGGTACTCTAGTATGGAAAAGGCTTGCTATCTTCTTGGTATTGAGGCCGATGATTTTGTCAAAGGTCTCTTGCATCCACGCGTAAAAGCTGGCCGTGAATGGGTGGAAAGGGTTCAAACTCCAGATCAGGTCCGCATGGGGCTAGATGCCCTTGCGAAGGGTATATACGAGCGTGGATTCGGAGATCTGGTGACCAGAATCAATAGCCAACTTGGCCGTTCGATGGCAAGTGACGACAACTACTTCATTGGGGTTCTCGATATTGCTGGATTTGAGATTTTCGATCACAATAGTTTCGAACAACTCTGCATCAATTACACAAACGAGAAATTACAGCAATTCTTCAACCATCATATGTTCGTTCTTGAGCAAGAAGAATATGCAAGAGAGCAAATTGAGTGGCAATTCATCGACTTTGGGAAGGACCTGCAGCCAACAATTGACCTCATCGAGCTGACAAACCCCATCGGCATTTTCTCTTGTCTTGATGAGGATTGTGTAATGCCCAAAGCAACAGACAAATCCTTCACGGAGAAGCTTCATGGCCTTTGGGACCGCAAGACCCCGAAGTATCGCGCATCTCGTCTCAGCCAAGGCTTCGTTCTCACCCATTATGCTGCAGAGGTCGAGTACACTACCCACGACTGGCTAGAGAAGAACAAGGATCCGCTCAATGACAACATCACACGTCTCCTCGCTGCCTCGAAAGCCCCACACGTCGCAAATCTTTTCTCCGATTGTGCAGATTCCGAGGAGGACGGCGGCAACCACCCCAGGAGTCGTGTCAAGAAGGGATTGTTCCGCACAGTCGCCCAAAGGCACAAAGAACAATTGTCTAGCTTGATGGCCCAGCTACACTCAACACATCCTCATTTCGTCCGTTGTATCCTGCCTAATCACAAGAAGCGGGCAAAGACATTAAATGCCCCATTGGTATTGGACCAGCTGCGTTGTAATGGTGTCTTGGAAGGTATCCGAATTGCTAGGACCGGATTCCCGAACCGGTTGCCATTCACAGAGTTCAGACAACGTTACGAGGTTCTCTGTCAGACCATGCCGAAGGGATATCTCGAGGGACAGAGTATTGCTCGCATCATGTTAGAAAAGTTAGGCATGGATCGAGCTTGGTACCGAGTTGGTCGCACGAAAGTATTCTTTAGAGCTGGCGTTCTGGCCGATCTAGAAGAAAAGCGCGACCAACTTATTCGAAGTATCATGACCAAGTTCCAGTCTGTGGCACGAGGATTTGTTCAGCGTCGTATTTCAAACAAGCGACTCTATCGCGCTGAGGCGACCCGAATTATCCAACAGAACTTCCACGCTTACCTAGACTTGAAAGGAAACCCATGGTGGCGCATGTTTTCGAGAATGAAGCCCTTGCTAGGCGACACGAGAAACGCCAAGGAGGTCAAGAAGCGTGACGAGAAGATCCAGCAGCTTGAGACCAAGATGAAGCAAGACCTCGCCGATCGCCATAAACTGGATGAAGAAAGACGCCGGACGGAGATTGAGATTCAGAAGGTACAGCAGACATTAGAAAGTGAACGTGCACTCGCATTGGACAAGGAGGAAATCTTCAAACGATTGCAAAATCGTGAAGGAGAACTGGCTGAAAAGCTTGCTGGTGCAATTGCTGACCAGGAAAGTCTGGAAGAACAACTGGATGAGCTGGTTGATGCGAAGAGAAAGATCGACGACCAGCTGCAGCTCCGCATTAATCAGCTAGAACAGGCCGGCTTGATCATCGAGCAACTCGAGTCAGAAAAGAACAGTCTACATTCCAAGGTTGAAGAGCTCGATGTCAAGCTTTCAGAAACCGAGGAGCAGTTCTCTGAAAAGAACAACCAAATTCAAGAACTGGGTCAAGAGATCAAGATGCTGCAGAGCCATCTCAGCTTGAAAGATCGTAAGCTTCAAGACCTCGAAGCTAAATTGTTGAAGACCGACCAAGACATTGAGGTCAAACTGGCAAACACCTCGAAGGAGCTCGATAAATCCAAGAAACAAGTTCAAGATATCTCCGAAGAGAACCGGTCTATTCGCGCTCAGATCTCCGAACTCTCGAACACTTCCACTGGCTATGAGGACCTGCTTCGCCGCAAGGAGAGCGAGATCACCGTCCTGCGCAATGATGTTCAAAAACACGAGGAAGAAAAGCGAAATATTGAGTCTGAGAAGGTTGCTCTCTCATCACGCCATGACAATATGCAATCTCGCCTTCGTGAGGTACAAGCTGAGAGAGATGCCATGCGTTCCGAACAGACTCAACTTCAACGCGAAGCTGCGGACCTCAAGAACCTGCTTGAGAACAAGAGATCCGAGGACGCCGAGGCTGGAGAGAGCAGGAAGCTACTAGAGCAGCAGGTTCATGATCTCAAAGGCCATCTCTTCCAAGCTCAAGCCGACCTCAGCCGAGAAAGGCAGTCACGCGATGATGTACAAATGCTCGCCGAACATAATCTCGCGCAATTGACTCAGAAATATGAGACCCTGAACGACTCCAAGATCACCATCGAGAAGGAAATGTACATTCAACAAGATAGTTTGCGTCGGGCTACAGAGGCGAGAGTTGCGGCTGAGACGACGCGCAAAGAGCTGCAAAGCGAGTTGATCAAACTCCGGGAGAGATTCACGGACGCTGAAACTGCCCGTATGAATGCCGAGGCTGAAATTGAACGAAAGATCATGACCCAGGCCGAGGAGCGCATGTCAAGCTCACGCAAAGATCTGGCAGAAAAGGCACGCCAGCTTGAGGAAGTCGAAACAGAGCGCTCGAAACTTTCAGGGCGCATTCAAGAACTTATGCACTCAATCTCTGAATCTGAGAACTTCCGCCTGCGCCACGATCAGCATAAGGAGCGCCTTGAACGAGAGCTCGTCACCCTCAGAGGCAGGTTGACGGCATCTGAAAATGATAACAGGTCTCTTTTGACTAAGATTCAGCAAAAGAACCTTGACATCGCTCGGTCGAACTCAAAGGCCACTGACAATAATCGACTCCGTCTCACTAACCTCCAAAAGGAGAAGGCCAGGCTCGATGAGGAAACCAAGAAGCTGAGTCGCCAAGTAGAAGATTCTCAGGTTACGATTACGTCTCTAGAGAAGCAGAAGGAGAAGTTATCGTTGAGCTTGGAAGACCTCAATCATGAGGTCAATCGCGAACACAAAACTAGCCGTAATGCTGAGAAGGCTGCCTCAACGGCCAATCTGCAATTGGCAGAAGCCAATCGCAAGCTTGAGACCGAGCGCCAGCTTCGCACTCAGGCTCAAGCCAATACTCGACAGACCCAGGGCACGCTGGATAGAGCGAACAAGGAAATTGAGGACCTACACCGGCAACTGATATTGCTGCACAAGGTCTTTGAGCCCGAGGCTACTGAGCCTACGCAGTCTTGGGAGGCCGTTCAGCCACACCTCTCCAAGCAAGTTGATTTGGCCCAAGTCCTCGAAGCCGTCCAGAACAAGCTTGGAGTTACCGAGGAGAAGTACTCAAGAGCTGAGAGTCAGCTTGCCGAAATGCGCCGGCGTCATGCGGATGAAATGAAGGAGCTCGATACCAAATACTCATCCTCTAAGCGGGCTTTGCTCGAAGAGATCGACCAAAACGAAGTGGCCAATAACCGGACTCCTGCTCATCTGAGGAAGAATTCTGAGAACGCTGTGAAGAGGTTTTCTAACCCCACCACTCCCAATCGACGCTACAATGTTTTCGAAGCAGCGAATGATTCCGCGAGGTCCGACCGGACGGTGGATACACAGGGCTACCAAAGACGGATGGATACAGCTGCGGAGCTGGAAGAACTTCAGAACAAGCTCCAAATGACCGAGATGCAAAACAAGCACCTTCAAAGCCAGCTTGGACGCTCCACTCCCAGTGCGGACATCTGGCAGGATGACAGTCCTTCAATCCGTCGCATGCAGCTTCTGGAGCGAGAGAACGGCCGGCTCCATGACCAACTCGATGATTCTTCTAAGAAAGTTTCATCTCTGGAACGCAGCATCCGCTCTGGGGAATTGTCTCTCCGCGACGTACAAGCTAAATCGCACGAAGAGCTATACGACTTGATCAACTCACAGGAGCAATCCAGGCGCTCGCTTCTGAAGGTTCACAATGAGACTATGGCCGAGTTTGGTGACGCTAAGGCCCATTTCGAGAAGTTGAAACGCGCTAGAGCGATCTTAGAGGTCGAACTTCGTGATGCCCGATCCGAAACCCAAGAGCTACAAGTTGGAAGAGAGCAAGACACGGTCAGCCGTAACCAGCTTCTGCAAGAATTCTCTGATTTGCAGATTCGCCTAGATGCCGAGTCATCTAGGTCTGCTGATCTCGAATCAAGCCTTATGTTATACAAGAGTCGATCCGATGAGTACTTCAACAAGCTCGAACAAGCTGAGATTGCTGTGATGAAAGCTTCACGCGCAGAACACTTCGCTAAGTCCCAAGGACAAGAAGCCGAGGAAACCTGTGCCCAGATCATGTCCGAGCGTAAAGAAATGGATGCACTTGTTGAGGACTTGCAACGTCAGTCCCAGTCTCTTGAGGCTCGCATGGAAGACCAAGGTGCAGAGCTTCAGGCTGCGCTGCAGGCAAAGCAACGTCTGCAGAACGAGCTTGAAGACTACCGTAACCAGCGCGCGATTGATCTTGAGGACAAGGAGACCTCCATGGAACAAACAAGACAAAAGTACCAGAGAGAGTTCTCCACTCTCAATAACGAACTCGAGATGGAGCGTGAGCGTGTGCTCAATGGTCGTGCAGAGACTTCCCGTCTTCGTGAGGAGTTGGAAGACCTCCGCAGCAAATGGGACGACGAGGTTCTCAATAGCTCAACATGGGCCAAGGAGAAATCCCGTATGGAGGTTGTCCTTCAGGATGTCACCAACTCTCGTGACGAAGCTGTCAACGCTCACAATGAGGCTCAAAGCAAGGTCGTTTCCCTGCTGTCCCAGGTACGCACACTTCGGACCTCTGTTGATGACGTTCAGGCGGAGCGCGATATTCTTCTGAAGGACAAGAAGATGCTGGAAGGACGATTGGCGGAAGCCGGCGAGCGACTTGAAGACCTTGCCAAAGGTGAAAGCCCATCCATGCGCAACGCTGCCAGTATGGACCGTGAGCTTCTGGAACTCAAGTCCAGAATTGCGCAGCAGGAGGATGTTTCCGCCGCTGCTGTTGGTAAAATGCGCCGCGCAGACGCCTTGGCAACTGAAATGCAGAAGGAAGTCACCGCTGAACGGGAGGCAAATGCTCAACTCTTCAAGGAGAAGGCTGCAGTTGAGAAGCAGCTAAAGGAGGCCCAGCTCCGGTGTGTTGATCTCGAAACCAAGAGTTACTCCTCCGGTAGCCAGGATGTTCGCTTCTTGCACAAGCGAATCAAGGAGGTAAGTTCAATTTTTCCACACTTCACACCGTCGCTCCTGTACTAATTCGGCCCTTTAGCTCGAAAGTCACCTGGAAGACCAGGAGAGCAAGCACAGCTCTGAGCAACGCTCTCTTCGTAACGTTGACCGCACGGTCAAGGACCTCCAATCCCAGATCGACAGGCGGGATAAGGTTAACACTCAGTTGAATGACGATCTCAACAGAGCTCGCGATAAGATCGAACGGCTCCTCCGCAACATCGAGGAGCTTCAGCATAATGACTCGGACGCACAGCTGCTGGCCCGGCGCGCCGAGCGAGACCTCCGTGAGGAGCGTGAGAAAGCTTTACGATTGGAACGCGAGCTGGAGGGCTGGAAGGCCCTACGGGGCGAGCGAGGCAGCACTATCGGGCGTGGCATAGCCGCTTTCAGTGACAACGGAAGCCGTTGCGGGAGTGCTGCCTATGGATCTAATGATATTCCTCAACGGCAACCCAGTAATACCAAGGGGTTCCTGTGAATGAGGAGTGACATCTAGCAGGTAAATCCTGCTAGGAGATGCAACAATGATTATGGATGGATGTTTTGACTTTATGGCGTTGATATGCATTTGGGAAAGGGATGTGTGTTTCAATCTTCCTTGCTGGCCTTAGCCTTGTTTCATATTGTTTGAAAGGTCATGCTTTCATCCCTTGATCCCTGTTTTTCGGCGTTGTTTCCAACGATACTTTCTGGTTTTGTTTTTGTTTGGTATTCATGAGTAAATATGCTCTACGGATGGGCTAGGCTATCTACAATGATGAGAACGTAATATTTCATGGGAACCTCAATTTTTCTACCATCCTCCTTCTCAGTACTGGATATTTAGTATTGTTGGACGATTGTTCATGGGTGGAGAAACCACTGACATCTATGCATAGGTCACAGACAGCTTATATATCGTAGGCGATCTCCTCTTATATTGATGCTGCTGTTTAGAATCTATTCTGAGTGCTGAGATATGTTTACAAGCTGAATAATTGCTTATAACTCGATCTACCAGAGTAAAACACTCATCTTGGGTCACAATCCTGGAATATATAATGAAGGTAGAGACTACGGTCTGGTCGATGGCTTTGTATAGTTATTTAGTACGGCATTGGGTTTCTCCATGAAAAATAGAGACTGAACATTAATTCCACACAACCCATCTACATACGTAAAATATTCTTTCTGAGAGGAATAAAGGGAAATGAGGGAAAACCTGCATATACTCAGTCATTTGTTTTCGATGACGCAACCGATTAGTTGTGAACAACCCCCTTGTAGTAGTGAAAATTAAGGGATACCTTCAATATCCCTCAAAGTGGGAGACATGATGCAAAACATCAAAGTCTTCATTGCCAACAAATCAAATCCATATGACTCTGTATGTAGTCCAATAATGGACAACACAAAATCCTCAAATGCACACAAGGCACGTGATAGGCGCGCGCCAACGCGGCAATAAGCGCTCAACTTCAACCTCAAGCTGTCAAGCTCATGATTTCCTCTCCGGATTTCTTCCCTGCCAACGCCCCCCGATACCCGACTTACTCGGGTCGCTGACTTGGTCAATTCTTCATCATGGTAAGCCTAGTTTCCCCACACCGAAAAGGACCGAGAAACCCCTATATCCAAACCCCATCACATTTTGCTAACGCAAGCCCCCGCTATGTAACAGGCACGCAACAGTGAAAAAGCGCAGTCGATGCTGTTCCGCTTCCGAGCGCAGCAAGCAGCCGACCTCGGAATTATTGACATCTCACGCACACGCCGCCCGAAGGCGATCACAACCATCGACACGGTCCCAGTATGCGAGCGCTGGCGCGGACAAGTCGTCAAAGAGATTTCCCGCAAGGTATCACGCATTCACGAGCTCAGCCTAAGCGACTACCAGGTTCGTGATCTCAATGACGAGATCAACAAGCTCATGCGCGAGAAATGGGCGTGGGAAATGCAAATTCGTAACCTGGGCGGACCAAACTACATGCGTGGATCGAGCCGAATGTACGATGACGAGGGACGTGAGATCCCGGGTGGAGGCAAAGGCTACAAATATTACGGGCGTGCCCGTGAGCTACCTGGCGTCAAGGAAATGATCGATGCTGCCATCACTCGGGCCAAAGGACCTTCGGAAGAGGAAGAGGCCGTGTCTGGTCGAGGCGGAGATATTGCGACGAAGAAAGTCGATGCCAATTATTTCGGATATGGCCTTGACGAAGAAGATGGCACATTACTGGCCTACGAAAAGCAAAAGGAGAAAGAGGCTGTTGACAATCTGCGCGGCAAAGGAGAGGACGATGCTGAAGATGGTTGGCAATCTCTACCTGGTGATGCGGGTGACGGGGTGGAATGGAGACTCCCAACACTAGATGAAGTTCAAGAAGAGCTGGTGGATAGGCGGCGGCGGCGCCTTCTCGATAAAATCTCTTGATTCATACGTCTCGTTCAAGATTTCTTGCTTCCATTTCTGTCCTTTGCTTGGGTCGGGCGTTAGGTGCTTTTGCAAGATATTCACATTTCAAGCATTATCTTCTGTTTGTTCGTAATGACACCACCTGATTATTATTATCAAAACAAAATCTCAATAGCCCCAAGAGGCAACTTTCGTTATATATACAGTATGTTACAGTTTGCTTGTTGTATCGGGTTTGTTCTTTCGAGTCGTCCTTTCAACTCTCAAAGCCTGCGTCATGCTCATGCGCACTTTTTGAGTCGGGTCTTCTCGTCGTCGTTCTTCCTCCTCTAGGTTATCCACCAAGAATCGACCTAATTCTCCTTGTCGCCATCTTTGTATGAAAAGAAGCGCGGCTCCTTCCATATTGGGCACCCCGCCTTTCCCAAGCAGGCCAGTTTGGCGCGCAAAGCTGTCAAGCAATGGAATCACCTCATTGGTCGGTTCAGACCAGCGTTGATAGACTGTTGGATCATGCAGATTGATATGATACAACAGATAATCCACGAGAGTGACAGGTGAAATGACAGTATCCTTCACACAGCCACAGAGAGCCAGCTTAAGCATGTTCTCAGCATCCGGTACATAGGGCATGAAGACACCAGGGGTATCCAGGACGTAGACATGAGATCCGCTCTCGCGTTCAATGATCTTCACCTGCGTGGCTATCTTGCGCGTGATACCAGGCTGCTGCCCAGTTTTCAGGGCCTTGGCTTTGCCCACGCCCGAGTTGCGCAGATTATTGATCAGTGTTGACTTGCCGACATTGGGCATACCAACAACCAGCACTCGACAGCCAACCAGCTTATCAGGGGCTTCAGCATCATTTCGGAGGTGTTTGATGATCTGGCTGACATCCTGACGAGAGGATGAGCTGGTGAAGAACACGGCGCTCTTGGGATCGAAACTTTGCAATTTCCGTTCTGTCTGCAGCTGTATGTTAGTTCACACTCTATGAACGTTCCTTTTTCTCCCCGGATTTCCCGGTAAGCATAACTCACTGCTTTCTGGTCAGATGATTTGGGAGTGCTTCCCAGATCTCTCTTGGTATAGACGACCAGTCGTCGCATCTTGCCCAAAGCTTCTTCGAACATGGGGTTGATCGAGGTCACCGGAGCTCGATAGTCACGACACTCAACAACATAGTCGATAGTTGAGAGCATACTCTTCATCTTGGTCAGACCTGCCCGGTGGTGTCCTAGGAAATAGGACCTTGGAATCGCCCCATAATGGGGAAAGGCATTGCGCGGCACGAACTGGGCCATCGCAGTTCGTTAGGGATAGAGAGTTGTTCAATCCGGTGAAATATGATTCATCTTAATCAGAGCAGAGAGTGATCGCTGTCTGAATCGGAAAAACAAAATAGTTGGTCCGCGGAAGACAGAAAAATCCGTCAAAATGTCCGGGCGGAAGGACGGGCGGTGAAGGGCAAGTGTTGTGAGTCATGGTAATGATGTTTAGACACTATACATTACTCATGTCATCCTACATCCGAGTAGTTTGTGAGAAGCAATTATAGATCTCCTCTATCTATTCCTAGGATTTGTTTGGCTTCACCATTATTATATTATATGAAAATTTCTTCCTTAGTCCTACTTTACTACTCAGTTACTATTCCTCTTTGAACGAAGGCGTCGAAAACGCGATGAAGCGACCAGGCCAATGAGATAACATGAGGACGATAAAAACTTCGGTTCTGTTGGATAAACCAAGCCATAGATGATGGCTTCATGGCTATAGGTGAAACTGGACTAAAAGTCTAGTTTTGTCGAACTCCAGGATATCTTCAGTATTCAAAAGTCCATCCAGATTTGAGATGAGTACTAACAAGCTTTTGCTTAAATACATGGATGGAGAGATTCAAATCACTCAGGACTCTCGAAGAAAGATGCTGCGTGCAGCTTGCCATCTTGCATAGTAGCAATTGCATCCACACCAGGGTGACTTTGTGTGGGTATGGGCTGAATCACATCTCAGCATTGCACAATGTTCCCAAAAGAGATATATAGAGCAGACGGAAGAGACATACATCTTGTAGACCAGGCTCCCAGAGCCAGTCTTCTTAGTCTTTTGGACGCAAGGTTTTCGTGAATCTCGGGCAAATGGCGATGGCTTAGCCTGGCGCTATACCCTCGCCTCAACACTGGATGTAGCCACGAGAAAAAGACTTGACCGATAAGCCATGCTGCCTCCTCCGGTGCAAGACCAGAGTTTGCGCCAGAATATGAGCGGGCTTTAGCTCGTAGATTCCAGGCCAGCCATACTGCCTCCAAAAACGCTCTAGATTGAACCAGGTAACAAGGCCCGATGTTGCTTGCGGTGATTCGTAGGTCCAAAAGGTCTCTTGTTAGAGAGCATATGAGGTACACCAGAATGAAACCCAACGAACTGGCAGACCCCTTGTAGTCGAGAATGGATAGCGAGACAGCTGCAGTTGCCGCTCCCAGGACTAAGCTAGAGTCGACGAGAATGCTAAGGTTTCCATCGGGTTGACTCCTTGACAGAACGTCCAAAAGCAAAGCCAGTGAACTGCAAGAAAGAGAATGGGAAATATCTACAGTATGTCAATAATATGCAGAGAACAACGGAGTCGACCTACCAGTCTCTTCCTGTGTTTTATGATAGCCAGTTTCGTGTCCGACCGCTAACGACGACGGATTCGCCGGAGTAAAAAAGCAAGCAAGATGAGCGATAATATGATTGAACCGAAATTTCCATTTGAAGAAAGTTGCAAGGCCATGGCCATTGGACTAAAAGCTTCGCCAACTCTTTTGGATGTACGCTCGTGTTCAGAAAGGTGTGTTGTGGGAGAGTTGCCTAGGGCGGACTGGCGGAGAAGAAACAGACAAGCAGGGTCTCTCTCTGCATGCATGTAGCGAGACAAGGCCAACCAAACAAAAGGCGCGATTATTATTTACCTCGTTCAATTTGATAACCTCAACTTAGTGCCAATGCAGAGTAAGCTTCCACGCTCAGCCCAGAAACAGGATTCGCTGGACGACCAGCAAACATAATCGCCAGCAAATCTCTCAGCTGCCAGAATGAACCAAGTTGGATAGACTGTGCAAAAGTCCCAGGCTTTCCAGATATCGTCTGAATTGGAGTTAAAGAGCTAGGGGTTAGGTCTCCTCGCTACGACTAGCGTCGGGTGACGCCATCAAGCCTCGTATAGGGCAATCCAGGATTCTGATCTGTGCAGGACACACTTACATGTAGGAATGGTTTTGGCTTAATCATAGGCAGAGATTCAGGCCAAAGTCGCAGTATTTGGAATCCTCCATAGGTCAAGTGACAGTCTCGAACGGAAATTCTCCAACCATTAGTATCTCCAGGGCGACAATTAGGCAAAGTAACTCTCCTCTCATGTAGACTTCATTGCCCCTGTAGTTCCGCTTTGCCCCTACGTAGAAGTGGTAATTTACAAACCCTCCATGTAGTGATGGTAAGGTATGAAGGTTTACCATGAGTCTGATAATTATTATCTTGATCGTCCAAAGACGGCAATGATTCGCTATAAAATCCCCCCATCCATATCAAATATCCAAGCATCCAAGTACCCAAGCACCCAATTTTCCTTTATTATACCTAATCAATTCGCCAACCCATTGCCTCCCCTTTGCACCCATAGTACCAGTCATCAGCTCCGGCATTCCAACCCTCGATCTTCGTTATATGTCCAACATCGACTCCAGTACTCCCAATCCTGAAGCAACACCCATGAAACTCAAGCTTCCGTGTTGTGTATTTTCCGCGTGTGATCCACCAGATGCTCTTTTCGATTGAACGACCGGCCGCCGCATCTCAGGCACTGATACGCATTTGGATTCACATGCTGTTCATTGTCGTGACGTTTCAACGTTGCCTTTGTTTTAAACGTGCCGGAATATGAGCAACCCTCTTTCTTGCACCTCAGAGAACTAGCATCTCTAAGATAAGATAGACATGATTAGCCAAACCAGAACCTCCCATACGCTCCTTGGTGGGGACTTGACATGAATGGCTTACTCTTGTTGAGGCTTTTGAGGATAGACACGGGGGTTTTGGCCGTTATTGAAGTTCTCGCTCATGGTCTGCGAACAAGGAGGTTCTTGCAACAGTTGTTTTTTTGTGGACGGAGGGATGAGACCTTCGGGATTCTGGACAGAGTCCATTGTGTCGGGAGATGCAGGGGATATGGCCTGAGCATGGTTGTTGACATTTGCAGCAGATGGGCATTGCATTGTGTGCTGGCTCCGATCAATCGGCTGGGGATGAAACCATTGACTCGCCAATGCGTAGTCTTCACTTGGCACTCCCATAGGTTCATGGGTAGAATATTGTACAGGAACCATGGCGAGGGGTGGGTCAAGTGGATAGTAAAACATCAGTTGGTCATAGATGTAACCAGAAGTGCCTGAGTCGTTCTCAGTCTCGGGTAGTGCATCCAAGTCGGTATCGTCGGGCGGGCTGGACATGGTTATGTCTTGCAAGGCAGGATTGGGAAATGCGAAGCTGAATAAGGAAAAATATCTCGATGGGAGCCTGGGGGTGGATTCTAGTATCTTCATGCTGAGAAAAGGGAGAAAAGGCTGGGTATTTATCGAGATCAAGGCGGCGGCGTCCAGGTCAACTTGGAAGTTATCCCAAATGGTATCTATCTAATGAGAAAAAATGGCAAGAAATGGAAAAAGAGAAAAAGAAAAAGAAAAACAAGAAAGACGAGTTGCGCCAGCCGATCAGCATACTGGGGTGTATGTCTAACCGTATCCAGGTACCATGGCAGAAGGGTCAAATAGACTGCTCGCAACAGAAGTGGAAGATAGACGCAGCCCCCGGTCCTAATCTGGGAGATGATGATGAAGACAACCTTGGAACTAAAACCCGAAGCGCCTCCGAGACAAAAACACCTGTAGACCGATAGCTCAAGTGGATATGTTTTCCCCGTGTTGCCCTTTCGCTGCGGCTCATGGACTCTCTGGGGTTGTTGTTAAATATCCCCCTCCACCCATGTCTAATTAGGGCTTTATTTCCATATTTTCAATATTAATACTCACTATATGCTCTCTAAAGAAGTGTTTTCCCAAAAATCGCAAAAAGTCCTTTTGCTAGGATCTTCTGGCGGGTTTGGGATCGATAGGGTCCTCCATCCGGCCCCCACGACGGCGGACGAAGGGCGAATGGATTGCCGCCAGCCCAAGAGTACAAAGTGTAAGTTACCTGATGAATATCCTAGACCTAAGTTACCTTCATTTGACCCCATTCGATTGTTTGGATTTGCTGATCTTTCTGTGTTTTGCCCCCGAATTTCCACTTTTATGCTGCGCCAACAGTCCGAGGCAGGGTACCTGGAACCGCTGCACTTTTACAACTCCACAAAATTTGCTGGAGTTCTTGAGTAAAAGCACTAGCCATTCAGCTGCGCGGAGCTCAATATCCACACGCGCTAAGGCAGTAGACTCCGCCCACTGGGTGTTGTAGCACAACGACTAGGATACGGAGAAAACAAATAGTCATGTCAGTCGACAGCTGGCCAGAATTTTATGAGTTCTATCATATTGAAGACTTGGACTCTTTCTCAGATTAGTCTAGTACAATCAGGTCCCGAGTGTGCCGGTGTGGGCGTCAACCCCAGCGGACAGGTCTTAGAGCCAACCCTAACTATCCGAGACTCTTGGCTCATTCTACGTGGAAAACATCCTTCCTGTGGCGCTATACAACATACTATCCATGTGACTTGAAATTTTTTTTTAAAATATCCAAACTGCTCAAATCGGGCTCTGACACATAAGATACAGGGGCCCCAAGCGCGTTTCAGCCTTTGTGCCCCTTATAGAGGTAGTCACCCAGAATCCAGATTATGAACATTGCGTACCTGAACGCCCTCGTAAAATTAAGGGTGCAGAGCCCGGGCACTGGTAGATGTCCTCCATCCAAAAAATTACGAGATCCTTCCCCGTCATATGGGGTAGATTGGCCGATCCCCTATTTTGACATCATTCACAATAACACCTCAAGGCTGTTTATTTCTTGTTGGTCCCCGTGATACCCCACTAGTACGGCTGGAGTGATTAACCAATTTGTAAGTGATTGACGTTTGAATTACTGTTAGATTTCATTCATTTAGGGTCCACTTGGGCTTGCATCGACCCTCGTAGCTAGATGGCCCTGTCGGGAGTTCCGTCTCCCTCCTCAACACTAGGTACATGAGCCGTAGCATAATTGGCTCTGTGTAGGTATCATGTACCTACCACTTGACAGCGCTCGACAGTGTTTTACGGTATCATTCTGTATGATGCACCTGTGGATTGTGGAGATCGCTCGTGGTAAACACCCGCGGACCCGGGTATCATGTTTCATCCTTAAGTGTGCCCGGATAACACCTTAAGCCATCCCTACATGCACTCTCTGGAAATTTCCCCTTTAATAATTGGATCGGCTATGATGTCCCCTGGACCGAACACAATAAAATGTACCTTTTGTGTGAGCCTCCCACACAAAGCCGACTTATGAATTTAAACATACAAACTTCTATTCAAGTTTAACCCCGAATGTAAGGGGCCCAGGATGTCAAGTGGGCGCTGGTATTTTATCAGGATGGATCGATGGTGTGAATAGACCTTCTGTTCTCCAGTCATTCAGAAGCCAGTCAACAGAAATTTCGTGAAGATCAAGGATGAAAGACTCGATGTTCACTTGACCATAATCCATTGTTCATTCCCCACCAATCGGGCTTAAAGGCCGATCATCTGAGATCCGATGCTGGAAGATCTCACTATATGTGGAAGGAGGGTCAAGTGCTTTTAATATGAGCCAAATTGCCCTTGGAAAGAGATGCATAATCCGATACTTGATTTACTTGGTTATTATTATCATATTACTATCAATACCAAAATTAGGCGCCATAAATATCCCCAGAAATCCCAAGCATCTAAATGTCAAAGTATTCAAACTTTGAGAGATAGTACCTGAGTCCATCGCCGTGCTATTTCCATACTCAGATAAACTTTTGCTCTATGGCCCCCATAGCTCTTAACATTCTGAATATGCAAAGATTCCGGCAAGATCGGCCCACACGTTCAGACCCGTATGCAAGAGGGAAAAAGAGACAGAAAAGAACAAAAGAAAAACGGAACAGAACAGAGCAGAGCAGAACAGAACGAAACAGAGCCAAAAGAAAGTAGGGGATCCAGATCTAGACCAGTCCGTGTACAGCATAGCACTGGTTTATCCATACATATCTACAGTATTCACCAAGCATAAACGCAATTATCCAGCGGCTCCAGCCAAGGTACAGGAAATGGCGAGCGAAAATACAAGATTGGGGAGAAATTAAAGTGTTGATCTCCACACCTCCATGTCCGTTAAGGTCCACTAGAATGACACTAATGAAATGTCCGACAAGCCGGCGTCCATAGTGGGGATATTTTCGGCCTCCGAATTCCGGAATCTGTCGACCAGGTCGTAGGTGGGCTCAGCTACGACGTAAAAGCTGACCTCATCCATGATCCACTTTTGATCCACTTCCGGTGGATCCGTAGTTGAGGTCTACTCAGAAAACATTTGTAAGCAGTATTGATGTGACGAAGAAAATAATATTCCGTAATAACTCATTATTTATTCATTATTTCTCCTTTTTCTTACCCACTTCGCCAACAATGCCTAACGTTAATGAGTACGCATAGGTCGTAGAGAGTGATACTCTACTCTCTGAAATCCTCCTACCTATAGCTCCTCTCTCCGAACCTAAAATTAACGGGCTTTCCGACCTATACGATAGATCTGACTATAGGCCTACGAGTCCTAAAACTATATAGGCGGATGACGACGGAATTGATATAAGCTAATATATTTAGAATATATTAATAAATTCTAAATATATTAATAAGTTATTAATATTATTCTAGCCTACCCGACTCCTAACTCCTCTCTCGACTAATAGATATAACTTAGTCTAGGCGATCGTATTTAAGTATATAGTTACACTCCCTAACTACCCTCGCTCTTATAATAGTGGTTACGTATATATCGTTAACACTAGGGGGATACTATTAGATCGGATATCTACTCGAATATACTCGGTAAAGTTAATCTATTATCGAGTATAATTAATAACTTACTAATACTTTATTAAACTAGTTTAAGTATAGTTACTACCTAAGAGGGAATAAGATAGTAGTCTAGAATACCTATCTTAACTATTTTATAGTTAAAACCCGATCCCTTTACTCCGGGATAAAGGTTTATTAATATATTAATCCGCTATATTATAGTATCCGTTATTACTACCGAGATCTAGCCCTTATTAGTTAGATAACTATAAGGTAAGATCTAATTATATAATAAACGTTACTATCGGACCGCTAACGGAATATAGTCGGGTAACTAATAACTTATAAGCTACTTTATAATAAATTTAGTATACTAACCTATCTTAGTTATTTCCGAGTATAGTAGTTACTATTTAATAATAAAATAGTACGCCCTAAGATAAAAAGAGGGTATAAGAACTACTTAACTTCGTATAAGCTTACGAGGAAATAGCGAGAGTTAGTAAGTTAATTCGCGATATAATAACTTTATAATATATTACTAAGTTATTAAGCTCCCTAGTTATCCTCTAACTCTATATTTCGTATATAGTAATCGAATATATCTTAATAGAAGCGAATATTAGCTTTTAAACCTACGCCTAAAGCTAGGCCGCCTAGATCTTATAATACTCGAAGAGTTATATAGAAATAGGGGCCGCTTACTAATCGAAGATAAATACTATATAATAGTAGAGTAAGTAATAACTAGACGTATAGATTACGGTAAGTATTAAGTTAATATATTTTAAATATATTAATTTCCTCTTTAATCATTTTCTAATATATTTATTATAGATCGATAATATCCTTAAGGCCGTAGGATACTCTAACCTAGCTCTAAATATAGCGTAGAATACTTTATTTATATACCTATAGAGCCCGAGCTATATCACTTCGTACTATTAGTCTCCCGTAGAGAGCACTCTTATCTACCTCTATCTCCTACTAAAGCTCTAGTTTATTATATTAACGAACTAGTTAATATAATAACCCGAGTTAGGAGAGGGGATCTTAGGATATATAGGTTATAAACTAATTTATTAAAGATATATTACTAATATTTTAACTAGTACGATTTAAGATAAATCCCCTAGTATAAGAGTTCCTTTAGAAGAACTAAGCGAAAATACTCGCTAATATATACGCTAGCTTTATTAATACTAATATTATATTAGCTTTACTATAAAAGTAGTAAGCGCTTACCTATCGAAAGGGATAGGACTTCGCTAGCCTATATTATAAGTATAGTTCTAATATCGAACTCCGGGTAGGAAATAATATTTTATTAATAACTTAATATTAATTATACTAATATAATTTTCTATAGAAATACGTATACGCGTTATAGGTAGATAAGGGCGGTATTATAGTAATATATAGATATA